TAATTATTATCTTAATAGTAAATATAATATATTTAAGCTTATTATTATTTAAAATATTAGCTTTCTTAATAATATTAAGATATAATAGTATATCTGGTATAATATTTAAATATTTCAGATAATAATAGATATCTAAATTAAACTAACTAAAATATATTAAAATATAAACTAATTTTATATTAGCTTTTATTATATTAGAAGTATTTAAGCTTATTTAATTATAAATTCCTTTTATAGTTCTATAGTTAGTAAGAATAACTACTGGATTTATATTAGATTAGATTATAGATTAGAGTTTATAATAAGTTTATACTAGGTATATAATCTCTAATTCTATTATATAGTATTATTTTTTTACTATATTTAATACTTTACTTATAAAGAGAATTAGCTAAATATATAATACTAATAGCTTCTTAATAATATTTACTAGTACTAATCCGGATATTAAATAAAAAGCTATAATAAAGAACTCTTATTTCTATAATATATCCGAATTAAGTAAAAGAACTTTATTAGATAAGAAATAAATTAGGAATCTAGAAACTATAAATATATTTTATAGCTTTTTAAATACTATAAGTTCCTGAATTATAGGCTTATATTTTATTCTAATATAATAGCCTTTTTACTTTCTTTTTATAATACTAATTTTCTATCTAGTTTCTAGTAACTAAGTCTTTTATTCTTATATTAGTTTAATTATATAAATATAGCTTAAAAAATATATTTATAATTATCTAGTTATTCTAATATATTATTTCAGGGCTTATAATATAATAGAAAAGGTAAGTTTTTTAAATACTAAAACTCATTCTTATATTATTACTATTTTAAATATATTTACTAGATAGTCTAATAATTTTATAAATAGGTATCTTATAAAGAACTTTTTTATTAATAAAAATAATTATAGTTTAGTAAATAGCTCAAGAATAATATAAAAGTATTAGAGGTACTATTTTATTATATCCGAAAAAATATTATTATTATTAATAAAGTTCCTAGTAAAACTAGTATAATTATATAGCTACTTATTTATAAATTATTAAATATATTAGATAGAGTTTCGGAAACCTATAAATATAACCTTTAAGTATTTCAAGCTATAATAGCTAATAATTATAAAGTAATCTTAATACTTTCTTATAATAAAGAATTAGTAAAAGAATTAAAAGCTATTAATAATAGAGATTATTTTCTTTTCTTATAATACTTTAATTAAGTCTAATTATAATAATAATAAATATATATTTAAAATAGCTAATTTATTTATAATATAGAAATTAATAATAGGATATTTCTTTATAATTATAAATACTAATAAGATAAAAGAAGTTAGTTTATAAACCTATTTTATTTAATCTTATTAATATAATCTATTAAAGATATTATTAATAATCTTCTTATATTTCTAATTTAAAAAGAACTTTTTTAATATAATTTTCTTATTTTACTAGTCTTTAATAAGGAGAATTCTTATATAGTTCTTCTCTAGTATATTAATTAGGCCTCTATTAATCTAATATTCTTGGAATTCGGTAATAATATTATATAGAATATATACTATTTATATATTTTTATTATAAATATATATATTATTCTTATATATAATTTCTAGTATATTCTAGGGCTTATTAATACCGAACTTATATTATTTATTATATTAAGGTTCTTTCGAGTTTATATTAGTTTTCTATAGAATTACTAGATTTATTTTCTTTTAGTTACTTAGGGCTCTAAAAAATACTTAGTCTTTAATATTTATTAATTAGTCTAGATTTATATTTATTAAGATTATTTTTATAATATTTATATTATTAATAATACTAATAAAATTAATATAATTCAGAATTATATTTTTTATATCTATATAGCTTCCTTAAAAGAAATATATTTTATTCTCTAAAACTAGTATATACTAAATTAGAACTATTACTCTTAATTTTAGAGAAATAATAACCTTTCTGGCTATAAGAATATAATATATTATCTTAAAAATATAATAGAGAACTATAATATTTATAACTAGGTTATTATATATTTCTATAATAATTATAGAATTCTAGTAATTAATAATTAAGAATATTTACTAAAGAAACTTATTATTAAAGAATAGGTCTGGTTCTAATTATTTTATAACCTATATTATAATAAAGATCTTACTAAAGTATCTCTAGCTATCTATTATATTAAGTATATATATAAGGAAAATTACTTATTTTATAAATATAATTTTATTTAGGATTTCTTTAAAAAATATAAATTAGAAAATATTATAGGAAACTTTTCTATAATCTTCTAGCTATTTCTGGCCTATAATAGGATATATATATCCCATATTAATATAAGTTAATTTTATAGGCCCTTCTAATCCAAATTATATATATATTTTTATATATATATAAGAAATCTTATTTGCTTTATATTTAACTTTATAAGAAATTACTTTAATAACTTTTATAGTAATAAGCTTTATAAATTTAGGAATTATTATAGTATTAGTATTAATTTTATTATAAGTATTAATATAAATATATTTAAATATCTAGAAATGAGATAAGAAAATATTATTATATTTTCTATAAATATAGGACTTAATATTATTAGAAATAGCTAAATAGAACTCGTTTTATAGGAATTATATATTATTTACTAGAAAGTCTAAAAAGATAAATTTCTCTATAATAATATATTTACTATTTTCTAATTTCTTTTTATATTTATTTCTATAATTTTCTAATATATTAATATAATTAGATACTAGGTTAGCTTTTTTATTTTAGTAATATTAATAAAACCATTATTTATTATATTCTTACTTAAAGTACTTTTCTTTAAAATAAGTCTTATTTTCTTTATTTTCTTTATATATTATAGTAAGGAGATATCTGGGTTTTAGTAATAAGAAAGGTCTCGTATTTTGCTTATAATTAGTATTATCTCTTTATTAAAACTAGTATAGCTATTATTATAGCCGGAATTAGTAAGGGCGGAATCCGGAAATAGTATCCTAATAATTACCGTTTTATGAATATTTGAGATTTATATCTCTAGTATTAAAGTATAAAACTAGTTAAATTAAGGTATTACAGGAATATTTTACTATAATTATATCTTATTATATTTCCTATTTATTAGTTAAGTTTTTAAGTTATTCTAATACTAGTATTTTCTTATCTAAAATAAAGATATATAGTTATAGCTCCGGATTGAGATTATTATATATATAAGAGAACTATTAGTATAGCTTATTTATCTCTATAGTTTTTATATATCTTATAACTATTATTATATATCTATAAATATTATAACCTTTCTTTATATTTTCTATAGTATATTTTTTATTTTAGAGCTTTTTTATTACTTTAGGTATAAAGTCTTTAAAGTAGTCTATTAAGTATTTTGCCTATAAGATAACTTCTTCTAGTATAAATTAAAAAGTAAGTTTTATTATTTTTTCGATTTCTTTTATATATTATCTCTAAGCTACTTTATATAGGCAAGTATATAAATTTATATATATAATACTTTTATATTCTTCTTATATATTAAATTAAAAGGCATTAATAAAAAGATATATATTTCTCTAGATTATAGCCTTTTCTTAATATTTATAATCTTCTATATTTGCGAAATTATTAGGTTTAAAAAAACTAATATTTTCTGGATTCTATTTTAAGGAAATTCCGCTTGTATTAACTATATTATATCTATTACTAAAGCTCTGGTTTCTATTATTAAAACTATTATTTTCTTTATTACCTCTATTATTTACTTTAGCTCTATTACTACCAAGTAACTAGTATCTCTAGTATCTATTACATTTATCTAGTATTTATATAATAAGTATGGCTATTTTAGTAGCTATTTCTAGGGAAAGAAGATACTCTTATACTAGGGCTATACTAGCCATATTACTACTATTATTATTTATTCTAGGAATTTCTTTAGTCCTATTACTATTTGGTTCGGAAGGTTAGCGGCTGTTTAGTTAAGGCTCTGTACTAGTTTTGGTATAGTGATTATTGTTTTCAATACTCCTTCCGGTTTTGGCTATACCTTCATTCTGGGGCGGGAAGTATTTGTCTATAAGAAGGGCGAATTTCTTAATAGCAGTATTAAATACAGATCTATTAATGGCCCATATACTCGGTGGGGCTGGGTAAGAAGGTTATTATATAGTTACGAGTTTGTCGACCGAGGCTGACCGGCTATAGCGACCAACTTGTATCGTATTCGAGACTATAGCGGGATATTATAGGACCAGGCGGTCAATAATATTATTAATAGTCTGCGTTCTCTTTGCGAATCGATGGCCGGTTGCTCGAAACTGATTGAATTAATAAGCGAGGTTAATAAAGTCCTATAGGAAGGTCGAACTCGTTATTGAATACGGCTCGTACCCTTCAGGGTTATCGAATTATGGGCGGAAATGCTACCAAAATGAAGAGATTCCCAGGTCGTATTACAATATGTGCGAATCCGATAATTGCTACCACTTATTACACAAGAGGGGTGAGTTGAGTGAAGTGTGAAAGATGATTCATTACTATATAAGGGAAGCGCTACTTCTAAGGTATCGCTTACGTCATGTCACGGTAACGTGACCTCCATTATCCACGTAACAGACACACTGTCTTTGTGGAAATAAATTGTGTTCAAGGCTTTTTGCGATTGAGTGTCTGCTATCTTCTGCATCGGATGAATATCCTAGAAGATATTGCCATCGTTCACATTAATATACCCAATTAGTTCTTGCCGTATCAACTTTGCAATTTCAAACCAAACGCCTACGAACTTTCTAGAACTAGTGGCTATCCTCACGTGGCCAACTATCTATTACTTTGTAATTACTCAGCCTTCTAGAATCTACTCTACCTACTGCTGTTACTCACGAGCCTGAGAGGGCTTGTGTATATAAGCTGCTATAGCACATAGGAGGCGGGCTGGAGGCAGGCTGCAATTTACCTACATTACCACGCAAGTCAGACTAAGGATTAAGAAATACCTAACAAGTTGCCCTCCTCGTGCCGGCCTTGCTCCCGGTAGATATTCGCTAGGCTATTAACCGTTCTTAGTGTATCGGGGTGCGTTAGTCCCAGCTTCTCCTTGCGCCCTTCTAGCGCCCGCCGGTATAGCTGCTCAGCCTTATTATACCGGCTCTGCTTTTGGTAGAGAGTCGCTAGGCCATTAACTGTCTCTAACGTATCAGGGTGTATTGGCCCCAGCTTCTTCTCGTGCCCTTCTAGCGCCCGGTTATATAGTTGCTCGGCCTCATTATACCGGTCCTGATCCCGATAGACAACCGCTAGGTTCTGGACCGTTCCTAGCGTCTCGGGGTGCATCGGCCCTAGCTTCTCCTCGTACCCTTCCAGCACCCGCCCGTATAGCTGCTCGGCCTCGTCGTACCGGCCCTGATTCCGATAGACAACCGCTAGGTTCTGGGCCGTTCTTAGCATATCGGGATGTATCGGCCCTAGCTTCTCCTCGTACCCTTCCAGCACCCGCCCGTATAGCTGCTCAGCCTCGTCGTACCGGCCCTGATTCTGATAGACAACCGCTAGGTTCTGAACCGTTCCCAGCGTCTCGGGATGCATCGGCCCTAGCTTCTCCTCGTACCCTTCCAGCACCCGCCCGTATAGCTGCTCAGCCTCGTCGTACCGGCCCTGATTCCAATAGACAACCGCTAGGTTCTGGGCCGTTCCTAGCGTCTCGGGGTGCATCGGCCCTAGCTTCTCCTCGTGCCCTTCTACTGCCCGCCCGTATAGCTGCTCGGCCTCGTCGTACCGGCCCTGATTCCGATAGATGATCGCTAGGTTCTGGACCGTGTTTAGCGTGTCGGGGTGCATCGGCCCTAGCTTCTCCTCGTGCCCTTCCAGCGCCCGATTGCACAGTCTCTCGGCCTCGTCGTACTGCCCTTGGGACTTATATACCATTGTAAAAAGTTTAACTGCTTCATTATTCATAGCGGGCATGGATTCGGAAGAACTTTGAAGAATGTTATCGTTGACTTCACTCCATGCATTGATATGACGAGTTGTCTCTTGATTCGACCCCAGAGGCAGATAGTCAATATCGTGAGTTCGAAGAAATGTGGCCAGCATATTCGTTAATTCGGTCACTGTTGACATTGCGTCTGTAGTTTTCCGAAATTTTATGCAATCGCAAATCAGTGGGTGGATTGAGAATAAGGAGTCATTCTCGCGACGGTCAAACGACTGTATAAGTGAAAGTCGTGAGAATTCCACCAGCACATCGGCCAGCTTTTCGGTGTCCCACTGACCGCCAGTCTTTAAAAATTCCATCCAGGTAACGTCGTTGCCGGCGCTGTACGACCGAAAGTAAACTTCTGATATTTGATATGGATCCATAAATGAAGCCAGAGTAAGAAATTGGAGTTTCTGGCTTTTCTCTTCTTCGTTCCCCTTAATCAGGTCCAAAGACATATCTATTGGAAAGTGATCGATATATTGGTGATAAATCGATATATTGGAGGTTGACAGTCTGCAGAATGACTAGATACAAGAGAGTGAAGAGTAAAAAAGGAGAGGAGGGAATCTAAAGTACAGTTCTTATATACCCACTAGTGGGTGGCGATTTCCTCCAGTATATTATAAATCAGATGACTCATATATATTAGTGAGCGTTCCCTGAGCTTCCATAGTGAGCTATTCCATAGGCTTCCATAGTAAACCATTATAAATGAGAGTGGCGAAGCTAATATTAGTAGTTGAACCTGGTACTGGAAGGACTAGTAAGCTAGTACCAATTCAACAATATCCCAGGTGGTGAAAACACTAAGACGTCGCATATGGTCCGGATCCTGTAGATCATGATACTCCCACTCGTCCGGGATCTCTTCGAGGACTCTCATCTTCCGCTTCTTGTAGTGTGAGACAAACTGGCTGAGGGAAAGGAGGCGAGAATGAATATATGCTCCAGCTTGATCAATTGCTAAAGCTAAGTAACCAAGCAGGGCAACAACCTCGCTAGCCTCGGAGTTCTTGGAACCGGGGATGAAGTGTAATAGCAATCTAATGCCTTCATCTTCAGTCATTCTAGAGAGGTCCATTGTAAGGCCCAGGCGAGATGAATCTTTGTGTCGACTAGTAAAGATCACATGTCCACCTTGGCCAGGAATGTAATCTCTAATAGGCCGCTGTTGGAAGGAGTTTGGATTGTTATAGTTGTCGAAAACAAGTAGCCACCTGCCAGTCCATTTCTTCATCTGAATCTGGACCAGAGAAATTGCCTCGCCTTCATCATTTCCAACATCGATTCCAGGGGAAATGATGCGTGACATGGATCGATAGCTCTGTGCCACGGTGACCGGTGACGAGGCGTTTATCCAAAACGTAGCTATGAAGCCAGACTCTCTGGCTATTTGGCAACATTGAAGTGCCAGCTGTGTCTTGCCCGAGCCACCCATACCCTGCAAGACAATCATCTGCGACGGCGTTCTGCTCTGAAGCCAGCCGTTCAGCACCTTCTGTTCTTCCACACGAGGAACGAAGTGAGCGACTTCTCGCCGAGGCACATTGTCTAGGGGTGAAGCATTCGACGGCAGATCATCTGTGCCAAGGTTAGACATTCTATCACTTGATATGGAAATTGCAAAGCTCACTACTCGCTGTTCTGATGGCTTCTCGGAGTCTTCTGAATGAGTTTTCTTCTCCTTCGCCATAGATCGGAGGCATGTGGACGCCAAAAATGCCAAGCAAGGAGTATGCTTTGTCTTCTTGACGTGTAGTCTGGCGTTTCTTTGCCCAAGACATCCGATCAGGAACGGTGAAATTCGGTAGGGGATCGCCTTGAAGAGCTCGAACGTCAATATCCGTTACTTCATGGAGTTCTTTTTCCAACAGTCTCTTGTCACCAAGTGGTTCGCCTTCTAGAGAGAAGAACTGAACTGAAACTGGAGCGACCAGCTCTTGGAGCGTCCAGCCTCTCGTGAACCATCGGCTTTCTCGAAACGCCTGCTCCCATGTATCTTGCACGTCCTCGGTTCCTCTTTTTCGCTTGGTTGTTGAGACATCAGCCAGGTACACGTAGCACTTTTCGGCACGCTGGTACCATCGAAACATTGAGTTTATGGATTCCGAAAGCTCAGAATCACTCGACTTCTTGATACAACAGCTGTCTATCCAGAAGTACTGTAAACCGTCCCGAGAGGCTTGTTCGCTGCAGAATCTGATCTTTTGATATCCTGCTTTGTTTTTGCCTGAACCATGGTCCATATCTTCGAAGGTGACCTCTTGGCTTGCATCTCCCCATGTGTGAGAGAGAATGGCATATGGAGGGATCGCATTGTCGAGGGACTGTTTAGTCAGGCGGAAGTCGCCATTCGGTAGGGTTTCCAAGAGACGCATCGTATCAAGTAGGTATCATGAGAATCCGTGTACAAATGCTTCCTAGCGATTCGACTGCGGTGTCTGTGGGTGTAAATGCTCTGTCAGCTCATATAAAGCAGTATCTCATAGACCGGTAATGAGAACGGCAGCCAAAAACACTTTATTTCTCTTCACGGGTTTGGTAAATGAGGCTTATCAACGCAAGGATGGCAGTGCGGGGTTGCCGGCAGCTGCGGAAAAAGGAACGTAGTTTTAGGCAACAATGGACGAGTGGGTCCAGTTTATTTATAGAACCTTCTAGAAAAACGCCACATTTGGACTAGTTACGGAATAGTGAGTGTTGAAATAAATTTACCTCTCTATTTTGAATACACTTATATAAGCACACTAAATCTTCACGCCAAGACCCACTGCCTTTCGGATCAACCCTCTCCACGGCGAAACTTTCGGAACGCCAATACTTGACTGGCTCTGTCCATATTACCGTTGTGATGGCGATGCGGAAGAAGACGAGAGAGCGCTCTCCTGCTGCCGCGCACCTGCCCATGGAAAGTTCGAGAAACCTGCTACACTACGCCACGCACATGACCAGGCCTAAGAATAGTGGCCGAGTAAAATATAGCGAGCCTGGATTTATACAGTATATTGTGACCAGGCTAATGCACATTAATAAGCACTAAACCCTGAAGCTAAAACATGTGGCGTTTATACCCCTCTCCTTACACCGGAGTAACTCCCGGACTTCATTATTTTTCCCTTTTGAGTGTCTTCAAAATTTGGAGCCATATTCTTTCGTTATAGGACCTTTCCCTAAGTGCTCCGAATTTTGAAGAGACTCTAATAGTCGCGATTTAGCAGGGGGTAATAGCTAAAGCGGCGATCGGTGGTGTAATTAAAACGATCAGTGTGACGGCAGGAACAAAGCAATGGAACGATGCTCAAAGATCTATGATTCCAATGTCCTACAGAATCTAAAGCTAAGGAGAGAAGGAGTGAGGTGTGGCAGTGGATAAGTAGGTACGGCCAAGACCACTGAAACGCTGAGCTTTGGAAGCGAGCTTGGTTTGAATCATAGCTTGGAACCTTAGCTAAAACCAACCCCTTTGGCTGAAACCATGTCCGTATCAACCATGTGACACCAGCCGTCACAATCAGTAGTATGATCAATTATAGTCTTTTCTCTATTGCTAAGTAGTCTTCTTATGGAGAATTAGTTAAAGAAAGTAATATACTAATAACAACTTCGTAGACTTGCTAAGAAAATTTTTATGGTTCCAAAACCATAGATTCGTCTCGTGACAGGGTGCGTCTCGCTACGCAGGGACAGACGTTACTCGTTAAATTCAAAATATTCAACCGCGAATGTTGCGAATCACTTGAAGTCATGGCCATGAGAGGGGGCAAGCATTCATGTCGCTTATTTCTCAATGTTCAACCCTCACCTTGACGCACGGCTCATCACTACAGAAATCCTATTAGAACTCGCAAAATTAGAGGTTTGCCTCTCCTGGCTGCAAGAATAATACCCATGCTTCAACTTGTTTGGACAATCCCCTGAGCATGCTGCAAGGATAAATCAAAGTGCATGTCTGAGTATGTTACGAAGCGAGGGGTTTGAAAGGCACCACCTTACACTAATGCATATGCTTATAAGACGGAGACACAATCGGAGGAGGTGTTGACCAATTATGGAGAATATTTACAATTTCAACCCCTTTCCTCCCCCACAATAAGCGAGCGAGGTGAAAAGGGGCTCGCTCACGCCCCCACCCAAACCTCACCAAAATCAAGCAGCACCCAAGTCCACATACTTAGCATCCACCTAATTCAAAGACGTTGAGCACAGAATCGAGGAGATCAACTGTGGGGCTGTTAATTTTTTTGCCCGTGAGACCCTGGCACCTGCACCGTTCTTGTTGTTGTACTCCTCAAACAGGACATTCGTTGTGACTTGATCGTCGGTCATGCCTATCTTCTGTAAGCTTAGGGTAAGACAGAAAATAGAATAGGCGTACTATCCCATCCAGCAGCAGCAGTGATACCCCCCAGATCACTGTTCTGGAAAACGGCGCGGACATAGTCTCCCCATGACCTCCCTAGGTACTGTACGTGCTCCCTTTCGTTCTACTTGCTGCACTGGGTCCCACTGTGATTTCACTACCCATCATAAGTCAGCCTCCACTACGCGTCCAATCCTCGATCCGCTCTTCTAAGCGGCAAGGAAGAAATCACAACTCAGCCCTTATCAAAAACAAATAATCCCGTCGAATCACTGCTCGCCCATCCCTGCGCCGTAATCCACCCCTTCGCCCTCAACGCCGCCAGCGTACATCCCTGAAGCCACGCCTGTCCCGTAATCCCAACCACGGAGTCCACGGCACCTTCAATATAACACCTTGAGAAGAACTCGCTTTCCTTATGCGCGTACACCGTGTTCTGCCAACTCTTGAAGCTGCAAGCGTAGAAGCCGTTGTTCGACCCAAGGGAGGAAAGTACGGCGGCGTGGTTGTCTTGTCCGCCTGTGTTTTCAACGTTTATGTTGTATAATTTGAAATTGGATGCTGTGACGAGAAGCGTTGCTGCGGGGTGGTTAGCGGGGAGGATAAGGTAGTGCAGACAGCTTGCATCATTGCCTCCGTCGCTTGCAGTGACTGCGTTCGTGATTGTTGCATTATTTTCAGCAGTATTTAGACTAGGATGCGAGGAGCCTTGGAACGTGATGTTGTCTATGGCGATCACAATCTGCTCATTGTAGGTCCCGGGGAAGACATAAAAAATATCGCTAGGAACAGCTGTATTGTACGCCGCTGTGAGCTAGAGAATTGTTAGTCTTGTGTGAAGCCAAAATTCAGGACCAATGGAACTGACTGTAGGGTATAACTTATCAGCCCCGACATGCAGTGCAGCTGCGTCGAGCAGCTTTAGGAATGGAAACTAAGAAACATAGGGGACGTCTTTATGGTGTTGGGTATTTTGTAACTTCGAGCTTGCCAAGAAATGTGATACTCCAGCCCTCCTTACGTCTATCTCGTACTCGCATTTCTCGCATCTTGCGAAGCTGTGGTGCATGGAAGATCGGAATTATCCTATTGGGGTCCCGCACGTGGAAGACCCGAGCATATGATGATCAATCGATGTAGGGTGTAGGTGGGAAATCCCCTGGCAGTTGTAGAAGCATGTCACATTTACACTAATCAACGGTTCAGTAGTGTGATAAAGTTTCCTCTTTCGTTTATTCCTCGATAGATTGGGAGACGAGCGAGGTGAACAGGCATATCGCATGTTGACATACCGGAGCTCCGTGAATCCCGACATACAGTAAAAACCTGGGTAAAAATTACATTAAGGATAATGTCAATCTTAGGGTCATCGAGGACTCTAAATATGTCTCAATATTTTGTTTTGCGTCAAGCTCAGTTAAGAGAGAAGGCTGCAAGCATAATGTATTTTAGTAAGGGGTTTTAGAAGCCCACAACCAAAACCCACTCTGGAAATGAAAACGACATAACATTCGTGTATAATTCTGATTTCAGGAATTCCTTGGGACCTTGCTGCTCTCGAATCCAGGAAGAGATACCCTCGCGGCGTCCACGTGCACTTTGGGAAGAAGATCGCTTGATAAAAATGTTTCTGAAGTATCGTACTATTTTAATTCGTCTTTCATCATATGAAATCCCGCCCGTTACAAAAGCGAATACCCCACTTCGTGGAATACCTGGGAAAAACCAGACCATATCCTTGACGAGTCTGAGTGGAAGACGAGTTTGCAATATAAAGGATTTCAGAATCAATATAAACAACTCCAATGGAGCCCCTGTGTATCACTTGATTTGTGTCAACCCTAACGACATTGACATTCTGATGGCCATCTCGGTTCGCGATGATGTTGAATAAATTCGGCCTGTCACAAACTCACAAATTATAGGACACTTCCGAACCTATCGCGAGAGAGACTCATGTATTGCCGGCGCTTTGCGGAATTGCAGATGTAATTGCGTGACGCAACTGCTGTCACGGTTTGTACGAAGCGAAGCCTAAGTCAAGTCTTGCCCCTCTCATCCACTTATTAAATGGCAGTACTCGGGGAAAGGAACCATCTCGTCTACCGGATTTCGGAATGAGATAACCCAACGAAATAGATAGGAATACTTCTACCCAACCGGGGACTTCCCTTCTCTTGCCCTGTTCCACACAATATCAAGAGCTTCCTCGTACTTCTTGAAAGACATTATACACGCAATTGATGGGTATTTTTCATTGGGAGTCGCTCGATTCGGTGGGTAGGCCGATAATGGGAGCTGCAGGAGTTTCTAGTATACCTGCAGGAACAGATCACACTTGCAAAATGTTGGGGCAGATTTGGTGCGAAAATAGCTGCCGGACTTCAGTTTCGATGCTACTCGTTTCTTGATCTGATTGCGGAATTGTGAATCCTCTATTCACTACTGTTTCGAAAATTCGAGAACCGGAAATGCCAGCCAGCTTTGTACGCGTGCCGTTCATAGTTTCTCTCTCCTCTGATCCCGCGAGGACTGAGTCAAACGACATTCTTCTCCAACCATTCCTCCCACTGATCCGCGGAAAAGCTTGAACTGATGCCGTTCTCAACAACACCATCAAACACCACAGTTGGGGTGACGTGAACCCCTTGCATGCGGTTCATTTTGACAAGAACCTTTAAATCATTCGTTACCCCATTGCCGATATTTAAGCTTCCATCCTCAGCCGACTTGTCGGAAATCTTTAGAAGCTCGAACATCTTTTGCTCATCAAGCCCAACTTTGGCACCAATCTTGGAAAGGCGTTGGTAAGTCTGGTTTCGGGTCTCGTTGACAACGTTCACATCGTAGAAGGACTTTGCGTCGTCGAAGAGAGCCTTGGAATTTTGGATCAGCAATTGATTTCATATGTTACCAAAGGAGGAAAGTTTCGTCATACTTTGCTGAATTCCCAGAATTTGCTTGGCTCGATCCGCAGCACGGCAACTCCGGCTTCATGCGTCAGGGTAGAGGAAGGATGCCAAGGCTGGATTTGCTATTCATCGAATGAGTATGGAAGTTTTTTGAAATAGATGAGAAAGATCAGGAGCTGGGGAGCCATGCTCTCGAGACAAACGCGCATGCAAGCTGCCGTGAAGCTCCCAGACTCTGAGCTCTCAAACAAGAAACAGCGATTTGGAATCGCAATAAGCTTACCTGCCTGAAGAGTATCTGAACTTTCGAAGCATATTTTTGTCTGATCAATGGGAAGACAGAAGCATAAACTGTGTTGAACATTTTTAGACTAAAGGGACAAACATAATCAAGGTAGAGTTCTAGTGTGTGAAGGGTAGGAGCACTAGTTGCGGCAGTGAACTTCTGCCCGACGAACTTGGGTGCGAGGGCCATCTCAAATTTTCAATGATTTATCGATTATAGGAAGAGAGTCGAAAATCTAGGAGGTACAAGAGAGCGGAAAGAGGACGGGAGACCCTCGGTGGATCACACAATCGCTCATGACGTTCCCGCCAAGCTCGCTAGGCGATAGCAAGCTCTTATCAGCACGTGTACCGTTCACGTGCATTTTTCTCGTATTGACCAACCCGACCACTTCCCAAAATTGGAGCGTTCTCCAGGACGTCAGGCTCGAAAGCTCATCGGGAAGTGATTCGGAACAATTCGAAACTGGTTCAACGTGTTCTTGAATACCTGTCTGTTGGGCGTTGGAAACGGATGTAGATATCGTCCAACCTGGCTCGGCTGGTACATTGGAGACTTGTGTCTGTTGTAGCAATGGAGAATAGTACGAACCAATTGATTTGCAGAAGCTAGGGTATAGTGCTTATCATTATGTAGTATGTTAGAAGGGCCGGCTCTGAAAGGTTCCCTTTCGGATCAGTCTGAATCCTTGTATGACCAATATATATCCAGTGTACAAGGTCCCAAGTATCTCTTCGAGGACACGACTCCTGGAGGACGGAAGATTTAACGCTTTCCAACTATCTCTATGAGAATAAAAACTCCTTTAGTACGGGAGACCCAGAGAATTCCGGGTTAAGTAGGATGCAACTATGTCAATCAGCCATGCACCGACTGGCCAGATAATATACCCACTTAAGGAAGTATTGTAATTTCGCCCTTCTATTCTCGAGAAATTTGGGTCGGAATTTCGAGATAACGCTCTTGGGAGGTAGAGGTGGCATAGCCGCTGCGGAGAAGGGAAAGGTTTGCAGGAGTTTGTTTCGCAGATCGTCGAATTCGGAGTACCGCTTTCGAATGCGCATGGTGCCACCCTATGACTATCAGGCGTATTCTCTATATTCTAAATCGAGAACTTACATGCAGAGTCTCCACGGTGATGTTCCAAACGACGAATGCGCCAATCCCGGTTCTGCTGCCGTTGATAACGACATGGTCCTCAATATATACACTCTTTGCCCAACACGCTTTGTTCTTCGCATCTGCCCCATCTGTATTGTCTTGTAATGTTATGGCGCCATTCGGTATCGAATCGATAGATATGGCCGAGGCTGATCTTTGGTGCGACTGCACCCAATAGGGCGGTGAAGTGATGGGGGATGTCACAGGAGATTCGCCGCCCGGTTCCTCATATCCTCGTGGTGATGTATTCGTATTGAGTGGATACTTGGCTCCGACAAGCTCATTCTTCGGGCTGTCATTGCTGGAACGTGGATGTAGGACCGACTCCATCCATTTGCGAGTGGCTGCGCAAGAAGGCGCAGAGATGATCGAGAGCTCTAGAGTTCGAGTGAGGTTTGATGTTGATGATAAGAGATGCCGATGCCGACGCCGACAGCCGCCGGTCCAAGCGCTAAGAATTCTCGAACCAGAGCAATGGGATGGTTTCCTCCAAACACTCAGCGGCGAAGATTGAGCTGTGGCTGAAAAGATCAGCTGATTGGAAACACTCACAGTGAATCAATTGATGTCTTTCATAATGAAACATATGTGATTTGGAAATGTTAAAAATGTTAAAAAGCATGGGCCAATTCCGGTGGATCATTACCCCAGTCGGTTGCAGCGGGCTGGTTATGATTTTGAAGGTCCTTGTCCCTGCAAGCCACCTAGGGGACCGAGTGCCAATGAGTCTCACCAATTTCGGCTGCCGATTCATTTTCGATATTCGATCCCATTCTTTTGGTCTCCTTTTCTGATTTGCGGGAATGGTGCTTCCAGAATGGTCAGTGTTCCCCAGGAGAGGGCAAGACGTCTGAAAACACAAATGGAGGCGGGACGATATTCATGCACCAAGTTTTGCCAATACGAGGGGATGTGCATCGGGAGTTCTAATCCTGGACCTTCACGACGGACCGTGGTGTTGAAGTGAGACCCTCTCCACGCTTTGAGTTAGTCTGCCAAGGGTGGGTTTGCTCCGGTTGGCTGGGAATTGGAGCACTAACGATCTCTAGTTAGTCTGGTGGCAGACATGGCTTGCTAGCGCAAGCCGACTTCTGGACCCCGGCCTTTTCTGTTGATTTCGAGGTGGTCGGCGGTCTTGGGGTTGGGGATTCTTAACCTCCCTTCCTCGACTTCAATTCTTCTCTGCTTTCTACGGTATTCTTGCTGACCTTGGACCCTCGCTTTACCTCTGTACTGATATGATTTTTTAATATCGACGCTCGTTGTTGAGAACATCGCTCGCTCGTTCCCGGCCACATCGTATTCGCTGCAGGTAAGAGACCACGAGCAACCCTCCCTTCACTACATTCCTCCCCGCCTTGCCCTCAGTCAGATTCATGTGCAAAAAGATGTCAAAAGTATCATTCATAAGACTGACAATGGCGGACAGATATTCTTCGAAATCCCTCGCAATTGACCTCGCTAATCAATTTCTAAACCGATCACAAAATGCCTTCCCTCAAACTATCGGCAGCCGTGTTGGCCACAGCACTCTTCTCCATGAGCGTTTCACAAGTCACATACTGGATCGACCCAACTAGCGTGCCATTATCTACAAGACGTATGTTGCTCTGGTATCAAGAAGGGAACTCTGGCTAAGACATCTCAGAACAATGGTGTACATCTCAGCAGACATCTTGCCCTTTGCTCTGCTTGCAACTCCCGGGCTCCTCTTCTACAACAGCTACTAATGACTGCAATCCTGTGAGTAACCTTATGCCTACCTCGATGCGTTCCCGTTCTAACACCCGGATAGAATGACCTTACATATGACTGCATTTGTGGGAATGGCCAAAGTCCGAATGCTTCAGAATACTCGCAAACTCTTCCGTACTTCATATGTCAGACCTATGGGGACCAATGCGTGGCAGCATGCAATGGGGTCACAACATGCCAGAGTGCTTGCAGAGACCAGCACCCCTGCGGTGCCCAGAACCCGACCAGGGTCAATTCCACGTCGTCTTCCACCATGGCATCAACAACACTTCCTGCTGGTGCTACAACCGGAGCGGGTGGCGTTGTCTACACTGGGCTCGGTGGGGGCGCTGCAGCCACGGCAACCACAGGTGCGAGCTCCAACAAGAAGAGCGGCGCCCAAGCTGCCCTGGATCTTGGACGCAACTATGGTCTTGCTGTCATATTCGGCGGTATCTTCGCTGGATTTGCCCTGGTCATGTAAGACGAAATCTTGATCGTCTTATTGGGGTATTTGGACGCATGGGTTACACGCCTCCCCCATGATGTTTGGCGTAGCGATCGGTTTGAAAACGTCCTGTCCCTTAGCATTTGAGCGGTTCTTGCACATAGCGATTGGAGATGAGAGGATTGGTCCTCTTTCTACTTAATGCAATACTCTAATGAGTGAAGAAAAGGTTGTCCCCGCCGGTGGCACAAATACCAGGCACAAAAGCATCAAATAAAGCAGTTTTCAAACATGACCGGTAACCCTTGAGTGCAACATGTGTCAACCGAGTTGTGAACTTATGACCACTCAGCTTCATGGCGCACGGGCCGAGCTTCCTCGTGCACTGGCACCTTGGTACCTTTGGAACTGAATTTTGATTTGACAAATTTTAGAACTTTTAGTCAAATCTTGGACAACTGGGAAAATACCGATCCATAGGCAAGTCTTTTCGTCTGATGGTTAAAATATAGGGGTTGCAGATTGCGCCCTGGATTCAAGGAAGGGATGCAGTTGTCCAGGATACTTTCACGTGCGAGAACCATGACGAATCCACAGGGCACAATCGACAATTGACAGGGGCAGAATTAATTCACACGCCGCCGCGGCTACCACAACTTCTCTCCTTTTGTGGAACACAATGGCTCCGTGACCTTTAAGAAAGCTGCTTCCCACGAAATTCCTATTTAACCCTTCTCGCCAAGGTTGGGAGCGCAATCCCGACTGTCCCACGCCACCATTCGTCCTCTAAATTTGCTTGCGGTGAACACGGAGCCGCAGGGTGCTTTACTTCCTCCTCCTGTTACCACACCGAATACTCCAATGACGCCAAGCAAAAGTACATATCTACCTTGAATCAAGAGGATTTCTGCTAATGCTGTTCTCTGCTAGAGCAAGCCGCGCACGAGTGCGTGTCCGAGGAGGCCCTGGTTCATCTGAAGTCTTATAAATATTCGAGCGTCGACAAGTCCCTGATATCGAATTACATCCTGAAACACTACGTAGGCTCTCACACTTCTTAGATGGAACCATGAACTTTGCTGAAAGACATAGTGGAATGGCTTCGTACAGCTTCTGCCGTTATGGCTGGCTCCGAATATGGTCACATTGCTGGGATTCTTTTTCATCCTGTCGAATGTGATATGTCTAGTGATCTGGATGCCGGATCTAGTAGGACCAGTAAGTTTTGCTTCCCCACAGGTGGTGACGACTGGATGCTAATTTTCCGGCCTGTTAGGGACCATCTTGGCTTTACTACAGCTTCGCATTTGGCCTGTGGATGTATTCGACTATGGATAACGTGGATGGCAAACAGGCGCGAAGGACAGGAACATCCAGCGGTCTAGGAGAACTTTTCGACCACGGTATCGACTCTCTGAATTGCACTTTGGCAAGCTTGTGCGAGACTGCAGCGATGGGTTTGGGCACGTCAAGAGCGGGGATATTCACGGCCTTGATTCCCTGCCTGCCTATGTTCTTCTCGACGTGGGAGACGTACCATACACATACCCTTTATCTGGGAGTCTTCAATGGGCCTACCGAAGGCCTCATTCTTGCCTGCACCCTAATGATCCTCTCAGGATACTACGGACCCCAAATATGGACCCAGAAGATTACAGATCTCGTCGGACATCACTATTTCTTCGGATACCACGAATTCTTTGGCACATACTCTGTACGAGATCTCTGGGTGCCTATCCTCCTTGTCTCATTCTTTGTAGCACATCTGCCTTTCTGTGTGCTCAATGTAGTCAAGGCTCGAAAACGAGACAACCTCCCGGTCTTGCCAGTCTTCCTGGAATGGACGCCAATGACTGTTTATACCTTGGCCATTGGAAGCTGGCTTTACTCGCCTTACTCGACCTTGATGGCTGATAACCACCTGGTTCTCTTCTGTCTGACAATGTCCTTTGTCTTCGGGAGAATGACAACGAAAATCATTCTTGCCCATCTGACTAGACAGCCATTCCCATACTGGACCGTCATGCTGACACCTCTTGTTGGGGGCGCGATTTTGGGCAATTTACCTCGTATTGGCCTCCCTCAGATCAGCGCTGCTGCTGAGTTATGGTACCTCCGAGGCTATCTTGTTTTTGCATTGATCGTCTACTTCCGCTGGGCATTCCTAGTCATCAACAGTATTTGCTCCTACTTGGGCATCAACTGCTTGACGATCCCACACAGCAAGCAAGTCGTGAACCAGGAGAAAGCCAAAACTGCTAATGGCGGCGTCAAGACTGCTAATGGTTATGGAAACGAAAAGAGGGCGGATTGAGGGGGTAGTGCTTGGTTTTGCATTTGGAGTCAGAGCCCCGACGGGCTCCGACGGGCTCGTGGAGTGAGCGTTACGAGGTGTTTCACTTGGCTTGGAGATAATTTATCCACATTTCGAAAGAAGCCAGGAACTGGTTATCATAATGGGCGCTTCAAGAGACTCTCGCCCTCCTTCGCTTGGAGGAAGCTTTTAGAGGAGAGGGGAGGAAAAACATTTTCAGCATGGGATTGGCGTTGTCGAGAGCAAGTTGGCGGCATTTTGAGCGCGGTTTTGTGATCTTTTGTACACATGGTAGACCTTTTGAATTTACCTCTAGTGCATGATATTATCATCTGACTGCCTCATCACAAGAACGTTCAAAGGACACGATATTCTATTTAAACTTGGGACATTCTCCTCTTGAGTGGGACCATAGCATCAAATAAAATACTCACTTCATGGCTATGAAAATCCACGAGTAGTTAGCATGTACCTTCAAACAGATTTAAAAATAAACTCATCCTCAACGCACCGCCTTTGTCACCCCCAGTGGCTCTTTCGCCAAGTGCCTTTCGTGGCCAGGCGGGGTTTACGCCACAGTTCACACGCGGGTCTCTCGGCTTGTCCCAAACAACGCCATTCTGCCGCGTAACAAGGAGATGCTCCAGCGCTTCAAAAAGCTTGATTATTTGGGCGCATCCCCTCTGGTTGGCGTTTCAGGGCCGCGGCCCCTGAACCTAACATCTTGAAAATGTAAGCGCGCTGGCAAGCACAGCCGGTTGCCGTTGCGCTTGCACAAGGACTTGCGCGTCCAGAGAGCGAAATATCAGACTTGCCTCTTCTACCGACGCCGAAATCTTCAGACAGAAGCTCTCTTGAACACTATTCACATATTTCTCTTTCTCAGATTCACTTTTGGAACCGCAGCAGATAGGAGACACAAGCCATTCACGAACCTGCACTAGCGCTAAACGTCGAGTGTCAACAAGAGGCACTCTGGATCGGCAATCTCGTACTTTAGCAGCTCACATTAAACGCGCTCATACGCCAAGATTTCAAACACCTGCGTTGCGGCCGCAGTGTGTGTGATTCTTGGCAACATCCTTCAATTATGACGCGGCCGTTATCAACAGCTGCCGCAACATTAAGTCCAACCTCAAATCCCAATTCCGATCCCAGCTCGAACGCCGACCTAAACACCTCGCGAAATTTGAACAAGGAGCACACTAAGTGCGACTCCAAAGTGTCAATCACTACAAAGTCGTCGGTGAAGAGCCATAGAGAATATTTGGATAGCCTGCAAACTCCAACGCACGATATGGTTGAGAGGATAAGTTCGATTCAAGAGAAAAAGGAGGCTGAAACTATCAAGAAGAGACTGAGTGCAGATCATGGGGAATTGAGCAGCGAGGAAAGGGAGAAGGCGGCGGAATTGATACAGAGGAATTACAGAGGGCATCGGGAGCGGCGGATACTGGCGGGCATGAGTTTAGATCCAAGCACGAGATGGGTGGAGGCAATCAAGGAGGCCCGTTACCGAAACTTGACCCAGCCTAGGGCCCGAGAGAACACAGATGGACCAAGGTCGAGTGTTGACAGCATTGGGCCGAATGGGGGGTTGGATGGGGCGGCATCGGATCTTGCAAGAAGGAACTGGAAGAAGGCTGGACTTATCGCGAAAAGAGCTGGAGGTGATGAGGATTCGGACGATGATGAGAGCGACGGTGACAATCACTTGACCGCCGAAGAAAAGGAGAAGCTGCGGAGACGTCGATATGAGCAAAAGAGCGAGCGGCAAAAGGCCGCTAAAATGATGGATCTACAGTACTGGTTGGAGATGGTCGACTTAAAGCACCGATACGGCAGCAATCTACGAACATACCATGGAGAGTGGAAGAAATCAGACACCAAAGAGAACTTCTTTTATTGGCTGGACTATGGGGAGGGCCGCTTCATTGATTGTGCAGGTTGCCCTAGGGAGAAGCTTGATCGAGAGCAAGTTAGATATCTCTCAAAAGAGGAAAGGCTGGATTACCTGGTGAAAATCGACAAAGAGGGCCGGCTATGCTGGGCGAAGAATGGAGTCCGCATCGATACGACAGAAGAATACAAAGACTCGATACACGGCATCGTTCCCGAAACGGACACCACCCCAGCGTTCAGAGCTCCTGACGCAGAGGCAACAACCGGGAATCAAGACCGCACTACCACCAGCGAGTCTGAACGCGAATCTGCAGAGCACAACTCGGATGATGTTGATGCGCGTGCAGAAACTTACGCTACCCCTGAATTAGATCAAGCGAAGGGAATCAAGAAAGTGAAGCACGTTTCTGCTGCTACTATCTTCAACAAATTGCTCCGGGGCACTGTCAAAAAGAACACTTGGATCTTCTGTGCCGATACCGCCTTTAGGTTGTATGTTGGAATAAAACAGTCTGGCTCTTTCCAGCACTCGTCGTTCTTGCACGGTTCCAGAATATCAGCTGCTGGTCTCATAAAAATCAAGAACGGCAGAATCTCAAAGCTTTCGCCTCTTTCTGGTCACTACAGACCTCCAGGTACGCATATCCCTCGAATGACATTTGCTTTCTTTGCTGACAAAGGCAACAGTATCGAATTTCAGGGCTTTCGTACATTCTTTAAAAGATGCGGGGGCTGACATGAGCCATGTATCAATTTCTCGCTCATACGCCGTTCTCGTTGGTCTAGAAGCATACGTCAAAACTCGGCGAAAAGGGAAGAAGCTCGTCCAGAAACTCATCCATCATAGAGACAAGATCCTGTCTCCAGAGGAAGCTGCCAAGCGTGAGGAAGAAGAAAGGGACAAGAGCCAGAGTGCAGAGAAAGAACGAAGATTCCTTGAAATGCAAGCAAAGGCGGACGAGGAAGGAGAATTGAACAGAGCCAATGTTAAATTGCTGGAGAAGCTCCGGATCAAGACCCCCAGCCCGCGGCATGAAGGAGAGAACGAGGAAAGGGTGGCTCAGGGAGAAACAAGGGAGCAGGAGAAAAATCCTGATATTCAGGCTCCTGGAACGGGCCCCGAGAATGCTATTGCACCAGAAGGCACTCGCGATGTTTGATGATTCATGATTTATGAGAGTTGATAAATACCCACTGTAGCTATTTCGGCATATAAACGGCGTTGCATCAGTAAATTTTGATTTTCTAAATATTCAAGAAGTAAACTATTCGATCACATTTTAACACTGTCAATTATCTGGACGAAAATAGTGGTGCCGAAGTTGAATATGGATTTCTGGGGACAGTTAAAAATACAGTGGAGATCGAGAGCCTATTGGCGATGGCTGTAGGCTGAGTCAGTCACCGTTCTGCGAATTTCACGAGTCAGTAAGCTTCACTCTGAATAAAGCTACTTAATGATTGACAAGTGAACTCTGGCAGAATTCACAAATATTTAGCTGTCAATTGAAGAGGTAAAATGGAACAAAGACATTATAATTTCATGCCGTAAATTATTATGGAGAGTCCCAGCTTCATTGCTACCCGTGCCTTTTAAGGTGACGACCCTGCTGTCGCTAACGCGAAGAGAGCCTGCAACAAGCTACTTTCATCATCGAAAAGAGACTGTAAAATTATCGATTTGACCTCGCAGATCATGACCTACGATCCAATTAAGGTCAATGGCGTCTCCTCTCACCCGGTCTTCTCGAAGAAGTGAAGGCCTCACGACGAGATCCAGCACCAGAAACAACGTCGCGATCAACCCAGGCAGCCACAACAAACCGCATCAACCCAATATCGGTCGCAAGAAGCGTCCCAGAGACCCCGCAGACCACGGGGACGACTCCATCATGGCGAAGAAGGCGAGGATCTCAATAGAGATCACTTCACGGCCAAAGGCACAGCCAAAAACCAGATCTCTTGTCATCAACGCGAAGGCGGAGACCGCTCCCCAGCGTTCCGCATCACCACCAAAACACGCAAAGCCGACAGCAACACAGACAGAACCTCCACCACCGCCCCCGCCGAAGCCTACAAATCACCACCAGAAGGTCGTCAATGGCATTAAACACGAGCTTGACAGGTTACAACCTAATTCTGCAGATCTCAAGGCTGAGAAACGCAAACTACGGTCACAAGAGGGGACGAGGTTCAAGAGCGAACTGTCGGCATACTTCCCGGAGTATGACGAGGTGATTGGGAACGAGCCTAAGGAAGATCGTGAGCCCCCTTCCAAATTTATATATCGCTTTGACTTTATGGCTGATTTTTAAAGATATTTTGAATCTCGATACGCCCATAATCATCATCGACAGCGCCAAGACAACCAATAAACAGCCAGCCTTACCACGAAAGTCGAACGGCCATAAGCACGAATATCCCCTCAAAGAATTCCCCGATTACCTTTTTGACGATCTTCACGATGCGCAGCGAGTAGATTTCTCGTTCTTAGATAAGCATTACAAGGAGGAAGGGGGAGAGGATCCATTGACCGATGCATATTTCGAGTCGATCCACCGAAAGCCCGAACGGCAGGAAAAGGCCATTCGGAATTCGGATAAAGGTCGCGCCCAGCATGAAAGGGATCAAGTTATAAGGTTGCTGGAAGGCCTGCAAGGCCATGACTGGCTGAAGTTGATGGGTGTTAGTGGCATAACGGAGTCCAAGAAGAAGGACTATGAACCTGCGCGTGAGCACTTTGTCAAAGGGTGTGAAGCCATTTTAGAAAAGTTCCGTCTGTGGAGGGAAGAAGAAAAACGTAGGAAGTTGGAGAAGGAGGCCGCAGCTGCAGAGGCAGCTGAGGAGGAGGAGGCAGAAGAGGGAGATGAAGGAGAGGAACAAGAAGGATATATCAGCGATGGCGATCCGCCGGACTATAGCGATGTCGATGCCTCGGCTGCTCGACAGCTGCACGAAGAGGCAATAGCTCGATCAGCTCCACTTACAAAGCATTCTGAGAAGAAGGCGAAGGTGGAACCTATACCACCAGCGATCCCCGAGGTTGAAAAGGAATTCACGTCCTTTTTCGCCAAACCATATCTTCGAGCGGCGGCACTCGGAAAGCATCGACGCAGCGGAAGAAGTGTAGCGGCATGGGGGCATCCTGTTCCAGATGTAACGGACGTTGATTTCGATTTGCCAGAGGAGTATCGGGATGAGGATACATTGAAAGCGCATGCTAGGAGGAAAAGGAGAGATAGGAGGGTCAGTAAAAGCTGAGAAGATCGAATGTGGAATGAAAATATGGGCGGAAAAACTATACAGGGCCGAATTGAAAGTGCTTCATTTGGCATCGTCTGGTCTGCTGGTGCATCATTGGGAGGGGATCGGAAGCAGGACTTGCTGGAGGCGTTGGGGATGCGTGTGAGAGTATTCAGGATTGTATCATAGGGCTTCCATGGAAGCAGAATAGCGGCGGCTGAATTCAAATTCAAAGAATCGTGACTTTAACAAAATTCTCCTCTGTGAAATGTGTGCTCTTGAATTGTGAATGTCATTTTGAGGCGGCGAGACATTTCTTAATCATGTGACCCGAAGCACCGAATGCCAAGCCATTTCTGTCGCGAGGCTCAACTTTGACTTCAACATCAACGCGGCATTTGATCAGCTCAACCGCAGAACATATGAGAAGCCTCGAGTGTCTTAATACTTTTGCAGGAATATAAGGAGTAACAGTCGTAGTTAGTGCATGTTGCAGGGCGAGCCAGAATCGACGCCGAGGTGGTAGCTCCCAGACTCCGTCATTCACATTTCGAAATTAAACCTGGAGTCCACCTCAAACCTTTGACAACATCCTTTGCCGCACAAACCAACTCGCCGCATCTGCAAAGAACAAACCGATACGTACCATCAACTGTGCAAATCTGCGAGCTTTATTCACCGCAGGCCGCTTCTGGATACCAAGAAACACTGCCCGCCTTTGAAGCTACGAACCGTGACTCTTTCGACGACAACCCTCGTCCGTCGCAGCGACCACACTACCCTGCTCCCCCACGACTACTGAGCATATATCATCGAGAAGGACCAAGAGAGCGGGAAGCTCTGGCGGACGGATGAGAGGCTCATAGGAGGTGCATCGTCGCGCCAGGCAGCTGGACCTCGAGCTCTGACCAGCAGTTCAATACACCAGAGGAAGATATGCCTGGAGTGCTACTCGAGATGGATGCTCCGGATGTGCCTCCTCCAAAGGCGCCAGACCATGGTTTTGTCGTATCGCATCAGACGGTCCACCTGGACATCGATTTCTCCACCCAAAGCTTGACTGGGTGTTGTGAGCTCATTATCCTGCCTCAGACCAAGGACCTGCGCACGATCAAGATCGATGCCAGACAATGCGCCATTCAGGCCGGCACCGTCAAAGTGAACGAGAAGGCTGCAGATTTTGCTTATGAGGATCCTATGAAGCTTTTGGAGATTCCGAAACAGTTTGACTGGAGCTCTGGACATTTTGACTTGCAGAAAGACAGGCTGAAGCCGTTGACGGGGGACGCTGCTGGAGGATCGCTAGTTGTCACCATCCCGAAAGGTATCAAAGTAGAAGAAGTGGATGGGCTCTCCGAGAACTCTGCACTTGCTCCTACACCACGGGGCTCGGTAGCTCCTTTACGGTCAGCATCTATCGTACTTGATGGAGTTGTACCCCTCTCAGCCACGTCAAATCTCGCCCCGAAGACGGCTACAGATCAATCTCCGAGATATCAGCCTATGACTGTTAGCATACCATTCTCCATAAAACACTTCAGAGATGGACTGCATTTTGTGGGCTGCAGCGAGGCTGATCAACGATATCCCCATGTCTATACAAAGCACTCGATGGACCCAGGAGTTGCTTCTTGCATTTTCCCCTGCGTTGATGACCCGGCCTTGAGATGCACGTGGGATATTCATATCACATGTTCAAGGACTCTGGGAGGTGCTCTCAAGCGCCGTCCAGCTGTTAGACCTCACCACAAAGGGCTTCACCACCTTCTTGCTAAGAAAGGACTTACCAATGGTATTGTCCACCCTGTCGTACCTACAGAGGACCATGAAGTCCCACTTAGTGATGAGGAGAAACTCTTAGAAATGACCGTCGTGTGTTCTGGGGATTTGGAGTCCGAGACAACCGATCTGGAGGATGGCTCCAAGAAGACTGTATCATTCACTTGTCAGAGGAGTGTGGGTCCGCAACACATTGGATTTGCCATCGGTCCTTTTGAGCAGGTTGATTTATCAGAGTTTCGCGAGGATGAGGATGATGAGAAGCTTGGACAAGGACAGACTCTGCCCGTCTTGGGTTACTGTCTACCTGGACGCGCTGACGAGGTTCGACACACCTGCACACCTATGGCTCATGCTCTCGACCATTTCCTCCTTGCTTACGGTGTCTACCCGTTCAACGAATGCCGGTTTGTCTTTGTGGATGATCAGCTCAGAGACGTTGAACATACAGCATCTCTCTCAATTTGCAGCACCCGACTCTTATTTAGCGAGAAGATGATAGATCCAGAATATGAGAACACCAGAATCCTTGTCCACGCGATTGCCAGCCAGTGGATCGGAGTTTCAATTATTCCAGCTGAGAAGAGTGATAGATGGATCACCATCGGTCTCTCCCACTTTATCACTGGACTCTTTATGAAATCTCTTTGTGGGAACAACGAGTATTCATTCCGTCAGAAGACCCTCTCAGACCGCCTTGTGGAGTTGGATATTGAAAGACCATCACTTCATGCTCTTGGCGAAACTCTGCACCTGGGACAGTTTGAGCTGGACTTCATGACTCTGAAAGCTCCGCTTGTTCTCTTTATTCTAGATAAACGCATCATCAAAGCATCAGGCACCTCCGGTCTTGCGCGTGTCATATCAAGAATGGTTATGTCGGCAAACACCGGCACTGTGGCTGAAAGTGTGGTCTCAACTGAAGGCTTTCGGAAATCCTGTGAAAAAGCAACAAAGTACAGACAAACCGAACCTTTCTGGAACCAATGGGTCTTAGGAGCCGGCTGTCCAAGACTCTCTATAACCCAGAAGTTCAATAAGAAGCGCTTATGCGTCGAGCTAGCGATTAGGCAGACGCAGGATACACTTCCCTCTCAACGTAAGTTAAAGAAGGAGTCTTTTATGCGAGAGTTCAAGGAAGATGTGCACGGAATATATGCTGGGGAGTTACAGAATGCGTTTACGGGTCCAATGACAATCCGAATCCACGAAGCAGATGGTACACCTTATGAGCATGTTGTGGAGATTCGGGAAGGCTACGCCAAGTTCGACATTCCCTACAATACCAAATACAAGCGATTGAAGCGAAACCGCCGCCAAAAGGAGAGGATGAACGCTGGCGCAGTGGATCTGAACGCAGAAGGGGGTGAGGATGCTCTCTACTATTGTCTAGGAGATGTTCTTCAGTCTCCTGCCGAAATTCAGGATTGGTCATTGAATGAGTGGGACCAAGACACTGAGGCAAAGATGGACCAAGAGTCTTACGAATGGATCCGAGTTGATGCAGACTTCGAATGGATTTGCGAAAAGACCTTCCTCTCGATGCCGTCCTACATGTACGTGTCCCAACTGCAGCAAGACCGAGATGTCGTTGCTCAACAAGAGTCAATGCTCTTCTTGAAGAACCAGGCGCCATCTCACCCACTCGTATCCACATTTCTGATTCGTACATTGATGGATACCCGGTACTTTCACGGCATCCGTGTCATGGCTGCAGAGCAAATGCACCGACACGCAACTGAGGTTTGCAGCTGGGTGGGATTCAAACAGCTCAAAAAGGCTTATCAAGAATTTTTTTGCTATCCTGACACGACGAAGATGCCTCGACCGAACGATTTCAGAGACAAGCGAGCTTACAAGATCGAAATGGCTATTCCAAGAGGCCTGTCTCGGATTCGAGACGAGAAAGGGCACTGCACAAAGACTGCCAGACACTTCCTTCTTGATATGCTACGCTTTAACGACAACTCTAACAACGAGTATGTCGACTACTTCAAGATTGCAAATCTCTTGACCTGTCTCACCGACTCGTTGATCCCGTCAGAGGATGCAAAGGACGTGAATGACGAGGAATTGGACGACCGCGAACCCAGAGAGTTTCAGGAAAAGGTTTTCAGCGAGCTCGATCGATATCGGAACATGGATGAGTGGGCAAATTCTTATCAGAATATCCTGACTGTTACTGCCTTGGATTGCAAATTTCGACTGATGAAAGCTAAGATAATGCCAGTTGACCCTCTCCAGTTTGCTCGATACTTGCACGACGGGACATCGGACTTTGTTCGTATCAAGGCATTTGATTGCTTGATCCAACTCGGATACATGACAAACAAGTCGGTGGCAGCATTGCTTCTGAATCACTTGAGCACAGATCCCTCCCCTTACACTAGAGAACATCTATGGGGGACTCTCTGTTTTGGTCTGGCGACTATTGCATTTGGGGAGGATAAGCCTGCTGATCCTGTCCCGCCGAAACCTATTCACGGCAACTCAAATGGTGACGTTGTTATGGGTGGAGGCGATCTTTACGGAGCTGATGATATGGCTGTCGATGGAGAGGTTGGTGGCTTGATTGTGGAGCAGGACGTGAATCTAGATGCACGAAAAGCCCAAATCGCACGGACTACAACTATTGAAGGAGCTTTAGCGGCACTGAAGCAGGAGCTTAAGGACAACTCTAGCTTGAAGGACGCCTTGTGGAAGTCCATCGAGTCACCAGTCATCGAGGTGCACGAGCAAACAGATCTGCTGGATATTTGCTATGTTCTTTGCGATGTCGAGGATACTTGGGTCATTAAATTACAGTATCCCCTCTACTGGGAGGTCCATCACCTGGGCAAGGTATATCTTATCTGTTGATCCTTTCTTTTCCCAAATACTAACATTCGCAGGGCATTCTGTCTTTCAAGAAGTCACCACTCAAGCTTAGGATGAGGCTACCTAAGCCCTTGGAGGTGATATTAGACCCGAATAAGCCTTTGCCGCCCCCAACCCTCCCAAAGCCAGTAGCTCAACCAGTCCGGATATCCCTCAATGGCGCAGGAATTGGAGCAGGAGCAATGAGACCTCCCAAGCGACCACTTCCGCAGGAGCCAACCCCACACCCTGAAGAACGTCCCACCAAGATGGTCAGACTAAGAATTTCATCGCAGAAGGTTGAAGAGATTCTCAGCTTTCCCCCTAATCCAGCTCCAGTTGTCAAGCGGTCCAAGTCATCCTCAACAAAAAGCTCCTCCCCCGTGCCGCGACCATCCCCCGCACCGAGTGCGTCTTCAACTATATCAGCCAGTTCAGCGCCTACAGCCCTCTCTACTTCCCCAGCACCACCACTACCTATACCTCCAGGATCGGCTGCTGTGGGTATTACACAAGTAGTTAAGATCCGCAAACCGTTGCCCGACTCGATTCCGAGAGAACGAAAGCCTCTTCCAGACTCAGTTCCTAGAGAGAGAAAGCCACTCCCAGACGCAGTGCCTCGTCCACCTGTCGTCGAGGTGGTATCTCCCGCACCGAAACCAAAACTCATGATAAAGTTCAAGACCAAACCAGCGGTGGCCTCTCCAGTTCAACCTCAACCCCAGCAGTAATCTCCTGTTTCCATTCCCGGTGGTATTTGATTGCATTGGCATTTAGCGAAAAAGGAGTAATCGGAAGTCGCCAGGGTGGCGACAAGGTCATTTGCCAGTGGGTATTGTAATCGTACATAGGAATGTGGCGATGAATCCTTGGATTTCGAGGGAGGGGGACATAGACATGCGGCACCTTTGCCCGCAGTGGATTCTACGGACTCGTGGCGCATGTAGCGTGAAGAATCGAGCGAGATCTTCAGCGTAATTCAGGTCTGCGCTTGATGATGTTGTGCTCCGTTTGTGACCCGTCCCTCTCATGACCGTATCCGCCCTCCCTTGCTACCATTCAAAAAATAAAAAAAAGAGTCCCTTACCAAGCCCCCACTCAAGCCCTCGAACTGCCCCCACCGCCTCCCATCAAACCCAACCTCTCATCCCTCGTCTTCACGTGCTGTGCCCTCGCTCTGTCGCCAGGAAGAGGTCTCAATTCATCATTCGGATCCCTGATATTCTGGTTTTTCTTCTGTGGTGTGCCTTGTGCTTGCATCTGCGCCTGGAGGGCAGCTTGCTCGCGCAGGTGATTCTCTCGGGCGCGTGAGTCTTCGTAGATGGCGACGTCTTCCGTCGTTAAGGTGATTGAGGTTGGCTTGCGGCGGAGCATGATGATTGCTGTTGGGGATGAAGCGCGGCGGGAGTATGGAGAAATGGTGGGCTGAGGTTTTTTTAAGGATGAATCTGGGGGATGGAGATCGAATTCGAGTCCTGCAAATCGATGTCGGACTCGTCTGTAAGATGAAGAAATGGACAGGATTGCAGACGCGTGAATTCGAGGTTGACACGAGGCTGTGAGGCAGAAAACAAGGCCACAACAGCTTTCGGTCAGCCGGTTGGGATTTTTTGACATCGAACTATTTGAGCAGCACTGCCTTCTTCATATCTACAACACAACATGTTTAAATGGCATGTTCATTCGGCAATTGGCCGTGGTAGGCCTGTGGCACATGACTTTTCTAGAGTCGCGGATGGAATTGCAGCTTCATTGAGGCAATTTTCCATTTCGGTATCAAAGCGAGCGGAAGAAGATGGTATGCGACTTCCCCTGAATGCTCTTAAGAACCCATGAATACCATGCTATTATATAATGAATACTAATACGCCTACAGATGGCCCTCAAATATCACGGTCCCAAAGATCAGCAGAGGCCGTCAAAGAGGTGTCTGATATCGCATCCGATCTGGCCTCAACACCAACCCGTGGTGTCGATGCTCGTTCCCTAGCTGCAAAACCACCGCAAGGACTCAAAATCACGAGAGTTTTTGAAGACTCCAAGCCGAGAGGAGAAGGAGTAGGCTATCGTGGCCGAGGCCGTGGTGATTTTCGTGGGGGGGCGCGTGGTGGATTCCGTGGAGGTACTCGTGGAGGGATGCGTGGCCGAGGCGGTCCAGGGGGACGGGGAGCAGGACGTGGTCGTGGTCGTGGTCGAGGGCGAGGCGGAAAGAAAGCGAAAGCTCAGAATAAGGAAGACTTGGAGGATTTCGTATTGCCACCTATGACACTAGCAGAGCTTGCACATCAAGCTGGAAGTGAACAAGGGTTTTTAAGGCCTTATGAACCCACTCTCACGGCAGAGTCCTTGGGCAGGCACGGCCCACCTGTCATTTCGAGTCCGAGGGGGGTCGTGGAGTCGATCGTGTACAAGATGCAAGTTGCTACGAGCTTCCCGGGGGCTCAGTTCGACCATGGCAGATACCATCTTCAGAGAGTCGAGCATGGACCCGGTACTTTGTTTGAAAACGATGAACAGAGGGCGATCATCGAAGCGTACAGTCAACAGATAGGAATGGAGCAGGCGCAGGATATGGGTGTACCTTACGAGCCAGAACTGAACGAATTTGGAAAACTCTCCGAGAAGGGCCAAGCCAGAGCGATGAAGGAGTGGGTTGCAGGGCAGTATGTTTTCCCAAAGCCGGCAGAAGAGGGAGATGTATTGGGTCAGGTGGCAGGGTATGCAAGAAGGAACGAGACGTATCTCCCTGATGATACAAGGAAGTTTCAAGAGAAGCTCAGATCACTCTTGCCAGCAAGGAAGCCAACAGCCAAGCCCAGGGCGGGGCCTGGTAGGCCTTCTCTATGATTGTATAGATGTATGATACAGGGAGATGATATAATGTACAGATCTTGTAGAATACAATATCACGCTTGCTCCATAGTTTTTCGTGCAGCATCCACAGACTTTTTGACATCAGCCACTCCTTTCTCCACAACCTTCTCCATCTCTTTATGTGCTTTCTTCAAATCATCCGGTCGTACCGCCTTCTTCAGCTCCATGGCTCTTAACCTCTTCTGCATTGCCCCTCGGGCATTTCTAATCCCAACATTGGCTGTCTCTCCAGCCTTGCTCGCAGCTGCCAATGCCAGATCCCTAGACTCTTTCGTTGGTGGTGGAATTGGAACGTTCAACTGAGATCCATTCTGAGCATCGGGTTGCGGTTGAAGATTCAGATCCCTCGACCCCTGAATCGCAGAAATAATAGGTTTCACATGCTATTCTCCCATTAACAACCCTTCCTTAACTTCCATACTTTCAATCAACTCACCTCCTTCTCCCCAACCAAAATCATCAAACTCCTTCCCCCTTTCGGCAGAACTTGTGCCAAATCTCCCAACTTCTCACTGGCTTTACTATCCTTGATCAAATGCACCCTCAGGTTCTCTAACACTTCTGGGTTGAATCTGCCTCCTGTCCGAAGCTTGGAGAGATCATTCTTGAGCTTGTCGAGAGCTTTGGAGATCCCTTCTTCGAGTGTTGAAAAATCGTGCGGGTCTTCGACTTCGGTTTCTTCTTCAGCGGCTTCTTCTTCCTTTTCTCGTTCTGCGCGAGTCTTCTTTTTGAAGAGGATGGGGTTGCTTGAGAAATTTCTGTGACCACTGAGAGAGCTTGAGGCAGGTTTTGGGAGGTACGAGGTGGATAATGAGGCGGCTCGAATGCTACGAAAGTGTCAGCAACGCCAATTGAATTTATATTTGGATCCTTACGCCCGTGAGAATTCTATTTGAGCTGACGCCCTCGGAAGTAGCTGTTTCAGCGTATTTGTGCGCACTAAGAGTCGTGTATGCATGGTTTGTTGTGTTTGTAGCTTGCATCAGGAGCTGCAAACAAAATTTCGCGATTGACAAGGCGGCCAAACCGCCTTGCATTTTACATCAGCCTTCTCCCTAAATAGCATGTGTGGCAACACCAACACAAATACCTTGAAAGAAGCCACACATCTTCTCAACCTCCCATCAATCAACACAAAATGGATTCCCATGAACAGAAGCTCTCGAAACCATTCCGTTTTCTCGACCTCGCCCCCGAATTACGGCACAAGATCTACACAATATTGACAAGCTCCCCGCAACCTCACATCGATCTCTCCTCGACTTACATGTCACCACACACACACTTTCCACATGCCCTCCTCCTAACCTGCACACAAATATACCACGAACTCCGACCCCTCTACTTCACAAATAACGCCTTCTCCTTAACCATCTTACGCCGCAACGAAACCTGGTCCCACCTCCTCACACCACCGTTCCTCGACAACCGACGCCAAATCCGCTCCTTACGCCTTCTGATTGTGCGCTGGGGAACGAAAGATTTCTTCTGTCGTTCTTTAATTCCGGCTCTTGAAGACTGTATCCTCAATGGACGGCTGAGAGAGTTGGAAGTCGTGGTCCGGGATCAGAGTGTCGGCGGCCATTATCTGGGAACCCAGAGAAATGACATCAGAAAGGAGTACGAGAGTTGGAGGAAGCTGAAAAGGGTCTTGAGGGATCCGTATTTGGAAAAGGCGACTTTGAAGGAAGGTCAATTCGCAGTGGTGAGGAACGGTTGGGATGCGGGGAGTGGTAATGATGTCAGTTATTTGCTTGAAAAATCTGGGGATGAGCAGGATGAGAATTTGATCCAGGTGATCTGAACCAACTATCATAGACAAACAATCTTTTCAACTCTTTCCTAATTATCCCAAATTTCCTATTTCTCGTCCATACCAGGAGAACGCCTGCTTTACGTTTGGAAACCCCATGACGAGGGCTCGCAGTCACTGAAGGAAACGGCAACAGATTTTGACAAATTTGATTCAATTTGATTAACAAACCGGTCTCCCTGTTCTACAAGCGCGCTTTATGCCCGTAGAAGGAAGGAAATATACCTGGATCATAAAGTAGCCAGATCATCAACTCGCAAATGACTTTTTGTGAACTCAGGCGAAAAGAGCCAGAAACCAGAGGGGCCATCCATGCCGTAAAAAATCATGCATCAACAACCTTCCCATTTGCTCCGTTTATTCAGCAGGTGTAGAGGTAATCTAGCGGGTTGACATAGCCTTGGTGACCACGCGCTTCAAGGCCAACTCCTTCTTCTTCAAGTCATCGGAAGTAGAGTCTTCCACCTCGAGTTGGGCCATGGCATCGCTAAGTGCTGACTCGATCTTATCCTTGGTTCCACGCTTAAGCTTGAGCGACATCGTTGGATCGGAAACGATTTCCTCAACTCTCGAGATGTAAGACTCAAGTTGTTGTCTGGCCTCGAACTTCTTGCTGAAAGCCTCGTCGCTATTCTTGAACTTCTCAGCGTCTAGTCATATGTTAGTACAATATCTTTGCAAAGCGATCTCTACTAACCATTGATCATGCTCTCGATCTCACTCGATGAAAGCTTTCCGACAGAGTTGGAAATGGTGATGTTGGCGCTGCGTCCGGAGGTTTTCTCAGTAGCAGTAACTTTGAGGATACCGTTTACATCAACCTCGAAAACAACCTCAAGAACGGCATCGCTAAAAAGCAAGTGAGTTAGCAATGGTTGTTCAAAATTGTAGACTTTTTGAAGAAAAAGAATTAGCTTGCCCTGCTTTCATTGGCGGGATTGGTGCAAGGGTGAACTCTCCGAGAGAGGTGTTGTCCTCACAGTTGACACGTTCACCCTAGAATGGGAGTTAGCTTTAGGTTCTTGGAAGAGGGATTTCCGGGGGAAAAAATACTTGGAAGACCGGGAACTGGACAGTTTGTTGATTGTCTGCAGAGGAACTCGAAGTTAGCATTATTTCTTTTGGGAGGTTTGTGAAGAGTTTTGGGGAAGTCTCAATGGGTTTTGAGAATGACTGACCGGCAACGGTCGTAAAGGTTCGCTTCTTGATGGTTGGGACGGTTTGACCGCGAGGAACGACTGGGGCGAAGATGTTGCCCTCCATGGCAACACCGAGGGAAAGAGGGACGACATCCAAAAGAAGAAGATCAGCGGTATCGGCTGAGGTAGCCTTTCCGGAGAGGATACCAGCTTGGACTGCAGCACCATACGCAACGGCCTCATCAGGGTTGATGCTCTTCTCAAGCTTCTTGCCATCGAAGAAATCGCTCAAAAGCTTTTGTATCCGTGGGATACGGGTGGATCCACCAACAAGGACGATCTCGTCAACCTTGCTCTTATCGAGGTTTGCATCCTTCAAAACCTGAGCAACTGGCTCCAGGGTACCATTGAACGCCTTTGAGTTGAGATCCTCAAATCGAGCACGGGTGATTTGGGCATTGAAGTCCTCTCCGTCGAAAAGAGAGTCAATCTCAACAGTTGTCTGAGCACCGTTGGACAGAGTTCTCTTGGCGCGTTCGCAAGCAGTTCGGAGACGTCTCAGAGCACGTGGGTCGTTGGACATACTGGGTAACGGGGGAGTCAGCCATTGCTCGATTAGGAATGTTTCGGGAGGGGGGTTGTCTTAGTAGAATCTCGTGAAACAGTCGAAAATAGGAAAGGGCTTGTCCCCCAACACCTACTCCTTCTTGGTCTTGCGTTGGAATTCCTTCTTGAAGTGCTCAAGCAGGTTGGTATCAAAATCCTGACCTCCCAAGTGGGTATCACCTGCAGTAGCCTTGACGGTGAAAACACCACCCTGGATGTTGAGGAGGGACACATCGAAAGTTCCACCACCGAGATCATAAATCAAGACATTTCGCTCCTTGTTGGACTTTCCGGCACCCAGACCGTAAGCAATGGCGGCAGCAGTTGGCTCGTTGATAATACGGAGGACATTAAGACCGGCGATGGCACCAGCATCCTTAGTAGCTTGACGTTGGTTGTCGTTGAAGTAGGCAGGGACGGTAATGACAGCCTTGGCAACCTTCTTACCCAGCTTGACCTCGGCAACTTCCTTCATCTGTAGGAAATGGGGTGTTAGCAGTGAAATTTTCCCTTCTGATGACGCAAAAGCCATACCTTAGTCAAAACCATGGATGAGATTTCCTGAGGTGAGAAAGTCTTGTTCTCTCCAAGGTACTCAACCTCGACCATAGGGCTTCCATCTTGGTCAATGACCTTGAAGGGCCAGCTCTCGCAATCTTTCTTGACAGTGGGATCATCGAAGCGGCGTCCGATCAACCGCCTGCAGCCTCGGATTAGTTGCCATTCCCTAGTTTGTAATTCTCCAGTGCACAAAAATTAGAGCACTACCAAGGACTTACTTGATATCGAAGATGGTGTTTCTAGGGTTCATGGCAGCCTGGTTCTTTGCAGATTCGCCGATCAAGCGCTCCTTGTCGGTGAAACTGACGAAGGAAGGAGTGGTAAAACTTCCTTGCTCGTTCGCAATGATTTCCACGTTGGTTCCTTCATAGTTGGCAACTGCTTTCGTCAGTAACCTGTATCTCACGTTGTATTCATATCTTGATGTGCGCAGCGCTTCGAGAACGTACCGCAGGAGTATGTGGTGCCTATCGACGAAAAAAAGTTAGCTAGGATCTGGCTCGACGATTCGTCGCATTTGTGCTGCGAGAATGAACGTACCAAGATCGATACCGATCGCGCCTTCGTAGACCTCTTCAGCCATAGTTGCTGTGTTTGTTTTTGATTTCGATTGAGAAATTTGAAGACTGAGGGTCTTTGGCGGGATGATGAACTTTTCGAGATTGTGGAACTTTTTTTAGTTCCATTTTTTGGGAAGCGACAACCCGAGCGTTTTCATGCCTGATGAGGCATCAAGTTTGCCCACTCCCCGCCCCCTATCCCAGCGCAGTACCACGGGAACATTAACCGAGGAAATTCTCTCTCGAGTTGTTGTTATTCTGACTCAACCTTTCCGTGCTTTACTGAAAAGGCAAAGCTAATACATCACCATCCTCTACGCTTTTGGTCATTACTCCACGTCAAATTTTCAACACCTATCATGAGTGCAACTGCAGACAACACCAGCATCCCACCAGAGCACCTGGTCTACAAAGGCTCCTGCCACTGCGGCTTCATCACCTACTCCGTCCGTCTCAATTTAGCTATTCCAAATCCCATGAAGTCCAGAACCTGTTCCATGTTATCATACGCCAAAGGTTCCTCCTCGCACCAGCTGAGAGGATGAGACGTCCTCCCGGCTCACTTCTCGTCGAACGAATATGTTGTTAATTCTTCTAGTAGCGTCATCATCACAAAGTGCAATTGCAGCATCTGCTTGAAGGGAAACGCTGTCTTGGTCGCTCCAGAAGAAGGGTCCTTCAAACTGCTCACTCCAACTGAGGGAAGGGACGCCCTCACAGACTACACGTTTAACACGCATAAGGTTCACCATAGCTTTTGCCCCAGGTGCGGTATCAGATGCTTCCTCAAGGGCATGTACGAAGTCGAAGGACAGAAAATCAACATCAAGAGAATCTGCGTTTCGACGCTTGATGAAAGGGAAGATGGTGAGCCATCAAAGACATCAAGGTGGAGTATTTTCTCACATAGCGACGGCGTTCAAGGGAGAAGAACTAGCCGATGAGCTGTATTCCAGCGGAATGTGGTAGACAACCACAGGCGGCTCGGTACTCGTTCACAGTCACATTTATCTCCCTTCTCAAGAAAGCGAAAGTGAGATTCGAGGTTGTCTCAAGTATAATACATTAGCATCACATTCTCAACGCTCTGTCCGTGTACCGAAATTAAGTCAAACACAATATGCTGCTAGTGTACAACGCCTGGTAGGCCGAGGCCACATTCTGTGACTTGGACCACTGCCCTCCTCCATGTAACGCCGCCGAGGCCTTTCCCTACCAATTTGACGCCATATGTACAAAGTACCACCAACTCAAGACCGCATAAGATTAGCAAACACGGTGATTTTCTCCAACTCAACCTCTTGACCGCTAATAGGCTTAGCTGCACCTTTAGGAAGTGCAGCAATCAGTTCAACTTCGATTCGATTCACACCAGGTAGGAGTCGGGCCTCGAAGAGAGGGTGTCGTTGATCGACTGAATGGCCAGGAATAGTGGGCATAGCATGCAATCTTTGATTTCCACAAGTGACAAACAGTTTGTGTTGACGTTCGAGAAGCGAGGCTGCAATTGTTGGCTTGATCTGAAGATAATAGTGAGTTGATGGAAGGTTTATGGTAATGGACTGCTGGGCCATTGTAGGAGATGGAGGAAGATCCATTCGGAAATGGTGAGAGATGTTGAGACCTGGATGGGTTGCTAGGCTAAGGTTGGTGATCATGGCATCGGAAGCAGCTGCAAGTGGTCAGCAAGACATTAACCAGAATTGTTTCAAGAGATTGCTTACTTTTACCAGGCTGTCTCCATTTTGAATCAAAGCTAGGGTTTGGGGTTTGGAACTGAGGCTGGTGGTTAAAAGACTGCGCATATCCTCCTCCTTGTGAAAATATGTTCTGAAGACCTGGTGTCGAGGGTGGTGGCATACCATTCCCAGACAGACCAGGAGTTGAGGCAGCTTGGCTGCCTCCTCGGTAGCCATTATAACCCGGTACCACAGCAGGGGAATTGCGAGCACCATCTTCATTCTTGACCAATCCAGAATTTGAGGGTGTTGGCGATGGTACGGAGCCAGACATGCTTCGCGCCCGCTCAAGCTGATCTAAATTGGGAATGGGGGTGGCAGCCGAATGAGAACCACCGAAAGGGTTTCGACGACCTAGACCATTCAGTGCAACTCCGTTAGAGCCGTTTGTTTGCGGTGCTGATTGTGGAGCAGGAGAATCGGCGGGACTTGCTCTGCTCCCTCCAAACTTGAGAGTAATCTTGGGACCAGGTTCTGGCATCTTCAACTTGATCTTCGGACCGGCAGGCTCTGGCACAACTGCTTTTGCCTCTTGAAATAGTTTCTTGAAGGAAGACTGGGATTATCAGTAACTAGCCCTCTGAGTAAACATTTTGTAACTAACCTGTAATTCCTTTGCCAGTACAAATATGTCACTGCCATCTTCGTTATAGTGAAATGCATTTCGCCATAAATAGCTTGACTCCTCTTCAAAGGCAGCCCAGGTCTTGAATTCGGAGATTCCAGTGGCGGCTTGCTTGCCCCGGACGCCTCTGATACGTTTGCGGAGACTCGTGAGATCAATTGGATTTGAAACCACTTTGTAGTAGTCAGGAAGATCATCCCGCGTTGGAAGCTTCAGAAACGGCAGAAACATTGAAAATTCGTCCCTGGCATGGTTGGTCAGTAAAATATAAATGCAAGGAATTGTGGGCTTGCTCACTCGTCGAATTCCTTAACGTTCATCAACTCCTCTACGAGTTTCTCTTGGGCTTGTTGGAAGGTAAGCCCTGAGAAGTTGATTCCGGAGTATCGCGGCTCTGATAAGGCAGGCGTATTACTCGACGTCCGAACCTGATTTGGTAAACTTTTAGGACGACCCCGTTGCCTCTTAGCAACAGATTGGCTTTCAATTTCGTTGTCGGGTTCGCCATCTGCGTCCATATCACTGCCAACCCCATCGGTCCGGTCTGGCGTGCCAGGTATCGGCGTTGGGAAGGCCACGTATCCAGGCGTCTTGTAAGCTGGATTGTGTCTGACCATGAAATTGCTCAACGCTTTCCTAAATCGTTCAGCGTCCTCGGCGATCTCTGATCCCTTCTCGTTGTATTCCTTTGCATTCGAGATCATTCGCTTGAAATAGCTTTCGAGGCTCGTCAAATGGGGAAACTCCCGACGGTTCAATTTGGCTTCGATGGTGTCAAAAGCAATGGGCATCTTAATAACTCTGTAGTAGTCGGGAAGCTGTCGCTTGTTGGGGAGCGTGAGGAAGTTCGTAGAGATGAGTCGTCCACTGGATGAGTGTCAGTCATTGTTCACTAGTTGCCTGGAATAAGAAGCAGGTCGGTGAATCTACAGAACCGGAGAAGCTTTGAGAGATGAGGAAGGTGCAGAGTATTGCAGGCTTGTACCCGTCCACAAGGCTACTGGTAATGATCGAGTTGTCGCAAAGGATATAAAAAGAGGGCTCGACGTACTGTTTGTCTATAGTCTTCCTGAATTGCTCCAGCAATCTCAGGCCTATCGTTGTAGTGGTTTCTGGGGTTTCGCCTTGCGATAGATCAACGTGGTCCTTGTTGACTGTCAGCCTTGCCGTCTTGAACAAATGCGGAGGTCTCGACGGGTGGTGCAGTGCCATGAACCTTCGGCGCGCCGCTTCAGGACCCTGCGGACCATCGCCAATGTACCAAAAACACAATTCCCATCGCAGACGATCGCGACTTCCGATGAACAGCTCGACAGACGACTTACATTAGGAAGCTTTCTCCTCTTCGATGCGCGCTCGTCCAAGTCCTCAGCTGCTCCCCCGCCGTTGACCTTGCGCTTGTCCATCCTTCCCTGGCCTTCACGGCACCACACTTCTTTCTCAATTCGACAATCGCACGCGCGATAGATTCCCTCCCAGACTTCTCGATTTTATGTGATCGGACGATGGTTGGTGGGCGACGGGGACGCGATTGATTTGCGCGTGGAGGTTTTGATCCTTGTCGTTGGCGAGAATCTAACCAAGGAGGAAAATGAGAGTGTCGAGACTGCTGTACAACTGAACGTATCCGCAGGTGCTTGCTCAGAGCCGCACCTTGCGATGTATATTAATTCACTTGTCGTGAGAATGCGCCGGACAATCTAAGGACAATGTATTATTGAATGTGCCTGCCAAACTTTGGTCTCGATGACCCCAGTCAAGTTAGGGTCAACTCTTTCACGTGACCAGTCTTCCAGGCGAGGCTGCCGCTGCCATCTTGTAAACATCGCGTTTTGCTCCGATTATTGTTCCCACCCCTCGATCAACCTCCACGAACACCACGACCTTTACGAACACGATTTGCTACCAATTCGCTACTGCAAGGCCCCCTTCATCGTACTCCAACCCTCGTTCCTCCTCCACTTGCTTCTTTACCTCTTAAAGTCGATTCTAGACAATTCCAGAAACTATCAATCGTCGACACCCTGCAGAGAGAGAACCAACAGCTTCCCTACTGCGACTTCTCCCCACATTCGCTTTTATTTCCCCCGTACGACCGATCGATCTGATTTGCCTGTCCTGACCTTTTCTGGAATACTCAACAACCTTGAAATTCCAGAGGATTGAGAACATTCACGTCGCGTGCTACCCTGCCCCGCGATTCGCTCATCCGCGTCCTCGGGCGAGCCTGGCTACAGTTCACCTATACAACATGTCGTCGGACTTGGACTATAATCGACGGAACAAGGTTCCAAGGCAACTTACGGAATCAGAAAAGGCGCGTTTGGAAGAATTCATTGATTCGATTCATTATTCTGCAAGGTGGGTGCCCCATTCAAACCCCTACAGCAATGGCAGCAGTCTCCATGTCCCACGGATCAGTGCTGACTCTTCCAGATACTCTGATAACGAATACGAGTACCGCCATGTTCAGCTTCCGAAGAATATGCTGAAGGCAATTCCTAAAGACTACCACGACCCATCGAAAGGCACACTAAAGCTATTGTGGGAGGAAGAATGGCGAGCGTTGGGAATTACACAGGTGCGAAAAAGGTATCCAATTATTATGGGACGCTGCTAACTATCTGCCCCCTAGAGTCTTGGATGGGAACATTATGAAGTACACGAGCCGGAACCCCACATACTTCTCTTCAAGTAAGCCCTAAACGTTCAATCTTTCTTCGCCGTCTCTAACGCAAGTCATAGGAGACCGATCAACTATGTTCCACCAGGCCAATAGAGGATGTGTGGAATCTTTGCTTGATCTGAATTTGCTAGCGTTTCTACTCCGCACAAGAACCTCCGAGCCATGGCGTATGCTTTGATGATGTTACGTTTATGTCTCTCCGATACATCCACTTCGCGGCTCCAGCTCTACTTCGATGCTCTAGATTAGGATCAATTGAGGCCCCTTGTTTCGATATTTCTGGTGTTGTTGGGGGGTTTCTAGGGAGTTGTTTGATCATCGGCAAGAGTGGAGTCATTGTACGATATGACTTTGGTGTATGTGGATAAACTCAAGAAATGCATGAAAACTTCTTCAAGATGCGTGCGATATTAAGGTTCTGCCAGAGAAAAGGGGGGCTTTCTTTCTAGGGCCTGTCAAAACAATGTTTCCGCATTCCTCTTGAAAATGGTGCCATTCGCAAAGGACAACTCTTCATCCAAGCCGGACCTAAAAGCTTTCAATCAAATGGCAATCTACATGCCAGGAAATCATGCTGTGAGATACGACGCCATGCGGCAACATCACGTTTCCTTCAGCCCCGCAGCTGCCCGCCGAGAGGGCGGGAAAGATGGCATTCTAAATGGGGATCTCGTCAGGAACCAGTGGCGCTCGCCAGGGCTGTGGCTCAGGTGGCGCCAGCTCGCGCTATCGTGCCGCAAGTGGAATTGTAATCGGACCACGACTTCAAACTGACAGATATACCGAAACCCTCTGTGCTTTGCAATCATCTTTTGTACAAATTCCGATCCCGTCCGTGCCAAGTCTGTACAATTACTCAATTACGATCATATGATACCCTGCACATAAAGCCTGTTCCGTTTCTTGCCATTTCTTTGTTCAGCACATGGATGGTTCGAGGCCTCAATAAACTCCAGCTTCTTTAGACTGCTCAGACACGGGCCCCACACTTCCATCTATTTCACCTTTCAAACAGTGGCTAAATCGCATAATATCAAGGATAAAGTCCGAGTGCCAGGTGTTTGAAAGGAACAATGAAATCAGCTGCGCGAGTATTTTATCTTGCTGTGTTCACCTTACTAGGGACCTCTCACGCTACAGCCTCCAAAGCTGCATCGAAGTCCCAGTCTCCTGGACCCGATGTTTGCGCGGTACGCTCTTCTTCTTTTCTACCAGGCATACATGTCTAATGCCATTACTCAGATCTCCCCAAAGGCAATTGTCTCTGACGCATGCGCTTCCTACTCTACCCTCGATGGACTCAATCGGGAGCTTCGGCAGTCGCTCGTCGATATCACCCGAAATACCGACTTCTTCTCATACTATCGATTAAATTTATTTGGGAAGGAATGTCCGTTTTGGAGTGATGAGAATGGCATGTGCGGTAATATCGCGTGTGCTGTTAATACATTAGACAATGAGGACGAGATCCCACCAATATGGAGAGCTGAGGAACTGGGAAAGCTAGAGGGACCAAAGGCAGGCCATCCAGGGAAACGACTGCAAGAAGAGAGAGGGCCAAAGAAGCCATTGCAAGGAATGCTGGGTGAAGACGTTGGAGAGAGCTGCGTTGTAGAATACGATGATGAGTGCGACGAACGAGACTACTGTGTCCCAGAAGACGAGAGCGCTGGATCGAAGGGGGATTATGTGAGCTTGATTGACAACCCAGAACGATTTACCGGATATGCAGGAGAAGGCACCAAGCAAGTTTGGGACGCCATCTATCGAGAGAATTGCTTTTCAAAAGCATCCTTCCCAAAATCGGCTTCCCTTGGAACCTCAGCATTTCCTCAACGCGGACCGGCTGCTAATGAGCTTCAATCTGTCATGCGAGATTATGGCAGGCAACAGGCTCTTGAAGAGCAGCAAAAACGGGAACCAAATACACCATTCGTCACAGAGAGTGGCCTTGAGCATGAAGATGAATGCTTGGAGAAACGGGTATTTTACAGAGTCGTTTCGGGCATGCACACGTCTATCAGCACCCATCTTTGTTGGGACTACCTGAACCAAACCACTGGCGAGTGGGGACCAAATCTCACGTGTTACAAAGACAGACTCCATGGCTTCCCAGAACGAGTCTCGAACCTGTACTTCAATTATGCGCTTGTGCTCCGAGCCGTAACAAAACTCGGCCCTTACCTCAAGGACTACACATTCTGCTCGGGAGATCCATGGCAAGATCGTATCACCAAACAGAAGGTCCAAGCTCTTACCTCCAAAGCTGGTACTGCGCCCCAAATTTTTGATGAGAGCCTTATGTTTGTCAACGGCGAAGGCCCGAGTCTAAAGGAAGACTTCCGCAACAGATTCAGGAACGTCAGTCGAATCATGGACTGTGTTGGATGTGACAAGTGCCGACTTTGGGGGAAACTGCAGACCGCTGGATATGGAGCCGCTTTGAAGGTTTTATTCGAGTTTGACAATAACTCAGACGATATCCCGATGTTGAAAAGAACGGAGTTAGTAGCCCTATTCAACACCCTGGCACGGATTTCCAGCTCCTTGGAGGCTATCAACAGCTTTAGAATAATGGTTGAAGACGAAGAAACCGCTGAGGAGAGCGAAGGTCATCACCATGTAATGCCTGCTCGGGTCCTGAAACCTCACAACGTCGTCCCCGACAAGCCATTTTCAGACTCTGTTGAAGAAGACTACGTGGACCACGAACGAGAAGAGGCCCTGCGAAGGAATCGACTTCCAGAAAATGCTACCTTCAAAGAGGAATTCTACTCCGAGTTAGATCTCATCTGGAGAGTCTCCAAATATGTGGTCCGAGGCTGGGTGACTTTGCCAGCCAGATTGTAAGTTGCCTCCTGCTACCACCATGTCTAGAAACTAACTTTTTTCGTAGATGGCGAATTTTCGTCATAGAGGCATCAAGAATTTGGGAATTCTACATCGGATTGCCCATCAGTCCAAGGTCGTGGTACATCAAACGACCGAATATCGATGAGCTCTGAAGCGTCTGATCAAGTCTGGCGGTCAGGATTATATACGCATTAGCAATCGGGAGTTTTTAGGTTGCGCTACATAGACAGTTTGTGCCCAGTCTGAGATAGTTTTGTAATCACATCGTTGTGTTGCGTGAGTGCTTACGGAGTCACCCCGCCCCATACTAGCAGCGAAAAATGTTCCACCGTTCTTCAAAGCCATCTGTTCATATAGTAATTCCCCGGCTACGAGTCGTGTGAGAGAAAACCTTCCTTCCTATCCGGACGCGTACTAACCTCACCAACCAACTCACGATTTTTTCGGTGCTGCAAGCTGCCCCGAGATTCTTGATATGAAGTTTGCTCATGATGTTACCCTGTGTTTGGGGTGTTGTAGTAGAGCTACGAGATGTGGGTAGTCTGCGTAGGATTCACGACCCGACTACCAGCATGTTGCAGCTCAGCCTCTTTCCAACATGCAGCTTCCCGCACTCGGGCCTAACTTGTATGGAGGTCAAAATAGCCTTATCACTTACAAACGCTCCATTTGGCAAAACTTTCCTGGTAGCAGATTTGAAACTGTTTTGTACTCCCACATCATGGCTGTTTCCCGAATAAGATATGTAGAGGGTCTTCGGAGCGAGATCTGCACGTCCTTGATCATCTGGATTATTCGAATCTTTGCCGGCCTGCAAGGTTATGTGTTTATGAATCTGCTATTCCTCGGTTCTCACAGCCTCGACTGAAAATTTGAAACTTGGTGCCAATAGAGAGATCAATAGTGCGCCAATGAGATCCAAGTTCTGCAGGACCTGAGCCGTTTCGGGTGTTAACCCGTTCTTGTAGCACCAGCTATTGTATTCTCGTTCTCGCCATTTGCAGTCCTGTTGGCCATTAATGTCAGTAAGCAGACGTGGCTCCCTTCTGGTCATCTTAAGAGCCTTGAGCACTGCTTAAAAGATATCAACTCACTTTTAGATAGAAATCCACGCCTTCTTCAACATTATAATAAAGTGGTTCGTGAGAGTACTTCTTTCTAGTCGCTGAGGACCCGAATTGCGATAAAACTACATTATGACTGCCACTTCATCCGGCCGCTGTTTCCCGTCATTCAAACTGAACGTTTTGGTCCATCTTAAATAGATTACTCACTTGAAATCTCTAGAAGATCGCAAGAAGCAGTCTACGCATAGTTCTCTAAGAATACCCCCGAGTTGAATCATTTACGAAATCGGCAAGGAAGACAATGGGTATTTCGGGGCATCTTAACCTTTTTCCCTCGTCAGTCTATCTGACTCGAGGTTTCCAGGCAGCTCTAAATCTCCCGGAACCATCTCGATTAACGAAATCTCGGTCGACAGTCGCATAAATCTCATCGCCGGCATCTTTGCCGAGGTAATTGGACTTTTGAGTGGAATGCTTGGGTGGGCAACATGGCGATTTACTCGAAGCCGCCGTCGACGTCTCGGTCTCCAAAGTATATTTCTCCACGTAGCCTTCATTCGTACGGCCGAATCCCCCGCTTTATCACAGGACGCTGGCGAATGGACAGGAAGGCCACATGCTGATACGTCGCGTTGTTAAAAGTAATCTGACTTTCGAGAGCCATACGCCGGATATCAAAAATCAAACGAGAAACATTCGTTGAACAGCTTCAGACTCAAGTTCAAGACCTGTGCTCCCTCACGCTGCTCCTGGCTCCGCCCTGGCCAGCACTCTCACGCATTGGCTGAGGATGTGGAACTAAAAGACTCTCCTGACTGTGGTTGCATGAAGTTACCGTGCTTCCCAGCTACAGTAGTTGCGCGGGATTCTGTTTATGGCACCTTCCCCTGTGAATATCCTCCATCATGGATATTACAAAAACACTGCCTATGAGGAACTCCTCCATCATCGGTAATCTACACCCTATCCCTATGAGGAAATTTTATGCAAGGTATCTTTACTCCCAGCCTGCTGATTAACGATCATCCAATGCCTCCCGTATCCTCACCTCTCACGCCTCTCCGTCCCCAGTTTTTCGTTCCCCAGCAATAAATTGGTGGCATAAAACTTACCAAGGATAGCCAATGAGATGATATCTTTGTTGAAAATCGGTGCAGCGAGCCCGTTGCTTAATATGCTCTATTTGTTTTTTGAATAGAGTGAAGTGTCCAGAAAGGCACATGGCCATACCCCTGCGTAGAGCATCCTCCCCAAAATAAGAATGGGGCTGAAAGATCACAAAATATGCCTGACTCTTGGACTCTGGGGTTCCTTGGAGAGCGCCACGACTGATAGGCGGTTTCTGAAATCCTATGTGTGTGGCATTTGACTGTGCAGCAATATATGCGGGCGGCACACCCCACCCGCGTTAAGTTGACTTGGGCGATGATGGGGGAGAGCCTCAACCTGGACCCGCCCCAGGACAGCCAATGCCTTTCGGGGGGTACCGAGACGCTAGGGATGTGTAGTGGTTCAGAGCAACAGGGCCACATAAAGCGGCCGGTCTTCAGCCCCGAAAAGATTCACAATCAAGAGCTGTGAATGGATTGATGTGAGACGCATGTGGAGCAGACGAACAGCTTCAAGGCTGCCTTGGGCTGATTGATGAGCTAGACTTTCAACAAACATTTAAATAGACATCCTTCCTAGACAAACATTGTTCATCATCCATTACCAAAGAACCACATCAAATAACACAAGCAGATCACATCTCAATCATTCGACAAGAAGGCCTAAAAAGAACGGAAAGTTATGGGTACACCACATGCATCATGAATTTCTGGAGTCAGTCTTACTGACTAAAATCTAACAGTCGCTCGAAGCGTTCCCCTTGATGTTGGCATTAACCTCGTCATCGGAATTCTCACAGTGATAATTGGCATTCTGAGTAAAACCTTGGCATGGGCTACTTGGCGGTTGACCAGGGACAGACGTCGACGGCGTGGGCATCACAGTGGGAACCATGTTTGTCCCTTGCAAGAAGACTGACTGAGTTGAAAAGGTCCGCAAGAAGAAGAAATACCATTGCAAGCACAACCTGCACCAGGATATCGGCTTGGATATGAACTGGCATTGAGGTTTGGGAGAGGCAACTGAGCTGGAAAACGACATTGAACTTTGGAATGGAGAAGGAAAATATAGGTGTGCAATCGCAGCATTCTGGCGCTTTGATGCCCAAATACCCCATTCTATATTTAGATGTAGTTGACTTGTCGTTAATTACAGTTACCTTACTATTTCCCAAGCCAAATAATGTACAAGTTGATATTATTGAGTTTGGAAATCGTCGCTGTCGTCGACGTCCGTGCGGTAAGGTCATCGTTTCACAGACCACTGTCCTCAAACGTTCACTTCCGAAGTCTTCTTGCTCCTCCTCAAACTCCCAAACCTTCTCTTCAGCCCTTCACCTACTCGTCGCCCCGTCGTGTTGCTTCTTCGCACTTGGCCCTCGAACTCCGAGTAGTTCAGGGCGTTCCCTGGGTGGCTTCCGCTGGCACTTCGTTGGCGAGAAGCTGAGGATCCATTTTGTGGTTGCATTTCGTAGGAATTACCATCGGAAAGAATTCGCCGGTGATCGCTCTTCTGATCTTTCAAGGATTTCTCGATTGAGTACGAGGGCTCTCCTTTTCCTTTATAGTCTCCTGGCAGATATTTCTGATAGCTTATTAGCTAAGCTCAAGGATTTTGTCGGTGAACCCACAATGCCTGCCCATCTCTTGTAGGCACCACCCGGTGCATCCAGCTCTCTCATCAAATCAGCTCCTTCCTCGTAAGTCATTGGCCTACCATCATAACCCTCCATTCCGGGCGGAATGATAGCTGTTCCTTGCAATGGTACATGCTTGTCCAGCGAATCTTTGATGTTTTCTCTCGGTGTTGCTCTGATAGCTTCAGCGTTTGTTCCCCTCGTAGCTTCTACTGGCGAGCTTTGGTAGCTTGTGTTTCGTGCCAAGAGCGTTGCATCATATGGCCCTTCGTGGTGATAAGCTCCTCCAAGTACAGATTTGTCCAGTACATCGATCACATCAGCTCCTGGTAGATGTTTCTTCTTCAAATGGGGAGCACGGTTGGCCGCTTTGGCTTCTTTGCGTAGCTGATCAAGGGGTCGGTGAGACATGTCGCCTGGGTGAAGTTAGCTAAAGTTCTCGGCTTCATCCCTTCTTGGAATATGTTTCAATGCCAAGGAAGCATCATTACCTGGAAATCGTTCCCCCAAAGAACTGCCCCTCCTTCGTCCAATATCGTTTCCAGTCGGCTCGTCAATGCTTTTCCGGCTGGGTCCGGCGTTAGGGTATGCTCCAAAAGCTGCCTGTCTGTGAGCGGAAGATGAGGACGATGAGTATGGATTGGACGGATGGAACGAAGATTTGGTGGGGCTTGCAGAAGTCGGCGGTGTTGGATAGGCAGATACGGAAGGAGTCTTTGAAGTGCTTGCAACTGCTGGCCCTTTGGAAGTGGATGATGGTCGGTTGAAATGGCTTCCAGGACCCGTTTCTTGACTTGGTTCTGGGGCTGTTAAAGGGTCCAAAAGGTATTTGGAAGCCTGTTCAAGGGAAGTTAGAAAGGATCGAATGATGTTGATCAGCATGCGATCAAGCTTGGATCCTTGCTGTGTTGCTGGTGCTCGCTCGCAGGGACACTCACCCATCGCTTGTCCTCTGACGGAGGCTCCATCTTTGCTTAATTTCTGTTTACTTTGGAAGAAGCAATCGACGTTTTGTGAGATTGAAATCCAACAAGCAAGACAACCAGGAATTAAAAGTGTGGAAAGGAAAGACAGAAGGTGCCTGGGACCTCCGGATGAGTTGTACTCGTGCTGGTGGTGGTACACGCAAGAGCAACAGGGGTCGTCCTTTCGGCTTCGATTTGCAGGGGGCCGGCTACGTCATTCGCTGGCTGCAGCTGCCTCCCGCGTACTGGACAGTAAAATCAGATGAGAGCGGATCCACGGAAGCTTCGTCTCGCCCAGTGCACCTTCGACGGAGTACACCCACCCACTCGGGCGTGCACACCTCAGCCCCTGAGAAGACAACAAACTCGACGCGAGTTGCTGTTCTGTGACCCACAGCTGACGTTGAATTTGGATTTCCCCTTCGACTTCGAAGCTAGCCTCCGGTGACCTGCTGTCTGTACGCCCAAAATAGAAAATCTTAAGCGAGCGACCCAACCTCGATCGTTCTAGCCTCGCACCGGCGGAATGTTAACAAGGCAAACGACCGTTCCCCACTGTTTATCGCGGGTACCTCGAGATTTTGATCACGTCCACGGAAGGGGCTTAATAGCCATGGCTCTAGTCGACTACCCTTCCTCCGACGAGGATGAGAGCGTAGCTGTGGAGGACCTTCCTTGTTCCAGCTTGAAGCGCAAACGCGACGAGACGTCGTCAGATCTGCCTCCACTGCCCTCCAAGTTCCATGACTTGTATGCATCGACAACAAGAGTCAGTACACGAGATGATCCAAGTTTGCATGGCGGGAGGAAGAGAGTGACCCCACATGTTGAGGGCAACTGGCCGACCCATCTCTATATCGAGTGTATGGCCAAATCCTCTGCTTAGTATCTCGTCGCACAAGAACACTGCTGACTCGATCGAGGGTATCCTTCGGCTGCAGAATATGTCCCGTTGACTAGCTTGATCTCAACTCTGAAAGACAAATGTTCACTCATAGGTGCAGAAGGAGGGATCCGCTCCTTTCTGATCAGCGATCTTGGTGCACCCCTGCCACTTCACATTAGTCTCTCCCGACCAATTGCATTTGCTACCGAGCAGAAGGGTGCATTTGTTGATTCTCTTCAAAGGGCAATCAAGTCGTCCGGTGTTCGACCGTAAGTCGCTATCACCGTAAGTAGTTCGATCGCATAACTAACTTTCTAGATTCAACATCACCTTAGCTGGCCTTGACTGGGTCGCGAACTTTGAGAAGACACGCTGGTTTCTAGTGCTGCGACTGAGAAGACCTGATTTTGACGGACTAAACAAACTTCTCCATCTCAGCAACAAAGTCGTCCAGGAATACGGCCAGCCTGCGCTTTACACGAAAATTCCTCTGAATACCAAGAATTCCACAGGGAAATCTCCGTCCAAGAAATTCCCGAGTACCCTCTGGGCTGGTATGGAAGATCTTTCTGATGCTTTTCATATCAGCATAGCCTGGACCTTGACATCACCCGACCCTGATCTTTTGAAGCTCACAAAAGCAATAGCCACAGATCACATGAAAGGGCTCGATCAAATCCAGATCGAAATTGGAGAACTCAAGTCGAAGGTGGGAAATGCTGTCACGAATATCCCGCTACCAAAGGCAGTCTCTGTCGGGAAAGGGCTGTTCGGAAGTTGACAGCCATATCTATCCTTGACACATGCCTTAGATTCTTGCTGCCTTGCCCAGCGGAATCTTTTGATATTCACAGCTTATATAGGATTGTTAATATCTAATGAAGTCACCATCACAGAGCTTAGTACTTCTATCCCCTTTCCCAAATGTCAAAATTTGAGATTTGGATAGTCTGTTGGAGACTGCAAGTAGTTTTCGGCCCCAAAGTTGTCAGCTACTGACAAGCAGATTAGCAAAAAATCCATAGCATTTCTCCACAAACAGTTAGTGGTTCAATTATTGCAAGACTTTCGCCAATCTCATCGCGTGAAGGTGCCTCAGAAGAGGAACATCGCCGCTCTTAAATCAGCACTCTGATCCGCCAAGATATCCGAACTTCTCCGTGTTGCATGGGTAATGCGAATGCCCTAGGATTTCAACAATATCTTGAATATTCAATCAGGATTATAAGTGGCATTCTGACATTCAAAAATTTGCAAGCTCGGCATTCTTTGGCGGGCTCTCATTCGTCGTCGAATCGGATCTTGGTAGATGTGGCGCAGCTCTTCGAGAGGGGACTGCTGCCTCGCGACGAGTCACTGTCACAATGTTTTCCTACATCTTCACAAATGTACCGCCGTACCTTGATAATTCGTGATCAAAACGAGACAGCTCATAAACCTCAATTTTTCAATTCATCATTGATCCTGGAATCCACAATGGGCCTCCTTACGAGCGCAAGTTCAACCTTGACGACCATCTTTGCTTCCTCTCAAGCCCAGACTCAGGCTTCTCCTTCTACTAGTTCATTTCCTCAATTTTCCAAACTTCCAATCGAACTACGACTCAAGATCTGGGCTTTTGCTCTCGAGCCCCGACCTCTCCTTGTTCACCTCCACAAATTCGACCCATCATGGCTGAACGACCAGCAAAGATATGAAAGCTACGCCCCAGATTGGCCCGAACACTCCAGCTTGGCCGAACCCTTCGATGGCCCCCAGTTCACCCCCATGACAGAAGAGGAAGGGGGCGAAATATCCTGCAATCCAGATTATCCCTCAGATCCACAACCATATCACATGGTCGTCACGCCTTGCACTGATGCACATCCATGCCGCTGCACATACTACCCCCCGTCATCCACCCACGCACTCCCCTTACCACCCCTCCTTTCCACCTGCCGCGAAAGCCGAGAAGCTTTCATGGGCCAGTACATCCGCTGCCTAGAATCCGAATACTCCACTCGCGGCGTCCCGGTCGTGCATCCAACCTCCCTCCTCGTAAAATCACCACCATCAACACTTCTCCCCCAAACAGGCCTCATCATCAATCCCTTCCTCGACACAATTATCCTCCACGTAAATGTCGCGTGTCGCTCCGATGTCCAGCAAGTACACTTCTTTGCATCCATCCTATCTACCCAGCTCCCGGAGGTCAGAAAAGTAGTGATACAGATCGATATTGCTATGCCCCCGTATAAATTTTGGCAATCAGCTCGCTTTCAGTATTGGAGGAGGTGGGGGGAGGATGGGTGGTGGGTTCCTACGCGGTTTTTGATTAGGCTGAGAGGGTTGAGAGAAGTGGTGTTGGTGTGTGGAGAGAAAGAGAAGATGTTACCGTCCGAGTGGAGGGCGCGGACGGAGGGACAGTGGGTGGAAGAGTTGGAGAAGAAGATGGAGGAGTGGCCGGGGGAGTGGAGAGGAGAGATGCCGAGTTTGCGGTTTGTGGGGGATGTGAAGGAGGCTTGAGGCATCCGTATTTGCCATCTTGTTGGAAATGCGAAGTATGTGTCTCGCGACCAAACACGATACCGGTACCGAGTGCTTTGGAGATAGGGGTTAGCTCTCCGTCCTCGCTTACGAATATTGCGGCATAAAGTGACGGGATTACAGGGCATTTACGCTCGCGTAGGGGTCTTAGCGGACTCCAGGGTGTTGTTTAAGGTACTACACCCGTTATAAGCATTGTAACTCTAGGCCTGAATCCCTAAAACAAGGGCTGTAAGACATTTGCAAGGCGTTTGAAGATCTTCAGGGGTTACAATGTTGCTGGCGGAGCAACTATAGCGCTCGGACGCTGTGAGAGAGCTATTATAGGACCCTTTAGCGACTCTGCCCCTGTATGTACAGGGGACATGCCTTCTAAAGGCGTAGTACCCCTTGTTTATAGTTTATAGCGTGCTTACAGGAGAGTAGCCTGGAAATATAGGGGGCTTCAGTGAGTGAGTGTGGTAGAAAGTGGCCTGAAAATGGACTTGCAGTACGAATGCCCTGTAATCCCGTCACTTTATGCCGCAATCTTCGTAAATAGGAGTCTTCCAAAAAAAACAAAAAAAAGGCTCAAGACGACAAAAAAAGTTCACTATCCGCAAAGGCTTTATGATCAATGAATTGATAGCGCCCGTACCCGGGCAGCTGAAGACCCATATCGAAAAAGAATAATTAGAATACCATGGTATTCTAGAAGAGCGAAACAAAACTCTGGCGACCAGCCCGGAGGGTGGTCGCTGAGCGAAACAGCCGGACTGTTTTTTCCGTGAAACCGTAGGAAGTTTAGTTTTCTCTTTTCGCAGAGGTGGTTCGAGTGGTGACACCCCTACTACTAAGGCTCTTTACTTCATGAAGGAGAAAGCTTGTACGCTTTTTCGGTGGACGAGCCGCCGGCTTCAACCATTGCAAGCAGTGGAGGTATTTCAGCAAGTTTGCCCTCGTTGCGGAGTAGGTATTTAAACTTACACGCCAGTGCTCGTTTGTTAGCTGACGAGAAAATGCTTATTTTGCTATATGAAGGTGAATGGCTTTCCCATTAGAATTTCGCATAATCGAAGTTACCGGAGCAAGGCGCTGTTTATGACACCTTAGACGGGTGCACAACAGCTCTTGATATTCTGACAAGCAATTGGGAGAGCAGGGAAACACTGAAAATATGTATGGAATCTTCAAAATAGAGGTATCTTGTTCACGAGATCGATTGAGCTGAAATATGTGCCGGAAAGGAAGGGTCTCATCATTCCTGAGCGATATCATATCAGATAGAAAAGTTGAACCATAAGTTTGCGCTGTCTGTGGCGATTGGTACCTCGATTTTATGTTCAACTTCAAGTTCACTATGAACCAAGGGGTGAGAGGATATTCAGAGCTGAGTGGTGTTCGACCTTAAGGGACCTTGAGTAGTAACGAGGTTCTCTTGATTTCGGAAGGGCTGTAACGTACACCATTAAAGAATCCAGTGAAGGCATTCATATCACGATGGCCACAATCGAACCAAACACAAATGATAGCAGTCACAACCCCAGCAGCACATAATTAGCAGTGGTAAGATCTCCGTTGAAAGTATACTATTAATACCCTATCCACAAACGCCTCTACACCTTCCAGATCCCATCCTTTTCTTGCCGAACCCGCTCCAAATCCAAAGGTCAATCCCTAGTCCTACGAGTAGAACTGACTCTTCTGAAAGCTCTCTACACTCATATCACCCGCCTTTCCTGGCACCGGCGGTTTCGCGCTCTGGCTCGTCATACTATTCGTCCGACTTCCACTCTGACTCGCACTCTTGATCTCTGCAACTGCTTGCCCTGGTCGTCTCTGGACTTCTTCAAGGTAGACTCCTGGTAAGTATCCCATTCGTCCATCGCGGGCTCGACATCTCCACCACTCGCTCGGATTGCCCATTGGGTCACTCTTGCTCAAAACAGCAACAAAGTCACCCTTCTTGACCTCAAGGTCAACACCCTGCACAGCGGCTCCTGTCTCAGGCGTGAAATCGTATAACACCTTACAAAATGGCAGTTTCGAAGGATCGATTTGTTGTATAGGTTGACCGTCTGGTCCTATCTGACCAGCGGCTGCTAATCTTCGCTGCTCCTCTTCTTGGGATGCCGCGAGTGCTTTGATGAGTTTACCCATCAGGTATGGGAGGCCAAAAGCTGCGGCCAAGAAAAACAAGAAAGGCTTCTTGCTTGGTCGTGGAGGACTGGCGGGGGAGCCATCCGGGAGAAACTTCTTCCCTTCGAATTTGGCAAAGGCACTGGGTGTCAATGCTGTGGCGTCTGCTGGAGGTGGCCGTCCTGTGAGCTTGGCGAATAAAGTCCTCATCCAACGCAGTATTGCAAATATTCCTAGAATCGATCCAAGGGTATTTCTGAGGTTACCGAACTGCTCGGCTACGGATACCATTGCTACAATTGTTAGTGGAATCATATTTGGCTGGATTTAGCAACTCACCAAAGAAGCTGGAATGCGTAGCCATGTATGTGCTCTCCAACATCTGCGCAAACCCTCCAAAAGCGCCAACAATGCTCTCGATAATCTGGAAAGTCGCCTGCGTGCTCTGCGTAAAGCCGTGGGTTAAACTGTTCGGGTTGTTTGGATCTCCTTGCATCCCTCCCACCCCACCGTACATGCCACCTCCATACATTGAGCCATAGCCTCCCATCCCTCCCATTCCACCCATCCCACCCATCCCTCCATACATCCCAGAGCCGTAGCCGCCGTAGCCTCCCATTCTGGAGTATGGAGAAGTGTATGCAGAGCCAATCCCACCGTAAGGAGACGCCATGCCTCCAATTCCAGGGGTACCGTAAGGAGAGTACGCCGAGGCGTTTCTGTTGACAGCAGATGTGAGAGTCGAGGGCCGTTCGGGAACAGCGGGCGCCGACGATGAGGTCGAGGAGGATGATAAGGCAGAGGATTGTGGAGTTGATGCTGAGAAGCCCGTAGAGGAAGCTACTGAAGATGACATGGCTAGAGAATTGGTTGCAGGGTCAGCTTTTGTCAATCGGACGTGAATATCACAGGCTGATGGGAGAATAACAAACCTGTGTTTGCGCCCGCAGCTCCACCTCTTTCCCAAGGTTTTGGCGGTGATGTTGTCGCCATCCTCTGAGGTGCAGTTCTATCCTCTGCTAAGTGGCCTCTGTGGGCCTTCGAGACTTGTCGTCCGTGTCGTCGAGTGGAGGTTGAATTGTTGAGGTTGTGATGATTTGCGACTAGAAAGCTCGTGACGTTAAGAGGCGAAAGCCGAGCCTTTGGATGTGACAATTTCTGCGGGGTTTGCTGCAGAGTTCCGCCACTGTAGGAAATCGAAGCCGGTTGTAATGAAAATTTCTAAGGAGAAACGAACTGATTATGGTGAGCTCACAAGGAGAATTTCAAAATGAAGTTCAGTCTATTTTCTTTTTGCCAGTGGTCCATCTCGAATGTCCCCTTGTGGCTGGCAACGACGGACCTCGGCTTCGGCCAATGGGGCTCAAATCGCACCTCCACATGGGGGATGTCAAAAAGTGGGAATGCCGCGACTATCTTGGGACAAGCACACTTGATAAAGTGAGGAATACATTTCATCTGACATTTCTCGTCGGTTATTATTGCCTCCTGATTGTCAATAGGCCTCCTGGCTTTAGCACTTTACAGAAGCAAAAGTTGGAAAAACTAGTTATACTTCCGCCACTACCAATCCTAGCTTCTCAAATCCTTGGGTCTTCTTATTAATGAAATAGCCAAATTTTATAGTTGATACATTATAAAGTGTTGTTATATATTAAGTATTATTGTCTCAGGAATTATTTGAACAATGCCTTGTCACGTGCAAAGCATCACATGACTGAACGCTCACTCTTTTAGCACGCATCCGAGCGTGATTAAGCTCTCTGTACATGCACTTGTACCGCCTTACAACCACAGTATTTGCTACAGCATATATCTCTTATAGAATTTCCCCAACTCTAAGCAGTATAAATACGACCACTAACCATAAACTCGATGGTATTCCCTCTGCTCTTCCACCACCTTCGCGACGCAGAAGCCGAGCCACTCTTCCTCGAGGTACCAGAGGCTCCAGAGTTTCCTAACCACGCACTCGCATCCTTTGTCACACTACAACTAATAACAATGCTGTGTCCATCAGGGCCAAGACTCACCCCCGATGCAGATACAGTAGTAGCCGGCCCCCCAGCTATCAGGCTTTGAGAATCGATTGTGTATACCATCACATGGCTTTTTTCAATTTGTGAAACAGCTTCGGTTGAGCCATCAATAATGGCTGACGATCCACCTTAAAGCCAGAGAGTATGTTTTCCCTCCAGCGGTCACGGCAGGGCCGCCAGCGGAGAGAGAGGTAGAAATCGTTGGTGCCATGGTGCATGTCGGACCGGGGGTCCAGTGACACATGGGTATGCATGGAGATGGATGGCAGAAGGGTAATGACGTTGAACTCGTTTGTGAAGATACCGTTGTCGCTGGCATTTCTGATGAGACAGACGAGTTTTGTGGAAAAAGTTGCTAAAGAAGTTGCCAGAGAGGTTGAATTATCTCGAGGAATGACAGTCGCGAGCGTGTGAGTAACGAAAGCCCAGAAACAACCGAGAGTAAGATGCCGTATTTTCGAAGACTGATGGAATATCTCACTCCAAGGCTGATCCTGGAAGTTGTAAGCATCGCCACTTAGAGGAGAAAGAATTCTGGGGGCTATCCTTATTTATATTTCCCCATAGCCCACTGGATGTGCTGATCTGGTTCTCTTTTCAAGTTTGTGCGACTCGATAATGTTGGAATAGGGGCTTTTGTAGACACATTTCATCTCACATAGGTGCAGAGAAGCCTATAAATCCCGAGGATTCACCACTCCAGGCCGAACCAAGTGATGTTGCAAGTTGGTTAAATACGATTTGTGTCTCCAGCCGCCGGATGATTGAAACGTGCCCAGCTATTTGTCACTGTTGAGACTACACACCGTATTAAATCGTGGCGCAGTACATTAACAAAGCGAACATTATAATGCCAGCACTATTAACTCTACGCATAGTCCGAGATCTGAATGTGGAGGCCCGAAATTGAGAAGTCGACCTCCACTGCGCCACGGAGAATTGAGTTCGGGGTGAAATCGTAGATAAACGGGCTGCATACCTTGTAGAACGAATAAGCTATTTCGATATCCGTCATTACCATGGCTCCATTGTCTTCTAAATCAAGTATTAGCAATTCGCGCCTCTTTTTGCAAGGGATGTGAGGATACCAACGCCTTTGCTTGCCGACTTTGACTCGAAGGGTTAACTCGATACCAATCACTTTCTCATTTCTGGGTTGTCATAGAAAGTTCTAAATTTTCCTCCTGTTAATCATTCTTCCATGTCTATTTCCGAGCTCTGGTCCCGTCTCGCACAAGAATAGGCTTTCAGAAACGCATCGCCCTGACCTCCATTCGCCATTCGCCCCCTCACCACCTCGGAATAGATATCATGCGATCTCTCGATGGCGGGCAAGACCTCCTTCACAATATCTTCCGAATTTGCAACTATCTTCAGGAAACCTTGACTGACCGCCCAATGGTCCTCCACTAGATCCCTGGTATTCGTGCATCGATATTCCCAGAGCTGCTCCTCGATAATCTTGAAATCAAAAGGGCAGGTATGAAAGTTTGAGATGTAGCCAAGCAGTTGTTGGAAGGACCGTCAAGTGACCGAACAGAGTATCTCGATCAGAGGAGGTATAGTGCGGGACACACTTTGTTGATTGCGATAGTCGTGGTACTCGTGGTGGAGAGTTTTGGGGGTGGAGGACCACACTTCGTTGTGCATCCCATGCTCTTTTAGCTGTCGAGTGCGAGTGCTTTGGAACGAAGCTGAGAATTCGGAGAGAACTGGACAAAGTAGCGCAAAAAAATGATTAGGGTTATCACCTTGCAGAGCCTTTCTTTGATGGAAACTAACTCTTCGTAGCGCGTGGAATCTTTTCGAGGAAAGGAAGAAAGCTCGTGCTCAGCCTTGTCTCTGTACTGTACAAAAAGTGGCATCCACGATCATGGTTTCTCAGGTTCGCAAGCCGGAGTAAACAAAGATGACTACTCACCTTTCAGATGTAGGATTTGGTAGATTCGGAAAGATTGATTTGTCTTTCAACCTCCGTAATTTCGTAATGGGAACATTTGATCTCGTCTGGAGTCCTGTTTGGGAGTATCTTTGTCCTCGCACCGGTTTGAACTCGACGTATGGCATTGTGGCTTCTGTTTGAATCAATGTGAAGACATGCCTTGAATAGAGGGAGATGATCATAACTTACAAACTTCGTCGAGAAGGATAGCCGATTTAAATTGTGACCGTTGAAGCATCAATTGACAAGTCTAGCCCTCTAGCTACGGCTTTGAAATTTGGATGCGAAAAGCGCACCATCCTGTTCTAATCCGGGCCACCCCGTGAAAGAACCAACACTGGAACCGTCTAGTGAATTTCAGAGCTTTGCATCATGTTAAAAATCATAGTGCTTGAGACGGTGTCCAGCTTTAAAATGGCACTTCCAGCACGTGACTCAGAGTACTTGAAGATATTTCGAAAATACTTTGATTAAGATCAAATAGATTCATACAATATTGTATTTTTTCTTCTTTTTCGCATTGCACTCCTTACTTCAATTCAGCAAAAGCTGGAGCCATTTGCATGAACTCCTTCCACGTCGTCAATTTATCGCTCACGATCTAAGTTAATGTCAGCACTCTGTTCTCATAACTGCTGCGGACAATCTTCTCTTACAGAATGGCTTTCATCCAAGCTAGCTCCGAAGTAGTAACCAAATTCATTCATCAACCTCATGTTTTGCAACAGCTCTTCGGCGCTCTTTTCTGGGGCTCCAGTCTTCATCATGATGCCTTTGAAGACGTCATGAGGTAACTCAGCAGACTTTGCGGTCTTTCCAGCCTCAGGATATTGTTCCTTGAACTCCTTCACAATCTCGTCAATGGTGTAATAGTCTGTAGCACCGTAGATGCGCTTTCCGAGTGTCTTCTCGCGGTTGTTCAAGATGCCTTTGACGAACTTCCCGGTGTCATCGGCGGTGTTAAGAAGTGGAATTGGTGTAGAGCCAGGAATTGGGAGAGCAAATGTCCAGTCGTTGTTGGGAGGTGCTTGTCTGAACATCCCACCCGGAATGTTGGACATGTAGAATCCAGGCATAAAATAGGATGCAGGAAGCCCCGATATCCGGATGTACTGCTCGATGTGGGCCTTGGAATCAAAGTGCTCGACGTGCTCGAGAACGCCCTTAGAATCTGCGAGGGTCAGTAGAGTCCAGAATAAATCGAGGTGATACTTACGCTCTTTGACCTCAGGCAAGCTGCTCCACACGAAATGCTGAACTCCAGCTTCCTGTTCGGGCTTGATTAGATAAATATTTCCGAAATTGGAAAGTTGAAATTCATACCTTGGCAGCGTCTGCCATACCCTTTCCCTGGGTCATTTCGACCTCAGCGCTCCTGCTCTCCCAATAATTGGTAACAGCAAAAACCGCATAAGCATCCTTCATGGCGCCTTTCAGCGTGGAAGTATTGTTCAAATCGGCCTGTAGAACATGGGGTTAGCTCCTGGATCCGAATTTTGAACTTTGCAACTCACAGCTACTGTCTCGGCACCCAGTGACTCCAGCTCCTTGGCGGATGGCTTTGACACATCACGGGTTACTCCTCGGACGGTCCAGCTCTCTCTCATTTTGGCATCCCCGAGAACTGCCTTGACGACTGAGCCTCCCTGAACACCGGTGGCTCCAAAAACCACAAGAATCTTCTTGGTTGCCATTGCAAAGGATCTAGGCTTTAGGAATATGGTGGTTTTATTGAGATTGATGATCGGTTTGAGGGTTCGGATGATGAAATCGACTTTATGTCACAGATGAGTTGGTCTAGAGCTGTTGAAGACTGAAGGAAAATGTGAAATGTAGAAGGATGGGAGTGATGAATAGAGGTATTAAGGAACAGCACGACGATGATACTTATACCTTTGGTTTCTCTTGAGTATCAAGCCATCGGTGCTCGGTTGATCCTGGACTTGAAAGGCTTGAATCCACTGCATCTGTACCCTCAACAGGCAGATTCGCGGGACAACGTTCCCGAATTTGGAGTGAGCATGCGCAACTTACAAATCGTTAGCTCACCAAGCCTCCACGCCATCTAGGTCATGGAAACGTCGCGAGCAATAAGTTGCGAGGCCGCGATGTCGAAGAGGGGTTCAAGGCGAATTGCGCCAATGAAAGGGACTTCGGGCTCCAGAGTAGCGCCCAACACCGAGACCGAATCCGCGAGGATCCCCGATTTCATAAGCAAAATATTGCCGCCTCCCTGCCGCCTCTGGATGATACCGAGATTTCGAGTAGTGGATCATGACGTTTGTGATGCTGATTGGGTGGATTGCAAATGCATGGACGGGGCGAGGTCTGCACCCTGGCTGACCAAGCAATAAGTGTTTGATCTTGAAGCTTTACGTGACGGCCAACACTTCTCCGAAGCTCGATGACTTGTTTAAAGTACGCATACGAAATGCCTGAAAAAGAACGACCCGACCCTGGTCCAAGAATCCAATTAGCCGAGGAAAGAGCGCCTAATTTCTATTTTGGACCCCATCGCCTGTATCGTGTTTCAAGAGCTGCAAGTCTGCGATTCCCTGATGATCTGAACCATCTCGAGCCGTTCTGAGATTGCCCCGTAGTGCTTTTAGAAGATGTTCGAACTCGATGGCGATTGCTCTTCCAATGAAGGCCGTTCTCCTCCGGGACGAACCGTTGCCCTGGGTCCATACCGTGTGACCTCGAACTTTGCCTGTACTCAATGTTGAACTTTTGGAACATCGATCACTGAAGTGGCCGAGGACCCAGAACCTCGCTTTTGTTCCTGTTGCTCGCGGCAAGATATGCCTTTTATTCGCTCGCTTATTCTGAAAGGAGACTTTGATGCAAGATTCTATGCAGGAAGAATACTCGTCCAATCAGTGGATGAAACCCCAGCTGCTCTTGAACGATCTTCGCCATCTTTGCGATGAGTTGCTCTCGAAACCCTGTGTGTACAACAACAAGTGACATGGATGTCGCGGTTAAAACCCAAGTGGCCGAGCTTTATCTTAAAGTTGGCCTCCGGCTTGCTGGCCTTCAAGATCTTGCTTTCGTCTCGTTGAGATTTGTCTTGTTTTAAATACAATTTTCGGGTGTGATGCTTCTCCGCCTGCGCATATGAGCTCGGTTGGCAAACATGTCGAGAAACGGGACAAGGTACAATCCTGTTCCTGGACGGACTACAACTGGTATCAGCGAGATTTCTCCCATTCCAAGGAAGACTGTGGGTAGCAGGGCCTTACCAAATGAGAAGAACGGCATCAAATACCGCACAGTCCCTCTAGAGACAGAGAGTTACCCCAGCAATGTTTCCCTCATATCGAGAGAGATAGCGGGCTCAGGCCCAGCACAGAATGAACCTACTTTAATCACGTCCAGCTGGGGGATCGGATGGAAGATACCAGCTTTGATGACTGCAAACTACTGTTTTGGTATGAAAAACAATCCGCCCGGGAGGTGTCTTGAGCTGACACCAAGCAGCTCTCGGGATCGCTGTCGCTCATTACCTTCTTTTCCACTATATCGACCGGAAACCTGCAGACGGGGCTCACCCGTTGGTCCGTCAATCATATGTCGCAACCACTTCTAACATTCTGTCCAATGCTTTCGGATTTGCCATTCGCGGATCCATGGCCGTTGCCTTCACTCAGTATCTCTGGCATCTCCTACGAGCCTACTCGATGAAGGTATCGACCATTGAGCTACTGTTCTGCCTGCGGACAAATCCTGTCCACCTTTTCAAATATACCGCATATGCAGCGACTCCCTCTTTGTGTGCTTTGGCGATTTTCATATGGGGCACGCAGGTGGTGACAGGCTTTCCCCCAGGTGCCATCAGTGTGATCACAAGCCAGGCGATCCACTATAAGGTCATGCCGGCTCCCTCATTCAACGCATCCTTTGTATGTATAGCATTGTGGAGAAATAGCCGCTCAAACTGAAGCTCTTGGGGTTGGTACTGACTGTTGTGTGTGATAGATGGGAAATGGCTCTGGAGTTGAGGCGCAGAAGTTCGCATTGATGCCAATAGAACTTGGGGAGGACACGAACTCCTTCAGAAGAGCGTAATTTATTCCTTCAGTGTTCCACTGAGAAAGAAGGCTTGCTGATGCTTTGTTTGTAGTAGCATAGCTAATGCAGCTTACGATAACCTCCTCCTTCGAATGACATACCAAGTCATGGTCAGCGGGGAGGCTCTTCCAATGCCGTCAATCTGTGGAGTCAACTGCAGCTATATAATGGAATTTGAAGGTCCATACCTTGGCTGCGAGCATTCCACGTCGGCAGATTGGCACAACACAACATTTTACGAAACTGATGTGGGCCTGGTGGGCAACTTGAGTATGAACATCTACCAAGCGTCTGTTTATGACCCTGGCAAAATTGCCGGCCCAGGTCCCCCTCTTCCAAACAAAGGAACCTACTCTGCCAACTACTATAACGGCACGACACTTTACCCACTGTTGGCCAACGAAGCCGCCTTGACCGATAGTTCAAACACATCCGTTCTAGCCCTGTCAGACAACGTGAAATGTAGTTTTCAGCGTGCCAAGTACACTATTAACCACCAATACATCAACAGCGTGCACTCCAGGAGCATCATCGCAGAACCAATCGACAAACTCGTCAATTTGATTCCCCCCACCTATGAAAACACGATATCCGTCCCTGGGATTGGGCTTCCCAAAGGATTCGACTTCGGAACCACTCCAGCAAACTGGAGCGACTCTGCGAAAGCTGTATATCGCGATCTGCAGCATTGCCAGATCATCGATTCTATGCTATACTACATCGATGGGAACTTCACAGGCTATCCATCTCCAACTGCCAATACCATGAACAGCACGACAACGCCAGGATTCATGGAAGGAATTGGATGGAGCAATTCCGTCAGTGGCACAGCATCTGTACCAGGCAAGTACCCCATACTCCAAGCACGCAATCAAAGACTTCTCTGACTTCTCTCTAGCTAGAGCCGACGGTATCCAAGGGGTCATCATCGAGCGGACCCGCTTCAACACTGCCTTCGACAATCTCCAGCCAGTTGCCGACTCAGGAAAGCCACAATTCATCGTCAACCAAACAACTCTCAATGACCAATTGATAAACATCACTATGTCAGTGATGATGGCGTACAACCAATGGTCCACACAAGTCAACGCCACAGTCATCGACTCCGTGAACGTCTACTCCTTCTCGCAGCCCCTAGTCCTCATCCTCCCCTACTTCATCACCCTTGCAGCAGCACTCCCCTTCATCATTCTGGGCTTCGCAGCGCTGATCCGCAACGGCGTGTCCGCCACCGACGGCGGCTTCATGCAAATCATCGCCACGTCCACTGGGAGCGCGGCTCTCGACCGTGCTGCGGCCGGGGGCTGCCTGGGAGGAGACGAAAACGCGCCGCGTGAGCTCAGGGAGCTGAAGATCCGGTTTGGCGAGTTTGTGGGGAGAGGGGACGCAGGTGTTAAGAGGGCTGGGTTCGGCGTTGACGGGGAGGTTAAGCCTTTGAGGAAAGGAGCGCAATATGGCATCGCTAGATGGCTATGAAAATGCGATACAAGAGCGGGAGGACGGCGAGAAGGTTGCCTTGCAGGACTCGCCGGCTCGCAGTGGCCACCAAGGACCATTTTTCGAGGCACGGGCTGGAGGTTCCGTTTACCAACCGCACCTGCCACTTGACACGATTTCCGGCCAGGGATCTAAACTTCAGCCCCTATCCAACCCCGCTCCCGGGTTTGACGTTTGAAAATATGAACTTTATTAAAAGCTTGATTTAGACTTGTCGGAAGCTGGGGTTTTTTTGGTTACGCGCGGCGGGCTGGTGTGGCAAAAACTCACGTGATAGAAAAATGTCACTGTCACATGACCTAGAGAAATATTTGACCGGTAGCCGGAGGCTTAAGGGGGGGTCAGGGGGTCCCCCCTAAGATTAAAGACTATTATCTTACCTCTAAGGGTATTAAAAGAATGCGCTCTCTTAAAGAGAGAAAATCTGGCTTTTACTATTTGCATTTGCACTTGCTAATGCGGCCCCTGGTATAGATTCGAAAGCCCGAATGAAATGTCACTTGACACTGGACATGGCAACATCTCCACTGTTCAGCCTCTCATATCAGACAATGGCGGGATCAATCACTTCATTCATTGATTGAAGTCAATTTTGGACATCATTGGTTCGTATTTATAGGTCTGTATGTACACAGAAACCCCGCTGAAGCGATCCGAAACACGAATGCCGCTGCCGATGCAGTCCTGCCCAGTATTGCCCCGTTTACATTGAAGGAAAAGAAGAAATTGGCAGGGCTTCGCACCAGCAGGGAGTTGGAGACAAGAGCTGCCAAATTACAACTGCAGTTTAACGGAAACACGATCCAGAGCACACGAAATCCTACTGTGTCCTTATCCTAAAAAGGAGCAAAGGTTCAGCAAGAAATCAGTTGCCTGGCCGTTTAGGTGACAGAGAAGTGGGAGACCTGGTTGTCAGGTGTAGCTTGACACATCTTATTGATGTCACTGGCAGCGAGAGTTGAGGGGAAGTCTGTGTCGGCCGGCAGAACCTGGATGTGAATCGTGGAACTGCTGGAGCTGAAGACAACCGCAAGTTTCATAGTGTCTGAAGTCGGGCGCTCAATGTAATCCGAATCTCCGCCAGGCTTGTTGGTGTGGAGAGTGCTCTTGAGGTACGTGGATCCTTCAAAAAGGGATTCAGCGATGTCAAACCTACCCCCCGGGATCAGCATTATTCTATCAAAACTCTCGGAGTACTTACTCGCCGCATCCGCTCGTCCAGCAATTGCAAGTATCCGGACCATACTGTGTTGTGCGTGGAATCTGAGCATTAAGCATCCAAATTGCCGGCATATCACTCTCAAAGCCTCCATGAGTACCTGAATCCATGGGCATCATGTACTCGATGAGGAAGACTTTATCAGCACCGTCAAATCCATCTATGAATCTATTAGTTCTCGCATGGCTGAAAGGAGCGCGAATACTCACGATACGCAACGGATCCTGGTTGAACATAACCACAATCATTGGCACTGCAAGCTTGGCCCAGCATGACAGTAATCTCAGAACCAGATGGGATGATGGTATCGGTGAGCTTCTGAGGAGAAGATGCACCAGCAGTACCAGCGCTGTTGACATATGCAAGCGAAGCCCCAAAGGCGCTGTCAATAAGTTAGCAGTGGTTTAAACTCATCAGTCTTCAGAAGTTTACAAATTTGGAAAATGTTACTAAGAAAGGGTATTGAAGATGTGCGGGGGTGCAAAGTGAGGTTGCGGCCTCTGCTTACTAGGAAAAGACTCCAGATCCTTGGCCACCATGATTTCCGAGGAATACCAAATTGTCAACTGTCTGGGAAACCGAATCATAGTACGCGATTCTCTCATACTGCTGACCTTGGGCAATACCCGGTCCGGCAGGCGGTGCGGGAAGAACCTTGGCTGGTTGGGCCACTGGGGTAGATGGATTCATCAACGCCTCGGTTGGGAGAGGAACTAGCGATCGTTAGCAGCGATCAAAGGCTATCTAATTGCTTCAAAGACGAACCTTCGCTGGGCTTGGCAGGGGCAGGGGTGGGAGGATTTGCAGCAGACTGAGGAGCTGGATTGTGAGCTGGAGCTGGAACTGGAGCTGGAGTATCGGAGGCGGTGCAAGTAGGAGCAGGCCCTCCACCAAACCAGTTGTTGACCCAAGTTTGAACCTGGCCGTCAATTGTTGCAGTTACCATAGCCGGAGGGATACAGGACGATGGAGAGGGTCCGGGGTAATTGTTCACCCAATGGACAACTTGACCGTCGATGGTTGCAGTGACCTCCTCCTGACGCTTGTTCTGGGCATGAACATTGTGCTTGGCTTGGAGACGGTTATGGACATGCTGATGGGCTCGCTGGTGAACGTTGGTGTCTCGAACCTTCTTAACAGACTTAGCGCTCGAAGGAATATAGGCCGCAAGCTGCTTGATGTGGATAGGGCCACGAAAGTGCAGAGAGACCTATGCAAGCAAAATATGTCAGCGGTCGCGTAGAGTTATCCTCGATCTGGGCTGGCTCACCTCCTCATTCAACGGTGCAAGAGGACCAGAGAATGCCTTCATCTGATATTCGCACGAACCAGTCTGGTTGTTCATGCTGGTAATTTGCTTATACGAGCCGGAAGAGCCAACATTAGAGTACTGAATTGCCTTGACAGGCTGGCAGAACCAGTTGCCATTCAGCTCTTGCTTTGGACCCATGGCACACATATCAGCAAGGACATTGCCAACGGACAGCAGGGCCGCGAGAGCGACAACGGGCGCCGATTTCTTCATTACGGGCCGTGATTTCTTAAATCATGTAGAGTATCGATTTTTTTCGGTGGATGTTGGGTTTGGGAGTACAAGGTCGGGCCGTTCGCGACTCTATGTCTACAAACACCTGTGAATCCGCGGTTGGGAGTCAAGGAGAGTCAAAGTATGATTGTAAGGACTGTCAGGAGCAGCGGACTGCTCAACAGGGATACAAGAAGGGATGTTGGAGGAGTCAAAGAGTGGTGTTGGAAGGAAAGGGGTTGTGTTCTAGTACACATGGTATTTACAAACATCATTTGGCGAATTCGGCAGTCACGTGTGCGGGGGAAACAAGTATCAAAGATGACGCCGATAATGGTTGCCGCATTATTCACAGCCCGATAAGGCGGATGCTAGCAGGAGCCGAGCGCAAAAGGGAAGTTGCATTGCGGCACGGTGCATGGGAGGACACGATGGTGACCCGTCACTTTGGGCCCCTCTGACTAACCGACAGACTTATTTGAACGTCAATCCACTAAGGAGAATATCATAAGCACCAAATGGAACGTTCAAAGAATCATGACGGCTGAATATGTTGCTGGAGTCACAACATGGCTTTGTCTCCTTTGCGTCATAATTTCTTGAAGCTGCAGCCACTCGCTGCGATTCAAGGTGCAAGGCATGGCCAGTTTCTGCTGTTCAAAGGTGAAGTCACTTGTTCTCCGAACTCCAGGTGCAAGGCACTCTTGGGGTCTGTGTCAAAGGTGGATATCAATTTACTTTATACACTAGGAATTGTCATGCATATGTACCCAAACCCCAAAACCCGACTCCCTTTCCTCATCACATGTCACCTCCCATCTTCACTGTCAAATGAGCCGTGTTCTGAGCAATGTAGCAACTACCATCACTATTTCCGATTGGCTTTGGAGTACCGTCTGGGTAACCGGTATCGGTTGTCCAGTAGTTCTGGGTTGGATCACTGGTGCATTGAGGAGCCTCTTCACTCGTAATCGTCATGCTGTATTTGTTGCCTAACGAGTTCATGATAGCAGACATGTCATATCCAGATCCACCGGGCACGAAGTTGAACTCTCCCCAGGTTGTTGCATAGGCTCCTGATGCGGCAATTCGGTCAGTGGCTTGAGCGAAACAACCCTGACTTTCGGCCATGAATGCAGCGATTCCGCTTGCGCCGGGAGCCAAATTAATAGTCAGGGCGGGGTGCGTGGGTGCCATAAAAGCACCCTGGTTGGCTTGGGTAGCTCCACCATCGGGTTTATAGGCTTTGTTCCAGATAACGACGGTCATGGCTGCTCCAGATGTGTTGATGAAGGTAACGGTGAAGTCTTGGCCGGCGGTGCTAGCAACCTGGATCATATTGGACCCTTGCGTGTCGCCAATGTTTCCAACGTGGTCAATGCCGGTTCCTGACGGCGGGGTTGCTGACCCGAACTTGGTGAGGCCATTGGCCATACCGACCAAGCCACTAAAGGCTGATTTAACCTCGCTGAAGACTGCTCCGGCTGCTGCGGCCGGGGCATCTGTGTGCGTTGCTGCGGGGGCAGCGGCGGGAGTGGTAGTTGGGGTGACGACAGGAGGAGTGGCGACCGGAGTAGTAGAGGTGGATGTGTGTTGTCCAGCAGCATAAGCAGAAGCCCAGTCGATTCCCATATCATCCCAGTGGAGAGCCGACCAGTCGACGTCGCTGAGGCTAGAACGAAATGTCAGTAGTGAAACAAGGTTTCCGGGTTCAAGTCCTGCTCACTCCTTCTTCTCGTGCAAGTGTCGATGCCTATGAGCATGAGTTGGGCCAGCCACGGCTTCGCCAATGGTCATGGCGGCCAGTATCATTCCAGATGTTGAGTAACGCATTTTCGAAATGGTCTAGATATAAATCGCAGAACTCCAGATGTTTCCAAACAATTCGCGAAGCGAGGTATCCAAAAAGGGGGTGTATATGGTTTCGGGAGATGGTAGGTGGTGGAATCAAAGGAGTGTGTAAGGGCTGTGTTGCTCAGTCAACGATAAAGGAGTGATATCGAAGAATGCGAGCGAACGATCGACGACAGCCTCTGTCATCTATGAAGTGTGGTGGTGATGGAAGGGAGAGAGAAGAAGGAAGGAAGTGGGCTCTCAAGTCTCAAGTAATCTCTACGCGGGTGCCCATGGGTGTGGGTGGGCTAATTTGGGGGGGGATATGAATGGGGGCAGCGTGGAAACTTGAAAGGGACGCCGAGAGCAGGGGTAAAATTGAGATGAACCAGCTCATTAGAGTGCACAGGGAATGAGCAGGGGATGGGGCAGGGGAGATATCCGAGACAGACACGCCCAGGCAAGCAAAGGTAGGGCACGACCCACTCAGAACGCGTACCTGCACGCCAGATGGGAACCCAGGCCCGTGAGTGGCCACCACATGGCGTTCCTGGTACGCAGGTTCAAGGGTAAGCAAGACCCTCCGGCGACTGAGGCGACGCCATCTCAGCCATCTCAGCCATCTCGGCCATCAACGCCTCCATTCAGAGTCGGGCTGTTCCTGCGGATTTCAGCCTGCGGGCTCGGGGCTGCAGCAGCAGCAGCGCTCGCTGGCAAGGCGATCATCAATCCCTGATTCGCGCCACGAGTCCACGACGCCGAAAAAAGAACCTGTTTCTTCGTACAGTAAGTACGTGGCCATCTTGCGTTTTTGGCAGCCCGGCCACCATCTTGAACGTCAACAAACTCACTGCACAGCTGCAGCCAGAACGGCCGGCAGTCTCACAACGCCAAGCACTCCAGCACTCGCCCCAAGACCTCATCTGCCCACTGAGATTGCTGTATTTAAAAACCCGAGCAGCAATGTCAAACCCCACCGGCAATCAGGATTCGTGATCTCCGCGACTTCGCAGCCAGCACCTGGGCAACGGGCTCGGCCGGGATGATCTTCGGGAGTAAAATCCATCCCGTTGCGGATCGTGGGCGCCCTCGGCCCCTCAAGCTTCTGCAAAATCTGGACTAAAAGTCTGCAAGAAGGATTTTCAGCGTGCTATCAAAAAGAGTCCAGAACACTCTCACGGCCGCGTGTTTCGCCAAGGGAAAGCTAATAAGCATAGCGGTCCCGAAAGCGAGAGCTGAGGCCCCCTGCAACCCGTGCTGACTGTGCGCTCCGACCTAATTAGTTCTTTTGTGCGTGATTTATGATCCTCCCTTCAATCTTGGATAATTATGGAGACTCGCTGCATAAATGGCTTATCTCTCTCCCTAGGGGGGCCTGGGATTGGGCGAGCTTGTGCAGACTTTGTGATTCTTTGTGCATGGGCAGAGTTTTTTGTGCTGCATTAGGGTAGATCAAGCTTGGGGGTTGCGATTCACGTCTTTCTTGACCTTCACAACGTTCCGGATTGGGCGATTTCTTTCTTGACGGGACAGAACACGACTCGACATGCATGCGCTTCGCTGCCTTGGCCTTCCCACGGTTTTCTCGAGTCGGGGACCCGAGGCGGCTTGTTCCCGTTTGTTGGGAGACGTGGTGGTGTTCCTGCATACGTACCTGCAGAGCCAGGATTCGAGGAAACTGTCGTGTTGGATGGACACTGGTGGGCCAAGACGGGGATTGGCAAAGCAGGGGAAAGTTGTTCTTCGCTTTTTTTCATGTGAGAGTGATTTTTTCACTGAGGTCGTTTTTGCCTTTCGTTTTGTTCCAAGTTTCCTGGCCGTCTGCGGCCGTTCAAAGATCAAAAAACATGTGTCTGTCTGTCCGTGGTGCTGGGAGCCCGTTCTTGCGTCCCTGTTGGAAATTCTATTTCAGCGTCAACGGCCCCAACAATGGCTTCGGAACACAAGGGTGTCGTTCGCAAGTGGCCAGCTAATAGGTCTTTTGCATGTGGTTCAGCCTCCAGCAGTTGTTCATTCACAAAGAGCTATGACTCGTTTAGTGATGAGCCAGTCAGACGGTTTCGTGGGTTCAGATGTGCTGTGGGATCGTTCATTTGCCACTTCGGCGGTTATTCACACGCTCGCGAAGGAAAGTAGAGGCACGTCAAAACAAGCTTATTTTTGAAGGATCAAACAAAGAAAGAAGGTTCAACTCAGCCTCTCGAATTGTAGGCAAGATTGCATTGATTGAGGCGGACTCCATGGTCGCATTTGTTTGGGGTAGCATGACCAACATCGAGGTGACCACAGCGACCAAGTAACAACAAAGCAATCGTTTGCATCACCACCAGTAGACACTTGAATCTTGGGAGCTTCTCAAACTTGTGGACGAGGAAGTCTTTTTCGAGTCACACGAACCAACACAGTTGTAAATAGAAATTTCCAGTGAGATCTTGAACTACCCATTCTATCCATCCTATATCTATGCGGTGATGTCGAACTCCAATCAAGACACCTGGGATTAAGAATGCACGGTTATCTAGGTTTCAACTTCGTCCAGCCGTTCATGCCAGGCTTCCTTGCTCCATCACCGCCAACCATTTCCACAGCCTCCATGACAGTTCTCATGCTCATGAAGCTCTGCATGCCTAGGCCGGGCGCTTTGTCACCCTCTTTCCTTGCTCCCACTACGACTCCGTCGTCACCCATCTCATCCTCCACGTGCCAGGCATCTTCATCCAACACCTCCCATTCTGCATTAGCGACCTCGCTCAAGAGTTTTAGCTTGAGCTCCCCCGCTAATTTCATAGGGTTTGGCAGTTTCCAGCTTCGAATGAAGTACGTGCCTTCTGCATTCCCTAGGAACGAGTGTGCTGAACCGTGAGAATATTGGCCCATGGTTGCTGCAGGAGCATTCTTCCTATCCTCGGTCTCGGTTTCTGTATCTCGGGTACCCTTTGTAGGAGTAGTTTGAGCCGATGGCACTCGACTGGGAGGTGCGGGCCGCGGCCGAGATCCAAGAAGGAGGTTGTAGAGATTTTTCCCAATGTTGCAAATGTCCTCGAAGCTGGGCTCTTTATCTTCACCCACAGGTATACCTTGACTTTTGCAAACCCACGCCACATCATATGCCAATAGAGTTACTCCTTCGAGGAAGAGACCATAACCAGAAGGGTCCTCTGTCGCAAGTAAAGGAAGAGGCTTCTTGATGAACAGCGGACGAGGACGTGGTTGGTTCGGTTGTTCGGGCTGTCGTGAGGCAGTAGGGCTAGTGTTCGAGGACTGTCCAGATGTCCCTGGAAACGGGACGTCCGCGTGTTTGTATGAGGAAGTAAGATTGAAAATAGTTGGAAGCGGGTAATCTCGATGTGGCAGAGTGATCTCAGCAGGCAGACGAATTGCTAGATAATGTGTTGAAAGCATCAAAAGATGTACGATGTGCGACAGGGCTGTTGAGATCTGTGCCGGACTCGCAGCTGCAGGAACCGAATCAGTATTGTCTCTCACAAAGCCTGGGATAAACTCACTGTTCATGGTCCTCAGATCAACTATACTTACTCCTCCTATTTTATATTCTTCCGAGCCACTGTTTCTTCCGGCCCTTTTGAGGCCATACAACTTGGCAGCCTCACCGCAGAGGAAGGCCCTTGAGGCAGCAGTCGTTCCGTGCCCTTGATTCCATTTGTACTTTGTCATGCGGAGACCCTTCTCTACATCCTCAACCTGCCTAGTCCTCCGAGAGTCGACACCATTTAATGCTGATGCCAAGTCTGACTTCCTGCGAGCAAGGAGAGCCTTCTTCTTGGCTATCTTCTCCCTGGCACTCTCAACCTTAGCTCGCAACTCATCTGCCTGTGTGATAATCTGCTGAGTCCGGTCTACCGTCCGCTCCCTCTCAGCAAGTATTGAGGCACAATTTGGGCCGTTTGCTGGCCCCTGGAGTGAGTTGCCTTTGTCGCCTGTGGACTGAGCTTTTGGTGACAGGAGGGTGGTTATTTGCTGATCAAGCGCGTCCTTCTCGAGGAGGACTCGAGCATTCTGGATTCGCGGTTCGTAGAGGCGGTTCCGCGCGTCAGTAGGGCATAAGAATGGAAGCCTCGATCCGCCAGTGCGAAAGCATATGTCGCACTGCATGTCGTCAAGGACTATGGGGATGACTCGTCGTGAGGAGTCCGGTCGGGGGAATGTGGTTGTATCGACACAGCAAAGGGAGTTGTGGCGAAGCTTGAATGGTCAAGCGCATACATATCGTAGATGCAGTATATCAGGAGGGAGAGGTGAGGTTCTTATAGGTTGTTCATCGTGGTCGTGGCTGTTGTCGTTCTGGACTGGCAAGGCTGCTGGTCGAGGATCAAGTCTCGGCGATAAGCCCTCGCTTCACCTTATCGGAGACACACGTGATCTCGTGCTCGGAATGGTTCAAGTCGCGTGGTTGGTCGCGACGTCCTCGTGCAACTCCTCCTTCTGAAAAGATGCTTAGTATCTGACCAGTTGATCAACAAGTTGCATGGACATTCATCAAAGATCTCCACAATCAAACCTCGTCCCAACGGTCTCCTTCCACCATGTCATCTTCTCCTGGCTCTCCATCGTCTCTGCCAGTATCACCAACGAAGGAAGCAGCTATGGCAGTCGAGAAGGAGAATACTACCCCGGGGACCCCTCTACGAGACACACCAGTCAACGGATCCAGTAAGGTCGTTGCCCATGTGGATGCAGATCCGCCAAGAAATCCTGGAGAAGTGGTTCAAGTTCCCAGCACTGCTCCACCCACGGCAGCATCAGTCCACAAGCCAGATGAAGCCCATAAGGTTGATCAAATGGAAGCCCAACACGCCAAAGATGCTGAGGGACCTCCTAGCGAGTCGGATAGCGTGGGTTCAGAGGGTGCAAGTTCAGACCTGCCCATCTTTGACTGGGAAGACCTCCGGCGTCGATACACAAAAGCCATTCAAGCCGTCAATCAGGAGGAGGAAGATATTCTGGAGGAGTTCTACAAGTTCTCTGACGTAAGGGTCCAAAATTTGCGGGATGTTAGAGTTGTGCTGACATTTTGTGCAGGCTTTCTCTGTCTGGGGGGGAGCGTCAGCAAACCGTGACAATGAGAGAGCAGCGAAGCGGTAAGCTATTTGATCCCTTTATTTCTCACTAGACTAACATTGCATAGTCTAAAGACTCGCGAGAACTTCGTACGTCTTGGAGAAGCCTCTTTGGACGAGAAAAAGAAGCATTGTAAGTGATATTCGTGATTGAGAGCGTCACAACGAGCTGACCGAGTGAAAGATACTGAGGTCGTGGATGCTTTCAAGAAAGCTCTCGAGTTACTGCGTCGTTGATGAGGTTGTCTGTCGCTATTTTTCTGACCACCACCATATGGCCTACGACTTCCTACCTGGTACCGTCTGGAGCTAGCTAAACAAATCTTCCAACCAGCGAGTCCATCACATTATTTAGCAGGGCAATCCTGTCCAACCCATAAGATCTCCTTACCCACGGACTTGCCTCCGGTCCCCAAAGGATAATTGGCTACGTGTTCGACATATACCCATGAACGATAGCACGAGCTCTACGATATCAAAACACCTCCCCACTGGCATTTCTACCTCACGGTTTGGCTGGGCAATCTGATAAGGTCCTGCCACCTTCATGGAAATGACAAGAGATAGAAAGGACTGCCTTTACGTGTCTAGTGAGCTACTGTTTCTGGGGATATCACATTACATTCATGACTGCAATCCTCATACTAAAAAAATTATCTCGCATCGTTGAACAAAGGCGAAAGTCCACCATTCAACCTTGCGGGACATTCGATGGTTTGGCAAGACCCGTTCTTCTCAAATGTTCCAAAAGTTTTGCTACAGTGAACTTTGAAGCTGAGAGTGAATCTTGAAGTCAAGAACTTGTTGCATATCGCTCCAACATTCCACAAGTTCTGGTACATTCAGATTTCCCTGGAAGTGGAGAGGGAATATCAAATTATGCTCCACATTGCTACCATTTTCTTTCAAATTCGCGAGGTCATGAATTCGTTTCTGTTTATTCATCTTTCTACTGAAGGCCACAAACTAGCTAAGTTGGCACGCAAAAAATGCCAACCCTTCCAACACATAAAGGTTTGAACCTCCTTGAATCTCAAGCCTGGGTATCCTTTTCACTCGCCAACAAATCAGGAAGACCCAGCCCATCCGCAACAACCTTCTGGAGCTCGGATACGACATCTATTCTGCTTAGATTGTCAGGGCGGTTATGCGTGAGTGCATCTTTAGCAAGTGCAAACGCAAGTGGGTTGTAGAGGACTCCTTCGTGGGTAGACAGGGTACCTGCTGGTTGGGCGAGTGCAAACGTTCTGCAGCTTGACGTTCGTGACAACGACGTTGCGTTGGTCAAGAATGTACGCGGATGCACCACTACCTTCCAGAGGCTGGACTATTTCATCGAAGATGCTTTACACAGAAGTTCTTGGGACGTATGCTGAGCTCCCGCCCGCATTTCTGAGGGTAGCCACGAAAGTGGAGTTGTACTCTTGCTGTGATGAGAAATTCTGTCAGTTTCTGCAACTCGGGCGGTTTCTTGCAGCTTATCTGAAGAACAGTAGGAGGGCACTTTCGCTGTGGGAAGCCTGGACAAACCATATACGCAATAGTGGTGCCATGGAAATCTCCGCTGGTGGTGATGAAGTCTGATACAATGGATCTTGTCGACGGCCAGTACGCTGACCGTCAAGAGAGCCTTCTGGCCAAGAGAGCATGGAGATGTTCTCATTGCCAGAGATCGCTGAGATATGGCTGATTGCATCGCCACATACTTGGATTCTGGGCATCGAATTAGATTCAGTGATAACAATCAGGGCGTTTAACTTACCAACTTGGATATCTGCCAACTGATTTCCTGGGATGTTGACGTATACAGGGATCTGCGTAATCCGAGCCAGCGAACAGCTTCCCCAAATTGGGCGCGAAGTTCTCGCCAGCAGTAACTCCAGTCCCAGGAATGAATAAGACGGGAGGATATTTTTTTTTTTCCATATGTGAATGTCGACGGAGTGTAGACTGCGGATCTCAAACTGTTCTCATCGACTGAGTATGGCGCATCGTCTTGACTCTTCTTCGGATATACCGCATGGGTTGGCGTGATGAGATTCAGGTTGTTGCTGGAGTTCTCAATTGGAGATTCGCCGGAAGCGAGGTTGACAAGATCTCTTGGGGTGAGACCCTCGAGAATCGTCCAAGGCAGCAGAGATCATCTTGTTTGAAAGTGAATAAGGTATTTCTCCTCCGACCGAAATCATGTGTGGTTCTTTTCTCATCAAGCAGTCTCTGAGGTACTCGACAAGATGCTGATGCACGCTACTTATGTTTCGTTAACATGTGTGGCATTGGAGTGGTGCAGTCAAGCTCAATGTGGCTTCCTCAGGTGGAAATGCTTCATCTCTGCTCATGTACGGAATTATGTTTGAAGTACGTGACAAAGGAACAGCTTTGCTGAGATATCCAACAACCTCCCCGGTCAAAAGAATGGATGAAGAGGAGTACTGACAAAATACAGGATATCAAGTACAGTGGAGATGGGGGCATGTACGCTGAATTGATTTGCAACAGGGTATTCCAAGGGGGTTCACCTGTGAGTCCGTTCACGGCAGCAGTTGGACTAGCAACTTTTTCTTTTGAAAAGCTTGTCTCAGCCACTTTCTTCCCCTCTGCCAAAGTCGATGGACGTAACTGGTGGCTCAAGGACGGTGGTATTCTCCAATCCTGGATGGTGGGGCATTGGTGTCAAAGTTCAACCGTATAGGGGTTCTCTCATGTCAGAGGATCGTACTCCGGGAGCTTCACCGCACCCTTGTACCCCCCCAAAAACACAGTCCTAAGGAAAATGCAAATCCCCTCAATAGCAACAATGGGTTCCTAAGTCCAACATAACTTTACTCTGACTCCAACCAAAGCAGCGACGACTTCCAACAATACGTTGAGCATCACTTATGATGCTTTAGTAAGTAAATAGTCAAAATTGACTCGAAGGAAAAGGGCTTTCTCAGAATCTAGAGTGTGTCAGGAGGATGACTGGATTTCAATTTGACCAGCCTTTCCCCACCAAGAGTCGAGAAAATGGAGTGCGTGAGGATCTTATGGAAAGCCTTAACAGACTTGAAGCCGGTGAGTTCTGCCAACGGAAACCCACCCCAATCCTTGCTATATGCCCAAGTTTTGACTTGGAACATTGGGAGTAAGTGTCTCTTTTCTGACTGAGAGACTCTAATAACGTTGACAGTCTTTTCTTCGCTTCCCTGTGGAAACATTATCGAGGGAACAATGTTCCTGACTCCAGAAAATGGAGCAACACTATTAGACCACTCGCCAACAGACCAGGGAGATCTGGTACTTGGAACTACCAAATCGCAGATGGTATTGGACTTGTGGAGATCATTCATTGGTGTGAAGACCTTAACATGGATATGGTGAGTGAGAATGAAGTCGTGGACCACTGACCGCAGTAAGCTAACGAAATGAAGTACTTGCAACATTCAGTGGCCTCTACCTCTCAAAGGCCGTTGTCGGTCAATCTGCACTTCAGCCTTATGTTGATGAGTTTATTGACGAGCTTGAATTTCTGATGGGTTTAACGAGTACAAATAATGGAGCTCTCCGGACTTCTCTTGGCTACCCGAATCCTTGGAAAATCAACTATGTTGGAATTGGCAATAAGGACAAGTTGAATAATGGCCAGGCGTCGTATAGTTTGTATCGATTCTCCGCTTTCTACAATGCAGTCAAAGCCAAGTATTCGGATATGACAATTATTGCGAGTTATGCCGGCATGTCCTTGCCTAGCACAACCGGACAGGATTACCATGTGTATAATCATCCTAATCTTCTAGCAAACCAGTTTGACTACTTCGACCACTCCTCGAGAAGCCATAAAAGTTTGATAGAGTAGGCCTCGGTCGTCGCTACAAGCTTCGTTCCTATCACAAGCTAAGATTGCTGTCGCTAGGGGAGTATGAAAATATCGAGCAAGACGCCAAGGGGGACCCAGGTGTGGACTGAAATATAGCCCACCTTATTTTTCCATGGTGGACTGGAGCTGTCAGTGAAGTTATATACCGCTGGGGCAGAGAGAAATTCAGATGTAATGATCGGGGCATCTATGTACCTCTGCTTTATAACCTGAATAGTCACCAATAGCTGCCCGACTTGATAGGTTAGTCTTTCGGAGCGGTGGAATGAATACGTGCTGATAATCTGTAGGGTTTACAGCAGACCCCGCCCAAACAGCTCGCAGCACTAACCACAGCGTGGTCAGTGTAAGTAGAGCGGTTGACTCCTCTTCAACCCCCACAATCGACACTGACGTTCTTGTAGCTTCTATCCAGCTCTCGAATAACCAACACACTTCCCGTCACCGGCGACGGTTTCAGGCGTCGATATTGGGTGGCCGGCTTCAAGTCCAAAGCCGGCCCATATGTTCTCAAGACTGCGGTCTACAATGGTAGCGGTACACTGTCGATGATAGTCATTTTTGCAGCAGCGAGCGAGGGAGCAACCGCTGTGCTCACGATTCTGACTGCACCATCTGGGACAAGTAATAATGTTATTGGGACCAACATTTTGAAGACAACCACACAGACTTTGGTTGCTGGGGCTGGTGCAACTTTCACCTTTTCCTTGCCAAACTTGAGTGTTTCTGTTCTCGAAGTCAAAAGCTCTGCGGACCGCTGAGGTTTTTTTCGGGGTTTCTGGCAGACAACTTCGTAGAAATAAGAAATTCCAATTCCCCAGAGTAAATGAAAAGAAGATCAAAGGTTTATTGTGATGTTTTGAGATGGACAGATTCGGTTGCTATTTTGTAAAACAATTGTAGAAGATGAAGGTCCTGTCCCTTGTGAAATAGCCTCGCTAAGCCTTCAGCCTGCCGAGCCAGCAATATGTTAGGCGCGACAGGCTTGCCAAAAACATCAGGAATAATGTGAGCACAACAGCAGTGACCTTCGACCAAATCAGCAGCATGGCTGCACCAACGGTCTCACCTGTAAGTACTGAAGCGCTGTGAATATTCATTCTTAGCTAATTTGTTCACAGGAAGATCTTGCTGCCTTCCACGCGACTCACTTCTCCACGAGCTCCACGACCCATTTCGTGGAGCAGTTCCTTGGTCCGGTCGAGGAGGAAGAGTACCTAGAGGATTTGGAGGACGATGGCCTGGGGTACTATGAAGATGGAACCAAACGCACCTTGACGGATGAGCAGATAGCAATCTTCCGGCACTCTGAGATTCAGGCCCTGTTGCGAGATCGACGACACGCCGCTGAAGCAAAACAAGACAAGGAAGATAACCAGACGGAAGAGAATTCGCCAAAGGTGCAGATAGAAGGTATTCTAGTGCAGGAGGCTGTTGTAGAGGAACAAGTCCAAGGGGAAGAGATGCTTGAGGATGGCGAGCTCGATGAAGAGGCAGAGACCCCGACTACCGAGATGCCCAGCTCTTCACCGGCCACGAAGGGCAAGAAATCCAAGAAGAGGGGGAAGGAGGCCCAGAAGACCGAAACGGCAAAACAGAAAAGCTTCTTCAAGCAACATATTAAGCCGGATTTGAGGAAGAGAACATGGGATAAGGTGGACACCGGACTTGAGAGCTTGGATTACGATGAAGGCGACTCTAGCGCCGCTTCAACGAGGTTGATACAGAGAAGGCGAATTTCTTACGACGATGACTGAGTCGGCCTGCCACGAAGACGACAAAGATCTACCATTCGAAGCTGATACCAGCTCCGGATCGCAAGCTTCACAACACCCAGCCAATCTATCCCCCAAACCGGCCCCGGTAAGCATATCAGTCTATTGCTCCCATACTTCAGAAGTCATCTGATGAAAACCATTGTATCGTCATCCTTAGTCTGAAACTGGTGGAAGTCTCTTGCCCTCCCAGCTGTCTCTGTGTTGTGCGTCTGGCTCCACGCTGGATCTTTGATGAAACACAATCTTCTCTCTGAAAGACTTTGATTCCTTCTTAGTAATTACATTTGGTATGTGCCAAAGTTTTGCTGACAATTCTATGCCTATAGAACTGCTTTGATCTACACATAGACTCCCCGCAAAGTTCGCCATGAAAGGTCAAAGGAACTGTATTTGCAGATTTGTCAAGTGTAATTGCGGTGGGTTTCCTCCCGCAGAATAGCAGGGACTCGGTATGACGGAAGCTGTATCTGAGAGACTGCCAAAGATATGAAGAGTGAGGGCTGCGGGTTGCGAATGGAAATGTTGATACGAGGCTGGCTCGCAGCCTTGCATACTTTAGCTCCCGCCAATGTCACAAGGGAAGCTGAATCCATATGTCACTCATATATCTTCCACATCTCACCCAAAACTTGAAATCAAAACCGAAATGCCTGGTCTTCCAAGTTACGACCAACATCTTCTAGACCGTCTAAACGCACTGAAAAAGTCGAGCATACAAATTGAGTCCTCAAAGTAATCCTCTCCACTCGATTCTCATGTCAGATGCTGAATCCCGTAGACGGCAGCCCGAGTCTAACACGTTCGCAAAACCCTCGACTCCAGAATCAGATCTCTCAGCCCGTCTTAGAAGCCTTAGAAATGGCTCCTTATCTCCCTCCCCGGCCCCAAAATCATCGGCGCCCGCCGAGCCGTCGCCATTTCCAGTAGCCCCCGTCGATGATCCAGATCCCCTGCGTAACCCTCTGGGTCCAGATTACAAAACTCTCGACGAACTTCTTGCCGATCTTGGACCCGAAGATCAGTGGACGCTGAATCCTGATGATCCAGGCGATATCAAGAAGCTCATGGATGAAGCAAGGGAAGCTTTACCCCACGATGAGCATCCTCCGACCTCTCGTACTGAGAACACGGAAGAAGAGTCAAAGTTGCAGGGAAAGAAACCAGACAAAGATTGCTTGACCAGCGATCTCGATATGTCTGTCTTTGCTTTAGACGATGACGATAACAAGGAAAAGGGAAGAGAGTCAAATCTGGAGTACGAATCACGTGAAGCTCAGGACATTGTTGCAAGACTACTGGATGAAGTCAACCTCGAGAGAGCAAACGAGCCCAAGGACTCAGAACCAGTCCCAGATGAGCCTGAAGAGGGGGATGAAGAGGAGCCTAGTTTCTTACTTCCTTCAGCACCATCCAAACTTCCTGATCCACCGGCAGGGGCAGAATCCAGCAAGAAATCACTTGATTTTGAATCGGACATCGTGGCACGAATGGCAGTATTAAAAGGCCTGGGATCAACAAACGAGTTAGGCCTACCTTCGGCACCGACGTTCAAGCCGCTTGATAAGCCGGTCAAGGGGGTGATGAAGAAGTATACGGATGAGGAAATTGCTTCTTGGTGTATTATTTGTCAGGATGATGCCACGGTGAAGTGTCTAGGCTGTGATGGAGACTTGTATTGTGCTAGGTGTTGGAAAGAAGGGCATATGGGACCTGATGTGGGCCGGGAAGAGAGAGGGCATAAGTGGACAAAGTTTAAGAAACCCAATTGATAGGGGATAAATGCAACCTCCAACACCTCTACACCAGCTCTTGAAGTCATAACCTTGTGCAGACTCAACACAACACTAATACCTGTCTGTTCTTCCACCTCCCATCCTTGTCACCGTCTGCACACGACTTCACCCCAAGTTATTGCTTTTCCGCCCACACACCATTCCAAAACAAGAGATACGACCCTATACAAAAAAGCACAGCAGTCCCAATCAAATGCCCCCGAAACGCACCTTTCGGTCCATTCCTCGCAGAAATAGCAACATCAAAGTGCCCCTGCACGCAAGGGCAAAGAGAGACAACCCCAATAGCTCGAGCATCATTGAGGTACCCAAGAACCGGCACGACGAGGTCTAGGTTGAAGTTTCGTGCCGCAATGGCGTAAAGCCATGGGCTCGTTAGGGAGGAGGAAGCTTGAGGAAGATTCCAGGCGTGACCGAAACCTGAAGGCGTTTAGGCCGGTTGTGATGGGGATGGCGCCGAAGCCGTAGGCGGAGGGTTGGGCGAACAATTTGTCGGATGTGGTGTGGGTAGCTTTGAATATTGAGGACATCGTGAAAGAAAATGTGTGGATAGTTATATACGTAATTTCACATGTATTTAGTATCTTGTTAAGAGTGCTGACAGGATGCACAGCCCGGATATATTGGGGTCAAGATTGGATGAAAACACCTGAACAGCTACGAGGCAACGTTCTAAGCAGCAAAGACGTATTTGAAATGAAGTAATACAGTGTAATTCATGACCCATCCCATAACATGTTCATTTTTGGAGCCCATTGTGTGTGGTATTCCCCAACTCCCAAATTTCAAAAGACCCGTAACATCCAACAGAATACAACAATCGCACAGTGACAATTCAATTTCATTCAACCTCAACCACAAATTTCAGTCCTCTTCTGCATGAGAATCATCGCCCCGGATTCCTCGCCCAGCTGCGCCTCCGGTTGGCTTCTTAGCCTTTCCACGAATATCTTGCCAAGTAGCTCCAAAGCGGCGACCAGTGCTGGCAAGAAGTCCCTCCTCCTCATCAGCTTCAGCGTCCTCATCCATTTCGCTCAGATTGAGTTTCGGAGTCCTGAACAACGAGAGGAGGAATACGATCAAGAACACTCCCATGAAAACAAACTGTGCCCAGAAAGTAAGGGCGCCAAAAAAAGGGAAGTTGAATGTGACCCGGTTGAGGAAGGTGGACACCACACTAGGTGTGCAGACATCCTTAGAGGCATGGTCTTTCGAAAGCTCCGAACAAAACTTGACGAGGTCGGGGAGGTTCGTGCAATCCGGTTGCTCGCCTGGATGTTTGGGAGCATTGCTACAGAATTTCTGGGCGCCATAAGTGGCGTACTGAGGAGCCACCATCATTGCAATCGAGTAATTGATTGCAAGCATGATTAACGTCAGCATCACAGTCACGACAAGCATAGCTTGAGGTGTGGTGTGACCCTTCCGGATCTCGAAGAGTTTCACCCAGAGGAATCGAATTCCAATGCTGGCAATTCCGGCCACTGAGCTGCTGAAGAAGAATAGGACCAGAAGCGCCATCAAGACATAATCAACCGGGAACACTCTCGAGGCTTGGACGAAGACCCAATTGACGGGTTGGAAGACGTTGATGCTGTGAAAAATAAGCAGGTGCCACAGTATAACGGAAATTTCGATTACTAACCTGCCCAAAATGTAACCACAATGCTCTTTGCAGATCGAGTTCTTCGCTTTGTCAATGCCGGTGATCAACATCGACACCCATATTATTACGGAGAGTGATAGGAGGAGGATTCCACCAATGAGTTTGAGTGGTCTGAAAATGGCGCAGACTTTAGTCCACGCCTTCACAATGAAACTCTTTCCTTCTCCTTGAGCTTCTGCTGCGAGTCGTTCTCGTCTAACCAGAGTCCTCTCCTCACGAACTAAGGCCTCTAGTTCGCGCTGGTCCTTGGGTGGCATGCCTACCTCTCGGCCTGCATTACGACCTTCGATCTGACGTTGTCTTTCTCGGTTCTGCTCCAATGCTGTAGCGGTAGTCTCTGATAGCTGAGGGGCGCTGATAGAGGGTGCGGATTTGATGAAAGATATTGGCAGAAGTGCAAATCCTGCCGCTGTGTAAAGGATGTACAGTAGAGTACCCAGTGAAATTAGTAGACCGAGAGCAAAGGTCAGAGCCCGCTCCCCTTGATTCTCCGCCAAGAGACGTTTGAAGTAATCGAGATCAAAATGGCCTCCTGCTCGATTTCTCGCGACTGGTACGAAGAATCCAACGAGGAATAAGATCACAACTAGAGCGACAAATATCAAAGTATATTTCAACGCTCCCAAGAATCTTTTGCTAAAGGTCTGATTGCCCTCTTCTGTTTCCACATCATCATATTCCTCATACAAGAAATATGTGAAGGGAACGACCAGCAGGCAAAGAACGGCATCCAGACTGTAAAGTGCATAGTAGACAATCTTGAGTGTCAACAATAGGTGATGAACTGTTTCCGGTGTTGCCCAATCTTTCTTTGCTCCTAACTTCGAGGTGGTCGAGCTGACCAAGGCAATATCAACGGGCAAGAGTAAGACCGTGGCCAGCAAGGAGGTTAATGTGATGATTGTAACGGTTGAGACCAAGGCGGATCGGTCTCGAGGAGTTTGGTATATGTATGTGAAAATGGCTGCGATGAGCGCCACGACTCCTAAGGCCACTGCATATGCGACCCATATGAAGGCGGTTTGAATGAGCGCCATGTTTGCGCCGCTTATTAGGGGGGTCGAATGATAGACACTGTTTCGTGGGCTGAGAACGCGTCGTTAGCTATGTCCACTTGAGAGGGATGGAAGGATGAGAGGCAATGCACCGCAAATTCCAAAATACTTACAGGCCAGGGTAATGGGCTGGAATATTGTGTACTTCGAAGAAAGAGAAGGAATGTGTGTTGCCTTGATGCTGTCGGCATCGGATGGACTGATTCTCTGACGTAGCTGCGCTGGGCTCGGGGCAGAAGCTAACAAACAGGGATGTGAAGCTAAATCCCTGCACCAAAATGCTGCCGACGCGCTAAAGGGCGATCTCAAAAAGCGAAACTGGAGACAACGACAATTGAGTTCAACACCCTTCACCTTCAAGCTCCGAGGATGCTCGATCCTCTACACCTTCGATAATGCAATGTTATACGGAGCTGACACCTCCTACAGCTGTCACACACTCTTTAAGCTTGCCATTTGTTTCCGCGACTTCGAACAATCTTATCGTCGCCAAAACCTCCTTACTCCAAATCTTCTCCACGAAAACCATTTCGATTGAGGTCGAAGGTCCTGCAGCTAAAGATGCAGCAAAGCGGGGAATTGCATATGACCCAACGATCAACGATGAAGATGGACTGGCAGATTCTTTCCTGGGCGAGGATTCAGCGATGCGTGTTGATCGGACAAAGCAAACGAAGCTCATTCTGGTCGCCGAATACACACTCTCTGGAACGATAACATCACTCGTACGGATCAAAACTCTGTCTTCTAAATCAGGGGGTGAAGCTTTGCTGGTTGGTTTTAGGGATGCAAAGCTCAGTCTGGTGGAATGGGACCCGCAACGTCCTGGCATATCAACGATTTCTATCCATTACTACGAGCAGGATGATCTTCAGGGCAATCCGTGGGCACCGAGCCTTAAAGATTGTGTCAATTACCTGTCAGCGGATCCTGGAAGCAGATGTGCTGCACTCAAGTTCGGAGCCCGAAATCTGGCCATTCTGCCTTTCAGACAGGATGAAGAGGATGCCAACATGGATGACTGGGACGAAGAGATGGATGGACCTCCGCCTGGGGACAAGACAGTATTCAAAACCATGAATGGGGATAGCAAAAAGGAGGAGACGCCGTATGGTTCCTCATTTGTGTTACGACTTCCGGCTCTTGATCCCAATCTTACTCATCCCATTCATCTGGCATTCCTTTACGAATATCGGGAACCAACTTTTGGAATCATCTGTTCTGCAACGTCTCCCGCATCATCGCTTCTTAACGAGAGGAAAGACAACTTAACATACATGGTTTTCACCCTGGATCTTCATCAAAGGGCCTCGACGACCATTCTCTCGGTGAGTGGCTTGCCCTATGACTTGTTTGAAGTTGTTCCACTACCGGCACCCGTCGGTGGAGCACTTCTTGTTGGCTACAACGAATTGATACATATCGACCAATCTGGAAAAGCTAATGGGGTCGGAGTGAACATGTTTGCCAAACAGAGCACATCTTTTGCACTTGTGGATCAGTCAGATCTCCAAATGCGATTAGAAGGATGCAAAGTAGGGCAACTCTCGATCCAGAACGGAGAAATGATAATTATCCTGCAGACCGGAGAGCTGGCAATACTGAGTTTCCATGTTGACGGGCGGTCTGTTTCTGGTCTAAGCGTTCGCCGAGTCTCCAGCGAAGCAGGAGGCTCGCTCATTCCTGGATGTGTCTCGTCGATAAGCTCTCTTGGTCAGAACAGTTTCTTTATTGGAAGCGAGCGTGCTGACTCCATCGTCCTCGGCTGGACCCGGAAATCGAATCAACTTTCCCGCCGGAAATCCAGGTTAGACTTGGCCAATGAGGATGACGTTCTAGATGACGATGAGGATGAAGAGGATATCGATGAAGATGCTGACGATGATTTATATGGAGATGGTCCATCAGTAACACAAGCTTCTAATGGCGCAAGTCAACCAGATCCATCAAACACAAAAGCAGGGGATTACATCTTCTCGATGCACGACTCTCTGGTGAACATTGGCCCCATAACAGATGTAACGCTAGGCAGCTCCAACGTCTATGCCGATGAAATGGAGAAATCAAACTTCGAAGGTGTGACAAGCGAGCTGGAATTGGCGGCTGCAGTTGGCAGAGACAAAGCTGGAGCAGTTGCTATTGTTCACCGCAATATTGAACCGAAAGTCATTGGCAAATTTGAATTTCCTGAAGCGCGAGGGATATGGACTATGAGCGCCAAGAGACCTACAGAAAAGGGCCTCGAGGCCAGCAAAGAGAAATCCGCAACTAGTGGTGACTATGGTGCGGATGCACAATATGATAGGTTAATGATAGTATCGAAAGCTCTGCCTGACGGAAACGAAATATCGGACGTCTATGCGCTAACTTCGGCGAATTTCGAAGCGCTTACAGGCACTGAGTTTGAACCTGCTGCTGGACCGACAATTGAAGCTGGAACATTGGGTAATGGCATGCGTGTCATTCAGGTACTGAAATCTGAAGTTCGAAGTTATGATGGTGGTAAGTCTTTCTTTTCTTCCAGGCTCTTCCTCCTAATTGAATCAAATGTGAGTCATGGTGATGGTGGAGAATTTGCCACCCTCTTGGGATTTACCAATATCATCCAGTTGATTCGCTTTCCGAGGAGCTATCTGGGAATATACAATGTCCAATAGCATCAATGAAAGTGTTTACCATCACAACATTTATGCATCCACATCATGTGCCATTGTCCCGACATATCATCCTATAGCTAGCTAGTTCACTTGTCGACCAGAGCTAACCCCGAGATATATCTTAGATCTCGGCTTGGCCCAAATACTGCCCATGTATGACGAGGACACCGGGGCGGAGCCGAAGATAGTCAGTGCGAGCTTTGCAGATCCGTATCTGTTGCTATTTAGAGATGACTCAAGCATCTTTGTTGCTCAATGTGATGACAACAACGAGCTAGAGGAAATTGAGAGAGAAGACGACGCCTTGCTCGCCACCAAGTGGCTGACTGGGTGCTTGTATGATGATACGACGGGTGCTTTTGCACCAGTGCAATCCGACAAAGGGTACAAGGCAAAAGAGAGTGTGATGATGTTCTTGCTTAGTGCTGGAGGAGCTTTGCACGTCAGTTTCCTATCTACTTCCGCAAAGGTACTTTATTAACAAAGCTAGATTTATGCTCTGCCCAACCTTTCCAAAGTGGTCTACGTAGCTGAAGGTCTATGCTTCGTACCTCCGGTTCTCTCGGCAGATTATGCCGCCAGACGATCTGCTGCTCGCGAGACTCTGACCGAGATCCTCGTTGCTGATCTTGGCGATGAGATCTCAACATCTCCATATCTGATTGTGAGTCTAGACATTGCGTTCTATGTGACAATACTGACTGGTGTTAGTTACGACCTTCCAATGACGACTTAACGATATATGAGCCCTTCCGCATGAACTCTTCTTCAACCTCAAACACACTCTCATCAACGCTTCATTTTCTAAAGATCCATAATTCACATCTAGCCCAGAACCCAGATGTCGCTGCTGAAGAAATTGTGGACGAGGCACAAAATACGATGAATGAGCCAATGCGTGCTGTTGCGAACCTAGGCAGCTACAGTGCAGTCTTCTTGCCGGGTGGATCGCCCAATTTTATCCTCAAAAGTTCTAAAAGCACACCTAAAGTTATCAACTTGCAAGGTGTTGGCGTCAGAGGAATGAGCAGCTTTCATACGGAGGGCTGTGAGAGAGGTTTCATCTACGCAGACGTAAACGGAATCGCACGAGTTGCCCAATTGCCTCCTGATACGAATTTCGCGGAGCTTGGAGTATCTCTTCAAAAGATGACCCTTCATGAAGATGTCCATGCTATCGCCTACCATCCTCCAATGCAATGCTACGTTGTAGGTACGAGCAGCCCAGCCGAATTCGAGTTGCCAAAAGACATCGATTACCACCGCGAATGGGCCCAAGAAGATATTGTGTTTAAGCCAACCATGGAGAAGGGATTCCTGAAGTTGATTAATCCCATCAACTGGACAGTTATCCAAACCATTGAGCTGGATCCCTCCGAGGTTGTCATGTGTGTCAAGACTCTTAATCTCGAGGTCTCAGAAACCACCAATGAGCGAAGGCAACTAGTGACGGTTGGGACGGCCATTACGAAAGGCGAAGATCTGGCAACAAGGGGGCGGATTTATGTCTTTGATATCGTCAATGTCATCCCTGAGCCAGACCGGCCAGAAACGAACAAGAAGCTGAAAGAGATAGCCCGGGAAGACATTCCTCGAGGAGCTGTAACAGCAGTCTCAGAAATCGGCACCCAAGGATTTATGCTGGTCGCTCAAGGCCAAAAGTGCATGGTGCGAGGTCTGAAAGAAGACAATAGCCTCTTACCTGTAGCATTCATGGACATGAACTGCTACGTAACGACCATGAAAGAGCTCCCTGGCACCGGGCTCTGCGTTTTTGGAGACATCATAAAAGGCATATGGTTCGCCGGCTATACCGAAGAACCCTATAAGATGATCCTATTCGGCAAATCGAGCAAGAACATGGAGATCGTTGTCGCGGATCTGTTGCCAGACGGGAAGGAACTACATATCGTGGCTGCGGACTCGAACTGCAATTTGCATGTTTTGCAGTACGATCCTGAACGTATGTCTCTCTACTCCTTATCACTTCTTTTTCTCTTCCTTACTAACTGAACTTGATTTCAGATCCCAAATCCCTCCACGGGCAAATCCTCCTCCACCGCACCACCTTCGCCCTAGGCGGCCACCTACCAACAACAATGACTCTCCTCCCCCGCACCAAAGCCCCATCCCTCCTGCCACCCAGCCCAGACGCCATGGACATCGCGGCCGATGCCACAATCCCAGAACACGAGATCCTCATTACCAGCACTACAGGTTCCATTTCGCTCCTCTCCCCTCTCTCGGAGTCCCAGTACAGGAGATTAAGTACATTGGCAAGTCATTTGACGAATACGCTGTATCATGCGTGTGGTCTGAATCCGAGAGCGTATAGAGTGGATCGCGATGCGCCGGATGGGATGGTAGGGAGCAGAACAGTGGTCGATGGGAGTATGTTGATGCGGTGGGGGGAGCTGGGGAGTCAGAGGAAGAGTGAAGTGGCGGGTAGAGTGGGCGTAGATGTTGAAGAGGTGAGGGAAGATTTGGTTGCGTTGATGGGTGGGTTAGGATATTTGTGACGAAAATGAAAATCGTCGGTCAAGGAAGAAATAGTTCAGATGTCGAACTTGCCAGAAGGGGTTGGGGGCACATATCCGAAGTTCCCGCTACCCCTACTTCCGGGTGACCGGTCGCTTGGAGAATATCAGGGTAGAAGAACGAATGAATCACTAAATCTGTCTTCAAAATTGCCACCTTATCGAAATTACATCTAATCCTCTCAAGTCACAATTTCACATCAATTCAACGAAGGTATGAAGAGCAACGCGAGTCTATTTCATTAAGGACATGTGACCAAGCCAAGCACAAAAGCTTTAAACAGCAAGTATTACCCAGGTAATTCCCAAACCAAACTCAAAGACCGTGATTTTGCTGTCGAGGCTTCTGTGGTTTTTTGCATCCCCCCTTGATGCCTCCCACCCATTTCCCAACCCAAATTATTTCCCACCCAAGTACCACAGGGTTGCTCAACAATTCAGTTATCCTCCACATCCTTCCCCGGCGCAAACATCTGTTGTCTCCTCCAAAGACAAACACTAATCACCCCACTAAAAGCAAACAGAATACAAAGCGCAATGCTCAGGCCCCAGATGGCCTTCATCTCGTAACACGTCGTCTTACTGGCACCAGCCCAGACCCAATAGTTAACCTTAGACATATTGATGCCTACGGAGTCGAGGAATGATGAGGTAGCGCCAGAAGAGGGGAGAGCGGCACAGTCGAGGTACGAGAGAGGTTTACCGACTGTGACAGCAACGACGATTACGGCAATTAGGATCGCGGAGTCCAGACCGGTGGAAACCAGGAATGGGAGCAGGGAGTCGAAATAGAGGATGTAGGAGATTGTTATATAGAGGACAGCTATGCAGGTCTGTGATTCTATTAGTGTTTGTAAAAAGAGCGGATGGAAGGGAGACTTACGACGGAGAGTGTCCCGATCAGCACGCGAGGTGGTGATTGATTGGATGCTACCATCTCTGCGATGAAGTTTGCGGTCATGCCGATGATAGAGATGAGGCATATGGCTTGCATAGCACGGGTAACGGTGAAAGATGCTCCAAGAGCTCCGAATGCTGGGCCTGGCATGTTGACGGGTGGTGGGGATGGCTTCTTTGGTTCTGGTTTTGGTTTTGGCGGGGAAGGCTTTGGCTCAGGAGCTTTGAACTTTGGCTCAGGTTCAAGTTCGGCTGAGGATGATTTGGGTGAAGATGGTTTTGGTGGAGGTGGAACGCGTGTAAAGAATGCTGGAGGAGGTGGTGTAATGAAAGCTGGAGGTGCTGGGTTGACAGGGCGACTTTGATTTTCCGGAAAGAGAGAGTTTTGCGAATAAGGGCAGTATAAGATTCCGTTGATCACAACTGCGCCTTTATACGGAGTGAACGACGGTTGAGCGGCCGTAATGGCGATTGTTCCAAGAGATTGAGATCGAGATTGAGCTGAGCTAGCAGCAAAAGAATGACCAATGTCTGAATGAGACAGTTTGAATGAGAAGAAGAACTCAAAAAGGAAACAGGAAAGAGAAGAGACGTTTTTGTAGTTGAAAAGGAACTGATGAGATGAGATGGAGAGTGAAGCAAATACGCGGACTCAAAGCTCTTAAATATTCATTGCCGACCTGAGAATCAGATCATCGGTCCAAGTCTTACTGCCTCAGTAACAAAGAAAAGTCATGACTCTATAAATTGTTGATACAGGCGAGTGTTGTGACACGCGCTGAGTTGTCCAATGGAACGGATTGCCTCGCCTGAGACCTTCTCGCGGCCAGCGCTTCAACAACTGACTGAAAACTCCGAGACCACTGGATCTCGCCAGCCTCGCGGTAAAAGAAACGAGCGGCCTCGGGTACGACCAAAGACAAGAGCATTGAGCCGCGATCCTATTCTTGTTTGAGAGCTGAGAAATGGGGAGGCTGAGTAAAGTAGGCGCGCTGGTGGGTCGCATTGGAAACAACGAGATGACAGCGCGGTAAAGGCGTAAGATGAGGAGCCTATGAGGAGTTCCGCATCCTTGGACGAATCCTGGAGGGCATTGATGGCCTAGAAACTATCCAAGGCCACTCGTATGCGATGTGGATCATGTTGAAGTTTGGGACAATGGCGGGAAATTGCCGTGAGGTTGCAGACAGGTCTTGACCTGCCTGGTCCTTTCACCTGGTCTCATAGTCAGACGTGTGATGACGCTGTCAGGCCCCACAGAGATGAAATACGATAGCGCCCAGTAAGCATAACTTTGTATCGAGTTTCAGAATTAAGCATGAATAAAGAGTTAAGTGCTTGACTTTGGTGAGTGAGGGAAAAAGGCACGTGAAGTTCAGACCTCCATCGAATTCGCAGCCTCGTGCCGCCTCGCCAAATCCACGCGACTCACCATCCAAAAATTTATTTCCCGTCACCAAAATACAACTGTGACTCTACCACCATTTCCCGAGGCAGACCACTCCGGAACCTCTCAATGACACTCCCAACCCGATAGCACGGCTCTGGAATAACTGTCACGCAAAGCCGCCAGCAACAATGGCATCCAAAGCAGAAATCGCAGCCTTGAAGGATGAGGTCTACGAAGCCTGCGTCCCGATTGCAAAGGACAACCCCAGAATCGTATTGAGACAAGCCGATATCCTCGATCTGGACATCATACCCAACGGGAATCTCCAGACCCTCCTCGATGTCGCGCAATCCTTGCTCAATGAGAAATTGTTCAAGGTAGTGCACGATTCAGATGGCATGGGATGGAAGCTCCGCACTGTAGACGAGGCAAAGAAGTACGTTTCTCCCCAATTACAAACCCTGCGAGGACGTATGAGGGCTAATGTTTCCTCTGCTTGGCAGATACCGCGCCCTGTCCGTAGAGCAAGAAGCAGTCTACTCCCTGATCGATGAAGCGGGCGATGAAGGTATCTGGTCCAAGACCATAAAGGCCAAAACCAACCTGCACGATTCCACCTTCACATCATGTATCAAGCACCTCAGCTCCAAATCGATGATCTCGGAGATGAAGAGCGTCGAACACCCTACCCGAAAAATGTACATCAAGTCCAGCCTCTCGCCGTCTGATCGAGCAACAGGTGGCCCTTGGTACACGGATGGAGAGCTTGATGAGGAGTTTATCAATGCAGCGATGACGGTCCTGTTTAATTATATATCGACGAGGACGTTTTATCGTAGTAAGAGTGCGTTGAGGGAGGCACAGAGAAGCCCGAAGAAGGTAGTGAGGAAGATGTCGCCGGAGCAAGTCAAGGAGGCGAAGGCCTTGAGGAATGAGGGGTTGGGTCCTAGGGGTGTAGAGGCTGGACAGGTGGATGAGAGGACGGCGAAGAGAATGAAGTATGAGAGTATGCTTCCTATGCCGGCGGGGTATCAGGGGTATCCGGGCTTGGATGAGCTTACCCTTTTTGTGGAGGATTCGAAAGCCTTTTCGCAGATTCTGACGGCGAACGATATCCAGACGTTGTTGGATATCATGTGTTTTGATGATAGGATTGAAAAGGTCATTGCTGGAGCGGAGGGTGTGTCGTATAAGGCGTTGAGGAAGAGTTTGCTTGACGAGGACCAAAGAAGCAGTGTGCTCACTGAAGCTCCTTGTGGTCGATGTCCGGTTTTTGATCTTTGCGAAGAGGGAGGGCCGGTTGGGCCAAGCAATTGCGAGTATTTTGCTGACTGGCTTAGCATGTGAGGAAATGGCTGGCAAAATTTGGAATTGATGCATAGCGTGGGTAGATACTGGAGTTTGGCAAGATACCATGGAACCAAAAGGGATAGTCGCATAGCATTGAATCACATTTGTGGGAATATCAAAATGGCACGGAATCAGAATTCATTTCGGATGCATCATGAATGAACTTTTCGTCCCCTTCCCCCACCCTGCCAGTTTCATAGTGAACCTCTTAGGACCACGAGTGACCATGTCCAGCATGATTTGCAGTCTTTCCCCAAGTGATCAAAATTTACAAGACACCGGATTTAACAATGGTAGGCTTCTTGTTGTAATTGACCTTACCGCTACCGCTGCCAGTGGCCTCAAGAGCCTTGACGACCATCAGCGACTGCTCATCAGCAACCTCACCGAAGACGACGTGCTTGCCATCGAGCCAGCTGGTGACAACGGTGGTGATGAAGAATTGAGAGCCGTTGCTGTAGGGACGAGCTGTCAGCTGTGTTTTGGAATGGGGGTTCGTGCTTGCTTACGTGTTTGGACCGGCATTGGCCATGGACAGAAGTCCTGGCTTGGTGTGCTTGCGGGCGAAGTTCTCGTCGGCGAACTTCTCACCGTAGATAGACTTGCCACCAGTGCCCTATGTAATCATAAGCCTCGATCGCGATAGCTTTGGGGGTATAGAGGATGTACGTTGCCACGGGTGAAGTCACCGCCCTGAAGCATAAATTGAGGGATGATGCGGTGGAAGGCAGAACCAGCATATCCGAAGCCCTTCTCGCCGGTGCAAAGAGCACGGAAGTTCTCAGCGGTCTTTGGGACTACATCATCGTAGAGGTTGAAGTTGATGCGGCCTTGTTGATCTGTAGAAGAAGGTTGTTAGCTGTCTGGCGGTACGAGGCATATGTCGGATGACGATGTCAACAAGCTCAACGAAGAGCTCAATCATGATGGCGAACGTCTGCGTATGCCAAATGGGCATCCACGCAATGATAGGAGATAATACAGATGGATTTGATGATGGAAGTGGCCTATGCTAAGGAGAAATGAGGTAATTGAAGCTCACCTTGCACCTTAGAGGTCGGCTTGCCAGAGGCATCGAGAACTGGGCCCTCCCAGGTAACGTCGAAGAATCTATCATAAGTTAGCATCGAGTCGACACGGCATTGATGGTAGTATATACGTCTTGATGGTCATGTTTGCGGTTGATGCGTGAAAGGTTCTTGAGGTGGAGGTGGATTTGTAGATGAAGGATTTTGTCAGGGAAGAAGATCGAAGGAGGGGTCGGGCGAGGTGGGGCATTTTGTGTCGTTGTGGTGACGGTGGCGCTAAGGCACATTAGGGTAAGCCAGAAATTGACCGCATTGGCCGAACAGAAGGTGAGAGAGCGAGGGGAGCAGGGCAGGTGCAGGGCTTGCGAAGGCGAAGGGGTGTGAATCGGGGTGAGATCAGGGATCCGACACTTTCGGCGCTGAGGACGGGAGGGAGGAAGGGGGGGGCTTGGAAGAGCGGCGAGTGCGTGGGGAGGGAGGGGGTGAAGGGTGAGGGCGCGCAAGGAGGAGGGGTTGCACTGCGTTGCGTGCTGTTGCTGCTGCTGCTGCGCCGACCCGGCAGAGCATGCATGGCTACGCCTATGCTCAGCCCATCTTTGGCTGCATCCTTGGCTGCTTGCTGCTCCGAGTTTCAGACGTCTCTCGAGTCGTCTAGAGGCAGGACGCTCAGCGAGCCTCGAGAGCTTCTTCTATGCCCAGTAGCCGCTGCTGGGAGGGAGCTCCCGCGGCGGCACAACAGCTCCAGATGGACAGCTTGGACCTTGATCATGGCCACGCCCATCAACTTGCAGGTTCAGCTGCTGGCTGTGATCCACACCGCATCATGCACACGCAGAAACCAACTCCCCAAACACCGATCGTGGCAGAAGGGCAAGCAGGCTCGTGCAGTTCGTTACATACCTGGAAAGGACGGACGAAAGCTCTAGGATGAGCTTAGCTGTTCAGGAGGGGAATTGCTTGCAAAAACAAGGTATGAAGGCCGTAAAGTACAATGTAAGTACAGAAAGAGGAATTGAAAGATCAGCTCTAAATGCAGGTCGATATTAGTGGTGTTGGTACAGAATCGATGATGATTTGATGGGATGAAAAGGAGGTCTCGATGCTCTCTGATTTTTCTGTTCTTTCGTTTGTTGGTCGACAGGGGTAGGTAAGCTCAGAGCCACCCACCCCGCCTTCGTGACCTGTTTTATTATGTTTTCTATCGAATTCCAAATCCACTGACGGATAGCTCTATCATAAACAATGTTCTTCTTTGCAGGCCCAATTTCAAAGATTTTTTAAAAGATGAATTTTCATTCCAGTCACGTGACTGTTTCAGGGATCAGCCTTGGCGGTTGGCGGTCGGCTGGACATTCTGGGCGTCGACCAGTGCAACACAATTAATTATCCCCCGCGCATCTTCACAACTTCACCATCCCTTCACATCTACCATCCTCACCATGGATCTCGCCAGCTTGAAGGAGGCGGCGGCCAATCTTACCCTCTATGACCTGAAGGCAGGCGTACGGAAGGTGCAAAATGGTAGGGCTTCTCCGGTCCCGCCAGCTGTTATTCCGCTCACAGAAGATATTCAGCTGTGATGAACTACACCGAGATGGAGGCCAAAGTTAGAGAAGCTACAAATAATGAACCCTGGGTCCGTTCTTCCCATTCAATTCAGCCTCCACTAAGACCCTAGGTTATGTATATCTCCTCGAGGGCATCTCGTGGAATTGTGTCTTGCTGCCCTCGGACCAAGCCTCTGACTTTATGAATAGGGTGCCAGCTCGAGTCTAATGCAAGAAATTGCCAATGGAACATACAACTAGCCAGTACCCCAGCCATTGATAGATTTGCTCCTGCTGACATTCCCCCAGCCAATTGCTGAACGAAATTATGCCCATGATCTATAAGCGGTTTACTGAAAAGGCCGCCGAAGAATGGAGGCAAATCTACAAAGGGCTCCAGCTCCTAGAATTTCTGATCAAGAATGGTTCAGAACGAGTCATCGACGATGCACGATCACACCTCACACTGCTTAAGATGCTCCGGCAATTCCACTTCATCGACCAGAATGGCAAAGATCAAGGTGTCAATGTCCGAAACAGAGCCAAGGAACTTGCGGAACTTCTCAGTGATGTGGACCGGATACGAGCAGAGCGAAAGAAAGCCAGGACTACACGAAACAAATATACCGGTGTTGAGGGAGGGGCAGGCATGGGAGGCGGTCTGTCCAGTAGCAGCCGATATGGAGGTTTCGGTAGTGAAGAATCCGGAAGCGGGGGCGGTGGAGGGTACGGAGGGTACAGTGGAGGCGTATATGGAGACGGGGGCGGATTCGGTGGCCAGCAGGGTGACTTCCAAGATTCTGGAAGCCGTGGAGCTTCTGGCGGAGGCGGCCGAGACAGATTCGAGGAATACGACGAATATGACGAAGGAGCCGTTGCTGCACCAGGAAACAGGCAAGTAGATGCATCAACAGTCTCGGCCCGGCGGAAGACTAGAGAAGGAACTTCGAAGAAACCAGAGCCACCGAAGAAGAAAGAGCCAGAGGTTGATTTGTTTTCATTCGACGATCCGGTTCCAGTCTCCGCTCCCGTCGCAGCGCCCACAACTTCACATACAGCTGATGATGATGACTTTGATGACTTCCAATCCGCTACTCCGTCAGTCCAACCCTCAGCTCCATCATTCCCTTCAATCGCTCCACCTACAGCAACCACAACATCCAGCACCCAATACGCCTCTCCACAACCCGTGTCTGCTCCGAAAGCAGCAAATCTGAGTGATTTAGTCGGATTCAATTCAATCTCGCCGGCGACCAGCAACACTGCCACTCCCGTCAATTACTCCGCATTTTCACCTCCAGCCGTTGCCCAACAACCTCCTCGACCGACCGCCTACCAAGGCTCACAACCAAACTACTTCACATCAGTTCAAGTTCCTGCCCCACAATCGAAACCAACATCCGGAGCTTCATCCGTCAAATCACCTGGTGCAAAGCCAGCAGCTGGTGGCGATGCTTTTGGATCTCTCTGGAACACAGCCAGCGCCGGAATTAAGAAGACAAGCACACCCACTTCATCGCCTGCTCTCGGCCAATTGGCAAAGGAGAAGGCCAGTGCTGGAATCTGGGGTGCTACTTCATCTTCTAGCTCGACTCCTATGCAGCCGCAGCAGAAGCCTGCTCAGGGTCAGCCACAATTGGGAGGACTGGATGATCTTTTGGGTTGAGAGACGGGAAATTGTCAGAATAGGTTCTACTGAGGGGACGCAAGGTGGGCGTTTATGATAGATAACGGCGCGTAAAATCATATTAGTTTCACTAACAACTTCTAATCGATTGATTGTGACTCGCCAGCGAAGTGTGGAGTGAAGTGGGAGTGAAGCGAAAAGGGGTAGAGAAGTTTGTTTGCCTGAACTTTTCCCTCACGCCTCTCCCCTTTTCAAGACTTGCTCAGAGTAGCTCTCAACTTCATCTACCAGCTTAAATGGGCATGAATGGCTTGCAACGTTGTACCATAGTCTGCCACTATGATCAACCTGGATGACATCCCCTCCCTAGCAATCCATTCGGCTTCACAACGGAGTGACATAAGTGTCACCTTTCAGCCCCCGAAAGTACATACCCACTGCTATACTGTTGAATTATCTTTAGTTCTCGTTTGGGCGTGTTCGCGTTATCATGGATTCAAGTATTGCCAATTGTTTCTTTGTAGTCAACAAAGCAAGTACTGTCAGTGGAGGCTTGAGGACATAACACTAGACCTTCCGTTAACGAAATAAGGCTAGCGACGTCTTTCCACTTTCTGGTTTAATTAAGATTTAGCAGGAGCCTTTGTCACAGATGTCGAGAAGCCGAAGCAAGTCACGCCACCCCTGAATGGCTTGAAGAAGGAATCTTGATGGCACCGAACTGGGAGGCCTTTAGCACGTCTTAAATACTGGTGGGTCATAAGTCTGAAAAGTGTTGATTGATAACGTCACAATGCATTGGTGATTACGCTAAAACTCAGCAAGGCCTAAAGTACATCCATTTCGATTGGGGAATTTTGCTTGTTTAGTTTCGTTTGTTGCTAAGCTCATTTGCCCACGCTTCATCATCAATTACAGTACCCACTCCTCGCTCATATCTCCATTAACTCACGAATTAACCCTCACTTACCTCACCCCGTTTTGGTTTCTCGAGTTAGGGGTTGGTTCATCGTCCGACACGGATAACGCCAGCGGCTACGAGTTTCTGAGCAGCGAGTTAGCAGTGTAAGATTCAGGAAGGCTTGGGGGAATAAGCATACCTGGATCTTTGCTCGAATTCCAGGGTTCTTCATGTGTTCCTGGAGCGCAGCCGGGTCACCTTGTGCTTGCTGGAGGATACTCTGCATGATAGGGTCTTGCATGATGCCGAGAATCTGAAAATCATTAGCAACCGTCTCAACCACACTTAAAGAACAGAACTACCTCGGGGTCTCTCTGAATCCGCTCCTTAGTCTGCTCCTCCGTCTCATTCTCTTGCGCACTATACATAGCCTGCAAAGCTTTCTGCTGCTGCTGCTCAATCTCCCTCGCATTCGCCTTCGTAAAATCAACCTCCGAAGCCTCGGTACATGCATCCAAACACTTCGAGTATTCCCTCATGCCGAAGTAGGCCTGTGCCTTCCTGATATAAGCACGGATGAACTTGGGATCCTTCTTAATAGCCTTGTCACAGTCCTCAATAGCGCTAGGGAACTCAAGAAGCTTGATGAACGCAGCAGCACGGTTACTGTAGCCTCTCGGGTCCTCGGGAGCACGCTTGGTCATCTCGGTGTACGCTTCAACCGCGCCAGGCCAGTCGGACTCCTTGAACTTCTGGTTACCAAGCTCACGGGCTTCTTCTGCTTTCTCCGGGTCGATGTATGCTTGTCTCGCGCCGTCGATCTTGTTCTTCTCGGCTAAGCGGAGCTTGTTGACCACTTCGGGGGTGCGGTGCTCGGTGAGAGACTTCTGGAAGTTGGCAATAGCGTTTGTCAGGTCGCCTTTCTTCTCATAGGCGGAGCCAATGCGCGCGTATGATTTGGCAATCATCTTGAAGTCGGCGTAGATCTCGCGGCCTTCCTCAACAGCTTTCTCGCAGGCCTTGATAGCCTCGTCATATTCTCCCTTCTCGAAGTGGGCGGCACCGAGATTGTTCAGGTAGGTAATATCCTTAAACAGCTCCCATGCCTTGCTGTAATGGCTGATAGCCTCGTCGAAGCTTCGCTTCTTGTATGCATCCGTACCAAGCTTCTTCTCTTGCTCAGCCGCAGCCTTGGCCTTGGCCTTCTCAGCAGCCTCGTCGTCCTCCGGCTCTGGTTCTGGCTCAGGAACAGCCTCCTTCTTTGGCTGAGATGCTTGAGCAGAAGCTGGTCGAGCATCGGGCATAGGAACATCCTCTTCTACTTCAGTCGGTCCTCCTGGGGGACCCTCGCCGCCCATACCACCCATACCTCCCATGCCGCCAGGGCCAGCCATCATGTCCATATCCACACCCATCAATACACCAAGCACCTGCAGCATTCTCGGGTCCTGGAATATACTCTGGGTATCGTTGGGATTATTCTTGATCTGCTGGAGCTTCATCATGAAGCTTGGGTCCGCAAGAAGTTTACTGGTCTTAGGATTGGCGGCCAGTTTCTGAATAAGTTGGGGGTCGCTGAACATGCCACCAAGGCCGCCCATAGGATCACCGGTAACACCATCTGAAAATTATTTTTAGCATATTTCCTGAGATCTCATTCAGATGCTAGCATTCTTACCTTCTTTGGCTTCCGCCTCAATTGCACGCTTGACAGATGCCAGGCCAGACTTGTTCTGGGCGTTGTTCGGATCCAGCTTCAGACCTTCTTCATAAGCATCATGAGCACCAACAAGGTCTCCTAGGCCATGCTTCGCAGCTCCCTTTCGTCCCCATCCTTTGGCCCAGTCTGGCTTGATCTCGGTGACCTTGTCTGCATCCTTGAGTGCGTTCTCATAGTCCTTCTTAGAGGCATAGGCAGCGGATCGATTTGAGTAGAGAATGTGATTTGTCGGCTCGATTTCAATGGCTTGTGTGAATTTGCCACTTTGGAGTTGTCAGCCAGTATCTAAGAGTAGTGTGCAGATGTGGAGGTGTGCTCATTGACTCGAGAAAAGTCAGGGTAGAAAGTAAACAGAGGGGTTCAACTCACATAGCCTCGTCGAAGTTTTTCTCCGCAATGGCTTTATTGCCTTCGGCTTTGAGTGCGTCCGCCATGGTGAGTATGCTAGTGGAGAGAGTTTTGAGTAGTTTTTATTTGATTTGTGATCTTGCAGGTAAAAGTGCTGGTGAAGGTGAGCTGGGGGATCAGACAACCATTTAAACGATCAATTTCTAGAAGCTCTTCGAAATGGGGTCTGGCAGAACCGAAGGCGGTGAGTCACGTGTCGAGCCTCCCTCTCTGAACCACAATGTGATCCCCCTCTATTATTTTGTCAGGTAGATGTGGATGCCACTATTATCTAGATCAATGACTCTCATTATTATATTAGTCTACACTTGAGTGTCTAGGTATTTGACTGTCTCCATGATCCACCGAGGAAGGAGACGAACAAGGCCAGCGTCGTCGTTTTATGTAGGCATCAACAAATTGCCTATCGCGAGCTTGTGCTTTCAAACGTTGAAGACTTATCCCAAACTCCAAGCAATGATAAATGTTTACTAGCAGCTCTACCTCCTCGCTTCTGCTGCTCTCTGAACAGCTGCAGACGACATGACCAACCCAGCCTTTTCTTGCATTGCTTGAACTGCAGCCGTGACTGGCGTTTGTGCACCGCTCGGTGCTGGTGTATTTGCTCTTGTGGCTGGAGCGCTTCTATTATGCGCCATATGAGCATTGACGAGATGGCCGGCAGCCAAAGCACTGCACAATGACAGTTCTCCAGCAAGGACACCGGCCGCGACAATGCGAGCAAGTTTGCGAGCATTGTCACCAGGATTTGTTGGATGTGAACCTCGGACACCAAGCAGATCAAGCATGGCGCCTTGTGGCTCAAGTACTGTGCCACCTCCCAATGTACCAACTTCGATTGAAGGCATGGAGACACTAATTTGAAGGCTTCCACGGAGACTAGACAGAGTGCTTAGCAAGCTGAAAAAATCGGAGCACCCAATTAACTTACTTCTTCATGAGGGTGATGCAGTTACTGCTCTCAACGTTTTGCGCAGGATCCTGACCAGTCGCCAAGAAAATTGCAGTAACAATATTGGCAGCCTGGGCATTGAAACCACCAATGCTACCAGCCATAGCACTCCCAACAAGGTTCTTTGCTTGATTCAACTCAACCATCGAATCCACATCGGTCTTGAGAACACTTCGCACAATATCAGCTGGAATAATCGCCTCTGCAATCACACTCTTGCCACGGCCATCGATCCAGTTGATTGCAGCTGGTTTCTTATCAGTGCAGAAATTGCCAGACACTGAGATGACGTTCATGTCTTCGAATCCGGCCTCTGTAGCCATGACATTTAAAGCATGTTCAACACCCTTAGAGATCATGTTCATGCCCATGGCGTCTCCAGTAGTCGTCTTAAATCTAGGGTACAAGTACGTGCCTGCGAGGGCAGTCTTGACTGATTGTAGTCGGGCAAATCTGCTGGTGGAGTTGAAAGCTCTGGTCATGGTTCTCTTGCCGTCCTCGGAGTCAAGCCAAACTTTGGCAGCACCAGCACGCTCAAGCGTTTCGAATGCAATGCAAGGTCCTCGAGTCATGCCGTCGCCAGTCAAAACAGTAACTGCACCACCTCCAGCGTTGATAGCCTTGCAACCACGATTTGTGCTAGCAACTAAGACACCTTCTGTTGTCGCCATAGGCAAGAAAAAGCTCTGTCCATCAATGACGATCGGTCCTGCTACACCAACGGGTAGAGGCATATAGCCGATAACGTTCTCGCAGCAGGCACCCAAGACACGATCGAAGTCGTAGTGCTCATATGGAAGTAGTGAGGACTCCAAGAGACTGGTCGTTTCGGCAGTTGCAGGTGTTCGAGAGATAATGGCTCTTCGGATTTTGACAGCCCTTGTGGTATCCCCGAGCGTCCTTTCGAGGGCATAGCCAGGGATCTTGCCTTTCATTGAAAGTTCTACCAGTTCCCTGTCGGTAAGCAAGCGTCCTTTCTTTTCCTTAAGCATTTGGTCCATCTCCGCAAAAGTCCGCGGGCGTGGGGTAGTGACTTGTGTATCCGATTGAGCCGTTCGCATGGTCAAGCCATCTTCTTCGTCGTCCGTTGACGCGGGTGTCGGAGGAGGGAATCTGTCCTGGACTTGGCCATCAACTCCGGTCAGCTTTAACGTTGGGGCAGCAGCGTTGTTGAACCTTTCTGCTTGGTCGAGCTCTGCTGGAGTAACAGCATGGTGAGGAGGCATCTGGAGTGGTTCCTTGATACTCCATCTTGCAGCATTGAAGAGGTATCCATTGAGGACTACGCTCAGTGCAAGAGCAACCATGATCCATTTTGATAAGACTGGATCCTCTAGGCTTCGCAGTAAGCTGTCCATGACGCGCCCACTCATTCCATAATCTCCCAAATCATCAAAGTCCAGATGATCATGGCCATTGGGACGCCTTGAAGGCTTTCCATAGTGAACAGAGGGATACTCTAGCTCATATTTGATCGGAGTGAGAATAGTGACGACGGTGGGTCTATCATGAGACTTTGCTGTCTCAAAAATATAGTCAAGCCCATTCGACGCTACTTTGAAAGGGTCCATTGGGGGTAGTGTCGTGACACTCGAAAGGCCTTGTCCAGAAAGTCCAGATACGGTTAGAGGCTCAGCGTGGCTTTTTCCACCACGGAATGGAATTGTGACGAGGTTGAGAAGATTGATAATAATGAAGCCAGAGACCATTAGAACCTTGAATTTCGGCACGCTGCTGTCTCGAACTTTGCGCCCAAAGATATTGGTCTCGTTATTTGACTTGTCAGCCTTTGGCCACTCGTCGCTCTGAGCTACATTCTCGGCAACGCGTCGATTGACTCCGTCATCTTCCAGTGCTTGCCGGAGGGCGATGTGGCGTTTAATGCGGTTGATTTCGAGCTTGATGTTCAAGACGGCCGTGTAAAAGGTGAAAAGTAGAATGCAGTCGAAAACCAGAATCCAAGCAGCCAGGAAGCAAAATTGTTGAAGACCTCCTTGGACGCCTGAAGCAGCTCCTGCAGCCAAGATGCATATCTCGATTGCATAATCCCGAACAATTTCATAGCCCTTCTCCTGGATTGCAACTTGAACGGCATACTGCATAGATGTCGATGATACGCCAACATTTTGCGCCGCTAACTTCGGACTGTCTTGTGGGCGAGGTCGTCGAGTATCAAGAGCTGCGGAGAGGACGGCCTTTGTCAGAACGATCGATTTCTCAAAGCCAATGGTAACCACCAAGAAAGGGAGGCCTTCAGATAAGAGAACCATGTTCAATGGTACACCCATCTTGGTAGTCATAATAAGACCAAAGAGGAATGCGAAAACAGAGGAGAACAGGGTTGTTGCAAAGAGCCAGAAATTGGATCCCATTCTCCGCATAGAGACGAAGAGGGACACGAACGTCAAGTGCATGGAGATGTAGCCCAGCACCATGATTATGATGTCCAGAGTTTCGGCGTTCTTCAACAGATCCACGAACTCAGTCCAGGCGTTGTAGACCCAATTTCTCACGCTTCCTCCCGTCACATCGGCTTTAGCAGCTTTCATAATCCACTTCTTCTGCTCTTTGATCGGCTCCGCTTCATATCCATGGCGGGCATTCTCGTCTGTCGGTATTGTCCCGGCATTAGGGAGTTCTTGAGCCCGAGCAAGAAACTCCGGGGCCTGGCTATATGGGACAGCATATGCTAATGTGCTATCCTGGGAAATTGCAGACAGTGGATTCGAGGTTGACGGTAAAGTCGTGACCGAGAGATTTTGGGGAAGGGGTAAGGTATCGGCCAGTGGGGCATTTTGCGGTGAGTTGGCAGCCAACGAATCGGGGAAGACGAAGGTCAGCAGAGCCAAATGGTCCACTCCGTGAGAAATCGCACTCTCCGTATCAGAATTCTGCCATTTCCAATCTGTGTCTGCGTCCACTCTCAATTGTCGGCTCCCTTCGAGGAGAGACGGCCAGTCTGCTTTTCCAGCTGTATTGGATTTGACAGAGTTGAATAAGCTGCTTTCTATCAAGCCCATATATGTTGTGCTAGCCAGTACGGCAACGATGACAATGGTATGTATAGGATGGAGACTTGCTGGGCGCGAGATCGCCTGGAGGAAGGGCGTCACCCTCTTGTTCAACCAAATCGGTGTGGCCGCAGTATCTGCAGCTGGAGTGCCTCGAAGCCTCCTGGGGAGTAAGGAAGAGCCAAGCATAGTGTTGAGGTATGGAAGAGAGGCTGCAGGCTTTTTGTTATAAAGCCATCGACGGACGGAGGGAGGGGCGTGCTGCTTGCGAAGCTAGAAAAACAGTTGTTAGTTTTCGAGTCTCCTAATAGCCCTAGAACAATTGTTTCGCAGGATAAATTTAGAGGTGGATGAGAGATACAAGCATCCCAAGCTCGGGGTCGTCCATTGGAGTGAAATCTCGAAATGGTGAATGCGGAATTGGAAGAACTCTCTTCACAATTCCCCTTTTCTCGGATTTCCAAGCTTATCGCAGATGAGGAGTTTTCGCATATGCGATGCCCCAAAGGTATGGCTGCCTGCTTTGGGCTGTTGAGCAATTGGGGGCACATACTGAGTGGTGTCTGCTGCGGTGAAGCGAGAACTGTCAGCAACGGTGAGCGGGATGTCGAGTGCAGCCTGTGATGTTGAACACGAGGAGACAACGCAGGTTGTTGGCACTGCGAAATGCAAAGCGATCAATTGACCAGGAGAAAGGAGGAGGAGGTAACAGAATGGGTCGAACAATCAAATTATTGTGGAGGCGGTGGCCTGGTGCGAGAAATGGATCAACCTCGAAGTGACATCCGCTAATGCCGCTAGCTCAGGAACGGCAAGGCGCACCTGCAGTGAGATAAAGGCGACGTTGAGTCAACGTCGTTGACGTTCCAACGCTCTCCGGGTCTTCCACTTGTAGAAGATACTGGAGAATTTTAGACAACGCCCGATATTGTTCCCGAGTTTTTTTGACCTAGGGATGGCTTAGTTAAGGATTTTGCTTGGCCATTAGTATAATTAAATATAATGGTATATTGACCATTAAGCATTATTTTAAAGTGGGCCCGTGGGGCTTCCTAAATAGGTAAGCCCGAAGCTTGAATAAATCTTGGGATTTTTTACATAACTCGAGAATTTCTTTTAGAATTATCCTATATTTGTATTAGCCTGGTATAATTCTAGTACAAAAGTAGTATAAAATTATGCATATAATATTTGGCTTGACCATTATTAAAAAATATTTGCTAGACCATTATTATTTAATTAAATTATTAAATTTAGCGCATCCCTACTTTGACCAACATCGAGGACTCGCGATTCTTGTTACGAGAATGTCAAATCCATCACCATCAAATCATGCCTTCAGAACAGGGTCTTCTTGGCGATTTTCAAGCAAATTAAAAGCCGAACAGCCGATGGAACCCCTTTGGCTTCGGTGGGCGAAGCAACTTTGGGGTGTCGAAACCGGGCCTGAAGCATCCCGGTGGCAATCAACGCGTCCCTGAGCGAAGATTTCAGCTGGACAGGTGCTGTAGATCTTCGTTGTTCAGGACCACAGTGGTGGATTGTTGGCAACCCGAGGTGCATTTGCATTTACGAGTTCGAGCGTCCGGGTCATACAGTAACGTTCCCCGAGTCCAGGAAGTCAGAAGTGGTTGCCTGCTTTCCAGTTCATCCGTATTCATCCTGTCCTAAGGGCAGCGTGGCTTCCAGGGTAGTTGAGTTGTTATCCATGCTTTCTTATTTCTCAGAACTCCAACTTTTGATTGTTGTGTCCCGACAGTCCCATAGGGATGTCTTTAGATAAATAGAGAGATGCAGAAACCGGGCAAGCAAGTTGCATTTCTCTGGGGGTGCTATCTAATCATATCGCGTGACCCTCGATGACAGTCTTGCAAGCTGTGTATGGCAGTTTCATCCCCACACATTCTCATGAGGTGGGGTAGCTACGAGCTACTCGTATCGCCAAGTTGAGCACAGCCACAAAAAAGTGACAGCCGACCTTCCTGGCACTGTGAATGTTGACAAGCTTCGGTGCTTGGGGGGGGAGTCCTGATTAGAACCTAGACCTTCCCAACCCTAGCAACCTCATCACCATCACAGTTCACAACCTCAACTCCCTTACCCTTCAACTCCCCTTTAATCTCTTCCCAAACCGACGGATCAACTGCCCTCGTTCCCTCGCCCACAACATACGTCTTGAACCCCTCCTTCGCAGCATCAACCGCCGTACACTTGACACAATAATCGAAAGCCAATCCCACACAATAAACATCCGTGACTCCCTTCTCCCTCAAGACTCCAGCAAGACCACTATCACTAACCCTCGGCTTCTCAAGCGGATCGTAGAATGCAGAGTACATCTCAACCTCCTTGACCTGTCCCTTCTCCACAACCTTGTCAATCTTGCTCATATCAAGCTCATGAATCAGCTCCGCGCCCTTGGTACCTTGCACGCAATGATCTGGCCAGAGTCTTGTCTCGTACGTCTCTGCGGGGTTGGAGGGGTTGATGATGGTTGTGAAATCGACGTAGGGTTTCTTGTTGACATGGTTTGACGCGAAAGAAATGTGGTTTTGGGGATGCCAGTCTTTGGTCGCGATCTTGATGACGAAGGGAAGGTCAAGGAGCTTGTTAACGGTGGGGATTATGTCACGGCCGTTGGTCACTGCAAGTGAACCGTTCTGTTCGTTGTCAGTGGTAGAAAGCCGAAGAGGAAGCTGAGGCGTACCGGTGGGCAGAAGTCTTCTTGCAGATCTACAATGATCAGTGCGGGCTTGAAATTGTTAGTCGCCATAGTGATCTGGTGATGATGATCAGTTTGTGTTTTGTGAGATGTAGGTTCGCGTGCTTGGGCTACACCCCGCCAATATCGAGGCAGGGGATGGTCACATGATTATCTTTTCAATCCAAACTGTATTCTCATTTGACCTATTTTAAATACAGGGGTCCCTGGATTTAATTTGGAGAGATTTGGTACATTATTTAACGTTCCAATATTTGCTGAGTCTGAAAATATCTTCCTATTCGTGAGGACATCTCTCACTCCTCCTCACCCTCGCTTGACCCCTGAAACTAGATCCCTCCTTCCGTTCTATCAATGTCCTGTGACTTTGAAGAAGTCGTACTAAAGAGATTCCTAGAATAGAGTACCATGTTACATTTAATTAATCTTGTGGGCCCTTCAAAACATCCCACAGTCTGTCCATAACCAATTCCGCGAAGCCAGAAGCTGCCCAAATCTCACATATAAACTTTCAACATAGAAAACATAGCGAGCGCGTCGTACCCGATACATTGAGTGGGATGGAAACCAGATCTTATGCACTTCAGTGAGACGCAAAGTACATTTTCGTCCCCCCCACACTCACTCCAAGTCCAATGTTAAATCTCAATATACCAGAGCCTTCTCAATCATTGAGTCGTTGTGCAATAAAATCACCTGGCTTCTCGGATTCGCTCCGTTTCTACCAGAATCCAAATGTCTCAGAACTCTTGCACCATTAGATGCGAAGTGTAAAACCATCGCAGTGCAAAGTTGAGACAAAAATCAGTCTCGTTGCACAAGAGAAAGGTAGACAGATCTAACTCTAAATCAACACCTGATATTTTCTAATGGGTCTCGAAATATCAATAGGTGATAAGCTCATGCTTCCCGTATCGCTTAGAGAAAAGGGGAACAAGAAGGGGGATATCTAAGCTCCAGATGGAGAGATGCAACGTCTTGATTTATACATATTTGTGATTTTTCTAATTAGCCCGTCCCCGAAATAGGTGACGAGGCCGAAGAAAAATGTGCTAAAGCAGGACTCACCGAAAACACATTCAAATGTCTCAACCTGCCCAGCTGTTCCAGTAAGAAAACTCAAACACCTCTCCGTGTAAGGCCCTCCAACGCATCCTCAACACTCCTCACAAACACCACCTCCCCAACCCTCCACTTTGCCGTCCCAGCCTCGAGATCCACCCTCTCCCACTGCTTCAAAAATTCCCACATATCAATAGCCCCAACGTTAGGAATCTCCCACCCCCCATCACGAATTCCATCATACCGTCCCATTACAAGAAACAGCACCTCGAGACCAGAGAACACGAGTGAATTCGAGTTCATAACGTACATCCGATTGTGGAACTCCATAGCATCCATGACTAAATACTTAATCCCCTGAAAGGTCAATGGATGGAGGTCCGATATTGCGTGATAGGAGAGAGGGAGATCGTTCTCGATAGTGACTTTTGGGTTGATCGTCACGTGGACAAGGTCGTTAATTGAGTGAGGGATCGCTCTTTCTTTCCGGATTATTATTGGCATGGAGCTGCTGTAATCTTCGACGATGATCTCTTTGTCGACTGTTGTCAAGTCCGTGATGACGGTATTGTCGACGATCTCATGGCCGATTTGGCGGGCAATGTGGTAGTAACGTTGACCGACGATGAATGCCTCTCGAGTTGTGAACAGGATAGGTGGCAAGGATTGACATGGTGCGAATGCAAAATACCACAGATTTCCTTGGACGACTTCGAAACTTGGCCCATCGTAGGCTTGACTGTCAAGTGGATCCCATCGGGTGTAGGAGAGGGTGATGGTTGAGATTTTTGGAGGTGGGAGAAGAGCCAGCCTCCATATCTGGAAACGAAGCTCGGCGGGAAGGAGCGAGAATTGAGGAAACGAAGAGGCCATTGAGTTTGGATACTATCCTGTTGGATATCTGCTACTGCGGATTCAGCGGGAAAAGGGTTGGCTTTATGACGTTGAGCTGGACGGTCACGTGTTGCCATTTTGAATTGTGGCTGGCTGTAACACGTTCTCAACTGAGATTGGTAGTGCCAATATCAGGGGAAAAGCAACTTGATGTACTTGATCTTATCAGTTTGGAAGGTTGGCCCCGCAGCCTCAGGGCTGTAGGCTGAGACTGCATATCCGGGCTTCATCGGCAGTGCCGATTGGGTTGCTTCTGCTGGAAACACGTCTCACTGCTGGGGACTCCCCGCGCTTCTTCTAGAGGTGAGTGTCAATTCCGGACGCCCCATCTTCGCTTCAGCTGCTTCAATGCTGCCACTTTCTTGGCAATAGGCTCTTCTCCGCTGCTACTGGAGGCCTTCAAGACGCAGCTGAACAACAGTCAAGAACTCCCCAACCCACAAATTGTCTGAAACCGTTCAGGATACCAATGAGCAGGAATCTTTCCGATACGCAAACGAGACATTGCTATGTTCCCCATGCCTTTTAGTTCTGGATCCCGTCTTGTTTGCCGTACTCGTCTTTGTGTCCCGCGATCCCATTCCACAGATCCTCTGCCTTCTCATTGATCCAATCTCTTCGTAACTACAGACATATTCCTTAGTTCCGAGCGGGTTTTGTTGCCTTGATTAAGCCAAACTGACTTGGGGGCGTCAGCATATCGTCACTGTCTCCACTTCCATACCTCCCCAATCCCCCTTTTCTAGCCATTCAAGCGCTTCCCCGTGCATAATCGAATGTATGTAACATTCTCCCACCAACTAGAAAAACTTCTCATTTTTATCTCCGCATGGCCTTAAAACGACCGGGAGACTGCAGCCCAGAAGTACACAAATGCGATCTCCTTGCTGAACATTCGGCGGCCCCATACCAATATATCCTCTCCAAGTCGTAAACAATTTCCTACTTGACAACCTCCCAACGATATCTGAAACGTCGCGCGTGACACTTGGGGCAGCACCTAAAAGCTCAGCGGGGAATTCGAAGTCAGGCGTCAAGGCCGGGAATCAAGCCGGGAGCGTCTGTCCTGCGAGATCAACGGTTCGGTTGCAAGGTTGAAATTGGTCCAGCAACCAAAGCTGAGCATTTTTAAGACGTCCGTCAAGAAATATACGAGATAGCCAAAGGGGGTTGACTAGTAATTTATAAGTTTCCTCTTCCATATCGTGTTCCTCTCTGCCTCCCAGTATTGCGTTCAAAAGGGCGTCCTCGATCTCTTCAGGTGACTTGTATGGTTGAAGCAAGTGAGGGGTTGAGCAACATCATGAATATCGCTCTTGCCGGGGGAGCAATTGCACCCGTGTCCGTCGATAGAATCAACTTCAAAGCCCCGTCACTTTAGAAGATTCTTGTTTTCGGAACCATCTCGAATTGGTTTTGACGTTCCGGCTGCTTGAACAACTGGGTTGAGTATTGTAATGTAGTCTTTGGGCTCTTGCGACCAGTCTGGCACCCACGACGGTATATCCAACTTTCCGAGTTCGTTTCCTTTTCGACCATGGTAAATCATGTCAAGCTGGCCACTTACGTCGATGACAGACAAGGCAAAATCTCGGAACACGTCTGAAATCGAATCGTCGTAATTGGGTGCTACGAGTTTGGAAAGATCTGGTTGAAAAATGCCCATCAATCCATAGACATGGTCCCTGGGATCAGAGGCTTTGGCAGCACGGCCGAGATCCAGTATGGACGCCAATCTCGTATATCCATTTCGAAAGCTACCGTCCCTTTGGAGGTTTAAAATTATCTCCAAGTAAAATATTGTCTCGTGGAGGATTAGTCTTCCAAATTCGGATTTCCCTCAGCCTGGCAAATTCTTAGTGCAATCATGTCCGCCAACTCCCAAATATGCTTTGGAAAGATCCCTCAACTCACAGATCTCATCTCCTCAGGCAATAAGAGCTTGGTAATTCGGCACCGCAAGTTCTTGGATTATCCAGACCCGACGCCAGTAGGGAAGCTCGAGGAACACGCCAAGGGTACTCCAATGGCCGTCTGTATATCGAGATTGGTCTGTCCGGATAGAATCCAACAATGCTGAAAGTCCATCTTCAGCTTGGCGACTGTTCCGGGTTCATTTCCAGGTTTCACTTGCAATGCCATCTATCACCTCAAATGCGCAGGTAGTTTCCTAGGTCTTGAGACCCAGCCAAGCAATCACTTTTGAGGCACCCCGATAAATATCTGCCATGCGCTCGACCTCATGCGCACGCCCGTGGAGATCATTTGATTGATGCAGAGAGCATCTATCCATATTCTGATTGTATTTCTTTGAGTTGACATTTCTTGGAGAGCGGCTTTCAGGTTTTCCGTGACGCTGACTCCATCGTTGTATTCTCTGTCGTGGTAAGACAGTAATCAATCGTACTTCATTCGGCGAGGCATCAAGCGGTTGGTATTTAAACATGGCTCTTAAGAGCGGTCGTCGGCACCACGCTCCCAGCAAGTGATAGCAACGCCGATCGTGAGTCAAAGGGATAATCTGTCGACTGAGTGTATGCCGGAAACATCTTCGCGGGAATGCTGGTGTATGCTTCGCAGAGAAGAAGGGAACAGAGGAGGATCTCGATGGAAGTTGAAGTCGACGAGCGAAGCGAGCGTCTCCCTGCACGTGACTAGCCGACTCATCTCTACCCGGCTCTTAACCTTCACCTTCCCGCACCCTCCAACTCCTCTCCGGACTCATCAACGCACTTAGAAAGATGCCGATAGCAGCGAATGCCTCTCATAGGATCAAATCGTCCCGTTGTATCGCGTTGCGAGTCATGTATAAGATCGCTTTGGTTCCCATTGACTCGTTCGGAAGGAAAAGTTCCTCCGACTCTGGCTGGCGTAACAAGCAGTCAACACTTTTCTATGATTTCCCCAAAGTATATAAAGGCCCAGAGTAGATCCACTTCCAATACTCAGCCTCCATCATTTCCAAGTTTCATCATTATTCTCTGTCAAGGATTTTTGAAATTCGACATCGCAAGCCAATACTTTTTGGGAGTTAGATTGTCACTGCAGTGTTTTTTCTATTTTTCCCCGGCGCTCTTCCAGTCTTGCCTCAGTACAACTTGCTGCGCTTCCACTTCTCACGAGTTTCATACTTCGCAATTTCTACCAAGTTACTCAACATGCCAAAATACGACCCCCAAAAAGATATTCCTGACCTCTCTGGAAAAGTCATCCTGGTCACTGGAGGTAAGTCTTCCTCCCTTCGACAGCACTTTTATATACTCCAGCCTAGGTTGGACGAGTCTTGGCCTTATAATTGAAATCCTCTCCACTATATCATCTGGAGTCTATTCGTTAAGAATCTAATCCCATACCAGGCTACCCATCCTTCTGCTTCACGAGCTTGCTGCCAACCAAGCTAAGAACTTCTCACAGGAACAGCCGGCCTAGGAGAAAAAACAATCCTCACCCTCGCCACTCACTCCCCCTCTCACATCCTCTTCACCGGACGTTCCGCCGCCCGAGCAGAAACCCTAACCAACACCCTTCACTCCCAATTCCCCACCACAACCTCAACATTCATCGCCACGGACCTCGCCTCCCTACCCCCCATCCAAGCCTCCGCAAAACGCATCCTCGCCCTCCTCACTAAACTCGACATCCTAATCTGCAACACCGGCATCACGGCCCTCCCCCCAGGCCTCACAGCCGACGGCTACGAGATGCAATCCGGCACCAACATCCTCTCGCACGCGCTCCTCATCAAGCTCCTGCTGCCTCTCATGCTCACGACAGCCAAACAGCCAAACGCGGATGTCAGGATCGTACTTCTGACCAGCGAAGGCTACGCCTTCCACCCTTCCGGCGGGACCGTATTCCGAGACCTCAAGACCTCGCAGTCGGGCATCGGACTTCTGGGGCCGTGGCAGCGGTACGGACAATCCAAGCTAGCTAGCCATGCTGCTCTACGCGCGCGAACTCGCGACGCGGTACGGCGGGCAGGCAGTTTTGGCGGTAAGTGTGCACCAGGGTGTGTTCAAGACCGGGTTGGTAGGCGATTTGGGGTGGGGACAGCGGGCGTTTATCGCGGTTACGAATGCAGGCAGGTTTGGGGATGAGAAGGAGATGAGCAGTAATGCTTGTTGGGGGGGGGCGACGAGCAGCAGGGAGGCGACCGAGAATGGCGGGTTCTATACGCCGGTTGGGGTGAGGGGGAAGAGGGCTAGGGAGAATGAGAATATGGAGCTGGCGCGGAAGTTGTGGGAGTTTACGGAGAGGGAACTTGCTGCGTTCACCACCGAAACGTCGGTGTAGCGGTTCCGGAAGTAGAGAACGAAACGGGTTCATCTGCGTGGGACCTTGCTTTTGGTAGTTTCTTCCTTGCCAAAGCTCTTAGCCAGTTCAGTTAGGTTCCGCCCTGTCAACAAATCCTCTGAACTTACAGAATAGAACCCTCCTGCATATCACGAAGCTGAAAAACGCTTTCTTTCTTTCATAGCCACTCTTTCCCCTCGAAGCCCAATTCTACTACTCTGTTTGAGCTTTTTAAAGCATAACGCTACCTGTGCTCGAGCAAACCTCGAGCAAACCCCCATATTTTGGGAATTAGGGGTTCTCGCTTAAAATCCTAGGTCGTGGACCGGACCGCGTGGGAAGATGGGAAGATGAGCTATTCAGGTGTCTGGAAAGAAGGGGGGAAGAAACGCATTCCCGTGTCATTCTTGGTAGGAAGCAGCCTAGTGCTCGTCTCAAGCTGTAGTTTCTTTAGAAAGAGTAGAAGGAGAGGAAGCGTGGAGTGGGAGTGGAGGGAAGCAAGAGATGAGGAAGTGTCTCTGTCGTCTAATCCATTGATTGACTCAATTGAAAGCGGAGAGTCTCGAAGCATTGATACTCATCAATTATTTCCAAATTTCGAGGAATTATGCACAGCTTTCAGTATGTGCTCAACCTTATCACAAGGGAGAATGGAATGCAAGGAAATTGATTGATCAAACATATGCGCTACCAGCTATAAACTGAGAGCAAACCGTCCAGTATAAAGCCAAGGTCCATCCATCCTGTCCATCCATTCATACAAGTCCAAGTCCAACAGTAAAGCAACGATCAAGCCCATCCATCAATCATGTATTTTCCGCCGTGAAAGGCCAAGCAAAAAGCAAGAGACTACGAACAACCCTCATCTTCCGGCAGAGCCCAATCGTAATAACATCAGTCAGGTGCCGAGGCAGAAATCAACAAGCTTACTCTCCCTTGGCCTTCTTCTTCCTTGGCTTGGGGGCGCTCTTGGGTGTCTCAACTGCCAGGTCCTCCTTCTCGATGGTAGGGGTAGGCTCGTCTGACTTCTTGCTGGCTCGCTTTCTCTTCTTGTCGGGGCTCTTCTCCTTCTCTACCGGCTTGGGAGGGACAATGCTTGAGCTTGCTGGGGGGACGATGCTCTCTGGGGCAGTTGCTGGGGTGGCCTTTCCTTTACGCCCACCCTTAGCTTTTGGAGTCCTGGGTGGTGGAGTAGGCTCCTTGTCTGGCTCGCCTTCTGCATCTTCATCATGAAGAGCAGCAGCGGACTCGCCTGCCAGTTGGGCATCTGCGGTGTTCTCAACGCTGATATTATGTTCGTCGGCGTAGATGAGCGCATCATCATCACTCATTTCCTTGGCCAGCCCATTGCCTGCCTTGTAAGAGTGCATGCGGGCGTTGTAGAGGCGGAGATTGTCTTTGTAGGCGTTGGTCCAGAGCTATGACTGTTAGTATAGAGTATTGGGTTGGGGGCCGATGATCACTCACTTGCTTGTCCTCCGCGGCCATGGTGCCCCACCGTCTCGTTCCCTCATCACTGACAGCTCCTTTGGCAGCTTCAGCTCCGAGGTCGTTGGCAATGATCGGGCGGGCCGTCTGCATGTAGAGGAAGAACGGAGTCAAAGGACGTTTTGGTGCATTAGGGTCATGCTGCCTCTTCTTGCGCTCCTTCTTTCCGCTGGCAGCAGGATCTCCGGCGGCATGAAACTTACCCGCGGGACTGATGCCACGATTCAATTCTCCAAGCTTGAGGAGAGGGTTCTCGCCGAGCTTGGCAAGGGCCGATTCAACATCGAGGCCTGCGCCGTGCTCTCCGAGGACCGCGTTGGTGTGCTTGATGTAAGCGCTCGAGAGTGTCTGGATGGCATCCTGGAGAGTCGCGAGACCGGTGACGACCTTTGTCCACATTAGCGTTTGTTGCGAGACGTAGTAGCCATCGAGATCAATGTTATGAAGCTGGCGCGGGGTTGTCATAGCTCCATCGGGACGCGAGGGTGCTAATGTAAACAATGGAGGCGCGTTCGTGCAACGAGGTCAACTACGAGCTCGCGACGATGATGCGCTGGGGATAGGGTCGCGGAGGAGTGGGAATGTGGGAATCGAGGCGACCGAGGGTGTAGAACGGATGGTTGTTGAGATGTGGGGGGGGAGGATGATGATGATGATGGTGGTGGCGGGTCTTCTTCAGCGACAACATCGACGAAGCCGTATGCGCCGCGTCTTTGGATGAGGACGAGGACGAGGAGGAGCGAGGAACAGGAATGAGACTCACCGAATCGCGGGTGCGCACAAAGCTGTCGACGTCGATTGAAAGCGTTGCTCCCTCCTTGGGCTTCTCTTCGGCAGCCTTCTTGGGACGGGCCATTGTGATGGAATAGGTGTTGTTGCGGTGAGGGTTGATGGTTTGGGGTGTCGGTGGTTCGCTGAAAGGCCTGTGAAGTTGAGGATTTGGTGTTCGAGGGCGGGGAGACGAGGGTTTTCAGGGTTTTCAGCAGACCAGCGCTGGATTTTGCGGCCTACTCGAGGCCAAATTACGCGAGGCTGGTCCTGACGGATGCCGGATGCCAGCGTTGGCGCAGCAGGAGCAACACGCACACCAACGCGCACAGAGCAGAGCGTGCTTGACCCTCCAATTCTGGCTGCGGAGATGCAGTGAATGGATGTACTTTTCGTACCATGATCCCCTTTGCTGCCACGCCTCTTCATATACGATTTCTGGTTTTTTAGCGGTCGTCGCGCCTCCGCATTCCCGCATCAGCAAGCTCTGTAGGCCTTCGCAAACCCTGCGGTGCTGTGCACGCTTGTAGAGCGATCGAAAAAGACCTGGGGCGAAGCGCGCAGGGCGACGCACAACAGCAGTGCCGATGCCCCGATGCCCCGATGCCCCGCCATCTAGGATCTCTCTCAATTGCCGCTGCCGCACACACACGGATGCAGGAGGCTGGTTGGGCAGCACGGGCGCTGGCGGGCACTGTGCGACTTGGGGATGGCCATTCTGATTGCTGGAGCTGCCAGATCCGTGGTCTGCCTGCATTGTATAGTACTGCGTTAATTACACTGCTATCTACGGTGTCGAGCTCAGAAGGCTTTATACTTGTACATCAGTACATCAGTAATGCTCTGTGATATGAGATATGCGACAGTATAGACGTATGCCCCTGGTGAAGCCTGCACTCGGGATGCTGGATAACTGCTCTGCTGAGCTGCGGCCGTGGTACCAATATCGTGCTGGAGGATGGCCTCGAGATACAGACAGTATCACGCTTTCAGAGCCAGCCCTTCCAAATCGACTGTGCTCGCCCTCACCCCCCCGCCTGTCTCCATCCAGCCCCAGCCCCCCGATTTTCGCGGCGCCTATCACAGCATCAGACCACCACGCACCAGCGACCTCCCACCCGCACCACCCTCACCACCTCACCACCCTTTCACCACTGATGTGCCGCACTGGTGCCTGTTGCTGCCAAAGGTCACCGCCTGCCAGAGTGCCTCCGGCTCCCGGCGGCCTCTTCGTGACCTCCCCTCTTCCGTTGACGTCTTCTGAGCAGGAACAGGGTTGCTTGCAACACCAGAGCTTCGGGCGGTCTCGGCGACTGAAGCTTCTTTCGACCCTTCTCTTTTGCATCCTCTAAGCCTGTCGTATCCCACCAACCACTGGCCGAGTTGGTGATCGACGGCGTCGTGTTGTCCGGTACTGCACTGCACTGCACAGAGGGGCCTCCAAAACACCTTGGCGCCTCCTGGTGACCGCTACGCGACGACTTCCTTTCGGTCGGCAGAGCTCATACAGCTCTTGGCATTCACCAAGAAACCCCTCCAAGCCCCTTGGCGGCGCACTTTTGCTACAAAACCACTGACCGTCTCAGCCCACTAACATTCCATCTCTCCGTGCTCTCCTAAAAAGGTCTACAACCCTCCAATACTCACATACTCACTGCTGCAAACATGCCTTCCTTTAGCATTTCCTCTTCTGTCCTAACCATTGCCATCCTGCTGATCCTAGCACGTCCAGCTCACGCTTTCGGCGCTGGTAACATTGCTTCTGTTGCTAGGATCGAGGGTCTGAATTGTAGGTCTACGTGTCCCGCAAGCTCGATCCACCGCTGACAGTGATCCAGGGCGCCATGGAGACATCGAAGATACCTTACTTACGCTGGTTATGTCCAGAGCGGCTGGCGGAAAGAAGTTTGATAAGATGAACGTGGCGAGAGTCTATTTTGGCAACTGGCTCAGAGATTATTGTGAGTACTCTCCCACTGGCTGCCCAGATAGAGAGAGTAGTTGTTAGCAAGAATTGAAGCTAATTCCGTCTCTCTCACAGCCCAAGCAATCGATGTCGGTACCGTCAAGTATGTCTCCGCAGAAGCTATTCGAATCCTCCTTTGGGTCCTTGGTTTCATGACATTCGGATATGGCACAAAGGAATTTGAAGTCACCTCAGAACGTCTTGGCTGCTACCGTCCGGAAGATCACATCGACAACCCAAAGGACTACGCTGATAACATCGATGCTACGCAATATGATACCCGACTTCGTGGCCCAGTCGATGAACGTGTTGAGTTGGCGATTGATCCTAGGACCGGCTTGAAGAACTTCATTGCAAACGAGAATGTTGGTATCATGACCTCCGCTTTACATGTCCGCAAGCTGTTTGGTAGATCTATTCAGCTGGGACGATCATATGCTCGTAGCAGAAATAAGGATGAGCTCTACGAAGCACTTCGTCTATTGGGTACTGGACTTCATTGCCTCGAAGGTACGTTTGCAGCCCCGGTTAGCTTGCAGCTCTAATCCTACCAGATTATTCTGCTCACAGCAACTACTCTGAACTTGCTCTTATCGAAATGGGAGAGCGTGATGTATTCCCTCATGTCGGCCGTCAAACTCAGATCCGACTTCAAGGTGCTCAACATCCTGTTTATCCTGTGATCACCGGCACTTTTGGTGGAGTTGACTTCCTTCACTCTGTTATGGGCGAGTTTGACGACAAGGCCACACAATCCGAAATTCAAAATCTTGAAGGCACCATGCAAAACAGCGGCCAGGCCAACACAAGCGTCCTCCAAGAACTTCTGAGCTCTGTACCCGAAGGTCTTTTTGGGGGCAAGGACCAGGCTGGCAAAGTAAGTGAGCTCCAGACAAACGCAGCAGCAGCCCAGATGTCACAAATGCGTGTTTCTCCCCGTCAACCTGAAGCCTTTACACGCCAGATGCAGGGAGTCGCCAAACAAATCTACCCAATCATTGAATGGCACGACGAAGTCATGAAATCGATCACCGAAGCAATTGAAAAGATCCCCGTCTTGCCTGATCTTATTGAGAACATTGAGAACGAGATCAATATCTTTGTCTTCTCTCTCCTCGCACCATTCGTAGTACCAATCATCAACCAAATCAAGACCGAGTTGAACACCGGCTCCTCAGAGATTATTCAGAGTAGTAAGGATAAGCAACTGATTGTCTTCCATGATGATCATTCTTCTGATCCCACGCACTCCATGCTTGCCAAGGACCATTTCTCCAATGTATGTTTTCCTTCCCTCCCGAGCTGGGTATTTCTAACCTCGATAGATTTTGAACGAGGTTGCCGGAAAGATTGCTTCTCAAGTCCTTAAGTGGGTCGTTCCACAGCTCATGCAGTGCTGGGATGACGAGAGGGTCGATCCCGATCGTACCATCACTCGAATCATCAATGGCGTCTTTCATCATCCAGCTCTCAGGAACCAAGGCGAGGATGGTGCTGTCGATGGTCGACGCCTCATGTTTGGCGTCGTTGAAGGTTGGTGGCGCTCGAAGCAGCCGTACGAACAGCAAGAGCTTCGCCAGCAATTGAGCCGTGACGGTGTTATGAACGGTCAGAATCATAAGGAGGGCGTTCACGATACTGGCCACGGATGCGGAAAACCTCTCGGCATGGCAAAGTCTACAGGTGCTTCGTCTGGCACTGCGGCTGGCGCCTTGATGGGTGGTATTTCCGAGGCACTCGGTGGTGGTCAATATGGTTCCGGGGTAGGATTCGGAGGTGGGTCTGGTGGCAACTCCGGCCTTGGAAAATTCGCCGGGGAAGCTGTAGGAGGCGGAGCTGTCGGTGGGATTGTGGGGGCTTTGGCCGGTGGACTTGGTGGCTCTCTGTTGGGCGGTGTATTCGGCGGAGACGAGAAACCAAAACCCCAAGCCTACGTCAATCAAGGTTATACACCTCAAGGCGGCTACCAACAGCAATACACCGAGGTTGCGCACGGCGGAAATCAGTACGCACAAGCTCAGTACTCTGAGACGCAACTCCCGGGCGGTGGGCGTCAAACCGATTATCAGCGCTTCCAGCAGATTGGGGATGGACGTGGAGCAGGCTTCGAAGAGCGCACCCAGATTCAACCCAGTTATGGAGGCGGCTACGAACAAACCAATGAACGTATCTACAGGCAGCCAGGCGGTGAAGTCGACACTGAGACTTGGAGAGAAGGCCAAACTGCCGATGGCCGTCGCTACCACGAGGCTAGAGCCCACGAGGAACACAGCGATAGTGATGACTCTGGACGCAAGAAGCATGGCAAGCACCATAAGAAGCATTATGATAGCGATGATGAGAACGATAGGCCACAGCAGTATCAACCTCCGGGAGGCTTCGGAGGTGGATACGGCGAACCTCCTCGTGAGCGCTATGAAGAACGTCGAGAGGAATTCGGTGGTCGTGGAGGCTTTGGCGGTGGATTCCAGGAGGCTCCACGTGAGCGGTTTGAGGAGCCGACTAGACAGGAGTACGGGGGTGGTGGTGGCTTTGGAGGCGGATACCGGGAACCCCCTCGACAAGAATACGGTGGCAATGAAGCTGGTTGGGGTGAGCGTGAACGCGAGCAAGAGGAGTATAGAGAAGAAGTTGCTGAAGAGAGAGAGGAAGAGCGCGAGGAGGAGTACAGAGAGGAGAGACGTGAGGAGGGCGGTGGTGGGTGGTTCTCTTGATTCCAAACATCAAGAAATCCCTCGGTTGTGGGAATGGGAGACGCGATGTGTTTGTGATATGATTGGGGACGAGATGCTATGATGTTCAACACCCTGGAGGTGGAGTGATGCGTTTTCATAACAAAAGCACGGTTATTGATGATGGATACATGGGCAGCTGGATTGCGTTACGACAATCAAAATCAAAAAGCGATTAGATAGCACTGAAGAATGCATTAGATGTTTTCTAAGCCCGGCAGTCTAACATAGAGTTTCCAATAAACTTGTCCGAGTGGGTCAAAGCTCTGCAGGAGCTTCTCTCTATAAAAGTGTAGCGGAGCAGTCTGCGCAAATCTGCAGGCATGACTCGGAGAAAGAAGAAGATGGGTGAGGGCTTGATCTACTCTACCGCGAGGAGAATCAGGATCCTTCCACCACTACGAGTTCCCCCTCGTTTGCAAGGGGACTTCGAGCTTGCTAGTAGAAGCAGGAGTACTTTGCTTGCCAAATACACTGAGTAAGATTTTGCTTGACAACAAGACCAAAACTTGACAGCAGCAAGATGTTTCTTGCTCAGGTACTCCGCCGTGGGACCTCTTTTGCACTCTTGCAATTCTAGGTGCTGTATTCCCGACCGGACCTCAAACGTTCGTGTGGCCCTCTTTCCTGTGTGGTGGGGCCTGGTAAGGAAAGGATTTGGGTTATAAGTTTGCCTCGAGCTCAAGTGGTGCTGGGCTGAGTGGCTTTTTGCTCTGGATTGTCTTGTCCTTCCTTCATAGGGAAACCGCGGTGATGGCAGGCAATAGAGATGTTCTTTCCTCCCGAGAATGTAGCACCTCTTAGTACGCAATGAACGAACTAGTGTAAGTACAAACATGAGCAGCGAGCTATGCTTCTCAGCACATAGCAAGCACTTGGCTTTGCTGGTTCCCAGAGGAAGTAGGCACGGAGGAACGGAAGTAGCACGCTGTGGGTGTGATAATATTTATATCAGGGTCTAACAAATGAGCGTCTGATTTGTTCTAGGCGGTGGGGGTAAGGGAGGGGGGGCTAGCAGGAAAGGGAGGAAGGACAGACGAAATGACAATGAGGGGAGACTTGACAGCAACGAAGTGTTTGACAAAAAAAATCCACAAGAGCAGAGCTCTATGTCCTGGGATTTCTCCCTTTGCTTGCTGCCTAGTGGGACGAGCCTGGTATAAACAAAGAAGAATTTCAGTCGGCGTCTTATATAGTACAAGGCTCTACTGATTCCCACCCAATACATCTCGACCTTAGCACTGGCGGGGTCGTTGCTCTGCTCATTCGTCACGAATACGGCATTATAACGACATTCGTCAATTGAAAGGATATGGGAGAGTCGGATTCCGCTGGTGATACGGGGTACACTTCTCCGGGTATAGTCTATTCCTTCTCTTTTAGGTGTTAATCTTGTTGTCTTTTCGTTGCAATATATTGCGTTTTTGTATCACCAATAGCTCAATGCTCAGAGAAACTTCTGAGCCGCATATAAACAAGCGGCTTCGTTGTCTTACTCTTTAATGCACGTAAAGATCGCAGAGTAGGGAGTTGCATTGAATGGTAAAAGAGTTGATTGAACTAGCTAGAAAAGAGCTTGAGTGAAGTGTGAAGCTTCAGGAAGTGAGTGCACAGATCCTGACTAAGCGGAGCGATCGCGCTAGCCCCAATTCAGTGATTCTCACTGCGACACTCTTCAATTGCCTATCTAGAAGATCTTTCTTTTGCACATTTACTGTCACTTTTCTATGTGCAATCTGTATGCAGCTCAAACCCCCCCCCACAAGCACGGGTCAGATCGCGTGAGTTAGGACGACTAACGGCGGGTAGCAAGTTAACGACAAAAAGAGATTTGACCACGGGTGACAACTTGACAGAGAATAAAAACGGGAAGGTGTTCACTGTAAGAACCTAAGGTCTTAATAGAGGAAATAGAGAAAGATGATCGAGGAAGGTTTAATTCTTCGCACAAGTGTTCATAGATAAACCTGAATTGCGCCCTGCACTTCCCATAAGAACATATTATATCTCAATTCTCTATTCCGACCGCAGCCGCAGCCAGTACGACATTGTTTATATACTTGAGGAAAAGGCGGTGGTTATTGTCTAGTGATCGATGCTAGTATCCGCTATTCCTGCAATTGCAGTGCTCTCCTCCTTCAGGCTCTCATAGCAAGGGCCGCTCCTTGCTAGGGAATTTAAGGAAGGCGCACATTGAACCGGACGATATTGGCACAATTTATTTAGACGTGTGACGTTCAACTCAACTTGTTATCCCCTGTCCCTCCTCATGCCTTGTCCATGCTTGTCTAGGGATGTGGATAGGGCCAAGTCGCTTACCTGTTAATGATGAGCTGAGACAATGTTCTAACAAAGCCTGCGAAATTGCGAAATTGCGATATATTCAATGTTCACTATAGAAGATCGTGGTTTTTCACTTGCCAAAGTTCCTTCCTTATATCTGTAGAACAACGAATTCATTGTGTCTCCCCAATGTCCCAGACAATTTAAAGCAGTCAGAAATCTAATACTCGATAATATTCCATTCCAAAGCGGAACATTTTAAGATGGTTATTTCCCTCAATCTCCTTACTCGTTTGGGAGATTCTGCGTGTTATACTAGTCACTATTTAGTCAAAAGTGGAACACTGAAATCTTTTACGTTTCCTCGTTGCTGCAACTCATTTGCGCGTTTCTACCTATCGATGTTCTACTTGAAAGCGGAACACTAAGATTTGGCTTCTCCGCTCAAGGTTCAATTCTTCTGGGTGATTTCGATGAGTTTCTGGTTAAAGTTCCAGCTCGCTTTAGTATATTCTGATGCTCTCCACCTAATTTGAAAACAGCCTGATAGCTAGGCAATCTTCAAATTGAACGAATCCTTCCCAAACACATAGCCGCCAAGGAAAATGGAATCCCCTCTGGCCTGGTCCTTGCGTCTCTCAATCTCCTCAAAGTAAAAATCTTCCTTCGTTTTCCTAGTCTCAGCTCTCTCCACTATGCCTTTCCTTCCATCCTTCAGGATACCATGCCATAACACCGCCTTTATCACCCCCTTCCATCGCATCCGCCTGGGTAGTAAACCTCCCAAGCAACTCAAACCCCAACCTCCTATACAACCCTTCCCCTTTAACACTACTCTCCAAGCCCACCATAGCCCCATCCCTCTCCGCCCTCCTCAAAACCTCCGCCATCAGCCTCTTCCCAATACCCCGTCCCTGCCACTCCGGCAAAACAACTACACTCTGCGCGTGCCACCTATTCACCCTTTCCTCCCTCCCCTCCCAAAACCTCCCCTGATCCACCCTACACCACGCCGCAAACGTCTCCACAGCCTCTCGATCAATACTTTTATCCCCTCCCTGAAACAACCACCACACCTGACACCAGGCCCAAAACCCCCAACTCAGCACCCAAAACAAGACCCTTCTCACAAGCCCAACATCACGGATCATCTTCCTAGCGCCCGCATCGTCACCTAAGCGCACGAATTGTGCTGCTCCAACGATTTTCCCTTCGGGGGAAGAGAGACAGGCAACGTACGTCTCGTTGCGAGGCGACAGTATCCGGGTTACAGCCCGCTCGAAGAAGCCGCGCTGGTAGGCTGCGGGGTACTTCTCGCGGCGAGGAGATATCCAGGATGTAAGGGGCGTTGAGAAGTAGGCTGTTGCGGCGGCCTTGCCTACGTCCGGGCCATCTAGTAGTGTTGCACGACGGATGGTGATTTCTTCTTGGGGAGCAGCGGTGGTGAGGGTTGCTTTGCCGTTGGCTGTTAGTGACATGTTGGCGGGTTTGACGGAGGAGGAATGAGGTTTGCGAAATGTGGGATGAGGGGAAGGTTATGTTTTAGTGTAGGGAGAATTGAGGGCATTGAGGGCATTTATAAGTGAAAATACCAAGAATTGACGGGTAAGATAATGCAAGACGAAAGGTTGAGTCATGCCGACTCCGTCCAATAGGGGAGCCTAAAAGCGGTCGGCAAGGCACTTGATATTGTGATACTACCTTCCTGATTAGGGTCGGCAAGTGTTCATGTAGCCCGTGAAAAGAAGGCGAAAGAGTTAACTACATTTGTGTCGGAAGTCCTCTAAGAAATCATGTTCCAGTCATATTCTGTAGATTTTCGCAAGTTTGTTGAACCACCTTTTTGGTTGTTGTGACGTCAGCGTCACATGACCTGGCCCTAGCGTGGCACCCTGTACTTAGCTCGAGCTCCCCGCTCCTCTCTTCTCTCTTTAGATGTTACATACACACCCAAAAAGAGCTGTTTACCAGACCAGGTCTTCAGCCCAGGGACGTGATATTGGTATACCGAAATGCCGGGCGCTTCACGCTCAACCCCTGCAGAGCAAGTGCAGTTGATTGGACGCTCAGACTTCCCGTGTACCAGGAGCCGCCTTCATGATCTTTAAACACCCAGGACTTCCCCCCTTCACAATATGATTCCCTCGTCCCACAAAAGGTCACCGGCGGCGACGCAAGTTAGGACCTGAAGACTGCAAAAGATTTATTTGGCTTCTATCCTATGCCGACTTAGATCTCTCCGGCCCAGCCATCGCAAAGAGGTCAAGGAGGTCACGAGACTTGAGATGGGGAAACGTAAGAGGGATGAGGATCCAGAGTTGGCGATGGACGAAATATTGAGGTACGACGTGGAGAAAATGGCGTTCGAGCAAGACACCATGAACAATGAAGCGTTGACGTACGAGCAATCAATAATGGATGAGATGGTGGGAGAGCAAGGGATTCCACACAAGAACGAGGCATGGAGGGTGATGAAAAACGAGTGGGAGAAAGAAGATCTGAGATTTTACGGAAATTACATCATGACCGAAAAATGGGCAACTGAAGAGGCATTGGCTATGGACCAGGCATTGGACGAGGCATTGGAAATAGAGGAATATTTCGATTTGTCCACAAGAACTGCAAGGGGAATGGACGAGTTGCTGATGGCGAAAGAGGAATTGATCATCGCGAAAGAGGAATTGATAATGGACGAAGTATCCACGATGGATGAGCTGTTGATGGCGAACGAAGAATCAATGGCATACAAGCAAGATATGATGGCCGAGCAATCAATGAACTACGAGCAAGCAGTATTGGATGAGCTGAGGGGCGAGACTACTGGCTGGTACTTCGTGGACCCACAAAGGAACAAGCAACTAAGAATCTTCAACTACATCGCACTGGATCAACCGAAGGATGAGATCCGGGTCGTCTGCCTCCATCCCGGTCCTATGCGAACAGAGTCACCCATCACCTGTGATCTCATCACCGTAGATCTGGAGATAGCCCCCTCATACGAGGCCTTGTCATATGAATGGGGCAGCTCATCCAGCAAGAAGCACACCATTCGGCTCAATGAAAGGCTATTTTCCGTGAGAGAGAATCTTTGGCGGGCCTTGTACAACCTCCGGGATGCGCGAGAGCCAAGAAGTCTCTGGATTGACGCGCTCTGTATCAACCAAGACGATATCCATGAGAGAAACTGTCAAGTATCGAGAATGGGGGATATCTATTCACAGGCTGCCAGGGTTGTAGCCTGGATTGGAGAGGATGATTCCGAGGCGAGAAAAGGCTGTGCCTTTCTATCAGAGCTGACGGCGTGTTCCGTAGAGAGGTACTGCCCGCCAGGAGGTGATTGCCAACGTTGGCAACATAGAGGCAAGTGGGTAGCTCTGAGCAGTTTGTGTACGCGGAGTTACTGGTTTCGTCTTTGGATTATCCAAGAGGTGCTCCTCGCAAGTGACCTGCTCATCCAATGCGGACCGTTGTCTTTCCAATGGGAAGAGCTCTCGAATGTCTTTCATTACCTACGGGAAAACTTAACCGGATTTTGTTCTCCGGGGCCAAAACTTTCCGTCGTATCTTCTATTCCATTCAGGCTAGAGATCTGGCGTAAAGAACATCGAATGGCGGTCTTTGCGAATACCGATCACCATCTGGTACCGTTACACCACTTGGTAGATCTGTTCAAAGACTCGTTGTGTTTCGACACCCGAGACAAAATATTTGGCCTCAGGAGTTTGAGCCTTTCTTGTTGTAAGGATTTTGTTCGACCAGATTACTCCATGGCATACAAGGAAGTTATCAGAACTTTGTCGGTTCACCATGATGCCATGCACTCAGGTCCTTGGGCAGAGGACCCTTATTCAACCTATCTCGACCTATTAAGAAAAATTTAAGGTGTCAGCTCTCTTTTGAGAATCTGCAGGGATAAGATTGAGTCTCAAACTGGCGATACCACCGTACGAAGAGGTTTTCCTCTGTCGACCTTTCGATCCTACCACCGTGTCCTCTCGCCGCGCCCTCCGAATATACACATACAGAGATAGAGGGAACTGGGGACGCGTTAGGCGGAGCCGCAGGAGGATAATTCCGCGCCCTCGGGCGCTCTATGGTTATAAGGAAGAGGGGGGGGAAGGTAGGGGTAGGGGAAGAGGTCGATATTGCGCCTTCGTACGCGCCCACACACTACCGCGGAGGACAGGTCTATAGCTCTATTGCGTAGAGTTAATAAGGAGGCTTTTATCTCACGTTAAGTCACCTGGATTCGAGCTCTAAGGGGCTTAAGATACCTCTCTACGGATAGCATACACTTCCTGGCTTCCATCCCACTTGTCCGGGAAGGGAGCAGTCCAAAGGCCCTGCTAGTTATGCAAAGAGAGTAACTAGGCGGTTATACGCTTCGGCATGAAATGCTTTCTAAGGCAAGAGCACTGTAACACCGCGGGATTAGGGACCCCGGGCTATTTGGGAAGGAGTCTTTTCGCCCCTTGTGGTTTTTGGCTCCTTTGTAAATAGGACTTCGTATTCTCAACGAGATCCTTAGCTTAGCACGTCCTCATACCCTTCGGGAGGTCTCTCGGACGTAAATAATAACCACCACCACCATACATCCACTTGAAGTGTCTGATATGTCACTGGAAACATGACTTCGTAGATTACCTTCCAGGGCATTTTGGAGAGCTGCCGGGCGTCCTGTCTCTACTTGCAAGAGAGACGAGTAATCAGGTATGGTGTGACAAAGATGTGGATACGCGATGAAGCAGAAGCTTTCAATCTGGATTTGTAACGTAGCAAAGACGAGAACAACATTTGACTTCCATGATGTCAGAAAGCCTACTCGGCAGTATTCAATTCACGGCCAAATCGAGGTCGGCTCCTGCTTCACCCCAGATGGGATGTTGGAAACTTCCGACCATCTTGTATCATTGGAAATGTGACATCCCTAATTCATGGACCACAGCATTGCAGGGGTGAGAAGAATCGAAGCTCTTGGGACTTCAGTAAAAATTGGTTCTCGAACCCTAGTCACTTCAGAAACAGTTTCACCTTTGTTCAACACGGCCACGACCTCTACACGCATCACCATCCGATCCGAACTACCACAAGTACAACTCTACCTGCTGTCACGGGTTCTGGCAGCAAGGCGTGTTACACACAAACGGCTGTATTCGTCGAATATCGAGTACTCGCCGATAGGTGCAGGAAGTTCTCTTTGCTGGAGAAGCATGGAACGCATGGAAGAAGCCTCGAATGCTCTAGATCTCTGGTACCCCGAATGTAAGCAGTCGAGTGCCACCGAAGGACATGCATGCAGCCTTACGCAAGCCATGAAGTCAAAAGACAACAGCCAACACATACTAAAGATGAATGGGGTCAAAGTAACGTCCAATTCAAGCATTCTGGATCTTAAGAGCTGAAATGCTGCCAAAAGAGAAATATCAAGTTGTCATCGGCGGATTCCGACAAGGCGGGCCCAGCCTCCGCTTCTGACTTTCTGCGCGGAAAAAGCAAAAACAAATGCTGGAGCAGCCATTGGTCGCCCTCACTTGAGAAGCGAACCGTTCACTTGATTCGCCTGATGAGACGGGATGGATCGTGAAACGCCTCTTCGAGGAAGGAGGGAAGCGTCCGGTCAAGTTAATGCTGGCCAAAGGGAGTTTCGAACACAGGCAGGCTGCCGCAACTGCGGGAGCCGGCCTGCAGAACCACCATCCCCCAGGGAGAGGATCGGTACCTTCTTCTTTGAGCGGACGAGGATATGCTGAGCTCCGAGACCCATGAGATTTTATCGAGATGTCTCGAGGAAGATGAGAAGGAGAGCAAAAAAGATCTCCCACAACCATGTTGAGCAGTATGCAACACTGGGCCCAATTGGGGAAGACGGCATTTTTCTTGAATTTCAGCCTCGGCTAGCTGTGAAGTGTCATTGGCTCCTGTCATCTCCTTCTTATCTTCACACGCATCTCGAAGAAGCTCTGCGAGTAACGAGTAAGGACCATCTCCCCAACTGGACCAATTCGGCAGATACACCACGTCGGCGTCACGAGGAACTCGATCGCGCGGATGCCAGCATTCTGGTGATGCACAGATCGGTGCTCGAGATCCGCTGCAACTTTTCACAACAGCAGACCTGCATCCAGAACCCCAGCTCGAGCCACAAGGATTCTTTCTTCGATGCACCAAGGAACATTCGAACATTTGGCAGGCCTTCCTTGCACACATGACAGCCGCGTGAACCTGCATATCTCCACAGATTACGGACAAAAGAAAGGAGCCGGAGAATTGGTTGCGTTTCTGCATGGGTCGTCAGAAAAGAAGCTCGAGACCGAGATAAAATGCAGACTTTCCTTTTGCTGTGTTCTTGGCAGTTCAAGCGCCGGGCACCGCATTCTTCCTGAGTGAAAGTCGGCGACGACCATGCCGTCCATCAGACATCTCGAGGGCATGGCGAATCGTCGCCCTCCACTGTCGTGGGGTAGCCGAGACTTGATGTCCATGATTGGACGACGCACAGCGTGGCTTGGGAGCGATCCTGTTCGGTTAAGCTGTCAGTGAGGGGCAGGGGGGCACACGACAAGAAGGTGGCGTGCAGCAGGGGTAGCAGGGGCAGCAGAGGCTAACACAATAGGAAGCGAGGCGATTCGCGCCTCGCACCTCCCACCTCCCACCTCCCACCTCTCGCCTCTGAGCTACCTGGCAGATGGGCAGTACTCCCAGAACTCCACGAGCTTTCGACGGTATCTACTGTACAGCATTGCAGTCCAGAGCGGCAAGGCCATGGCCTGGAGGCTACTCCAAGCCGTGACGGGTTCTCGTGGCCTTTTCTTCTCTCTAGCTCCCGAGAGAGTTTGCCCCCGTGCGCTGGGTCTGATGCGTGCCATATCCACACTGGTCGCCCAGGCATGTCGCGAACTTTTCTTATCAGTGACTAAGACCTAATTCCAAGCCCTAAAGCCCATGGTGCCGAGCTTACTGGCTGGGTTAAGCATTTGGGGTTTGGATTTTCGCGGTCCACTCCACTCAAGCCCCTTCCAGACATCCTCATCGGCGTCGCCCGCAGTCGGGATCTGTCGCCCACCACCATGAGAGCTATCCTTGTCCCTAATCCCTGCAGCTCCCGTTATCACTTGCGAGAGCTCTCAGATTTCCATATATACCTCCATCTGTCTACCCAGTGTATATTTCAGGGCAAGCAAGACATTGAGTCGAGTCGCCGACCTTAGAGCTTCGCAATTCTCGCCTTTCAATATCCTTAATATCTCTCCACCATCCTCGACGAATATAGTCTGCTTCAACTTCAACTTGAACAACTCACTTTCACCCAAGATGGGTGCCTTCTCTAAGAAACAGGCCGATGTCGAGGCCGTCCCATCCGAAAAGCCTGTATATGGCACCGAAAACGACAGCGGCGAATACATTCCCGATGAAGGTGCCGTCGCCGCCGAGACCTTCGTCCTTGGAGACAGCTGGTATGCGAAGACACAGAGACTTGCTGGTAAATTCGGTGTCGAACAACGTGGTATCGAGCGAGTCCCCAGCGATGAGCGTGACACAGCACACATCTCGCAAGTCGGCACCATGTGGCTCTCAGCGAACATGGTTGTCAGCTCCTTCGCCATTGGTGCTTTGGCCTACCCCATCTTCTTCCTTGGATTCGTCGATACTATCTTGATCATCTTCTTCATCAACTTGCTAGGTATAATTCCCGTCGCCTTTTTCAGCACTTTCGGTCCCAGGTTTGGTTTGAGACAGATGGTTCTCTCGAGATTCTTCTTCGGATATTACGGTGTCAAGGTCGTTGCTGTGTTCAACATCCTCGCCTGTGTTGGTTGGTCTGCTGGTAAGCTATCCTATCCTGTACTGTTAGTTTCTTCTCTAATCCACCCATCTCTAGTTAATGTGATTGTGGGAGCTCAGCTGTTCAACGCCGTCAACAGCAACATGCCAGGATGGGCCGGTATTATTTTGATCGCTGCCGCCACTTTCTTGATCACTCTTTTCGGATACAAGGTTGTCCACACCTACGAGCGATACTCCTGGATCCCCTGCTTCATCATTTTTCTGATCGTCATTGGCGAGTTTGCCCACTCTGGCAATTTCTCGAACATTCCAATGGGTGTCGGACTCTCCGAGGCAGGATCTGCTCTCTCTTTCGCTGCTTCAGTTTTCGGGTTCGCAACTGGCTGGACCTCGTATGCTGCTGATTACACCGTCTATCAACCGGTCAGCCGATCCCGAAAATCGGTTTTCATCTGGACTTACGCCGGTCTCGCCTTCCCTCTCCTTTTCACGGAGATGCTCGGTGCAGCGGTCGCGACTGCAGTGGCTGCCAATGGCGGTAACAATGTCTACAATGACGGATACCAGTCCTCTGGCATCGGTGGACTTCTCGCAGCCGTTATCGTCCCTCCCTTGGGCCGATTCGGACAGTTCTGCCTTGTCGTCCTCGCATTGTCGATTATCGCAAATAACTGCCCCAACATCTACTCCGTCTCGCTCTCCCTCCAACTCCTTGCTCGCGTCTCCCAGCGCGTTCCCCGCTTCGTGTGGACCTTTATTGGAACCCTCATTTATTGTGCCATTGCCATTCCCGGTTACGGCCATTTCCAGTCTGTCCTTGAGAACTTCATGCTGCTCATCGCTTACTGGCTGGCTATCTATGAGGGTAAGCTACCAGTTCTTTCAAATCATTCATGAACTTTTTGACTAACGAGTAATAGGTATCGCCGTCTCAGAGCACGTCTTCTACAAACGTGGCATGACCGGCTATGATCCAAGCATCTACATGGACAAGGATAAGCTTCCCCCGGGAATCGCAGCCATCATTGCTTTCTGCTTCGGTATCATGGGTGCCATTCTCGGCATGGCTCAGGTCTGGTTCACTGGACCGATTGGGAAGCTTTGCGGTACAACGTACGGCGGAGATGTTGGCTTCGAGTTGGCCTTCGGCTTCGCTTCTACCTCGTACACTGTACTGAGATACTTTGAGAAGAAGCACTTCGGACGGTAAATGTGCTGCCTTGTGTAAAAAGAGTGTAATGACTGGTTTTTGATATTTAGAGTTGGGCTGTTAGAAATTGTTTTGGATCAAATAGTTTTGAGTATGAAGAGATACCCCGACTTTACTTCACTTTATTGCATGTGAACCTCATGGGAAAATTGGACATCAGCACCGTTCTAAACACCGGTATAAAAATATTATTCTACCCTCTAACCCCCCCCTCTAAAACGCCACCCCAACCCATCCCAGGACCACACTTCACATCACAACCTCTTCGTTAAAATCCAATCTGTCTGCACACAACTCCCCATAACAAAATCATGGCTTCCCACTTTCTTGAATCCCATGCGTTCATAAACCCTCTGGGCCCTAAAATTCTCCTCCCAAACACCCAACCACAGAGTAACAAACCCCTCTTCCCTCGCCACCTTCTCAATCTCCTCAACCAACATCCCGCCTACACCTCCCCCATGAAAATCCGGGGAGACATACAGTCTCTGCAATTCCACGGGCTGCTCGCATCCTTCTAGACAGGGCTCGGAAGTCCCGCGCGTGAGCTGGGCGAAGCCGATGACGGTGTCGGGCGCGGAGGTCGGGCAGGCGACGATGGTGGTGACGGAGGGGTTTGAGAGGTCCCGAGAGAGGGACGGGATGCTGTAGGCGGACTCGAGGTAGGCTTGTAGGTCTGCTGCCGGCATGGAGTATCCGAAGCTGGTGGAGAAGACGGAGGAGCCTAGGGCGGCGATTTGGGGTGCGTCTTTGGGGAGGGCTGGGCGGAGGGTGACTTGTGGTTTTGGCTTTGTTGGTTGTGTCATTTTGAGGGGTTGCAGAGGTGAAGTGACTCGTGATAAGTTGATCTGAGGAGGAAGATGCCGATGATGTCCAGCGAGAGGTCACACCGCTCTTCCCTTTTTCTCAATGTATGACGACGAAGTGGAAACTTGTGCTTCTGAAAAGGTAGACGTTGATATCCCGAGAAGATGAGCTTATATCCGATTCTTTAGAGAAAAGAGAGATAAAGGTTGACAAGCTCCACCTCTGTCTGACACTGGTCGGAGTTCGATCCGGAGTACACAAGAAAATTTGGCATTTCAGACTTCGTCTCCACTATGAGTCATGGCCTTCCATTGATGCAACTGCTCAGGTACATGGATCTTTTCTTGAAGGCCATATGCTTCTAGAAATGGTTGAGATTTTCAACTTGTGAAGTGAAGGGCGTGAAGAAGTCGCTTGCTGGGGGGCCGCTTAGGCTTTCCAAGTTGGGCAAAACCGGAAAGTTGGGGCCGGGGCTCGCTAAAGCAACTTAATTGCAACTCATTGCTTCTCTCCACGAACCTTCTTTTTGACATCATCTTCCCCAGGTCTCTTAATAATCGGGTTGCTTAATTCCTTGATTAACCTTAATCCTCGGAATGGTTGCTTCGTTAGAGAGGCTTTCTGATAGTCACGAGAAGTGACGCACACCTTATGTACCTCGAGCCAGGATGCCCGTGGATACTGAATCTGACCAGAAGGTTCACCAATGACTGAAGGCTTTAATGTCGACTTTGGATGCCGTAGCATCAATGTCATTCAGAGTCCATAATGGACGTCAACCAATCTCTGCCAAGGCCCAAAACATCTGCGAGTTTGCGACAACATCAGCTTGTTTCAGGTTGTTCATGCGGAAAGTGGTCATCAATCGTGAGAGGGCGACCCGCGATCATCAATGAAACAACGGCACTGCAAGACACAGATCGGTCATCCATGGCATAAATCCTTTCGATGTGTTCAAGGGGACGCGTGGACAACTGCCGAAACGATGATGTGGAGGCAAGGCTCAATGTTCTTAAATGGTGGATATCAACTCACTGCAACGGCCACCATGTGGCTTCAGCGTTGTTTGGCCTCTTTCAATGGTACTAATTTTGGTCGCCAAGTCTTATGGGCAGACATTGAAAGTAGCAGGACTCAGTCCAAGTCGGGCCTTTGAATCCTTCCCTCCTTCCTCCTTCCCCATCTCCACCTAATTGCCTTACGGGTCGTGGTGGAGTTTTAACTATGTGGTCCCGAGCCTTGAAGATACTCTAAACGTTAAGTGGACTTTCAAAAGAGATATCATTATGTCGACACTTTCGTCATTACACCATGTTTTGATGCAAAGCCAGTGACCTGTGTTACCAAGCTCATTCATTTTCACTCATATCTTTCTTGTTGCCTCCTGGTGAGAGCCCAATACATCCTTTAATTTTAAGATGGCGACCAAAGGTGGCGATGTTGTGGAGGAAAAGTCTTTGGGGCGGGTTCAACTCCTCACGGAGTCGGGTGAGCGTATATTAGTACCAAAACCTTCGAACAGTCCAGACGATCCCTTGAATTGGTCAGTGATCCCAAAAGTTTCACTGTATGACTGTTCACCGATACAGGTCTACGCCATTCAAATACTATGTAGCCATTGTAACCTGCTTTGGCATGCTGATGTGCACTTTCCTCGCGGCTGGCCCAACAGTTGCAATTGTTCAGATCGCAATGGATTTTGGTGGAGGACCAACGGCAAATTTAGCAGTCCTAATCCCTGAGGTCTCATTCTTCTTTACGACATCAGCACTTACTCAAGGAACTGGGAATCTGTTGTGGCAGCCACTGATCAACAAATACGGAAGGCGACCGGTATATATCATCTCTTTCACAGGTTACCTCTTCACAGCCATTTGGTCGGGGTTGAGCACCGGATACACCAGTGAGCTTATTGCAAGGATCCTTCTTGGCTTCTTCTCCGGTGCTGGAGAATGTCTTGGGCCAGCAACTATTACAGACGTCTTCTTCCTTCATGAACGAGGAACGGCGATGGCGTAGGTCGATTGCAGGCCGTTGCTTATCGCCTACTGATAGATATTTTAGAATGTACAACTTTGCAACTGGGTCAGGTGTCTCGATCGGTATTATAATCAGCGGCGTAATAACTCTCAACAACTCATGGCGGGTCATTTACTGGGCCGGCGCGATTCTGATTGGTTTCTTGATCATTCTCATCATCTTCACGATTCCGGAAACGGCCTACAACAGATCGTATGACGACAGTGAGGAAGGCGATATCATTGACGACAAGAAGAACCCGTTTAGATTGTCTTTATCGATCATTTTGAAGGACGAAGAGAAAGCTCGAATCGCAAGATATTACCAGGGAAGTGACCGATTGGAGATACTGCCGGAGGATGAAATCCCGAATGAGACTTCTACGATGCAACGAATGGAAGAACGCATTCGGCGCCTCGAAGCTGCTGTCTTGGGAAACAACCAATATTCCCCACTATCATCTGGTCTCTCGTCAAAGAAGTCGTATTGGAGTACGATCTCCCTCTTTTCTGGACAGGTTTACACCCAAGACTCATTGTGGAAAATGTTCATTCGACCTTTTGGCTTGATCATTCTTCCACCAGTTCTCTGGGCAACCCTTGTCATGTCAGCCCTTATCGGATTTTCAGTGGCCCTATCCTCCGCCTGTGAGTTGTTCGGGTTGGTGATCGTTCAATGGAATGCGCTCACACGTCTCCCATAGTTGCCAATGACTTCCAAAGAGTTTACAACTTTACCCCTTTTCAAGCCGGCCTAGGGTTCTTTGGAAGTCTGCTTGGTGGAATTCTTGCCAGTAAGTAATATCCGATATTCTCAGGGGCAGAGGTCTCACAAGTATCGCAGTTCCTGCTGGTGGCCCTGTTGGAGAGGCTGTTGCGAATTATTTCACAATTCGAAATCGTGGCATCAGGGAACCTGAATTCAGATTGCCTGCGATTGCCATCTCCGTCATCACAGCACCACTCGGATTGATCCTTTATGGTGCCGGCTTGCAATACAAATTGCACTTCATGGTTCCAATTATCGGGTTGGGTTTAGGTATGAAGCCCCGTCAATAGACTGCAGCTCTCTGCTAATACAAAGAGTGTCTTTCTCTGCTGGCCAAGCAATCAATATCTCCTTTGTCTACACCCTCGACGCTTATGGGCCCGTTTCAGGTGAAGTAACAATTGCACAACTTGCTTTCAAGTGTAAGTCACTCCGTCAATCAAAGTGAAGCCTCCACCATTCTAATTTCATCTAGCAATCATCGGCTTCGGGCTCTCAGCAACGACCAATTCTTGGATCGCAGGTGCTGGTGAAGATGTTGCACTGGGCGAAATGGCTGCTGTTACAGCTTTTGTTTTGCTCCTTGCTATCCCAATGTTTTTCTGGGGAGCAAGACTCCGAAGATGGAGTCTAGGATGGAGGGCTGTGAGGTTCATTCGATGGGAGGAGATGTGATCTGGCGAGAACCCTCAAGTCGCAACAGTCTACAATTTATAGTAATGACTAGGTTCCTGAAGAATGAACTTGTCATTTTGTATGAGAAAATTCACCTTACGACCTGTCGTTTGATGCGGCCGCCCCTTGACTTCCTCCCTCCACTTACAGCAGTGGCCCAATGACTCTCACAACTAGTGTTCCTAAAGTGGAGAGTCCAACCGACAGGGCGCAGCCACACAAGATTGTGGACCTCCACTCTTTTTGCAAATGATCCGAGTCAAAGTTGATTACACTTCTTTCGTGACTCAAGAGCACTCTTGAGCCTCGGCTTCACCTTTCAGCTTTCACATATTTAATGTCAATTATTTCCTGTCTTGGGATCTCAGCGTCACCTTCTCCCTAAAATTTTGGTCCTGGACGTGGTAAGGTGCCCGGCAACGTTGCGGCCCTTCTCAAAAACAAACTTCCATCATGTATCTACGACCTGTTCACACAGATCTTCACTTCCCGACACTATACAAGTTCATCCGGAGCAATCCGCTGGGTATCGTCACAACAGCAATCCATTCCCCCAACTATCATACCATCCAAAGCAGTCATGTGCCGTGGGTGCTCGATGTCGAAGACGAAGAAAATGCAACCGACGAGCCAAGAGCTAGACTCAGAGGCCACCTCGCGCGAGCAAATCCCCAAACAAAAGCCCTCATAGAAGCAGCCACCAAATCTTCTTCCAACAAATTCCAAGATGAAATCATGGTCCTCTTCAACGGCCCAGTTCACCATTACGTAACACCAAAATTCTACATCGAGACCAAACCAAGCACCGGGAAAGTAGTTCCCACATGGGACTACTCCGCAGTCCAGGTCTACGGCACCGCAACCATATTCCACGACTCCTCAAACCCTGAACACCAGGAGTTCTTGTCTAAGCAAATCAACGATCTCTCCAAGCAGAGTGAGGAGGAAGTCTTTGGATATACAGGCAAAGACGGAGCACAGAAAGCGTGGAATGTAGGCGAGGCGCCGGAGAGTTATGTGAACTTGTTGAAGAAGGCGATTATTGGGATTGAGATTGAGGTTACGGGGTTGGCGGGGAAGTTCAAGATGAGTCAGGAGCTGGCGGGAGGGGATCGGAGGGGAGTGGTTGAGGGGTTTAGGAAGCTGGGGACGGAGGAGGGGGAGCTGGTTGCAAGGACTGTGGAGGAGAGGGGGGAGTTGAAGGATAGAAAGAAGGGTTAATTTTTGTTCTTGTTGCTATGGCTTACCGCGAGCCTCTTTGAGCTCGAGACTCGCGAACCCTAGGTCTGTATTGTTAGTTCAATGAAAGATCTCAAGCAAGTTCTCGCCTGGCATTAGGAGGCATGGCCCCTGGGGTTACTCTTGGTTGAAAGAGCAGGTCAGGCTGTGAGAGAAGTTGGCCCAATCGCTGCGATCTCCCCCAGCCTCAATGAGAGAGCGCACAGAGTAGATCCGTGAATAGACCAGGACCGGGAAAGCTGAATTGAAAAGTGCTTAGATTCTAGAATGGGAACCTGGAAGAAGAGGAACTCTGCTTGATCTGGATATCACCTTTCTCTGTACCGTCGTGGCTGTAGAGGCTTTCTCCACTCTGTGGACGGCACTTGTCACTTGCCTGCCCCATTTTTGAAATTCGAGAACACAAATAGCTGAACCCCAATTGCCTTCCCCGTATTACATGTGAAAGTAAAAGAATAGCAAGCTAGTGTGTTCAATGTTGGGCAGAAATTGGGAAATGCGACCATGGCCTCGCTTAGCGAATCCAACCCCTTTCGCGAGCTCTGGGCAAAAACAAGTGTAAAATGCGACATACAGCACAAACGAAGAATCAAGAAGCAAAAGAAATCCTTTCGGACCAAGAAACTCAGCTTTCGCTTGGTTTACTTGTGGCAGAGCATATCTCTTCTAAGCCGCCTTTCCCTATCGTCGAACCTCGCGGTTACATAGGGCGTTACTAACATCCTTAACCTTGAGCAGCTAGTGCAAGGATTTACAAGTTGCGTTCACTCAAACTCACTTAGAGTTTGTGACTGGAGACCTCTATTGAACAGAAATCGCTTATTTGGTTATATAACACCCACAAAAAAGGGCAAGGCGGAGCACGTGAGAGGCACGAGCACTACACTAGGTAAACAACCTCCTCGCTTGGTCTTCCTCCTCGTCGCAAGTGCGATTCAAACGTGGCGGGCGGCTATGCACGCAGATACTTCTCCCCGTCTGAGCATTCTACGCTCGGGGGGATTGGGAGCGTTTTGCACAGGATGGCTGATGAGTGGAGTGGGTAGCGTGGCTAGGAGAGAGTATGAGCTATTGGGGAGAGCAATGGATGGAGGGATCTGCTGAGCGCTGAAGCGATGGATGATGTAGGAGCGGTAGATAACATCAAGACTGTTGAACTAAAGAAAGAAAGGAGTACAAATTGTTCACATGATTCCGTAACGGCTGAAATATGACGGTTTTAACCCTCCTCATTCTCTACCGTCATCCCTCAAGCGCAGCCGAACACAGTTCCAAACCCCTCACCTCCCCACCAACACCCTCAAAACCTCCACTTCACCCTCCAACCTTGCAGCTTTCATTTTCAATGCATCCCTCTCAGCCCGGATTTCCTTCAGCTTCGTCTCAAGGTCACTCATCTGATCGACTCGTTTCTGGCGGTACCTGCGAGCTGCTAGGGTGTTGACTTTGCGTTTTTGGATGCGCGAGGGAGGGGCGTTCGTGGGAGGAGAGAGGGATGGTGGATGGTGGATGGAGGTGGAGGGCGTTGAAGTAAAAGGCTGTTGAGGGTAGGTAGGATGATCTAAATTGGGTTAGAGAAGGCTTGAGAGGGCAGTTGGATACACACCTTGAGACAGATGGGCTAGAGCTCGGCTCTCTGGATTCGTATAAGGGTTAGGTTGAGGATATAAAGCTCCGGTTAAGTCGTCTTTTGAAGACCCGAGTCGGAACAGGTCGTTGGGACGAGAAACGCTGTGAAGACGCTCCTCCATTGGAAGATAATTGGACGTCATGTTGTACGCTGGGCACGGGCTCCAAGACATATCGAACTTGAGGGGATTAAAATCCCCAAAGAAATCATGTTCAACACACTCGAAGGGTGATATGTCGGTTCCATTAGTGGGTCCAGAAGAAGTGACATATAAGCTGCTTGGATCGAGATTTAACTCTGGAGGAAATAAATTAAGAAAATCAGAGGTCTCGCAGCCAAGGTGGTTTCTTTGGGAGAGGTCCTTGACATGGTTGGAAGAAGATGGCTCTGAACTGGCTGGGCACTGCTTCACTTGTGGGGGTGGCGCCAGACATGACTGTATTGTTTCTACGGGCCCAGCTGACCCGTTGTTGATATCTGGGAAGATGGTTGAGGGTGTACGGATATCGTACTTTGAAGGTGCTGTTGAAGCTGGGATGAAATTCGGGAGGATGAAATAATGTTCAACGTGAGAGTGAAGCTTGTCCTGATTGGGCTCGCCGAGATCTGCGTTCCCGATCAGGTGCGGTATTTACCCACCCTTTCCACAAGTGCTCGAGAAAAGGCATCTATCTATGTACAGAAGAGGTACCTGAGAAGCCCTTCCCGAAATGCTGGAATAGAGCTTCACTGTGCAAATTAGAAATAGAATCCCAGGAGATGAAGCCTCTCCTCTGCCAATATTTAAATTACCACTTGGTAAAGGTATCGACGTATGGTGAGCCCGGAGACATAGCGTCCTTCGAAGACAAGCTTCATCTTTCAATCGTTTCTTCCAGTCTCCTATTTATTGACTACCGCCATTCTAGTCATACTCGCTCATAATATTCAATGTCAACTCGTACAATCATGCAATATACCCAATAACACCCCCACCAACGCAAAATATGCCACCCGTCATTGAGTTCATAACAACCTTATATGCACCCAATGCAGCTCGTACAAAGTGCTCCCTCCCATGCCCCAATAATACAATGGAGTTCAGGAACAGTGTATCAAGCGAGTGTATCTTTCCCCTGAAAATGCAACAAACCGACGATGAATGGGTATTCGAAATGCAATAACCGAGCAAAACGCAGACCCCAAACCCCTCCCGCTGAAAATGAGATCTCCTCCCCTCTCGTGCGCTCTCGTATACTAGAGCATGAACTGGCTAGGATGTCGCAGCTTCTTTCTCCTCCCCCACTGATTCACCAGTTGTATCACTTTCCGGACTGTCGGATTCTCGTAAAGCTGTGGCTTCCAGTTTGGCACCTGGAAGAGTGGCAATAGGCGTGGTATTAGAGCTGTCATCTTTCCTCCGATTTTTTGGGTCCTGGCTGCTGGCTCGATCGTGGGAACCTTCCTGAGATGTTGGTAGGGTCGGAGTGTTGGCTTGGCTTCCCCCGCGTTGCCCATGATAATGGATAACTTGAGGGGGAGCTTGGCCGGCTTGTGTGCCCAACAGATGTTGTGGATAAGGGTGTAGATCCGCAGAAGAGGTCGAAAACGTAGAGACGATAGGCTGCTGATATCCGTTTGCCCCATTACTAGGCTGAGGTGCGTGCCCGCGTGCTTGAGCTTGCTCGGGGTCTGGTGTGTGTGCTTGTGCTTGGCCATGCTCTGCTTGTGTAGGCGTTCCAGAGTCAGGACCTACGGGGCTTAACAACTGCTCTCCTGGTTGAGCTGCCACCAGACTATTCAATCCTCCTTGAATATCTCTTAATAATCGAACATATTCTTCTGGGACCAATCCGCTTTCTCGAGTTCTTGGATCCTCAGCCACCAGCCAACCTTGACCATGTCGATAAGATACCCAGATCACTTGTCCTTCTACCAATGGGAGCTCATTCTCATTTTCTCGCTGAAAATCGAAAAGTGCCACAGCCTTCCCATGCATTTCTTCGTCGGGTGATGCAATGGTAAATTGGTAATCCCTCGAGTATCGAGACTCATCATTACGTGTTAATCCTGGAGAAGATGCTTGGCTCGAGGTCTCTGATTCTGATCGAAACTCGACACCCGCTTCATCGGTATAGGATCTGCTTGGTAGCGTTGTAGCAAAATGTGAATCTCGCTGTCCTGGTACATTATATGGCGCCAGTGTGGAGTGTCGAGCCTGTTCTGGAGGATATGTCACAATATCCCCTCCTGGTCCATCAGCCTCGTCACCTTCATTCACGTAATATCTCTCGCTGCCGTCGCCACCAGTACCAACAAAGTAGCCTCGGTCATGCTCATAATTTTCTTGGCTCAGCATACTCGCAGTCCTCTCCCCGTCTTCTCTGCGAGCCCGTCCTCTACCGCGTCCCTGGCCAATTCCTCCAAATGCACTGCTTGATGATTTGTGTTTTCTGTGCCGCGAACTGACAACAACAGGGCTTTGAAGATCTTCATCCTCACTCCATGGCGGGCCGTCGCCAAAATGTATAGGCGCTAACTGCTCCCCTCTCGAGAGGCGATCATCACTTCCCCATGGGCCAGCTGCCCAGCCGCCCCTGCTATCCCATGGAGTTGGCGGATCCGAGAGTCGCTTCGATTCGCTCGCGGGTGTCGAGAAACCAGACTGCGGTTGTGATGGCTCTGGGGGCGGGCCATAGTGCATAGGGTGTGTTACTGGATAGGCAAAGTCTCGGACGGTTGTGTAAGGTAAACTCGAATGGAACACCGGGAATATGTGCGATGGTGGCCGTGATCTTGAAGGGATGGAATTAGTCGAATATTGTGATAATCTGTTTTTCGACGCATATGAGGTAGGTCGTTGCAAGATTGACCGGCGCGAAGGCGGTGATGTGATCAGCGGCGGTAATGGCGGATGGTTTGGATTCGAGGACGGGGAGGATACCGGTGATGAAGAAGTCGCTGGAGAGACCGTCTCCATCGTCGGCGACATGACCGCTGCCATTTTGGAGAATCGGCTTGTGGGGATCTTCTATAACAGGCGCGAAAGGTCCGTGTCAACTGATGTTGTTTCGTTCGATGATGACCAACTGGCGGAAGCTTGCCAGCAAGCCTTGGGAATTGCACCAGTGCAAACGCTCGCACAAGAGTTGTTGTAGAGCACTCGAAACCCCTCGGAGACAGCTCGAATCGCTGCGCCTCGAGATCGACCAACGTGGAGCCGTTGATCAGCGGTGACTGGGCAGCTGCGATTATTCGGATTCGGTGATGAATGTTTGAATGTTGTTGCGACAGGACGTTCAGTTTGGCGCGACAGACGCGCTTTCGAGACGAATCCGGCCAAGGCAGTGCAAATTCGAGGATTAGCAGGCGATGCCGGCTGGGAGTCGATCAACCAGGTTGACGCTTCGGACACGAAAAGATCAGATTATTCAGATCCTCGAAGAGACCAAGGAGCACGCTGACCCCACGGCCACCGTTGCACCCAATGGTAAGCACGCAATGGGCTTCGGAGAGGCAAGAGAACCAGCGATGGGTCCCCTTCTGTCAGACGCTAGGGGGTGTTCTTCAGCGGTGAATCGACAAGAATCTGAACTGGACTGGGAACGCGCTCAGGTCGCTTGAGCAGCTTCGAGTTCTCGTTCCTCGATTCGTGGGTGCAGTGCAAGCGCCCGACACACAAAGCGCCTCAAAGTCTTCGATATGGACAGGGAAGGACCCCGCAGCGAGCGATGGCGCGCCGACGTCTGTGGCCGTGTATCTTTCTTTCTGTTCTTTCTTTCTGTCTGTCTGTTTGGTTGAGCACACGTGACGGCAGAGGGTGCTGGCCAGGAAGGGAGGAATACGTGGGAGATCCTTCGTCGATAATGGGACTCTGTTGGCGACTGGGCGGAGTTCATAAAGCCCACGATCTGAAAATCCCTGGCCGGCTTCTGGGGACGGGCTGCAATATCTCATCCAGGCCAAGATCTATTTACGGCGCAGAAGAATGGGGCGGCCAGGACTTGAAACAATCCAGGACACATGCGGACGATTCACAGCATGGCCAATCAAGAGAGGCCTCTGTTTGTGCTTCTCTGCAGGGCTGCTGTGGCGCCCAACAACCAACGGGCCAGAAACGGCTGCAAGGGGGACGCCCCAAAAAATCACAAGAGAATACAGTAACCTTCAAATGTTTACTACGGCGATCAGATCAATACTAATGAGATAAGTGAATTTTCCCATCCGCTCGTGCTAAGTTTCGTGGTATTGTGATCTCCCTGGTGTCCCTTTTTTAGCTCGATATCATGCACCCTACAACCCTCCCGACGACTAACCTTAACGCATGCACAAGTGGGAAACTTTAAAGCCGTCAGCGCCGCGTAGGTCTGCTGGTCAGTTTAGCACATGTTGACAGGCTTAGGGGCAAGAATCATCGGCTTCGTGCTTGCACACCTGCCCTATTTTCATCCGATTGCCAAAACTAGGAGAAAAGGGGGCGGCACGCTAGCGAGATGGAAATTGAGGTCGGCTGTCTGGTGGCGGATGCCCCGAGGGTTTCCCTTTGAGAAATGGAATTCAATAATTGTTCAGCAAACCCTCTTTCTACAAACATATCCTGCAATATCGTGGAAATACGGTCGATCACGTGAGGGATTTCCTGAGAAGCTTGCTTCGACGAAGTGACGTTTTGCAAGAAGCGTATAAGGAATTTCTGATATACACTCGTCTCATTGATGAATAGATCACTGTGCTTCATAGTTCCATTGTGAAGATTATTAAACATTCCAGCTGAAAGATATTTATGCACAAATGGCTTGTCTAGGTAAACGAGCCGGCTTTGATGTCGTGCTTAAGCGAATTCTAGAACAAATTGCCTTTTCTCCCAAGAACATCTCGTGCAACTTCAAGCTTGGGGCCCACAACAACAACCCTCACAAATTCAATGACTGCCATGAAGTAACGCCTGGTACGTACTCACCTCCTGTACTCCTTCCAACCCGCAACGTGATGAATACTATTTATTGGAGCTGTCTTATTCTTCGTGATGACACAATCTTTTTTACGCAACTTATATTCCTGAATGCTGTCAAGCTCCCTCGCTTTCACACCGTACCTTCACTTTGACAGAGAGCTGACTACGAGAAGTTACGCCACGGTGACGAAGACCACAGACTGCCTGCGAATGTAGCCACGTCCTGCTGAGGCAACACGTAGATTTCCCAACTAGCATATCTCGAACATCCACGAAACAACACCGGCAATCATGGCTCAAGCACTAGCACAAGCACAAGCAGCGAATGGCACTTCATCGAATGGAAGTGGTCCAGATCAAGGTGGATTCAAGCTCAAGTTCTGCACTGTCTGTGCCAGCAATCAGAACAGGTCAGTTTGCATGGCACGCTTCTGCCGGCAAAGTGCTGACTTTGTGCTACAGATCTATGGAATCGCATCTCCGACTTGCAGCAGCGAATTATCCCGTCATTTCGTTTGGTACAGGATCTCTAGTCCGTCTTCCGGGACCCTCAATCTCCCAGCCCAATGTCTACCAATTCAACAAAACTTCCTACGACAGCATGTACAAGGAACTAGAGGCGAAAGACCCACGTCTATACCGGGCGAATGGTATACTGAATATGTTAGGGCGGAACAGAGGGGTCAAATGGGGTCCAGAAAGATGGCAGGACTGGCAGATTGGGGTGCCTAGGTTGGAGCACAGTGCAGACAGAGGCAGCGAAGGCGTGGAAGGAGGGGTTGTGGATGTGGTCATTACTTGTGAAGAAAGATGCTGGGACGCTGTCATCGACGATCTTCTCAGCCGAGGATCCCCTTTGAATCGACCAGTACATGTCATCAATGTCGATATCAAGGATAATCATGAGGAAGCGTTGACCGGAGGCCGGGCCATTCTTGACCTCGCAGACTCTTTGAACAAGGCAGCGGCAGAAGAGAGAACTCTGGACCCGGTAGGGTTTGACAGTGGAAACGCGGCTAGTAGATCTGGGTTTGATGAGCGAGTACCGGAGATAATTGGAGAGTGGCAGGAGAGATGGCCAAACTTGCCAGCGGTATGGACTTTGGCGTGGTTTTGAAAATTGCATGGGAATTGCATCATGGTCTGGCGTTCTGGTCCGGGATACCCATTCAAAGGAAGGAGTTGAAGTTCTCGGGAAGGGGCATTATCCCATTTATCTAAGACAGTAAGTGCTAGCGAATGTCTCAATGGGGAAGTCATGAGGCTACGAGGTGATAAATGGTACTGTGCCCTTGCTTGGCGATTTAATGCCAACACATCAGGTCGTGTGAGCTGTGAGCCGCATAGGGCTGCGAATCTAAGAATCTCGGCGAGCAGATGAATATGGTCTCTGACCGATGATCCTTGGAAATTGTTGGAGTCCGGGGGTCACTCCTTGGACCCGCCTGAATTGAATATTCCAGAAGCCCGGAAGCCGAGAAGCAGCATTTCCCGACGAAAGGTCACAGAATGCAAACGTTCGGGTGATGGCTTGCCAAGTGGCCAACGCCAACGCAGGTCCCCGCCATATGACAGCATCGGGATGCCAAATCGAAGAGTAACGACGCTCCAGGATGCTCACGAAGCTATCGTCGTCATGGGCGCGGAAAGATCACTCTCGCTTCTTTTTGACAGAGATGATATTTCAATGCTCAGCGCCTCTGGCCAATCGCTGTGGGCTGGTTGCGACGCAAAGCCACTCTGAGCCAATTACCCCCTGAAGCGATTGTGCCTTGCGGACGCCGGACTAGGACTTGACGCCAGTGATAATTTGGATTGGGAGAGATGAGGTATGCTGGGTTGGAACAATGCTGCTAAGTGAACTGACTACATGCTGAAAGGAAGTCGCGGCTCTTCCTTCAGTGTTCAAACTATACTTCTTCCTTCCTCACCCAACGACATTGAGGCAATGAGAGACTGACTTCACTGGCGATCCCTTCCCGTTTCAATGCTGCCTGCGATCAAAAGCGTAAATCCGTTGGAAAAAAAAGCTTATCGATTGCCTGGGCCTGGCTCTCCCCTTTAAACGAATCCTAGACTTCTACGCGCCGCTTCCACCCGACAGCCCTCAAAGGGGGAATCAAGGAAACGCATCCAACAGACAGCGCATCTCCCACTCCAGCCTCACCACTGTCAACTGTGCAGCATCACAGTCCACGGTCCTTACCAGCCATACTCACGAAAGTACAATAATCCACGATAATTTTAATCACGGCCCAGTCGCACGGTGAGCGAACCGCTGGCGCTCGCTTTGACAACCCTGCCAGTCCTTCGACGTTTCACGGTTTCAAGGACTCTAAGTCGTTGCAAGCTGCGGCAGATTTGTATGCGCCGAACGATAACCTTTCGACTTTATCCTGTCCAATTCTGGTGAATGTTCTGAGGGCCCAGCATTCAATAACGTTGAGCGAGGATTGCGGTGGAGGAGAAAGCAATTAGTCGAAAAGCCACCACATACCTCGGGACATCTACAATGAATGGTCGAAATGGCCCCTTGTCGCCTGTTTCTGTAGGAGGAGGGAGCGAATGGTCAGGTATTTCAAAATACCAGAACGGCGACGACTCTCCCTACTCTCCCAACAACCGTGGACAGCTTATTTCACCGCCAATTTCGAGTGGCTCCAACGGCACGATGAACGGATTCCCTCCCAGAGGAGATTCTGGTGGGAGTCCAGGAGGACCTTCACCCCCAGCTTCGATAGCGCGATCGAGTGTTGGTACGGGATTATACGCACAGAGTGAGAGTGGAAGGAGCAGGAAGGACGAATCATTCGAAGCCACGCTTTCAGAACATTATGTCGCGCTCAAGAGATATCTGGCAGCGTCGCTGCGCGATGAGAAGGGCAACCCGAGGCCGAACAAAGCAAGGGACAAGCTGCTACGGCTATCACCTGTCCAGTTCCAAGAACTGAGTACAGACGTCTTCGACGAGTTGCTGCGGAGACAAGACAGTGGAAGGAGGACGCCAAATGGGAACAGTGGAGGCCCACCACCATATCTCCTACCCAAGGATTCATTCCATCCAAAGCGGAACCAGGCCAGACAAAAGCTCTCGACCCTACCACCTCCAAGGTTTCGCGACTTGGCAACTGATGTCTTCTATGAATTGGAGCGGAGATTCCCGCGCTTTGCAGCAGGAGATATGAGTCGCATGGGAAGCCCTGCATCTATGCGAGGACCACCGAGTAGAAATGGAAATGGAACTCCCGTTAACGGGCTGGGAGGACGGCGCCGACCTTCAGATGCAAGTTCTATAGCAGCATACTCTATGAGAAGCGAATCACGAAACGGGCCACGACCTCCATTGAATGGGAATGGAGGACAGGGCATACCACCGTCCCCTGGAATGCCTCCTAATGATTACGGCCGACCAACTCCAAAGACATTTCAGAGTAATACGATTGTCCCCAACAAGAGCACAATGGTGGAAGACGATGAGACCGGTGGGGAGGATAATGATGACGATGATGGAGATGCCTTTGGCCTAGAAGGGGCTGCGCAAAATAGGGAAAGGAAGAAGAGCACGGGAGGTTCTGAAGTATGTGCTGAAGGTCTCTTTTTTCTGAATTTTGCTAATATCATGCTCAGACCGACAAGAAGCTCATTGATGATTACCAACAACAGGTTGCCGAGCTGCGAGAAAAGCTCGACGCCATGGAAGACTCGCTCAAGCAAAAAGATGACGAACTGAACAGCGTTCTGGATGGTGAGAGAAGTCGAGCAACGGCAGCCAATATGGAAAAGAAGGAATGGTCAGATATGAGAATGGACCTGGAGAACAAGCTTGCGGATGCACAAAATCTCAACGAGTCTCTGCAGTCAGAATTAGATCGAGTCCGAAGCACTCAAACGCAACAAACGAATACGGAGAGGGAACTACGCGCACAATTAGAGGATCTTCGTTCTAGTGGGGCTGGATCAAGGGGCATGGGCGGCAACGCTGATCTGGAACGGGAAAATGACGAGCTGAGATCAGAACTTGATCGACAACAAAGAGTGACTGAAGAAGTTCGACAGGAAGCTCAAGAATTTCTCCGAGAAATGCGTGTTCTTTCAGAACGAAGTGGACAGTCGTATGAAAGAGAGGATCAACTCTCGAATACTGTCAACAAGTTAGAAGAGGAAGTCAAGGACTGGAGAAATCGGTACGCCAGGACGAAGACGCAACTCCGCTCTCTAAGGGCATCGTCCATTGGTCTCACGATTCAGCAAGATGTGGCGAAGTACGCCAAGGACAGTGGCTTCACCCAAGATGACGGTATGGTCAAGGATGTCCATGTCACTAAATTCCAGATTTCGATCGACGAGCTCTTGAGAACAGCACGCACCGATGATCCGGGGAGAGTCAACGAGTTCATGAACTCTGTTATTGTCAATGTACGGAGGATAACACAAGACATTGACGAAGCACCACCCAGCAGCGGTGAATTGGCTCTGCAGCAAGCTAAACTGAAGTCAAGGGTGTCAGCGACGGCAAACAACTTAATCACAGCCTCGAAGAATTTCATTGCAGCAAGTGGACTTTCTCCAGTTTCATTGCTTGATGCTGCAGCTTCGCATCTCACGGCAGCAGTGGTTGAGCTCGTCAGAACTGTCAAGATACGGCCTACCCCGGCGGGAGAACTCGAAGATGATGATGATGGACAACTAGAACCTGTAGACACAACAGGATTCTTCCCTGTCCGTGATCCAAGACAAGACAACCCTCCCCCACCATTCCAAGGGCTGCGGAGCAACCGCATCAGCGCCGACTCTTCAATGTACAGCCCCGTAAACTCGCCCCGTGAATCAACAAATATGCGACCCAGAAGCTCAGGAAAGGAGTCTTGGGCCGGACGTAATCGTTCCATGTCTCGAGGCCAGAATGGTATGATGAACGGAGTGAACAAGAACCTGCCTCCTGCACCAATGGGCGTCGGTTTCGGCATCAGAACCCAAGACAGTGATGTCGAAGAACTCAAGGTGATACCATCATCAAGTCCCTATCTTTCCATATTCTGACCAGATTTAGATCTACCTCGACGATCAGACAGCCTTGTTGGTCCAGAATATCCAGTCACTTGTCTCATCTATCCGCTCAGAAGCAGGGATTACAGCGATTTCCACCCAAATCACCGCTATTGCTGATGTCGTCGGCACCGTCGTGTCCTCGACCGAGACAGCTATGTCATCTACAGGCAACTCATCATTAAGAAATCAAGGCGAGCCAATCGTGCGGAAACTAGCGACGTTAAGACAGCGTATCCTCGACGCAGGAGAGAAGGGCCGAGCAATCGCCAACGAAGGAAGAGAAGACGACGAGGGCGAACGGACGTGGAGACAGTGGAATCAATCCTTGCCACCCATCGCGTTCGAGATCGCACGGGAGACGAAAGAGCTGGTGTTGAGAGTGGATGTCATTGACGGGGAACAGCAGAACGGTGGCAGAAGTGGGGATGATGATTTCTCATGACCTTAGATATTCCTTCACGAGAGTAAGTGGACCAGGAAATTTTTATTTTGCATAGCGGATCTGTGTTTTTTGCCAGCATCGGTCAGCTTCGGGGTCGATTAATCGCCCTTTTCGTGCTTTGAGATGCGTTGCGTGTGTTGCATTAGCATGTGCATGAGGAGAACGAGGGATACGGATGGGCATGGCGTTTTGTGCTTTGGACAACATGACATGGGATGTGTATATCGCTCGCACACCCTTTTTCTCTCTCTACCCTTCTACTTTGCGGCATGGCGGCGATTGGCCGGCTATCATTTGAGATGTGTAATTATTGGAGAATGGCGGAGGAGTTGCGGGGAGGGGAGTGAAGTGAGGGAGAGGAGAACAAGTATATAGGTGCTTGCTCTGAGGAGAGAATGGATGAGGTTGGATGCTGAGAAATGAGTGTGTTTGATGCTGACCGCTCATGATATGTGACGCATTTGGATTTAATTTCTATTGAGAGGACTAGTGTTCCTGTCCTGTACCGTACATGTTCCTCCTGCTCTTGATGCATTCTCACAATGTGGAAGGAGCGTGTTTAGTGTGTTATGGATATCTTGCGGCAAAGGCTCGGAATGCCTGACAGAAGCAACCTCGTCTTTCTTCCCGTTTCTTCTATGATCAAGCAAAGTAAAAGGGAGAATGAGTCGCCAGGGCTGCACCTTCCTCGAATCTCCAGCTCGAGTTTTTGAATGGCCGAGGATAGCCGCGTCCGTTCAGATGTCGAGTCTGAGTCATGTCAATGGAGAACTGTCGGTTTTATTGCATGTAGCTCAAAATTTGTTAAGTTTGGCGTCAGATGGAAACCAACTCCATTTGATCACACGCGGCTCGAGCAAATTGTCTCCCGCGAATCCTCCCGCTGCCACCTGAATTCAAGTGCGTGGTTGTACTGCTTAGACTGCAAATTGGAGGGACAGGTATTGTTCTGCGCCATGTGCCACGCAGAACGAGTGATGAATGCACTTGCCTTTTCCGATGGTGACAGACTTCGGGGAAAGTGCCTTGTCGTCAGGCCTTGGAAAGTAAGCTCGAGGGGCTATGTACCATATGAGACGCTCAGATGGGCAGGAGGAGAGTCTCCATTTTGTCTAACTTACAGGTGGTTGGGACCACAACGGTGGCGGCCTCCATGGATCGGCCAGGTTCGCAACAGCGACTTTCTCTCTGATGGAATGCAAGGGTCACAACAGTGACAGATACAAGGTTGGAGGAGAGGTCGCAACAACGACTGGGGTCACAACCGTGACGAAGATAGAGCTCAGCTGGATGGACAACAGTGCAAAGGGAAAACAAAGAAAAGGGAGCCTCATCCGAGCTTTGGATCCTCGTCATCCGAGAAGGTGATGAGGTCTTCTGCACTGTCACCCCGCACATGATCCTGCAAAGGATTCTCGTTAGCTTGCTGGCACCCGTATGAAGACGAATGTCATTGAACGTGGCATACCGGAACATTCCCCTCGCCCTGAGAAACCTCAAGCCGCTGCTGTTCCACTGCACTATTCCTCGACACGGCAACTTGTCTCTCAACTGCGTCCACTGAGTTGCGTTTCATCTGCAAGGTCTCGGCGTGGCCTTGAATGATGGCTCGGCTACTGGCACTGAATTCTTCCACATCAGCTTGGGCGAATGACGAAGCCTGTGGCGTAGCTGCAGAGAGGCGTTGTTGTTGCACTGGAGGAGTTCTGCTCATCTGAGGTACTGTGCTGCCGCAGAGAATCTGGGTTCCTCGGAGAATATTGCCTCGATCCTGGCGATCTCTTGGCCCACAACCAGTAATGGCACTGTGTCAATGCTGTCTGCAACCATTTAGCACAGGTGGGTATTCAAAGATGTTTGATCTTACAAAGGCATTTCCACACGTATTTCTCCACTCGATTCTTCTTCACTGCATCTTCACGGTGTCTCCATCTCTCACAGTCGTTGAACTTATCGACCTAATGCGAGTAGGACTGGTTCACACAGTCTACCGTCACTACATTGTCTCGTTGGGAACACCGAATCTTGAGTCTGGCTCGGCGATCTATCTCACCCACTGGTCATAGGCTGTCTTGCAAATAAGCGCCGCTGTTCTTGGATGCGTGGTTCAATGTGGTTGTGGTGTGTATGTGTTGTGGGAATATGACAGAGGTTGATGGATTGTTAATGTTCGATTTTTGTTTATTCTTTTGTGATAAGGTAGCCAGTCGGCCAAATTCAGGGTGATGAACCATGGCGGGACCTCAAGTACAATCACAAATTTACTTCGCTGAGGAAACTGGGCAAGCATGATTTGAGAGGACATGGTATTGGGAAATGCTTTTAAGGTGTAAATTCTACCAGGAAAACTGAAACTGTCCATCGTACATGATCAGCCTCCGACTCCGTGCTCAGTCGACGCACTTTCAGCTGCACTGGATTGGATTTACACTACGGTTGGGGTGACTGCATTTTCTGGCACTGATTACCTTGCTTTGGCAGATGTTGATATCTCTGGACCCTGCCCTGGAGAGGGGAATGTGATAACCCCTGGACTGGTTCCAAGGAAACTTAAGACATTGGTGACAGCTGAATTTCCAATGCTCAAGGATCAATGAAGAATCTATTGACCACAGTGTACCCATGGGCTGATTTAATCTTACAAAGTCTCTCTTTCTGATGTTCTCCAAATTTCGGCACCTTCGAACATTCTAATAGCTCTGGATAATGCCATGTTCCAATGATTCCGAACAATTAAGCCATGTCCGTGGTCCCATAGGTTATACGAAAACTCTCGTTCTCAAGGCTCAACAGACTGAAGAACATTCCCATAGCGTAGAGCAGCTGGAGCGGAGGGAGATACCTACATTGCGGAAGAGTTAAATCATAAAGTTCCCAAGATCTCCAAACAACAGAGTGAAATCAATGCTCCCAAGGATCATCACAATATTACGAACTCCCTCTTTTCAATGTTTCACATGCCGTGAACCGTTCCCACAGCATACCAACAGCAAGACTCCCGGAATGAAGAGATGCATTTTCAGGTCCACAACACTGAAAGGTACTCTATCAATGTCAATGGGGCGCCGATCACGTAGAACATTGACTTGGACTGGGTAGGGCGGATTTCCATGTTCGAGAACTTCAGGGACGTTGGATAAGAGCGAGCCTACGAATATACAATTGTGTAACGGAACAACTGATACTTATATGGCAATCACATCAACAATTAAAGACTTAAAGTGCGACCATACATTGCTATTCTCCTTATAGTCGGAGGAATTGAGTTGATATACCTACATTGCACCTTCTAATAGACTGCCCACTCGCTCCACTCGTTTCATTGATACTGCAAGGCACTCACAAAAAAGCATTCTCCAACTCAACAAACATAGTCTAACACGCCATTGCCTGTTCATCATCCCTCACCACTATGCCCTAACTGTAGGTCGCTCAAGCTTGAACGCGTCAACAATAGCCCTCGCATCATCATCATTATAATTCTTCATGAATGTGACGATATCGTTGACATATCGGCCTTGATCTGCCCAGCTCTTAAGGAATCTCCAGCACCGTGTGAACTCTTTCCACAGCTCATCACTGGCAGCCAGCATAGCGTTACCATTATTGCCTTTCACCTCCGGCCAAATAATGACTAAGCCCAGTTAGTATATACTACTTGTGATATTTCGAGATACCGCAACTTCCAAATAGTTTTACAGCAAACATGATGTAAACGGAAGTAACTCGAAGGAATATATATTGTAGGGAGGGGCAATGCGACAAAGGGGTGCTTACTGAGACCGATCCTGACTTTCTGGAACATGATCTTGAAACTTGGGAATGCGTTTCGGATTGCCGGATAAGAGTTGTCCATACCGTCAACACCTAGGAGAGCCTGAAGTCCGTTGATGGCAAAGCAGGGGATCGAGTACTTGGGCAATCCGTCGTTGTCCCAACCGTGCGATGGTACGTAGCTAGCTCCCTTCTTGTGAAGAATAGCGCGAATAGCTTCATCCCGAACGGATCCAGTCATCCTTACAAGTACCGCGTTGCCGAGAACTGCGGGTCCTTTTGGGACTGATTTGGGGGATATGGAAACTTGCAGATTGGAGAAGCTAGTGTTGTTGGCCGAGTTTTTGAAAGCTGCGGGGCCACGTGGATGAAGATTTTGGGCAAGAGAGAATCGTGAGTTGTTACTTGGTGCATTAGAGTTCCGGCCCGGGTTGATGATCTTGAGTGCTGCACCGCTTTGAGAGAACTTGTTGGCGATGGGGCTCGAAGGCGGGGAAGGTCGAGAGGATTTTCGCACCCCGTGTGCGTGCTTTGTAGATCTGATGGGACCTGCTGGGGCTTTAGGGAAGTCCTTCGGATGGAAGGCCTTGCGGGGAACAGCTTTTTGGTGGAACTTGCTTTGCATGGTAGCTGGACCTTGAGGGAAGGCCTTCGGGTGGAAGTTCTTGCGAGCGCTAGGCCTTTGGTGGATCCTGTTTTGCATGACTGCTGGACCCTGAGGGAAGTCCTTCGGATAGAAATCCTTGCGGAGAATAGGTTTTTGGTGAGGCTTGCCTTGCACAGCTGCTGCGCCTTGAAGGTGGTTCTTTTGAAAAAAATCCTTGCGAGCAATAGGCTTTTGGTGGAGCCTGTTTCTCATAGCTGCTGGACCTGTAGGGATACCTTTTCGAGGGGTGAAAGCTGGAGCGCTGGTTGGCTCAGTAGCAGTGAGATTCATTGAATTTACTGCGGAGCCCTGAGGGATCAAAACCTGCTGGGTTGGTCTAGGGGTGGAGGGTTGCGATGAGGAATTTTGCCCGATGGACTTGATGCTGGGAAGCTGAACAGAAGGAGCCTGATCTTCTTCCCCGTGGTTAACCTCATCAGATTCTTCGACCCCATGACCTATATACTCGGGGAATTGGCCAGGAAAGTCATAAAACCCGTCATCTGATCAATTAGTCGCAGTCAGGAGAGAGACAGAGAATTCTTACAGAAAGTTGCCCACATGTCGAGCTCAAGGTAGTACTGAAAGACAGCCGAGGGCATACGGAGGCATTCCGAGTTAGACATCATTTGTTGGCATACTCCATCCAGAACTCGCGAGAATTCTCGTTGAAGGAAGGTCAAACCATCTCGGACGAAGTGAGGACTAGGTGTTTCGCGACTTAGCAACTCGTACAGGAGCGGCAGGTGCGACTCGTATCCCCAGCCTTCATGATCCACTGCAAATGGCATCGTTGCAAGTGATGCAAGTGCAATGTTGTTTTGTGTTGTGGAAGTTGAGGATCGCAAGGTTGAGGAGAGGTTAACGAAGTATTTCTGGAAGAGGGGGAAGGAGGGGTGCTACTCCGAAGGCGGAAGTGTACCGGAAACTCGCGTGTTCCCCGTGATTCATGAAGAGGGGGCGCTTAGGTTGGTTTAGATGAGAAGGAAAGGAGAATAGAACGCTAGAATTTCTTAGCAACGGGATCTGGATGTCCCAGAAATACACGAGCCTCTTTCTCAAAGCAGCGACCATAGGCACACCGGAGTATTGAAAAGACCCGCAGCTTCAATATTAACCATTAGACCCAGACAGTGCCGCTCGATGGAAAGCTTTCGCGGTTCCGGACATCCCACCCCGTCCAGAGCGTCCAAGATATCATGATCAAGATCCGCCGACTCGGCCCACAGTTCTGTCGATGAAAGGGTGTGAGAGTTCAATACGGCCTCACGGGGTCTTGCGACTACAAGAGATTTGTTCACGTGGCCTGGTAGAATATCCTTACTTCACCAGGCTTCTCCTACCTTGCACTCGGAGGCAAAGTCAGCCAGAGCCACTTCAGCGACCGTAAAATGGTCACGGTCCTCCGCCGTAGAAGCAACAACTAGTACGCTTGCGGCAATAAGGAGACCCACTAGTCGGGATTGAACAGCTTATCAAAGATATGTATGTCAACCAGAGTAGGCTTCAGCGAACGAGAAACTCGAGGCTGACTTGACCGCAGGCAACACCCCAGAAGAAATCAGCACTGACACAGTTCCAATACAGCCTCTCGTAATCACCTAAGAAAACCAGATCTTTCGAGTTATTATAAAATACCCCTTTGATCGCTGAATTTACTGGACCACTTCGATCATGATCCAACTGACCTAGCAAGTGGGAGAATCGAAACCTCAGCGAGTACCATTCCAACCACAGTTTCTTAGATTCTTGATAGACACGTAGGATCTCCGGGGCCTCTCTAACTCGATCATGAAGAATTTGGGGTTCTGAGAGGGTAATAAGTGCCTCTCGTTGCTGCCAAGGTCACCTTCATCGTGTGTGAGGACAACGGGGTTATACATGGAAAGTGGCCTAGAACTATGGAAAAGTCCCGAACTGGATCCGGACTTCGGTTGAAAGCATGGGGAACATATGAAAGGAAGAGATCATTGTGCAAGTATCCAATTGTTTGTCGAAAAAAAGGGTCAGCCCCTGATGTCGTTTAGATACGAACCGAATACGCGATGCCTCTTTGGGGCAACGTAGCGATCGGCACGGATCAAGGATCTTCCAAACGAAGGGGGAACCCGTGATTTATCGATAAAATGAAGTCAGGGTGGGAAAGAGATATCAATAACAGAATGAAACTGCTTTGAACAACTGGTTATGCGCACCTGCTTTGGGAGATTGTGCATACCCCAATTCTACACCATCAAAGCGCCTAACCGGCACGAACCACTGTCGAAAAGTCTACATGATCGACCTTTCCAAAAAGTGCATGTCTGTTCCTCTCCCAATGTAATTTGTTGTAAACTTTCACAAGAATTATATACTTGTGGATGGCACTGCGCAATCCAAATCTCTCTTATTTGTCCTGCAACGATGCCCAATTGCCCTTCATGCGTATCAATCCTCGTCTTCATCAATCTCCAGGTCCTCTTGATTCAACACTGCCTTCTCGATCAAAGCTAAAGTAGCCCTTAAAGGCAATCCAACCACATTATCCCAACTTCCCTCAATTCTCTCCACCAGCAAGCTCCCCATACCTTGCAGTCCATAACCTCCCGCTTTGTCCACACCCTCTCTCGTCTTCACATACGCCTCAATCAACTCATCACTCACATCCGCCGCAAATATAACCTTTGTCTCTTCCACTGTTGTCTCAATATTATACCCCGGAGCCCTAGCATCTTCCCTCGGCGCCAAAGCAACCACGGCAGTGTAACATTTGTGCACTTTCTGATCTCTCAGCATCTTCAGCATCCCAATATGATCTTTCTCGCTCCTCGGCTTCTCTAGAATCCTCCCAGTATTCGTAACAATGACCGTGTCGGCGGAAATGACAAGTGCCGGATCAGGGATTGATTTCAACGAGTTCTCGAGAGCAACTGTGTATACATCTAGGCATTTCTGAACAGCGGTCTGTAATACGTAGTCGAATGGTCCTAGTTCTTCTTTCGAGAGATTCTCTGGTTTTGTGGAAGGAGTGATTTCGAGGTTTTGAAGGCCAATCTGGTGGCGTTAGACATTGGCTTGAAAGGGGCAGGAGAGAATACGGTAGAGAGTATCTGCTTCCTTCTAGGACTTGCAGACGCGAGAATTACTCTTTTGCCTCGCAACTGATTAAGCACTGGAATATTGAGGGGAAATGGGCCGCGAGGCAGGGGGTTTGACCCTGGAGTTGGTGGGCCACTCCTCGATGGGAGGGCACCATGTTGAGTTGCAGCCGCTTCGTATGTTGGCAGAGCAATCTTCAAATACTCACCGGCTAATGGTCCCAGTTTTTCAGACATCTTGAAGATCAATAGATCGTCTTTAGCATGTAGTTGAGGTTGAAATACTTGGCAATTGGAGACGGCAAGGCTGACTGAAATGCAGGGGCTTCTGGGCTTGTCTCAAACGGGGAAGGTCAACGGTGCGCCAAAGCCTCGTGCATCAGCCGGCGCATGTGACAGACGACGGGCGATCACAAGAAGGGGGACAACAACCTCGTGCGCTGTCATGTATTTGGCATTACTGTTGAGCGAATGATACACGCTTCCAGTGCACGAATTCAAGATGTCTACTTCTCCACGTGAAGGGTCTGCGAACGCGGGATCGTCAAATGGATTGGAGGAGAAGCCAAGGCTTTCCGAGCATGAGAAGAAGGCGAATCATATTGCTTCTGGTAAGAAGCCCTCGGCTCCGTTGCCCCTTATATTATCTGGTCTGGCTGCAGCTAACTTTGCAATGCAGAGCAGAAACGTAGACAAGCAATCCGCGAAGGCTTCGACCGACTTACCGAATTGGTCCCTGGATTGGAAGGCCAAGGCAGAAGCGAAAGCGTTGTCCTGAAGAAAACGGTTGATTATATGCGGGCACAACTTGACGAGAGGAGGAGACTAGTTGGGAGGCTTGATGAGTTGGGCGGGCAGGTTGAGGATGGAATGAGGCGATGATGGTGACGACAATTGGCGGCGCTGTGGACAGTTTTATTGTACGGTTCACGAGCATGGATATGGATACGATGCACAAAGTTATGGGCGCAAGGTCAAGGAGCTATGCAATTGTGGTTTGAATTCGAGGAGCTCAATGGAGGTGTGGAAGGCAATCTTCTCCGATACCAAAAGTTTTATCTCACAGGAGAGTTTCCAATTGAGCTGCGCCACAGAGGTATATTCTAGCATTGCAACGGGCCCAATTTACAGCTGTTCTATTTATACAGATTCTGAAGATCAGCAAGGCATGAAGCCAGCGTCTTGGGGCTGACAGCTAAGCTTTTCAATTCTTTGGCAGTCAAGTACGGGGTCTGATCTGTCTGCCGACCTTCATCGGCAGACTCAGACTTGCTCCCCTCCGAGGTCACAGAAGCATGCCGGACAGCGAGATGCTTGCCAAGATTTGTTTCGAAGTCAGGGAAAGCAGTAAAGTCAATGATCAGACGGTTCGCGGCAGCTTCTCGGTTGCCAACTACGGCAATTACTGCGTATCGCTTTCGCTTGGCGTCCGCGATCTTCTTCGTCAAAAATCGAGGACTGGCATCGATGTCGACTGAGATGTGTTCGTATGGCGGTATGGCCGTCTTTTGGCCCCGTAATTGCCTCATGCCCGAGATGATTTTTTGGCAGTTTTCCGCGAAATCTATGACTGGCTGAGAGTCGTTGACTGTAATAATAATCACTTGTCGAGGATTTAACCAGAAAGGCCAATGGCCGTTGTAATGCTCGATCAGGAGAGCCATGATTCTTTCGACTGAACCTAGGACAGCTCGATGAATGAGAACAGGCGTAACGGGACCCTCAACCTCAAGTAAGCCAGGATCTGTGGTGGCGCGGCCGCGGCTTTCGAGTTCTGGGGCTGGTGCTTGATATTCCAATTCAAATCGCTTAGGGAGTTGGAAATCGAGTTGGATCGTGGCGGTTTGATGTTCTTTGCCGTCGGAGTCTTTGAGGATGACATCAATCTTTGGACCATAAAAAGCTCCATCTCCATCATTGACCGTCCAACGCTGCCCGCTTATGACTAAAGATTTCCTCAAGGCTGCCTCAGCGTTGTCCCACTCTTCAACGGTCCCAATGAAATGATCCACTGGCCGTGTTGACAGAGCAAGTCTGTATGGGCCGAGACCAAATGTTTTGTACGCCAACTGCACGAATTCCAGCGTCCTCGATATTTCTTCCTGGATCTGTGAGGGTCGGCAGAAAATGTGACCGTCGTCCTGATGAAACCGCCGAACTCTGGTGAGCCCACTCAATGCGCCATGTACCTCATTACGATGTAACGGACTGAAGTCGGCATATCGTATTGGCAGATCTCGATAACTTCGCTTCTTTGAGGCGAAAATTAAGCAATGCCCTGGACAGTTCATGGGCTTCAATCCATACTCCTCATCCTCCCCGGCCTGTCGGCCCTCTTTCTCTCCAGACGCTCCTCGCCCTGTGACGGCATACATGTCTTCTGCATAATTCTCCCAATGGCCTGACTTCTCCCAGAGAGACTTCTTGTATATTGTGGGCGTGATGACTTCTTCGAATCCGAAGTCCACATATTGAGTCCGCAGAAAATTCGTTAACTTGTTGAACATCTTAGCGCCATTAGGAAGGAAGAGAGGTGATCCCGGACTGTATTTAGATGTAATGAACAACTCTTGCTCGATGGCTAGCTGTCGATGATCGGCTGGAGGAACCGGAGGGTTTGTGGTCGCCGTAGCTGCACTGTCTGTCCGCGGAACTGCGGTTGCAGGCTCGCATGCTGAGCAGTAGCCATTGCGAAGAAGCAGCGGTTTTCGACGATCTCTGTAGATGGCATGTGACCCCCTTGAACTGGTCCGAAGTAATCGCAAGGCTGTCGACGAGCGCATGGCGTCGTGACTGTTGCAGATGCTTGAGAGTGTTGTCTGCAGCTGATTGCCCAAAATGGTTCGCATTTCATGAATCCCTGTCGAATTGAGAAGCAAGGCGCACGTTAAGGTTAGGCGCCCGTGGCGTGGGGGAACAAGGATCGAATCACGAGGGGGCGTCATTCCATTGCCCCCCCCCTGTGACAAGTATTCTGCGTTGTCTCTTCTATAAATATGTTCTACCCCCTTGTGAATAACTTCTTCAAATTGCTTTGTATTCACGGTCCTCCCCCAATTTAAATGCTTCCGCTCCACCGTTGCCAGCCAAAATTTACGCGTCATCTCAAACACAACTACCACCGACAACATACATGTGCCATGGCTCCTGGGAGGGGCAAATTGCAGCTGGGCGAGTCTTGGGTGGTGGAAGGAGAAAGTGAGAGCCCAGAGCACTCGCCGACGGACGATGACTACAGGCCTCCAACGACGAGAGCTACCCCTCCACGACGCCAAACGAGGGGGAGTACGAGATCACCTGAGCCGGAACTCATTATGCCCTCGCCATCTTTAGAGCTTGATTCACTGAATGGATCATGGGCGGAAGCGAGCAGAAACACGAAATTTATAGGAACGCGATCCTCAGGAAAGGCACCCGAGGCGCGTAGAAGAAGCGTACGCGTGAGCAACGGAAGTCCAGAGAAACGCGTCCGAACCAAGGTGAATACGACCAGTTCATCAGGAAATGCACCTCAATCAACTTACCAGGAGGATTCCAACGGCATTCAAGATAACTTGGACGTTGATATTAACCACAGAACGATTATGTTGTCGTGGCTCCTGGATGTACTTGGTGGTGCCCTCAAAGTTCTGAAGACACCGCTGTCCTACTTTCTCGCCATATGGCTGCTCTTTGGGCTTCTCGTCGTGGTTCGGAACTTTGTGACGACGTCAATATACGCCTCGTTGTCACCTGTTTGCCGGATTCCAGGAGTTTCGTTGCTCAATCTGCCTTTCTGCCCTGTCTACAACGTGGATACCAGCCATGGGCCACCTCCGTCCGTCGAATTCGACCAATTGATGGTGGTTCAGTCGAAATTCGAGGAGGTTTTGGAGGAGAGCGCTGGTAGCGTTTCACTGCCGCTAGATATGAAACGGGGAGAGGCATCTATTCGAGACTTGCGTCAGCTTGTTCGGTACAGTCAGCTGCATTCGAAGTGAGTTAGAATATATCCTGGAAGTCGATTCGACTGCAGATTTTAGACCTTTCCTTTTTGTCTTGTTACTGATTATATCATCAGGAACGAGTTGGTGCTCGAATTTGACGGATTCATCGAGACCGCCCGGATCGCGTCATACGATCTACAGAAATTCAGTAGTCATGTTGGTCGAGTAAGTCTCATCTTCTGATTCGCGTAGTCTAGTCTGATTCTATCTACATTTACTTCTATGTCGTTTCCAGAAAGAAGCGGTGGGTGTCTGGGCCCAAGAGCTAAGTACTAAAAACTGCAGGCCGTGGACAGCGTAATAGCAACTACTCGTTGGACTACCCGCGTCCTCGATGGGATCCAAGAACGAGACGCATCGCGGGGATCTATCAGTGCGTTCATCAATGATAGAGTACTTGCACCATTTCAGCCAGTAAAGTTCACTGAAAGTATCCTCTTGGACCAATATATCCAGCATACTCATGTTGTCGAGGAAGAAATTAACAAGTTGATTGCCGAAGCCCAAGCTCTTTTGCTGGTGCTGAATAACCTCGAAGACAGGCTAGAAGTAATTCACGGCATCGCCACTAGAGAGGATATGCATGCCAAAGCTCTGAAGGATGAGATCCTCTCCGAGCTCTGGACCATGGTCGGTGGCAACCGAGGCAAGCTAAACAAGATGGACCGACAGCTTAACTTGCTGCAGCAAGTCGGCATTTACAGAAAGAACGCCTACGCTCATGTTTCTGGGACCATAATTCGCCTACAGGCCATGGGCGCTGGTCTCGAGGATTTGCGGGAACGTGTTGGTTCTCCTGAGTTATTGCGTGACCGCATTGACATCCCATTGTCTGTTCACCTCGAGAATATTCAGAAAGGTGTTGAGAGATTGGAGGAAGGTCGACAGAATGCTCGCAAATTGGAGGACGAGCATATCAGGCGGACTCTGGAGCGGGGTCGTCTTGAAGGCACTATGATCGACGGATAAATGGTCTAAATATTTCGGGTCCCAGGCTTGTATAGGGAGTTAGTGGTGAGTAACGGTCGATTCAGTTGACAGGCGTCATGCTGTCATTCTCAGGTCCGGCGTTTGAACTATGACGAAGTAACGACCGGTGCATGGAGGCTCGATATCTTGAATCAAAAAGCGCGTACCACAACGGTTTCTCTGAATTTCCTTCGCCTCCCACATTCCTCTTCATTTCAACCTTGCCTCTTCTTGCATCTTCCAGAACCTTCTCAAGTCCTTCGTATGCATCTATTCCCCAGCAAGTGCCATATTATGCTTAATTGGAAATCTATTCTTTGATTGCTCCTTCCCTGGGATTTCTCACTACTACTCGAGTCCTTGTATATCATTTCTTCCCACAACCATTCACACTAGCATGTAAAGCCATGTTGCTTCTCCATCTCCCCCCAGGTCAATTTCAATTCCCGAGTTAACCGAACACAGAATTATCCACTACGTTGTTGGTGCGAAACTCTTCCTCGATACACTCGACAAATGGTCACGTGAGCCACACCTGGACCCTCAGTGCTTGCACCTTCCCGCTCAAGACTATCTCCAAGTCACCTGTCGCACTGCGCAATATCCATTAAGGATATGCTTCTGGCTAAGCTTTCAGCAACTACCATTATTCCATCCCCACCGCTGCCGTCTCTAGGAAAACCGAAAAGGCCTCAACTGGTTCGTCGACACGCATATTCTTCCTTGCCAGTCATCGTTTGTACTTCAGTCAAGAGCTATTTTGATATTCGTACGCTCTAGCAATATATTTTGTTTTGCCAGAGCTCGTCGTCATGTATTGAAATTGGATCGATCACACGGTGAACCGAACGGACTTCCAGCGTGACAACCAGCAAGGCAGTCGAAGAGCCCGCCTCGTGAGATGACTATCCAAGAAAACATTCGAGTGCTCCGGGAGCTACAACCAGCATGGGATCTGAACGATCCCCAAAGTGAGATAACGCTCCAAGAGAGCATCCGAGAAAGCGAGTTTGTTGAGGAGCTCACTCACCGATTCTCGGACGAGTCCCCTCAATCAGGACCCACACCACCACCTGGCATTGAAACTGTTCGGCGTTCGCCAGTCTGTCTCTTTCGTTCATCACAACTCCCCAAAAAAGACCTCCAAGCTTTTATTCCGGAGCTGAACGTTCTCCTGGACCATGTGACGCACCTCCCGGATGGCCGCTTGGAGTTCAGCAAGAGGGTTACACGTTTGTGCCTCGATCGGGTGATCCTTCAAGGCTTTCCGAGGGGGACCAACGAGAATTCTAGTTCTCTCCGGATAATTTACAAGAGGAATGACTTCACGAAGAAGGCAGGAATGAAAAGGCTCAGGAATATCGCAACCCTTCACGACTCCATTCAAAAGTCCTGGGCGGATGTTGGTTATGCCGCTTCATACCCAACTCTCGACGCAATCATTGTCAGCGGCGGGAAACTGCATGGACCTCAACCCCTTGTCGGGATCCAATTTCCAGAATCAATCATGGCGGTTGATGATCTAGATTGGGGCGGCTGCAAAAGACTTTCATGGGGTCCGGCTATCTCTGAAAACATGATTGATCGTGCTAGCATTTGGATTGACGACGACCATCCAATCCTTTCGGATTTTGAGATGCTGAGTTCCCCGCCAGAAACGGGTTCAGCATTACATGCGAATGGTAATAAGGACATATTGAGAAACCATTTGCTGAAAAGAAATTGGATCTGGATCACAAGGATGCACCACCTGAAGAGAATTATTGACATCCCACGCACAGAAGAATTCTACGATGCAAGGATGGCGTTTTTCAATAATGGTTCACCAATGTCTCTCCGAAGGTTCTGCCAGCGTCATCAATGTACCGAAAGACAGCTGAGCAAGCTCTCATGTCACATCCGTGGCAAGCTTGGGCATCTCATGTTGATGTCACAAGTGGCGGAAATGAAGATTACAGATGTAACTGCGGTTACCCAGGAAGGTCACAAACGCGCTGCGGAATTTGGGCCGTGGTTGGATTTCTTGGTCAACTCCACACGCAATGGGAATGACCGACTTTCTAGGCCTCTCGAAGCATTGGAAGCAGCCCGATATTTCATATCAGCCGTCAGACCTGGACTCAACCTCGACAGGATCCCCGAGGTCCGGCATGTGGAACGTGAAAGCGACTGGGCGGAAGAGTGGATCAAATCAAGGTCAGAGGAGAGAAAACCGACTTGGAGTAATAAGAAGAAGGAGTTTATTCTCAATCGCCTTGCAGGCCGAGTTTCCAAGCCCTTGACAGATTGGCAATTGACCGGGGAGAAGCTCTACAATTTGCAAGCCTTCTGCCCACAAACCGAAGCAGGGTGCGCCTTAGCCCTACTATTGCACCATCAGGAACTTGCCGTCCTCAGAAGGGAAGCTAGTAAAACAAAGGGTCAAGAAAAACTTCCTGCCTCTCCACCCATGGGAAGGGTTCCGATTTGTCAGTGTCACTCAGAAAATTGCCAGTACCAAGAAGGCTATCCTCTCTATTCGACCAGATCTCATGACAAGTCACATTACTGTTCGATGGGTGGGAGTGGGAATCCCAAAGGCACTTGGAGCTCATCGAGCGAGACAAATCGAATTGCTGAGGTCAACGTCTCCGTTGAGTCTCCAAATTAATCATCTCCACTACGCTCCATTGTCTATTCCCAGTAGCAGTACGCACAGCCCAGTCTGTAATCAGCGAAGAAAGGTCCCAGCCAAGCACACCATGACTCGAGCAAGTTTCTTCAAAGCCCACTGTCGCCAATGCCACTCATTCCGGGCAGATCTGCTTCAAACAATGCCAAAGAAGTGTCGTAGCAGACCGTCATTGCCAAGACCTCGCCAGCTGGGCAGATTACACCACCGAGTGAATCACCTGCCTCGATCGCTGTTCAAGAAGACGCGCTGCAAGGCTCATCTGTTGAGCTACAAGACGTTACTGGGCTCCATAATAGTGCCGCAGAAACTCACGAAGCAGATGATGAGGGAGCCCTAAGCTCGAATGATTTCAACACTTCACCAGAGGCTCCATCTACCCCTACCAATGCCGCAGAGGTCTTATAGCCAAGCTTATCTAGTAAACCACAATCCATGGGTGCAATCCAGAATGAGATCACGGATCCCCCTAAACCAGACGACGAGGGAGCAGAAGTCCCGGAGCAGAGCGCATATGTCGAACCTGAAGCCGTCCTTGCAAAGCTCAATCGTATCGCGGCGGGACCTGGGCCAAAGTCATCCACGCTAGATAGACGAGACACGATGTACTCTGGTAAAGATTTCGGCTACAAGTCGAGAGCTCTCCGGGACTTATGATGAAATCAAAGCCGACGTGGCCACTGTTCCTGATGCACTCAAGGAGGGTTCAGAAACCGGTGGGATTGGTTAGGGCGAGAGGCTTTTCCTAGTATCCTGGGATTCTGGCGATGGATTAGCGTCTTGGGTGTGTTCCTTGTATATCGAATGCGCCATGTTTGTTTTCTTTCTTTCTTTCTTTCTTTCTTTCTTTCCTATCCTGCTAGGTGTTGCGTTTACTGCCTTACGGAGAGGAGGGATAGTTTCTATGTGGGGCTACGTGGGGCTATAATAAAGGGGGAGGAATCGAATATGGAGAGCGGAGCGGAGCGTGCAAATATTAGGCGCCTAAGATTTTGTGGCCTTTTGGCAATGTCGATCCTGAACGCGTACCTGAGAAGCTTTCAATTATGTATAATAGTAATCATAATGAGATTTAGAATTTTCAATTTTTAGTCCGCAACCGACTAAAATGTTGCCGCCCCACAGGGCGGTTCTCCTTTGATAGAAATGTACGAGTAAAGGCTATGTACTAACGATAGGGATATTTATATACCCAAGAGCCCATAGAAGACGTCAAGTACAAATACCTGTATCCTTTTCTTCTTTGTCTCATCCACATACGTTGGTCCAGATTCTCATAGGTATCTGATGTCTTACCCTTACCGACACTTCCTTATCTCCAGCTTGATTATATTTCCCTTGCATCAATTCCTTCTTGTAAGCATGAGTACAACCTCGTGCTCATCCTTTGGGGCAACATATGCCCCAATCAAAAAAAGAAAAAATCCCAACGCCTCCACTGCCTCATCCTCCTCACGTCCTCACCCGCTCACCGCTAGCAAAAGTCCCATCCACACCACGTTCTATTGGAGAACTTCAGCACCAAGGTTCGCAGCTTCTCCATCCATCTCCGGGAATATCGAATCATGTGAGGTGAAGAGTGACGCCTTGAGTTATCCTGGTCCTGTGAGAATGGAAACTACTTGGTTCCGGATATCTTGTTTTGGTGGGGAGTCAGGGGTGCATATTTATAACCAGATCCGAGGGTTTTGACAAGTCATGAATGCTTTATTTGGGGGAGATACGTGTAAGAATGCGTTTTCTTGAATTGATTGACAAGTGAGGAGACATGCTGAATTGTTTTGGAGAAGCCATCTGGTGTGTGAATTGGAAGAACCAGGATTCTGTGTCGAGAATGACAATTCCTCCTAAATGTTTTGTTTGACCTCCGGGGCCAAAAATTATCTTTATGGAGTTGCAAACTTCAAGGAATGGACTTAGAATATTAGGGAAATAACGATACAGCATAATAATGATATACAGAGCCAAGGATGATGAGGTTATTGTCTTGCGGAGAAAATGAGAAACCCAACGTCTGGTGTTTGTTAGTTGGCAAACAGCCACGCACCGATCAGCCCCTCTGAGATTATCAATTGAAATTAATAGATCCCACAGGAGATCTCTGAGTGCGATGTGCAACAAGCAGGCAGCAAGATCAGATCAGATGAGATGATCTGAGAAAATGGGTTGTAGCATTTCATGTCTTCCGAGATTGGAAAGGAGCACGTACCAGCAGATGCAGCAACAGGCTGCAGTTCTAGACTTTTTGAAAAATGTCAAACATATTAGGCGGTACCGTTAATGCAGAAAGGATAGAACGGATTTCCAATGATAGTTCAGGTCTTAGGAGGTTTATACGCCACTGAGCGCGGGAGTGAAGGACGGCAGAGGAGGGTGGCGGGTGCAATTTGTTCTTTGCAGCACTGGCTGGAAGCGTCCGGCTCCAAAAATAGGAACAGGAATGCTTAAATCTCAGAAAATTGGAAGAGGCACTCAAAAGTCTATCCCGCTCCTCCTTGAAGAGAACTGGATGTTCTTGAATTGACCCGCACATCCCACCACTAAGTGGAAAGCCGTCATTGGATTCTCCTACTCGATAGTTGAGCCACCAACACAATAAACAGTGCGAAAGATGAAGGTTTTCACGGTCACGTTTACTTGGAAAAGTTGGCACCAGAATTAGCCTAAACCTTCAGAGTCTTGATGGTTAAGGGGTGGAACAAGGGTCCTCTCCTAAATGTGGGGTATTGAACTAGCGGCCGAGCGGGGCGGCAAGCATCACTTACTCCCACCTTCCTCTCACTCTCACACTTCTTTTTTTTTCGGTCTTCTTTCTCTTAAATTGAGATCGGAATAAATCCTTTCAAACTACGCCAGCAGAGCTTCCTTCACAATGACGCATATCCACCACAATCCCCCGTTCCGCGCCGAGCATCTTGGTAGTCTGCTCAGACCCAAGGAGCTTCTGCAAAAGCGCGCTTTAGTCGAGAAGAACGAATTGAGCCAGGCGGAGTGCACCAAGGCAGAAGACGAGGCAGTTAACAAGGTTGTCAAAGTCCAGGTTGCCTCTGGCTTTGGTGCTGTCTCAGATGGAGAGTACAGGTGAGAATTGAGAAATCCTCTGCGAGCTACCCCCTACCATCCCCACTATTTCTGATATGCTTATTCCAGGCGCGCTGTGTTTTGGGGGACTTTCTTTGAAGAGCTAGAAGGCATGACCGAGATCAGAAACCCGCCCATGGATCTCTTCCGGTCTTATGTTCCAGATATTGCAGGCTTCATTGAGAAAGGACACAAGCCTGGGCAGTCTTGCATCTGCACTGGGAAGATTCGCCATAAGGGGAAGAGCACCTTGATTGGGCAATTCGAGTACCTGAAGACTTTAATTCCAGAAGAGCGATGGGGAGAAATCAGGTTGACTATGATTGCTCCTCCATGGTATCATTTACGGTACAAGAATGGCTTGGCATTTCCTCCTGAAGTTTATGCCAGCGATGAGGAGTACTTGGCGGATATCTCGAAGGCTGCCAGCGAGGAACTAGATATCTTGTATGCCGCTGGAGTGAGGAGCATTCAGTTTGATAACCCAAATTTTGCTTGTGAGTCTCGAGAACCTCCGGCGCCACCGCTGACTTTCAGACTTCTGCTCCGAGAAGATGTTGGCTGGGTGGGCGAAAGACAAGTCAAATAAGAAGACTCCCGATGAGCTGTTGGATGCATATATCCAATGCTACAATGACAGCACTGCCCAGCACTCCGAGAAGATGCACATTGGTCTCCACATCTGCGGAGGTAAATGTCATCCTCAGGCTTGCAACTCCCACCTCTAACTTCCCACAGGAAACTTCATGGGCTCCCGCCACTTCTCAGAAGGAGGCTACGACCGCATCGCCATCAAGCTCTTCCAAAAACTAAACGTCTTGGTGTATCAGACTCCATCCGCCACTGTTCCTAAACTTGGTGTATCAGACTCCCTTCCGCTATTTACTACCTGGAATACGACACGCCCCGCCCGGCGCAGGCGGTTTCGAGCCCTTTTGCTCCACCCCCCCACAACCACACAAGAACGTCATCCTCGGCGTCATCACCTCCAAGTTCCCCGAGCTCGAGGACAAAGAGAAAATGAAAGAGCGGATCCTCGCTGGAGCAGACGTGATTGCCAAAGGAGCCAGCCAGACAAGAGAGCAGGCGTTGCAACGAATGGGTGTCAGCCCTCAATGCGGATTTGCTAGTCATGAGGAGGGGAACTTGCTGGGATGGGAGGATATGAAGAATAAGCTTGCGCTGGTAAGAGCGATTGCTGACGATGTCTGGTCAGGCGAACCGTAGATACGTGGCTTGCGAGAAATTTGGTTTCTTATATATATTCAAAAGTATTGACGGTATTTCAACAATTCTCCCAAATTAGCGAACGCGAATTCTCAGAGACTCTTCTTTCGAGCTTGAGAGACGTCTCTATAACGAGCTTCCTACGGCCTCTTGAGCGAGAATTCCAATCTTGGGGTGAATGGGGACTTGTCCTCTCGCAATGGGTTAGGTGTGGGTGTGTGAAGCAGAAGTTTTGTGGAGAGTTGGGGTACTTTGAGGGAACACTGCTAGCTTTTTCTGCCGTAGGAGGAGGCTCGAGTTTTGTTCAACTCTCCTCTTCGATGTCCCTGACTGTCTTGGTACATTCAGCCCTCTTATCTTGACTTGTCTCCCAGGGACAAGTGCCCCAGGCAGTCCTAGGACATTCAATTCTTTCGCTATTGGGTCTCCTCCCCCAGGAACATTATTGCTAGGCAGAGAGGTGGGTGGCAGTGGAATGTGAACCCAAATAGCCTGTCTCAATGCACTTCGAAAATCCGTACATCCGCTCGGGCTGCCTCCTCCCAGATTTGAATTCGGGGCTCGGGAGGAAGTTCGGAGAAGCGGGATAAGGATCGGTGGGGGCTGGTTCGTGCCCATGGCCACATTTGTCGACGTAGTTGAAGAGGCCATGACTGAAGATGGAGGCTCTTGCTCTTGCTCTTGCTCGAGAGATAAACGGCGTAGGAAGCTTCCAGTTGACGACGTTTTCTAGTTATCGGAGGTCGTCAATACTTCCGAGAGACATTGGCGGGGCGAGATATGTCCGCTGGACAGTCATTGAACCGCGGTTGGGAGATACAAGGAGAGAGATCGGGCTGACCGTTCTAGTCACTGGGAAGGCAGGCAGCCTAAAACGCGCGAGGACTTGGCAATAATACTCTTGAATAAATGTTGGATGATGTAGAGTATACTGTAACAATTCGGTGTGTTATTGTCAAGTGAAAGTCGGCCTTGCCAGGTCCTAATGTAAATATTGACATACTGACTTTGTCAGTCGCGACCCTCCCGTGTCGACATTCTCGAGACTGGAAAATCATCTGAACTTTGAACTTATCCATCTCCTCGGTTTTTTCTCCTGAAATAGGACCCTAAATTCAATTCTTCTCCAATTATTCAAATCAATGGGGAGCTCGAAATGTGCATTGTCAGAATTAGTTTCCTGGCACGCCATCTTGGAGATCGTCCACTAAGCTCCCCTTAGCTGACGCTGCCAATCACAGCGCAGCATCGTGGATCCCTGCACTTTCTCCGCATCCTCCGCTTGGCTTTCATCCAAGCTCACTGTATTTCGTTTCCCGACTTCGTGAAACCAAAACGCTCTTTTCAATCACACGTTCTCCTCCAGGCTTTGTCCGTCCTGTCTTTTCTCAAACAAATTGCAATCTATCCCTCCTCTTGTCGCCAATTCGCGCAGCCGTCTCGAACGAGCTACACGAAATGCACGCGTCGAGGGCCAGCAGCCTCCTCGCGGTTGCTGCCCTTCTTTTTAGGAACACATTATGTGCGGGACCTGCAATTCGCCGAGCTGGTAAGGTTCCCTCCTTAATATGTGGCGGTTGATATTCTAATCATCGTTGTGCGCCTAGTCACTGAATCGCCTCTCGATCCATGGGTATCCGTCGACGCCAGCGGAAACCCGGTGGCCACGATTACTCCCTTCGTCTCAAAAGTAAATGGAGTTGCAACTACTATTAGTGCGGCACCTGCGAGCTTGACTGCCACCACAACAACATCGCAAAGCGATTCGAAGCCGACTGAAACATCCGTGCCGTCGGGAGGGGGGTCATTTCAAGTCTGCCACAACCTTGATGGGCATTTTGCCCCCATGTGTAAACCCGACAATGGCACTGCGATATACGTGGGACAGACGTATTATGGTAGGAATCTGATTGGAGGTCTGAGGAGCAATTGTTCTAACCGCGAACAGTTACGTGGGACTCGGCGTATTTCGCAGAGAAAAATGCCACCGTCATCATAGTCGCTAACTATTTTAATTCCTCAAACGGGGGGCAGGTTGCGTTCTCATCGAAAATCATTGGCGCAGCGGCAGGGTTTTATGTTTGGACCATTGAAAAAGATTGGCTGCAAGGGCTATCCTCTAACAGTGTCACACTATGGATGAACCCTTTGAATCCCATCGATGGCGAGCCTCATAGCCTGGGAGGTTTGAACCTTGAGGTGACCAATAAACCCGCAGAGTATTATCACCCGCCGCCGACACCAGTGCCAACGGGCCAGTCTCTGTATATCGCTCTTCCATCTGTTTTTGGGTTTATCATCCTTTGTGTTTGTGGTGGGGCCATAATCAACCGAAAGCACAGGAAGATTGGTCTTGGGAACGTAATGGGACGACGAAACGGATATGGAGTTGGCAAATCTAGGCGTCAGCGGTTGGGTCTGAGAAAGAAGAAGGATGGGGCAATTCAGTTGCGAGATCAAGAGTTGACTGCTGGAGGCGAATACCGAGATGCACCACTTCCAGAGGAGAGGGAACGGCCTTTTGGGCATGCGAGAGCGGACTCAGATGCGCTGGGTAGCCTGGCTGGCACCCCAACAGAGGAGAGGGCTAACCATTTCAGGGACGAGATGCAGCGACAAGAAAGGAATAGGTATTGAGCACTGTTCTGCCTAACGACGTGCACAGAGAAAGGGGCAGGTTCCTTATGTACCAACAAAACCCTGTGCTTACGAATGTATTACTTCTTTGCTACTGTTATGTTTCAGAGAAGACCCCCAAGTCCCTCTTGAACTAGCCATTGTGGTGTGCCTCGCGCAACAATGTCGATCTTCCACAAGTGTGTGGTTGACTATGAAAGCCTCAATGAGCAACTAGCTTTCTGGCTAGTCTTCCCTTTTCAACGGAAGAGATCGCTTCCGGGAGTTAGAATTTCCAGGCCAAAGGAGAGCGGGATGAGGCGGGTGTAGATGGACGATAGAAAGCGAGATGGCTGGAACCTTTGAGCGGGTATATTACCATCAAATGGTCCCATTATTCTTCGAGACAGGGGTTCATTGAGTAGCGCTGGCCTGCTGGAAGATACGAGTCGTACGACGCGGATGCCCAAACAGGCAATGGAATAATTGAGGACAACCTGGTGCTTGGCTCTTAAGGGGAAGCCCATTATTGAACAAACCCAACTTAGTTCTTGAAAGTTCGAGGTATTGATACGAGGTCGACATGTGGTGATACATGATCCATACATTCACAGAAGCAGTTGATGTAGGAGGAAGATATAGTTCTTCACTTGCTACACATTGGCTCTTCCAGGTCTGGAAAAAAGCAAATACCTACATAAGGGAGGGCACCACGTGAGTAAGTAATGAAGGTGCCTAGATAGTTACCGGAGCAATCCCCCGAGCCGGCTTCGACACTTCTGCAGGCTCTCGATAGTGTGGGTCAACAATGTTGACTCAACATTACAGCTGTCAAAAAAATGTCAGAAAACCCAAATTCCAGACCCTTCCATTATTCTCTTTCTGCAATCACATTTGTCAAGTAACAACAATAGCTATCTACGCGCCTCTTCCACCGTCTGTCTCACTTCCACCTCCACCTTCTCAATTTCCACCTCTGGGTTTCCAACGCATGCCAACCCCAAATGACTCGCGTTCGCATCCAGCCACCAAACGTCTCTCTCAACTGCAGAGTCAGCACCTTAACGCGCAAATGCACCGAGTCTCGACCCAGAGCCTCGTATCGAGGGACCAGAACACACTTCACCCCCAATACATTTGTGCAGAAGCGGCTCGACGTCTTGCCGCATTATTATTTATCATTGTATTGTGCTAGTGCATGGCGTGGTCGAGCCGTGTTTGGCTGTCCGAATTCCAGCCCTCACATCCCTCGAGGCTCGAGGAAGACAAGCGCGTTTGGATTAGGCGGGATGGAACGCTAGACCGTGTTTCTGCTTCTGATCTGCGCGCGCCAAATACCAAGATCCGACTTCAATTTCGATATCGCGGGTCAGTCCCTTGGCAGACAGCGAAGGTTATTTTCACCCCTCCTGGCGCGGTGCTGATTGGCGAAGCTTATTTTGATGCTTGCTGCCCATCAATGCTGTTATTTGTGGGCACCCTCCTCGATGAAGCTTTCTCAGGGGCCATGGCTTTTGTCATACGACGAAAAGACCCGTGGAATCTCGGTTCTCCAGCGAATGCCCACGTTTTCCCAGCGTCCCGAAGTCTCACGATTCCAACATCCCTTGCAAATTGCGGAGTAGCAGCCTGGCAGAGCCCCATGAGGTTTTTGATCCTTTGCTAAGCCCATTGCTGCTATCCCACACGAGGGGTGCCTCAACACGGGCAAGCTTCTTGCCAAAGCGTTCAGGAGAGCGCAGAATTTAACATTGGTGGCGCTTTACAGCCCTTGCGCACACGGTTCCTGCAGGGCTAGTTGGAGGCCCGGGCTAGAGCAGCCACTCGCGTTATCAGATGGAAACGCCTTTCGCGTATTGATGACCTAGTCCCTCATACGATTTCTCTACCAAGCGAAGGGGGGTTCTTGGCGGCTCAAAGGGACCAGAGGTCTTTCGGCCGACGGCAAGGTGTGCTGAGAATCGGAGCTTTGGGGTCAGCATCTGGCCATTCGGCATGGCACCCAGGGATACGAAGATAGCAAATTTTAGCCCTCAGAGCCGAAGTCGTGCATCTGCCCCTGGTTCCTGGTCGATAGAAGGCACCTTCTTTTTCTCCGTTTTCTCTTATAGCTTTGCTCCCTCGCTCCTTGAAGCCCAGCATTACCCACACTGTCGTTTCCCACTGCTGTCGCTCGTTCAGGACCTAGTGGCCCTTTATGTACCAGTAAATAATAATCTATCTAATCGACGTTTTCGTCATCACATTCGTTTAAGAATTTCAAACTGCAAAAATGGTTCGAAAATTCGGCTCTGCTCTTAGAGCATTGCTCTGTTCAGTGAGTTTGATGCTTGTCTTCCCTGGTGCTCGCGCTGAAAAACAAAGTTCGTTACAATTGAAGCTGCAATCATCCAAGAGCGTGCTCTCGTCACTCCGTCGAAACTCCCAGGGACTTGGGTGTCGAAAGGATGTTATGTGTAAGTCCTCAAACACTGTTAAAAGACCCTCAGCTGACATGCCTCAAGAGACGTGGGACGCACACTTACCGGTGGTGGCTACACGTCGGCCACTGCAATGACTGATGAGTCTTGCATTGCTTATTGTGAGAAGGCTGGATACATTTACGCCGGCACTGAGTACTCTCAAGAATGTTACTGTGGCGCTACTCTTGCCACTGGCGGCGTTGCAGCCCCTGCGGCGGACTGCAGTATGGCGTGTACAGGAAATGCTACAGAGGCATGTGGTGGCCCCAGCAGATTGAATCTCTTTTGGAGTGGTACATCTGGTCCGCAGTCAAATCCCGGTGTGGGTCTATGGAAATTTAGTGGTTGTTATGCGTAAGTGGATTTAGCATGCTGTTATGCAACTGCTGATAGGATATACAGCGAGGGGACAACCGGACGCGCGCTTACCATCGCCCCTGCTACGGCTGGGGGAGCAGCCAACCTCACCATCGCAAACTGCCTTTCAGCTTGCCAGACTGCGGGTTTTAACCTCGCAGGTGCAGAGTACGGCGGAGAATGTTATTGTGACAATGCTATTCAGAACGGCGGCAAACTGGCTCCAGGAGGTTTGTCTGACTGCAATATGCTTTGCAACGGCAATGCGTCCGAATTCTGTGGGGCCGGGAGTCGATTAGATGTGTATGATTTCAACAGCAAAGTCGTTTTGCCTCCATACACAACCGTTACATCTCAAACCTCGGCCAAAACCTCTACGACGACGACAAAACCGACGACAACAGCCAAATCTACGAAACCGACCACCGCGGCCACAAGTACAAAACCGACATCTACAGCAACCTCGGTTCGACCAACCTCGACTGGCCCAGCGAATAAGCCAGCTGTCGGACCATACTCGTACTTTGGTTGCCAAACTGAAGGAACCAATGCCAGAGCACTTGCTGGTACATCCACCGCGGCTGATACAATGACTCTTGAAGTATGTCAGGCCTTCTGTACCGGGTTTACCTATTTCGGCGTTGAGTATGGACGCGAGTGTATGTGTATTCTCCCCTGCTCTCCTAAACCAGGCTAAGAATCATTCTAGGTTATTGCGGCAACAGCTTTTCAGCAGGATCAGTTGCTGCTCCCCCAGCTGACTGCAGTTTCCCCTGCCCAGCAGATGTAAGTCCGACATTGGGTTGACCTTTCTCAAAATTCAATGCTCCACTTCTCCGAAAGTTTTAACTGGGCAGTTACTGACTACCTGCTCCCCAGGGATCCGAACTGTGTGGCGCGGGCAATCGGCTTTCAGTCTACAAGCTTGGCACGGTCACCGGCAGCACATCATCGACCAAAGGGACGACCAAGGGTACTACCTCAACCACGACGACAAAGGTCTCTGTCACAACCAGCCCTGCACAGACAGGATTCCCTACCGGCTGGACTTACCAAGGATGCTGGGTTGATGGCGCGGCTGGCAAAATCTTGACTCACCAACAGCCAAATCAGCAGACCACGAATAGTCTGCAATCTTGCGTTGCCACCTGCAAGGCTGCCGGTTATACAATTGCTGGAACTGAATACGGCGTGGAATGTTATTGTGACAACTTCGTTTACAATGGCGCTGTTTTGGCAACGAACCAAGCCGATTGTAACATGCCATGCCCAGGCGCACCAACTGAGATGTGTGGAGCTGGAGGAAGAATATCAATGTACTCATTTGGCATGCCTACAGTCTATGCACCACCTGGACCTCAAACAAGTGGCTTGCCGGCAAATTGGAAATACCAGGGTTGTCTTCAGTAAGTGTGCGGTATATTTCCGGAGATCAAAACTAACCTTATCAGGGACAACATTGCTTCTAAAGAAGACCCTGGAGAAATGCTCAACACATTTCCTTACATGGTTTCGGAGAATCAAACCTTGAACGATCCATCCGCTTGCATTGCTCAATGCCAAAAATTCGGCTTCAATGCGGCTGGTCTGGAATATGGCAGTCAATGTTTCTGTGGTGATGTCCAAAACATTTATGTTGCGTCGGCTCCATCCACATTTACGGATCCAACCAAAATCCAACGCTACACCAGAAGTGCTGTGCCTCAGATTGTCGCAGACGGCAATTGCAACGTCCCCTGCGCGGGCATGCCACAGTACTATTGCGGTGCTGGAAATTTGTTGAGTTACTACTCTTGGGTTGGGGCCACACCTCTCTACAATTTCGGCATGCCAACCGGGAATGCTGCAGGATCCTACTCCCTGTTGATTGGTGGTGTAGTCGTACCGTTGATCGTCTCTCAAGGCGTTAACGGCAAGGTCTCTTTCCTCGAAAAGCACGGAACTGGTGAAGCTAATGGAACCGGTGCTTATGAGTTGGATTTGTCTCTCGTAGGTGACTACAAGCACGCCTGGAGAGAGATGACCGGTCTTCAAAGTGATGTGTTCTGTGCCGCGGGGCTTACCCTTCCCGATAAGGCAGGACGACAATTGACAGCTGGAGGCTGGGCTGGTGAATCCAATTATGGTATCCGACTTTATATCCCAGATGGCTCCGCAGGTGTCAATGGAACGAATCAATGGGTCGAGGACACCGTTAATCTCCAGCTTCAGGTCCCGCGCTGGTATCCTTCGGGCTTGATCATGGCAAACGGGTCCGTCCTTATTGTAGGCGGCGAGGTTGGACAGAACGCAGCCGAGCAACCTACACTGGAAATTCTTCCTGCGACTGGCGTGCCAACCAAGACTACCTCAAGCGGCTATTCTAACACGACAGTGTACTTGGACTTCCTTGCACGAACATGGCCATTCAATCTGTATCCCTTCATAGCCGTTATTCCTCAAGGTATTTTCATTGCATACTACAACGAAGCACGTATTTTGGATGAGAAGACATTTGCCACGATCAAGACTCTACCAAACATGCCTGGTGCGGTCAACAACCCCAATGGTGGAAGAACTTATCAGTTGGAAGGAGCGATGGTCCTCTTACCCCAGTACGCTCCATATTCTGCTCCTCTCGGCGTATTGATTTGCGGCGGTTCGACGGAAGGCGGTGGGTACGCTATCGACAACTGCATTTCAACACAACCTGGTGCGGCAAACCCAACCTGGACGATCGAGAGAATGCCTTCCCGACGTGTCATGCCTTGCATGGCTGGTCTCCCTGATGGCACCTATCTCATTCTCAATGGCGGTGAACACGGTGTCGCTGGATTCGGTCTTGGAGGCGTCCCGAACTTCAACGCAGTCCTTTATGATCCTGCCAAGCCCGTCAATCAGCGCATGAGTATTATGGCCAACACCACTGTTGCTCGCCTGTATCACTCCGAAGCCACCACCCTCCTTGATGGGCGTGTTCTCGTCTCTGGATCTGATCCGTCAGGACAATACCCCACCCCAGCTGGAACTTGGCCAGAAGAATACCGCATGGAAGTCTTCACTCCACCATATCTGCTGTCTGGTCTCGCCCGCCCAACCTTCACGATCACAAACAAGGACTGGAGCTATGGTCAGACCGTTGCCTTCACCGTGACCTCTGGCGGAACGGCAAACTTGAAGGTCTCACTCCTCGGATCAACAGTCTCGACCCACGGCAACTCGATGGGCCAAAGAACAATCTTCCCAGCATTCACATGCAACGGCAACGCCTGTACGGTCACCGCACCCCCCGATGCGCATACGAGCCCTCCCGGATGGTTTATGATGTTCATCTTGAACGGCCCAACACCATCTGTTGGTGTATTCGTCCGCATTGGTGGTGATCCTGCACAATTAGGAAACTGGCCTAAGCTCCCTGGCTTTACGCTCCCAGGCGTGTAAATCTTGCTTCCTATCATTTCCTTCATATACTTCATGATTCGTTTTCCAAGCCGTTAGGCGGTCGAGGGGCGCTCTATGTGTGGAGGACTTACCGAATTCTCGCTTGAGCCCGTCCCTGAGCATATACCGAGCATCGAGTGATCGCAAAGAAAGAGGATGAAAGAATTGTGGCCGAATCTACTGGTTGTGGAATGGCGGAGAGGTGGATGGAGCTCTGGGTTTCGTATCTATGATGATTAGGTGGTGGGAAAAGATATCAATTGCAATCGTAATATTTTCCCCGGGGGTTTGCCCTTTGTGCATCTTCGGTTCTCTTTTCGGTTTTCTGCTGCAAAATTCTTTGAACTCCCAGCTCTCGGGACATCAAGAGCTAGGCCGCGAAATCTCGAAGGGTTAGACAGCGAGCGAGCGCGTTGCCCTCGTGATTGGTTACTGTACTGGATGTTCTCGCTAAGAAAGGGGGTCGACAAGCGAAGGCGTCAGCCCCGCACCCGTGTCCGCCGCTCGGCTCCTTTTCCCTGCTGTAAGTTTCTCGCTCGATCACACATACGAAGTGGCACTTGATAAACTTCACTGCCAGCCACGGCGCAACAACAAGCTTTCACTACTGTCTGTTCTTGTATTTTGGTGGGGCGGAAGGCCAGAGCATGGGCGTTTTATCCGTTGGAGATAACGGGGACCCGCAAAAACGTTGCGCCATCCCCAGGGCAGACGACACCTTATGCAGTCTTATCTGAACTAACCCCGCAATTGAGCTCCATCTCCGATGATCCTAAGCTTGAAACAGCAGCTGGGTATACATCTCCTGCTCGCATTCCTCTTCTGCTTCGAATGCCGTGACTGCAGTGGGGCTGCTCGACTCCAGACCCAGAAATCTCGGAGCGCTCTGCAAGGCAGAGGGTAAAGAGGGGTCAAGAGATGGGGAAGACAGGCACGCGCAAGATGCACGAGAAGTATATATTTCCTCGTCTTGGCTCCCCAGATCCCCGTTCCCCTCGTGCTCAAGCTTTTCGGATCAACAAGCCCAACTTTTTCATACCCCATGATGTTGTTCTCGTCCTTAGTTGCTGTTGAAAGGGCTGTTTTGCACGTGATGGCGCTAAGGGTAAAACTCTGATTTTTGGGCACTTGTAAACCTTAGCTTTTTCCATCAATTATATACTCTTTTGCAGAACCCCAAAATTACCCTCTCAACAGTTGCCGCCGTTGGCTTCTTGGCTGCTGGATCCCAAGCTCGCTATGTCAAGAGAGACAATGGCCTCACCATCTTCAGCAGAAAGGCAGTTGCAAAGCGTGCTCCAAGCAAAATCATAGCTACCACCGCTGTCCTGCCCCTGACCAAAATGGCAGCTACCGGTGCCTCTGCAGCACGTCGTCAACGTCTCAGCAAACTCCTCATTGCCAATGGCAGCACAACCACTCTTACTTCTCTCTTTACCGGCGAGGAATTTGCTGCTGAAGTCGAATTCGGCACGCAGACTTTTGAGATGATTGTTGACACTGGGTCCAGTGATACGTGGGTCGTTGAGGCCGGTTTTGTTTGCACAGATCTCGATACGGGGAAGACGACAACCGAAGGTATTGAACTCCAACGTCACAAATCTCCTGGGACAACCACCATCACTCAGCAATCGCTGATTCTCCGTACCCAGCTTACTGCGACTTCGGTCCATATTATACCAAATCAAGCACCTTCGCGGCGATTTCTGGTGAAACCTTCTCCATTGAATATGGGGATGGCGAGTATCTTACTGGAATCACGGGAACCGAGGAAGTCACTGTCGCGGGGATTACAGTCGATCAAGAGGTAGCTCTCGTGACTGCTGCCGCCTGGGAGGGTGATGGCACAACCTCTGGTCTCATGGGTCTTGCGTACCCAGCTCTGTCAGTGTTCTTTCTCAACCAAGCCTCAGGCAATATTGAAACTGACGTTGTCTCAGGACGAGCGCGTACAAGGGAAGTACTCAAGAAGTCTACAATCCAATTTTCACCATGTGGGTTTTTGGGGAGAAGCCCCTTTCTACTTCTAACCATCTCATGATTTTCTCCGAGACAGTGTCCGCAGTTCCCTTGGAACATTTTGTATTGGGCAGTTGCTGACTCCTCCGTTCCCTAGGATGTACTCCAAAGGTCTCATCGCCAATGAATACTTCTCCCTCCTCATCGAACGACAAACCTCAGGACCTTCCGGCTACCTCGCTTTCGGTGGTGTTCCAGATATTGCATTCACGCAGAACTTCACTTCCACGCCTATTATCACTACCACGATTGAAGGCTATCCTGACAGCTACGACTTCTACACTATCAACATCGTCTCCATGGAGCTCAACGGTGTCGCCATCTCAAACTCCGGCGGCTCAGCAGTAGAATATATCGTTGACTCAGGCACGACTCTAAACTACGTCCCCGCGTCCGTCGCCAACGCAATCAACAAAGCTTTCTCCCCAGCCGCAACCTATTCTTCCGCTGACGGCGTGTACATTGTATCCTGCACGGCCAAGGCTCCTGCTGTTAGCATCGATATCGCAGGCACGCTCTTCGCGATTAATCCGCTGGACATGATTCTTGATGCTGGGGATGGGATCTGTATAAGTGGGTGGATGGATGGTGGGTCAAGCAATACGGAGGATGTGTTTATTCTGGGGGATACATTTCAGAAGAATGTAGTTACGCTGTTTGATGTTGGGGCTGCTACTTTGCAGTTTGCGGGGAGGGAATTCTATGCTAGTGATGATACTTATTGGGGAGTGAGTCTTGATGATCGATATGAAGGGGAAGATTCAAAGTGATTGGAGATTCTTTGGGAGATACACTTACAATTCTGCCTAACTATGGATTTAGAGGAAGAGTATTCATGTCACCTTGAAGTTGGTTGTATATGTGAAAATCAGACTCGCTAGATAAGAACATGGCCACCGATTCCCAATATCCAGTCACAGTTTGACATTTCTCCGAACTCAGAGGGGAAGGACTCTAGAATTCTAGAACTTCCTAGGCATTTGAAGGGGGTAAATCTTGAATGTGTATTGATGTAACGAAACGGTAGGAGAGAGCGTCCTTGAGAGATCTAATTTGGGGACGGAACGAGATTTTCGATTTGAAAGAGCACGGTCACATGACAAACTTGAACCAGATTAAACTATTCTTTCTGACTAAAGATGGATATTCCTGTTCCGATAGGAGCAGACGTTGACCGTGGTAAGTTTCTTACAAATTTGCTCACACTGACCTAGCGAAAATGGGACTATCTAACTTCTAAACCTCACAGCAACCGGGATCGTCCTTGCTTGCTGGATATGTACAGCCATCACCGGACTATGTCTTATCTTCCGATATTCCGCCAAGGGTTGGGTATCACTTCATTTTCCCAAAGTTAAAGCGACTGATCGAATTTGGGGTTTTGAAGACTGTCTCTTCGCTGCTGCATGGGTTTGTCCACTCCGTCCCTGAATCTGGTGGATGCTAAGAATACACTCTAGGTTCTCGACGTTGCTCACATGGCATGCCTGCAGAAATCCTATAATGCTGGTTTTGGGAGGCATTTTATTTCCTTAGCCGTCCACAGTTCTCCGAAGCTCTTAAGTGGCAGGTGGCTCCCCAAATATTGAGTAGGTTCTCTACTTGAACTTGAATACCTCTCTGATCAATGATAGTCATTGCATCAACCACTCTCTCGCGAACTGGTATGATGTGGTTCCTCTACAAGATCTATGGGAGATGGAATGACAAAGTCCGATTCTTCCTCATGGGCAGCATGATTCTTCATCTCCTCATAAACGTCACTATGATGCTCGAAATAGTTCTTGAATGCGGTCCCAACCCTTACCGACCTTCAAATCGGTTGTTATATCCCCATTATGCTTGGGAAGGGCCACCAGAAGACGGCTCGACCATTTGTCAGCCTTTCATTGTGGCAACTTCGGGTGTTGGATATTTATCGGGAGGCAAGTATCTCTGGACGGAGAATCTGCTGCAGCTAATAATTCACAGCCTTCAATGCGTTTGCCGACTTCGCCATTGCATATATTGAAACCTACGAGATCTGGCAATACTCAATCATGGCGATGAAACGTAAACCATGTCCTATTCAAGATCAATTTCGAGACATGAATCCTACGTTCATAAAGAGAAGGCTGTGGCAGACTACAACTTTGGGCGGCCCTCTCGTATTGTATGTTTATTCTTCACAAGATTACAAAGAGAATAACTATTGATGACGGTCTGGAATTACAGATCAGGAGCTGCTTCAATCATTAAGACGGTAATGATGGGCACAATGCCCAGAACCATAGACGTTACTTGTAGGTCCGTTGTCAAATCAAAAGATCACAAATTAATTCTTTTCTAGGGGCACTTGCCCCCTTCACTCTCTGGATCAAGTAAGTCGCACTAAACCCATTATACACAACACAACTGACCGATAACTCCTTCCTCCAGGATCGAAAGTTACAGCATCCTCATAGCATCATGTGCGCCTGTTGTCGCATGTTCTTCAACTTCGAAGCCGATGAACCACAAGAAGATCCATTATCCCCCACCACTTTCTCTCCACACTCAATATTATTAGGGCGGCTTGAGCAGAGTGCTCGAAACTCGGGGTTTGATAGAATAGAAAGCATTGAGACTTTTCACGGGGGATCCGAGGGGAGGTCAATGAAGAGCGAGACAGAACAGGGGGTCCAAAATGGGGGTGTTACGCATGACAGTGAAGGGTCTAAGAAGCCATTTGGGGTGATAGAAGTGGCGAGAAATTCGCTACTTGGGTTGCGTACGGATAGTCGCGGTTGATTTGGACACCAACAGTAATCAATTTTGTTTTGAAGGGCGTGCTTGATCTTGACCTCATTCCACCTTCCCGTTAATTGTGATTGATGCAAGCTCAAACAATCTAAAGGGACGTCCGAGTCCTTGCTTCCCAAGCTTCAAAGTAGCAGATCAATATCTGAGAGCGGGAAACTCTAAAGAAAGTCAGAAGAAACGATGAAAACAGGGTCGGGAAGGTGGACCGTGCGGCGGGACGGGCCGTCCCTAGATTATTAGACTCCTGGCTCCTGCTTTCGATGTGGTATAACGTGTCATGGCACTCCAGCTTCACAGGATATGCTTAAATTTCACTTGAAAGATGTCAGCTGGAGATTTGAAAATTCATTCTTATTCATTAAGAGAGCGTGAAATGTACCACTTGCCTGTGTTATATATAGTTTGTGATGTCAAGTTCTAGATATGGGCAAATCTCCTTTGAAGCTTTGTTCTCTGTTTTAGCTTAGCTGCCATGTCCTAGTTGCATACCACTCCTGCTGTAACGTAACAGAACTGCAAAATTGTGAATGTTCTCGTGATAGTTCGAACTATGAGAATTCCTTTGAATAACTTATTCTTTGGTGAAGTTGCTGGCGTCTGGTTCAACTTCCGAGTTAACCTTAGCTCGGTCCCAGTGCAACACAGTCCAGATCCCAACCGCGCTCGCACATAAACGTGATTGTTCCCAGCATAAGTGGAACAATCACGATGAAATTCTGAGCATTATTCCTGACGCCTTTTATACTTTGCGCTTGCAACGACGCTCGCTAGTGCGCCTCATTGCCCCGAACACATCTCGTACTTTGCTACTACGCACGCTACACAAACCCACGGTACATTCCCCTACGTACGTTCGGTACATCAACCACGAACTATGGCTACCACCTTCCCAGGCTTCCCCACGCTCCCCTGGGAGCTGCGCGACGAGATCTGGAAGAACTGTCTTCCAAGTCAAACCCCTGCACTTGGCGGAGAATTGGCTGCACGCATCCTGAGCTTCAAACATCAGGACAAATTCTGGAGAGGATCATCAAGACCACAACGACTACCAAAGAGACATATCCCCCTTACCTGGAGACCCTCACCAAGAGCACAACCACAAAAGAAGGCAGTTCATGAGCTCCAACAAGAAACAGCCACTCCATACCAGCGCCTCGCTGCTTGCATCAAATCTCAGATACTCGTCCTCAAGCAAGTGAAAAAAGAGCTCGAGAACGATCCTCAACTCGCGAAATGGCTCAAGAACCCTCCGTTCCCGTTCCGACCGAAACTTGAGCTCGATACAGCTACGGGTTCCCTCATCTATACATGTCCCCAGATCGTCGAAAACTACCACTTGGAGAAGCTGGTCTTTAGGGACACCTCGGCACCATTACCAAGCCCATCTACTCGACCAATACAGTCTGATTCTACACCAACCACAAACCCAGCTTTGACTTTGACGACTCTTGCAACTACACCGACGAGCACGCCACGACCATTGACCGAAGAGGAAGACGAAGAAGAAGAAGCTGACTGGAATCCGGACAACCCAATCTACTTCGCCGAGAAAGACAACGACGCAATATGGTCCGATAATGAGGAGGAACCACCACACAAGCGCCAGAAGCACAGCTAGGGGTGGTTGTACGTGAGGATGGAGGAACATTGGCGGAGGACTGTGATATCAAACTGTGAGCTGTCTACATTTCTTCTGGAGCCTCTCTGTACAGTACAATGTACTGACTTGTGCAAGTTCTGCAAAAGGAAGGCTCGATTTTCAATGTGACGGGCGGAAAGTGGGGACAGTGCGGTGATGACTCAGGATGCTGCCTAAATTCATGCTAGCACACTGTCTAAATAAGAAATGAATCACGACTCTTCGGATTCAAAATGCCTGTATAAATTGGAACATTTGATTCCGTGACCTGCACGCTGTTGGCCGCAAATCCCCTCAAGATGCCACTCACTCCAGCCGAAAACTCGCTCATAGATGCTGCAAACGCAGTCATCGATGCCGTTCCCAGAGGCACAGCCGAGCGAAGAATAACAGATCATACTGTGGGGTGCGTGACTCTCTGCTCTGACGGGCGAGTCTTCACCGGAATCAACGTCTTCCATTTCTCAGGAGGCCCCTGTGCAGAGAACGTCGCATTTGCAAACGCATCAGTATACACCCCCAAACTCAATATTTCTCCTCAAACTACACTAACCTTGAGCTAGGCGGCAGGAGTGGCATCTGCTTCAAGCCCAGGAATTGGAGATGGAGCAAAGCTGACACACGTCGTGGCCGTGGCAAACGACCAGCGAGGCGTAATCACCCCCTGTGGGCGCTGCCGCCAGCTCATGTTTGATTACTACCCTGATATAAAGGTGATCATTAAGGATAGTGAGGGGTTGAGGACTGCAACTGTGGATGAGTTGCTGCCGTTTGGGTATGTTTCGGGTTTCAGAACGAAGGCGTATCCACATCTGGAAAGTGGGAAAGAACCATGAGCTCTTGAATTTGATTTCTATGATACTTTTCGTTTGCCTCTTCTTCCCTCTTTTCGGATGATATTTGACTTTGCGTTCGGGTAGCTGCTGTGAGTGATTTCGCCCCCCCCTCAACTAATTCGTCTAGACTCCTTAAAGTACACTCTGTATACTCTTCTTGTCTCCAAGAATCCGGAACGTTACAGCTATCCAAAACTTCCTAGGCAATTGGCTGGACCTTTTTTCAAAAGAGCATAAGAGGGATGATTGTTTGTGGAACTGCATTTATCAGATCTGCAACGCCACTAAGACTTAGTCTAGACTGTGAGGGAAGAACCAAAGACTGTATAGCGATCTCAACTCCCTTGGTGTAATATGCAAATACTGTGAGAGCAAATTACCTGCTGGATTGTGAAATTGGGCATAGGAAGCTCTTTGAAGCATAGCAGCTATAATTGGAAGGAAAAATACTGGGCGAGGTCAGATATTTGTTTCAAGCGTCTTCATCCTCGTAATCCTCTTCTTCCTCCTGGCTGCTACCCTCATCTTCCTCATCCTCGTCGCGGATAAAGGGAACAAATCTGAAATCAACGAAGCTAATCCCACCCCCCTCAACCTCAACCATAAACTGCAAGCTCAAAACACCTTGTTCATCACCCCTGACGCTGACCTTGCTCGCCAACCTCATAGCTTCTGCAGCTGCCTTGATCATCTCAAATTTGTAGCTCTGCGTCCACTTTTCAGCCACGGTAAAGGTCTCCAACAGGTCTCTGCCTTTGGCGAATTCAACACTAGCACTGCCAAGTGGCCCAGCAGCGGAGAGGCTTAGATACGGAGCGCCTGTATGAGCTGTGATATCCAACCGACTGGGCGATGTCGACGAAAGTTCAGAGACGGCATCGAAAAGCCAACGTGCTTGCATAATGATCTTCACTTGCATAGCATCTCGTTGAAATGGGATCTCCTCCGCACCTTCTGGTTCATATGTGTTGAGGTTGCATGTCGTCGTCACCCCCGATTCTTCAAGAATGATACTGAAGGGTGATCCGATGCCGGCGTAGGACAGTCGACACACTCCTGCCATGCCAAGAGCTTGGTTGCTGAAAGCGTTTGGACGGCCGGGACGGATGTTGCTCCCGTAAGCATCACTATCGGGCTTTGAGAATCGAGTAGTGGCAATATCTGCTGCACCAAAGATTTGAAGAGTCTCGAGGAGAGCGGAGAGAGAGATAGAGAAGTTTGGAAGGTCGGCCGTGGCAGAATCAGGGTCATCGCCAGAAGGCTCCGGTCCTGGAAGAGTACAATTGAAGGTGGTGAAGAGTGCTTTATCGAGAAAGACAATCCCTGAGCACATTACTATTTGAGCCATAACTTGTTTGCCCAGCAAACATACCTTGCATCACTCTCGATTCCTCTACCGCGAACCGAAGTCCTTCATTGCTGATCTGCACCTGAGCCTTTGGTGCAAAACGTATGCAGTTAAGAAGTTGGAATAGCTGTCTGGCGGAACTCGACACAGCTTTGAAGATAGGTGCACCATGGTCCAGCTCGCCGATTGTAGACATTGTAGAAGTAGGTGACAGGGACGATCGAAAGGAGAGGAGAATTTCTGCGGCAGGTAAAATCACTTGGTCTTGTGCTTGTTCGTCTTGATATGGAGCTTGAATGATTCTTCCAACAGTGGGAGAATCTGAACGCCTTGCTTTTATATGCTCCTACTAGTGTACAATTTTATGCGGTGGAAAGAAATTCGTGGGGAATCGAGATCTTATACATAAACGCCGACTGCACAGATCATGTAGACCGCACCGAACCTGCAGAATATCAGTGAAAGCGGGAGAATAGCAGCATGCTTCATCTTACGCAATGGCTAACGAAGCAGGTATTCCAAGAGCTCCGATGTTGGCGATGGACCGGTCTATCACGGTAATCAGCTATGGCTCCATCAATGAAAATAGGGAGGACGTACTGAGGCCGAAAAGGCCACTGAGCAGAAGTCCAATCGTTAATAACGTGAAGCCCAGGAAGAAGTGGCTGCCTTTTCCAACAGTTGGTACGAAGGGATTGCCAACGGCACTCTCCCAGACCTGATGCAATGGTGACTCCATAAGCTTCGAATGGGTTCAATTACTGCGTGGAGGAAAATGGAGGTTGTGTTGGAAGGTGCAATAGTCGAGCTTTGAGATTGTGAGTTTTGAAGGTGCACGCGGATTTGGCCTCGCTGGCCTTCTCTTTGACAGGGGTCTAAAAATGGAGTAGCGTCGGCGAAAAGAGCTCCGATATTTCTTGGTGAGGCTGACAACGTCGCCTGAAGCGGCACTTGCCCTTACCCCATCTTTCAGACATCACTCACAACCTAATTAAACCACGACGCAAGTTCACAACGTCCAGAGGGGCAGGCACGACTCTGGTCCTGCGTTGCATCTAGAGGTTAGCTGGTAAGTCTTCAATCAACATTATGACAGTCACCTATCGTTATACGTCACATTCTTGTTCCGTGTCAGCTAACATGGCCGCTCCCAAGAAGCTAAGATTCGAGAGTCCTGGGAGGTATTGGAGCGATCTAAGCCCAACACGTCGTACCCGCAAGTACAGCAGCGACGCCTCTGGTCAGTCGAGCGAAGGGATTGAAGAGGAGAACACGATAGCATCGAGCAGCGACTTCGCCACGCGGACACCCAGCACGCCCACCAGAATGGGCCCTATAAAAGAGAACTGTGAGTTCACGACCCGCTTTAGTATTACCCCGCCCTGCTAAATCTTGTCCAGCTTCCAAGCGAAAGGCGACGGAAGAACCAAACACCCCCTCCGACAGAAAGAGAATCAAGACAAGCAGCGACTCGCCAGAGCCAACGCCGAAGATAAGCAAGGCTCCAGCAATTCCTTTCCCTGAGAAGCCCGCAGTTATCGAGGAACGAAATGGCGAGATCGAATTCCGCGTGGTCAACAATGACAACCAACGAGAGAGTCTTATTATCCTTACAGGGCTCAAATGTATCTTTCAGAAGCAGCTTCCCAAGATGCCCAAGGACTATATAGCCCGCCTGGTGTACGATCGCACACATTTGTCAATGGCTATTGTCAAAAAGCCCCTTGAGGTCGTTGGAGGAATCACATACCGCCCCTTCAAAGGTCGCAAGTTCGCTGAGATCGTCTTCTGTGCCATTTCCTCTGACCAGCAGGTCAAGGGCTATGGAGCACATCTCATGTCCCACTTGAAAGATTATGTCAAAGCAACTTCCGACGTTATGCATTTCCTTACCTATGCTGACAACTATGCCATCGGGTACTTCAAGAAACAAGGCTTCACCAAGGATATCACTCTCGACAAACCAGTTTGGATGGGCTATATTAAGGATTATGAGGGCGGAACAATAATGCAATGTTCGATGCTCCCACGAGTGAGGTATCTTGAGATGGGCCGCATGTTACTCAAGCAGAAGGAAGCCGTACACGCCAAGATTCGGGCTTTCAGCAAGAGTCACCAAGTCCACCAACCACCAAGGGAGTGGAAGAATGGCATCTGCAAGATCGATCCGATGTCTATTCCAGCTATTCGAGCATCTGGCTGGTCCCGTGATATGGACGAGCTGGCTAGACAGCCTCGTCATGGCCCTAACTACAGCCAACTTCTACACCTCTTAAACGATATGCAAAATCACCAATCCTCCTGGCCCTTCTTGACGCCCGTTAACAAGGACGATGTGGCCGACTACTACGAAGTGATCAAGGAACCCATGGATCTGTCCACCATGGAGGTCAAGCTAGAAGCCGACAATTACGCAACACCTGAAGACTTCATCAGGGATGCGAAGCTGATCTTCGACAACTGCAGAAAGTACAATAATGATACTACACCGTATGCCAAGTGTGCCAACAAGTTGGAGAAGTACATGTGGCAGCAGATCAAGACCATCCCCGAATGGTCACATTTGGAATCTTAGAAGGACGGTAGAGGGAGATGATGGCGATTTAGAGTTTTCGGCTTATATGGGAATGGCGTTTGGCCGGGAACATCTTTGGTTGGGTGGAATTCACGTGGCGTTGGAGGGTTAGTCTGGCATGGCGGTGAGCGGTAGGCGTTTAATCCTCTGAATGTAAATGCCCTTCGCAAGACTCTCAACTGCTTTCCTGTGAAAACGTTAACTAAGAATGTTGGGACCATGGTAATTAAGCACACCCCGAAACACGTGACACCCCTGAAATGATCTCGGGATTGCCGAGCTCTCGCTTACTGGGCAGACGCCGTGGCCAGGATACATTAGATGCTTCAGTAGAACTTCACCCACAGCTGCTATCGTTCACAACTCCTAACAGCGTTTTACAACCTTTACCAGAGAAGCTTTACCAGGTTCGAACTCAATTCAAGTTCTCAGTAATCTAGCCGCCTTCGTCAAGTTGGCTTTCCCCGACGTTACCACGGGCGTTTTTGGTGGGGATAAAAACATGGATACTTTTACGAGGGCTCCAATCACAATCAGATAACGGAGCATTATCTGCAGTAAGAACAAGGCTCCGACATTTTTATCCTACCGAGTAGATCATAGCCGCGTTATCATAAATAGACAACGTCCACTTCACGACACGCTCCTCTCGCCCCACGACATTTTGCGCCAGACCTCGAGGATGGCTACTATGGCCAGCAAACCGCAGATAGGGTTCGGTCTCGGGCAAGAATTATTCAGGAAGGTTCACACACGGCGTGGCACCAAGAAGACGAGGACGGGCTGTTTCTGTTGCAAGTATGAAGCCAGGCAGGAGAAGGGGAAGGAGACTCCAGCTTGCTAACCAACTTGAACAATGAAGGAAGCGACGGGTCAAATGCGATGAAAATCGACGTAGGTAGTGGAAACGAGACCCCATGACTCTTTATGTGATCTGCCATGAGCATTCCACGAGGCGGCAGCAGCAGCAGCATCCCCACCTGAACAATCTTTATCACGTAAATTGCTGACTTCACTGCTAAACAGCAAATTGCCTACGGTGCATCCAATTCGGTATCAAGTGCGATGGCTATCCGCCTCCTCCGAAAAAGAACGTAAACCCGAAAATTTTGGTCATACCCTCAACAGCAATAGTAGAAAGACCGAACTATTCCCAAGTCCTGGCCGGGCCTTACGCGCGGCCCAAACTGATGGTTGTCCCTTCCTCGCCACTAAAGTTCGCAGATGAGACCGAAGAACGCTACTTCAGGACTTTTCAGAACGAAACAGCAGCAGAGCTCGAAGGCTGGTTCGACAGCTCATTCTGGCATCGCCTCATTTTACAGGCCTGTGTCGAGGAGCCGTTTACGCAGAAGGTGGTTACGGCCTTGGCCGCTATGAGCACCTCGAAGAAGCTTTTACACAATACCGATACAGATACATCTCATCGTGCCATCGTCGCCCAGCAGACCGAGTTTGCGTACAAGCAATATCAAAAAGCGCTTCAAGAGATGAGGAATGCCCTGGAAAAGGCCGGAGACAGCAGGAAGGCCCTAATAGGCTGTATTTTGGTGTGTTGTTTTGAAAGTCTTGTGGGGAACACGGCTTCTGCTCACGCCCATGGTACGTTTTATTCTCGTGTCAAATTGGTATATTTCTTGTAAGATCAGAGAGCCTGAGAACGTTCTAAGGGACCGTCATGATTTCTCTGGCTTTTTGTCTTAGGAAGTGGTGACAGCCCAGTAGCTTTCAGGCCCTTCACACCTGTCAGGATTTGTAGTACTAATGTTTTGAGCAGCCATCAGCGGGCAGAGACTCCTTGAGCAGTGGCTCGTCCAACACCCCTACAAGAACCCCCTCGAGATTGGAATCGCATCCCCAGCAAGTCATTTGATTGAAGACGACATCATCCAGGCTGCCAACTTTTTCAATTGTCAGGTCTCAGCATACCTTGATCCAAGACCGGCGTCAGAGCATGCTAGGCTTCGACATGAAGGCGATGAAACGATGGCACACATGCCCCATAAATTTGAAACTATGAGGGACGCTCATCGTTACGCCATGCTCATGTTCAGGAGAATTATTCACTCTATTCGTGAAGTTGCTGAACTTGCCGGAGATGGCCGAATTTCTACAAACTCGAACTTTCAAATTCTCGAAGAAGGGGTGTCTGCTTTGTCAATTTCACCCGGGAAAGACCAGTCTCCCGAGCCTCAAGTAGCAGATCCATACGCGTTCGCGGTCCAGCAAGGGCAGTGTTCGTTGGAGCTCTCTCGGTGGCGCTCCGCCTTTTCTGGTCTTTATGAGAGAATTATGTTGTCGACCGACAAGCGCGAACAAGCTGCAGCAAAATCACTTAGTAAGTAGTGGGGAAGAAATATCTTTTTCATTCTAATAGTCTTACGATCTCTGCGGAGACGAGATCACAGATCTTTCGAATTAATCCGTATTAAGTTATTACTGACCGATCTAGTTGCCTTGACCAGAGCCTTCGACATTACCATTGCGGTGAGCCTCGACACGGACAACTGCTCCTGCGACCACCTCACCTCTGTTTTCCAGGAAGTACTTGATCTTGAGAGAGACGTAATTCTTTATAGAAAAGTACAAAATCCTGCTTGGCAATATTCATTTGACTTGATCGTCAACTCTGTTCTTTTCACAGTCGCGAGGTTTTGCAGAGAGCGGACGATTCGGCGTGAGGCTATATCACTTATGCATATGTTCAGGACAAGGGAGGGCTATCATGACGAGCAATACTACGCTGCATTGGCTACAAAATCAATGGAGCTAGAGGAGGAAGGTGTTGAGATGGACTACATACCAGCAAGAGCGAGAGTGAGGCAGCTTGATGAGATTGTTCATCCGGAGCAACGATGGTCCAGGTTTCACTACGTCCGAGGCACGGATGAGACGGTTAGAGTGGCGGAGTTCAGATGGTGACGATTGCCGGTGGGTGTAAAAGATATTGGAATTCTGGGTGGCTACAACATTGGAAGCGCGGATGTCTTCTAGGGAATAGATGAATGGAAGTGTTCCATCCGGGACCTTGCGGAGGGCGCCAGGGTTCCCCGAAGGCCAAGACAAAGGCCCCGAAATGTACCTCATTTTTGAAGGGATCTATCTCGATATACAGGGCTCATTCTGAGATGGTGGCGGAGCTGTCTTTATGACTTTGCACTGGTTCTCAACAATATTAAACGACTGTTGGATCGAGTCTCGAGCCATGCAGTTCTTGTGAGACAAAGGTTGGCTTGATTGGCGTACGTGGAGTAAATAGTAAAATGCGCTGAATTATCATGAAAGTATTAGATCATAAAAAGAGACCCTCAGAATAAAGTTCCCTAAATTTCAATCAACGAATACTTTCGATCCTTCATTTCTGTCTGGTACTTGTCAATCAGCTGGGAGAACTTGCTGGGTCGTGAGAAGACAAGTTACAATGCGCTGCAATTCCCCAGAAAATTAGAACTCAAAAATTCATGAGTCCACAGAAGTCTCTTTCCTCCTAAGTATGATGCCAGAAACTGCTTAAGTACTGTGTGTGACCTTGCCGGTCTTTCCTTCCTTCCAAGGCGCAAAGCACGTGGTCACGCGTCGCTAGCGCGCCGGATATTGCAAGTTACGAACCTCAACCTTATCATTCTAGCTTCTTCCCTCCTCTTCCAAACCTTGAGAACCCAACCCGCGAGGCACTGTCTCAATCGTGGACGTTTAAGTTGAGCATGCGACAAGATGTCAACCTTTGGGGGAGTAATGGTGGAGTTTCCTGACGTTCGAGGTTTGCCATCCTGCCACACCACGATGGACAGTTCTGACGAGAATCACAGTTGACTTCTTCCGACCTGTTCTAGGCCATCGCCCGCCTCTTGCATGCTTCTTGAGTCATGTCCACAGCGATCATTTGGCTGGCCTTGAGTCGTTCAAGTCTCCATTGTACGACTCCTATGCTCTTACTTTTTCACGTGCTAATCACGTGGACAGTATCTTCTGCTCCCCGGCAACGAAAGAGCTTCTTCTACGGCTTGAGCGATATCCGCATAGACTCAACTTCGAGCTCGGTATTCTTGAATCCCGCAAACAGACGTATAAGCATCTCCAAAAGCTCTTGAAGCCGGTTCCTCTGGAAACGCCAACTCGGATCGAGCTGCAACCTGGCAAGGATATCCAAGTCACGTTATTTGATGCAAATCACTGTACAGGAGCAGTTATGTTCTGTCTGTATATCTTGCCCCGTTTTTGTGGTCAAATTATTGACGTTATTCCAGTGTTCGAGGGTGATGGAAAGGCGGTGCTATACACTGGCGACATCAGATCAGAGCCATGGTTTGTTAATTCACTGACACGGAATCCATTTTTAATCGAGTATACAAGTGACCTGAAGACCCTGGACTGTATTTATCTGGACACGAGCAACACGTCGCCTATCGAGTTCCCGACTAAAGCCGACGGAATCAAGGAGCTTTTGCAGAAGGTATCTAAGTATCCTCAGGATACAGTCTTCCACTTTGCGGCTTGGACTTTCGGTTATGAGGAAGTTTGGATGGCTCTATCTAAAGCATTGCAGTCTCCAGTATATCCCCTTTGTAGAATCCTACGACCCACACTAATAGTGCAATAGATCCACGTCGATCGATACAAGCTGCGGCTCTACCAATCTCTTCGAGGCGAGTCTACCAAGCAGGACAAAACTTCAGCTGCTTTCCTTGCGCACGAAGGTCCAGTCTTGGCTGGTTATATATGTGGAAATACGCCTCAGGAAGGATGTCTTACAGACGACCAGAACGTTCGCTTGCACAGCTGCGAGAAGGGAATGCATTGTCCTACTACAAATAAGAAGACGGTCTGGATTAAGCCAATCATCACCAGAACAAAGCGCGGAGAGATTGCTGAGGTTGGCGTTGGCGGGGGAGGAGGCGATTTAGCACAACGGCCGGAGCTGGAAGTCGACAGCGACTTGGCTATCGATCAGCTTCTTGACCTGTGAGTTTCGCAAATTAAAATTTGGATAAAGTCTGAAGCCATTGCAGATTTGCAAATATCGAGGACGCCATCTTGAATGATATCAAAAGTATGCTTCAGGCAGGTTCTCGATCGACTACCCGAGCTGTATCTCTTGACGACATGGGACTTGACCGTCAAGAAGATGACCTGTCTCTGTCGGAACTCGCTAAGATCATCTTGCGATCATTAACCAACAAGCGAAATGCCAAGGTCACCGAGAACAAGCAACAGGAGCAAGGTCTTCCTCGCGTTATCACATTTCCATATTCCCGCCACTCTTCTTACGCCGAACTCTGCGACCTGGTTAGAGTGTTCCGCCCAAAGGATGTTTATGCATGCACGGTGGACGCAGATACTTGGCACGAGGGTTTGTTTCCGTCTTAAATCTATCCCAGATTCGATTACTGATCTATGTTGAGCAGGAGTCAGCATCCGAAACCTCTTTGGCAAGCATTGCTCTGCTTCGATCTTCCGGCATGACTTCGAAATGCGAATGATTATTGCTGAGAACTCATCCGATCATGAGGACCAGCAAACTCGCACCACTGCCAGTGCTCAGTCGTCCCCGAATGTAAGCCCTGTATTGAAACATACAAACAGAACTGCCGCCCTTCCCCCCAGACCAGCTTCCGGCGTGACTGTCCGGCGAAACTCTCAGGGCTTACTGGGACCCTTTGGTGCTTCTGGAAATGAAGTACCAGTGGCACGAAAGGCCACGCCACCGCGAAACATATCGGCTGTCTCACCGGGCTCAGAGTCACAAAGTTTGCGCCGCAAAGCCATCCTGGATGGTCTTGGCGAAAGAGATGCGAAGCGTGCGCGGATGCAAGTGGACGGCCACGGCTCATCACCACTGGGGGGCTCTGGCGAACACAGCAGTATGACTCTTCAAAACAGAAATGTACTCGAATATCGTGGGGATTTCGATTTAGACACGCCGGTGCCGAACCATGGCCCAGGCTCGGAGGTAGGTAGCGACCGCGATGGTTATGAAGTCCCGGACGATCAGAGTTCAGCTATTTCAGTAGCTCTCGATGATGCAGAACCTGAAATATTTGACATTGAGGACAACCCGGTTCAGGTGGGTAGCAGATACACATTCTTCGATTACGACGATCAGATCCTTCGCTGTGCATACTGTGGCCATGAGATTTGGACGTCCGAGGGCTTCTGCACTGGCATCGAAAAGGGATACTGCAGAGATGGGCTAGCCACAGATCCATACTTTGAGGTGCTATATCCAGAGGCTCACGGACCCCGCCCCGCGATCTCGGCGACCGAGCATTCGGAAGAGATGATCGAAGGTCCCGCTCGAAGAATCGTCGTTGGTAACTACCTCGATGACGATTCATCGGCCTATGATTCGCAAGACGAGGCAGACCAACATTTCAACGAAGCATATGACGAGCAAGACAGTTTTATCGATGATGAATCTCAACCAGACTCCGACACACCTGATGACTCGTCGTCAAGTAATGGAGAGACAAATTGGAAGGAACAGTACAATCTGCTTCAAGCAACACATACCATGCTTCTGAATGACTACGGCGGTCTTGCCGAGGAATATGATAACTTCAGGAGGGACGTTCTTGGATCTGACTACAATAGCGGATCAGATATGGAGGATAGCGACGATAACGGGATGGTGGCTATCGATGTCAGTGTTCCTGATCCCATTGTGACGGAACTCGTCCTTTCTCAAGCGCGGGAACAATCTCAGGAGTCAGAGATCACCACTGGCGGGCTCCGGGACAGCGCGGAAGCAGGTGAGGCTGCAAGCAGTGTCGATGGGTGGCATAACATTACCATGGTTTCCACTCAGGACAACCATACCCATCCAGAGGTAGAGTTGTAGCGGAGGTTTCAAACGGATTTTGGGGCACGAGTGGCTGCTTTGCATGGTTATGACATCGGTGCATTCAAGGGGAGTTACTATGACCAAAGATACCCATGGGATTTGCTTTGACCTTGCTGTTACTTTTAGCTCATCATAACAATTACTTCATGAAACTAGCATGGTCGATGGACGGACAATAAACAAGATATACTCAGATGCGCTGGCACATGTTCGTACTGTACCAGGAACTTTGCATTGTGGCAGGCGTCGATATATTAACCTTTTCCTCGGTGAAAACAGCAGCCAATCAGTCATAGGGGCCAGCTGCTGGGCGGCAGGGAAGTGCTGGGCTTTGACAGGCTCGTCTCCCCGGCTGCAAGGAACGTCGCGAATCGTCGATTCGTCTCTGATTACGTGCTGTAGGGAGCCGTCCGCTGGGTCTCCAGCCCAGAATCCGGCCCAGGAACGATTGGCCCAGGGTTTGGACGGCTTGTGCAGGAGGGGGGTGATGCGGGTGATGGAAGTGGAAGAGGCTGCAGGCTGATGCCTCTCATTGGTATCTTGCAAGGCGATGGATTGGCTCGCATTGAAGCCATCCGGATTTCTCTCCAAGTCAGCTGGAACGCAGATGGGAAACTCGGAGGGGCTTCTGGCGGAGAGCTGGATGATCTCCCGGGATAGGATAGGAGTGAAGAGGAGGATATTGACGGAGCAGACAGCGCTGCTGAGGGGACGCTTGGTGGGTCAGCGGTCACGACGTGTCATCACAGGAGGTTCTCTGTATGCATTGGCGGTGCATTTCCGATGTACACCTGGACGGACACGCTGCGGTCTGGCCACTGCGGATGTGGCTCTGGCTGGGGATGCCATGCGTGAGAGGGGAGTGATGAGATGACGACGGACCAAGCTGCTTGCTGACTCTGCGTCGTCGGTCTTTCACAAAACGCAGGCTCGCTGCGCATATTTCTGCCCCCTTCCACTCCCCTCCCCCTTCTCGCAGTCGAACCATCTCGCGTGAGTTTAAGCATTCCCCAAAAACGGTTTGAGTGGCCCAGAGTCGCAGCTGCCCATTTGCTGGGCCTGTCAGATCCAGGAGGCCGATCCAGGAGGCCGATCCAAGGAAGGAAAGGAGGGCAGTCTGAACCAGGGGGGGAGGAATATCAAGATTCCGCGAGTCGCGACAGAGCCACAGAAGAAAGCAAGGACCTGCCGGGCAGCTCTTCATTTCTTTTGTAACACTCGCTCCAGCCCACGCTTCGCAAATCGACATACAGTACGTACAGCACTCGATTCTCCGGCCCACAATCATACGTCCCAGGCCGGCCCGCTAATTCTGGAGTTCGGTGATGGCTTGAGTCCTTGACCCGTTGGCGAAACCAGACCGTGCCGACGCCATTAACGCTCTCGACCACGACGCTCACCGCAACCACAACCCAACCACAACCACAACTGCACCCACAACCACACCCACACTTCATCCCACGTCCTCTTGCGAGACCTCACCTCCCTCCGTCCTCGCCACCACGGAATCCTCTCTCCTTCCTCCCTCGCCGCACATTTAGAAGGCCGCGCCGCGCCTCCTGCTGCCAACCAACGTGTTCCTTCACCCTCGGAGTTTCCAGGAGAGCAGACTTCGAGTTGGTTGGAATTCCGTGCAATCCACCTGCGCAACGAAAGGGGGACGCTGTCACTTTGCATGGTTGTGAATCACGCTGATTCGCAGCCAGTGGATTCGAATTCACTGCCATAAAGGGGGAGCTGGCCAGGGAATACGAATTCACTATAACTCAAGGTCTCTACCTTCAACTCGAACCTTCTACGTCACACAGCACTACGACCTACTTGCAGATACAACTGCCCATCTACAAGATGAAGGCCCCAGCAATTGATCAGCTCGTCTACGCGTGCATGTTCCCCAAGCCGAAAGCCACCGACCCCCAAAACTTCCAAGGACTCCTTCAACGCCAGCTCGTTCCTGAAGTCCGTCTCGAGACGCAAGCATTCTATGGACATCTCTCCTCGCAAGAAGCTAAGTATCCCGGCCTCGACTACTCGTATCAACCGCATCGGGTTCGCCTCTCGCGTTACACCTGGCACCGGAGACTCTTCCGCGCATTCGACAACTTGGGCCTCACGAAGTCGGAGATCGCCAGCTTGACCAAATGGGAGGGTACGCGTTGGGCAAAGGAGAGGTTTGAGCGAGAACAGGGAATTGTTATTCGGGATACTACTAGCGTGAGCTTTTTCCCCTGCATTTCTCTGAGATTTGAGAGCCCAGGATCCGTTTCGGGGGCTGCTGCGGCCTCCATTATTTTTGTGTCTTGAAAGCCAAAGCAACCCTTGAATTTTCTCTCCCCGGGTTCATAGTGCTAATTTGCTGGGCAGGATGGTATCGAACCCTGGGTTCCCCCTGAAATGCGAGTCCCAGCGGCTCCTCAAGCACAACGTGCCGATGTGGAGGACATGGAAGATATTCAGGAGGCTGCAGAGACTGAGGGGCACGACAATGAAATGGATGAGGACGGTGATGATTCGGACGTAGAGATCCAGAGCGTGGGTGTTGAGCTGAACGAGCGATTGCGGGCTGCTGTTGCGCAACGAGAAGCAGGCAATGTGGCTACCGTTATGGATGAGGAATGGGAGCAATGGCTGAAGGAAGCCGTTGAGGCTGGTGGTCTACCATTCCTCTCCTCAGATCTCTCCCCAGACGCCAATATTCCGGGCACGAGACCTGCCACAGAAAGCCCAGCCATGCACCCCAGGTTACTGAATGCGGCGAGATTGGGCCAATGGCAACAGATTCCCGATTTCCTGCACAACATTGTTCGTCAAAACATCGAGGCCAATAACCGTCGTACACAAGATGCAGCAGTTACCCCAACGACACCAGCAGCTACATCGTCCACCTCGTCCACCCCAACGAGTAGTACAACCTCCCCCTGGCTCTCAAGACCAAGCCTGAGTCCTCGCGCCCGAGCCACAAGCTCTACAGGAAGACTCGACACAAGAATGGTATCAAGACTCGACAATCACTTCGCAGAGCAATTCTCGCGGCGTCCCATGCCTGCAAGCTCCACCACCACTCCAAATCAGAGCGTCAGATTAAGTTTGACAAGAACCCCCCAACAAGGCAGCAGTTCTTGATTCCTCTCTACTCGGGTTCCGGAAAGCGGCGAAATTTTCATGCACGAAAGGAAGAACTGGCTGGGCCATTTACCATTGCTTATTGTTGTTTTACACACTGGCGTTGTTTTAGCAAGGCGTTCCACCGGGCTTTACGTTCCAGCGATCAGATATCGCGATCATCGATGATTTCCTTAACCCCCTGATACGGTGCTTTGAATGATTAAAGTCATGTTTTATTTGCGGGAAAAAAGGCTTCAAACTTGCATTCGGAAGTAGTAGCTGTGGATAGCAGATGAACTGGCGTTGATGACGGTACATATGGGCATGCAAGACAGAAAGAGCTTAGGGATAGTTGTTTTCTAGATGGGGGTTTCGCATGGAAAGGCAAGGGAATGGTTTGAAGCATGGAGCGGAGCATGGACTTAATGAGGATTGTGCCGTTCCTGGAGACGGGCAGGCGGGTTGCATTGGGCTCTTCTTACGATATTCTATGCTTTGCTTGCATGGAGTTGATTTGTTGAGCTTAATCGCAGGGTGTAGGCAGCATCATACGTATGTGAAATGAAACGATGAGTTATACCAATTTTCTACCCTGCTTCCTTAGTATTTATTGTGTGTCTGGACTGAGGGATGAGTGGAGGCTATGTCCAGCACCGTCCGATCACATTAAAGGATCATCTCAACAGAATCATCTACTCTACAGGCTAATCGTTCTCTCAATATCCACTCACTGATGCGAGCTAACGTAAATGTCACGTCCAATGTCTTCTCCGTGATACACATCGTGCAGATCCCATCGCCCGTCATCTTTCCCGAAAAGGGCAAGGAGACGAGTTAGACACAGACTCTCTTCTCGTCGCGGTCTTCCGGCTCAACTTCCTCTGCCTTGCGCTTCCTGTTGGCATGCTCAGAGGTCTCAACACCCCCAGAGCCATTCTCCAAAGGAGTCGGAGCAGACTCATGAACGCCGTTCTGCTCTGCATGGTCCTCCAGCGAAACCTCCTCAGCCTTGCACTTCCCATTAGCAAGCTCAAAGGTCTCTACGGCCCTCGAGTGATTCTTCATCGGGATTGTGGCAGGCTCATCAACGCCATTTTGCTTTGTTCCTCCGGTAACACCTTCCACTGCTACAACTACGCCTATAGGACCTTGTTAGAGGATGTAAGTGAAGGATCGAGTAACGAACATACCTTCGCTAGAATCCTGGTACTCAGGAACCGTGTCGCTAGAGGTGCAGACCCTCTTCTCAGCGCACTCGCCGAAGGTTGCATCCTCCTCCATCTTACGCTTTCCACTGACAACACCAGCAACTTCGAAACATTTCTGAGTTTTGACCACAACAAACTTTCCTCCTCCCATATCCTTCATTTGTCCATCTGTACCAAACACTTTTACCTCCTCCTCTTCTTCTTCATCGTCGTCCTCGCCATCGACTATGGTCGAGGACTCTAATATCTTAGCAGAGGCTCTGTGAAGAGTCTTCTTCAGCAGTTCTCGTAGGCTGGCTACTTCGCCAGTGACTTCGTCCAGGACAAGACGTGAAGATCCTTCTGCCTAAACCCAGTCAGTACTTAAGTTCGACTTGACAAACAAGCTGGGACAAACCTTGGCAGTCTCTTCACTAAGCAAAAGATCTAGATCGGAGGCATTGAAGGACGACCGAGTGTTTTCTCGGTCGCCCGAACGCTTTTCCGAGACGTCATTTGCTGGTATGACAGGTGGTGATTTCCCTAGGATAAACAAGCCCTCGGGACAGACTAGAAACGTGGAAGGCTTGCATGGCGTATTTTGCATCGCACGTAACGCCCAAGCTCGTAGAAACCGTGTTGCCTTTTCAAAATCCTTATCTTCTGTGCTCACAGGTCGCCTCACTGCAAGGTCGAGCTCCGTTCCGCCGGTCTTGTTGGATCCTTTGGATTCGTTCAAAGAGAATGAACATCGTAATCCCTGCTCTACCTTTTCCTTGGAGCTATCGATGACAAATGAATAGGCCAGATTCTTGAGAGCCGCACGAGAGCAAGGCACAATTTCGAGGAAAGCACCTCGAACAATCAGGACACCGTTAACATTCTGCTCTGTGTTATCCGTAGCACCGTCGATATTCCTGGCTGACGATATGCCGTTTCCAGTGTCAGAATTGATGGGAGACATTCCATCGTGCACTCGGGTTGAAGCCGTCGCCGCTTGCTTAAAGTTGAGGTGGCTGTAGATCTCATTCCGGTAGAAAGAAGGTTGCACAACACCGAATCCTAGATTGCGTTGTACCCAGCCTTTGAGGAAGAAATGCCCTCCAGAGAAAGCAGCAGTATCTCCAAGCATATATGGCTCAATCCAGAGTATGAGGTCACCATTCCATTGTCGCCTATAGCGGAAGTGGCACTTCAAGCCATCACTGATGGATAAAATAGAAGCAGCATTCTCGGCCTGCAAACATCGGAACATCTGCGCTACAGATTCACTGTTACAAATCGTCACATCCATATCTTGCATCACCAGAGCACCATCCGGGATTTGCGTGTTATTCCTCGCTTGGGCTAAAGCGGTCAGGACGCTCATTGGGGGAGGTATCTCCCGAAATTCTCGAGCTGGAGACGCAGCTACCTCCCTTGGGGCGGATTCAGCCTGGCTCTCTCCCACTCGTACGCCAGCCAAAGTTGAGCTTTTACCCTGGAGCGGCTGCGACGGCTTTCCCGGCGGGACTGTGATATTGATTCTCTGACCTTGCGGGTTCGAAGTTGGCGCCGGGGCTTGAGTTGAAGCAAAGCCCGGCGAGTAAGAGGCACATTGGGACTCCGCCGATGCTTTGACAATAGCGGTGGAGCTTTGGGTTGGCAGAACTACAGCTACCGGCTCTTGAGATTCGACAATTGTTGACTTCGGAGGCAGCTCGATAGTAGCAACGTGGCGCTGTAGTCCTTGAGCCATAGCTTCGCGTTCTCTAACTCTTACAGTCGGCGACGTTGGAGGCGCCGTGATGGCCTGTGTTTGGGGGGGGGAGGGGCCAGTTTGGGCATTGGCAGGGCACTCTTTGCTGTGATCCTGGGAAGGCCAGGCGACTGGAAATTGTTCCTTGACTACTGGATCTCAGTTATTAAAGTATGCAATGGAAGAAAACAACTTACAGAATTTGCGCCAAGTGAGGCGGTCAGCGAGAAAGTTCCGAGCATAACAGGTACACAGTGGATGGACGGCTATGGCATCATGTCTGGTCCTGTTGAGGTACTGAAAAAATTCCCTCCTAATGCCTCGCTTGATTGCCATCTGTTCCATCACCTTTTCTTGGGGTGCATACAAAAACACAAAATGCTTGTCAAGTGCAGGATTTGCGATTTGTCCACTGTCTCCAGAGCGATGATAAAATCTAGGCTCTCGACCTGGGAACGGAACATCTTTGACTGTTCGAAGTTAGTACATTCAAAATGAGTTGTAAGTTGACTTACAGAGACGACCCCATACAGTAGCTTCTACGAACCAATTCTGCCATTCTTCATTTTGGTCTGAAGAGTAGTGGTCTTTCGCTAATCTTTGCTTCTCTTGATAAATGGCTTGAAGATTCCCGGCTGAAACTTTGCGAGCTATAGCTTTAGTCTTGAGTAGTTCCAATATCTGGATATTGTTCTGGTCATTGTGGGTAGAATTGCTTGAACTGGCCGGTTGAGAAGGGTGCTGCGGATTGTTTTTATACTCGTGAGTAGAAGAAGAAGACGCCGTCGTGATAGGCTGAGGCTTCTTGGGAAGAGAGGATGCGTCAGCCGGAATAGACGAGCCAAGATGGGTCTCCTTTGTCAATCTCCCATAGGTCGGTGATGCCCTAAATACACTCCAGAGCTTCGAACCATCCAACAAGGAAAAGTTGGTTGGTTCTGTGTCCCGTGTTGTGGGTTTAAGCTTAGGTTCGGCTCCAATAAACCCTTGGCTTGGAACTGTTCAGAACAATCAGTATTCGACTTGCAAGCTGATTCAAATCACATACAGAATTGCTTCCAGATCATGCATTCCTGTCTCCACAAGAGCCAGTAGGCGCTGGCGGCTGGCTTGTCCTTCTTAACCTTCCCACCGCACCGATAATAAGCACCGCAGAAGGATTCTGCAGTTATGCCTGCAGCAAACGCTTTGTCAACCATATGGCCAAGGACCGACTGATAGTAGGCATTGGATTTATGGACGCCATGACGGCCGTCATTAGGGTGTTCATGACTATCCCTGGACAATGGCCTGTACGAATCCCGGCTGTCGCCTCTGTGGTTGCTGAAATCACCAATACCCGGCTTGTAAGAATCGGTTGAGCGCACTCGCCTCTTTCCCGGTCCATCGTAGTGGTCACCGCGCCTGCTCTCAACAATTTCCCCCTTGTGGTCGGGGGAATCGGCTCGATACTTGTCGTGGACCCAATCCATGGTCATATCCCTCTTTTCTTTCGGTCGATAACTATCAGTGTTTTTCTCAATGCTCGGGCCCATCTTGGTTAATTCACTGTCCAATGGGATTAAACTGCCAGGGAACGGCTCATTGGGAACTGGCAATGTCTTTGTAAGTTGCTGGATAATGTCCGCCCATTACCACTTACAAAAATGCGCCCACACTCTGTAACCACCCGTCAGAAGAGATCTCTAAGATTGAGTTCTGGGTGGGGGGAGGTTCTTACAAGTATTCAGCGCGTCCAAGTCTCCAACTCGGACGCGTCCCGGGGTAATCTTTAACAATGGCGTCGATCTTCTGATCGAACACGGCATTCAAAACGTCGAGTGCAATCCCCTTCTCTTCTGCCTTGCGGGAGATGGCTTGCTGCTGGGATTTGTATTCGCTGGCGTCCATAGAGAGCGCTGCTCGGAAGGTGGCGGCGCTGTGATCTTCCGTGCCCTCGCGACTGCGACATCGTTAGCATGATTATCCTTGGCACTCGTGGGAGAAAACTATTGCCCTGTGGACGCTGGAAGAAGAATCAAACCAGCAAAAAGGGGGGTGTTTCTGGACGTGTGCGGACGATGTGGGAAGATATATCCCAGAGCTGTTGAAGCAAACAGAGGAAACCTCGGCGTAAATCAATGGCTGAACCTGCGTATGCAGTACTTACACGGGGAATAGGCAATCTCGTGAGAGCGCAATATCGGCCTTTCGACGTGGGACGAAAGATCAAGGTTGCTCCTAGTTCAAGTTGAGGAGTTCGTTGTTTAGTTTGGAAGGTGCGGACAGCGAAGCGAGAGCAGCACAAAGAGCACGAACTGAAGCAAAGCCTCGCCTCACCTCAAATGTCTCCGCTCAGCTTCTTAAATTTAGGATGGGATTGCACACTGGCTGAAGCCATCTGTTTGCATCGGATGAATGAAGTATCTTCATAGGGCAAAAACAGGGGCAATTTCTTGAGCTCAAACCCTTAAATCACGGAACTACAAAGGAATCAGGAGCGGAACTGCAAAAGTAGGAACTTCTGCAGCCTTCTATTTCAACAAGGAGATTGGATGACTCGGGCAATAGAAGGACAAAAAGTCAATTTCATGCTTCAATTACAGCGTGGCCTACTATCATCTAGATTACACTGGTATGTATAGATGACCTTGAAAGGGCCATAACGTGCATGAGGAGGCATGGCTAGGTCATGCAAACCGGTGCGTTGCCCGTGGTTCAATCCCCGAAGAGATCTCTTCACCAATCGTCCCCCCTGCCCCATTGATCTGTCTTTGCTACCGCTCAGGATCATATCAAGGAAATGGTACTCTGCACAAGTTGGGAAGGGGAGTAATCACATTCGTTCGCCCCTGTTCAGTACTATGCAAATCACCTAAGACCAACATGCCGACTACTCAAGATCAGTAAAGTATGAAACAGGTGCGAACCCGCGAACCCGTAATGGCACCATCGGTCCAATCATCAAAGACCGGTTCGATGGACATGGCTCGTAATATGTGTGAAGTTGACTTTCGTGCGTAGCGCAACTCGCTCCTCGCAATAACGAGTTTGCATCCAAGAAGCTTGGAGGTTTCATGATCGCCCCTCCAGTTGTCCCCCGTCTCTGCCAGCTAACAATGCCAGATGATCAAGCCATTGAGACATCTAGTCCTCCTCGGCATCGTCGTCCCAGCTCTCCTTTTCCTTTCTGATGAAATCTGACATACACTCCGGCTTGAAAATAGAGCTTCCTGGATCCTTGTTCCGGCGAACTTGGTTTGCATCCTTATCTAGAACACCACCAATAGTATCAATCCATTTTCTTCTTCTCTCCATCACTGTCTTCGTTAAATCACCAATACCGGGTCTCGCCATTCCAGTGTTCACTCCACCAACGAAATGGCTTCCTCCACCGGCCCCACCAGGCCTCTTGGTCTTCTTGCTCTTACCTAGGGTACGTGTACGCTTGAGGTATGCAGTTTGGACCTGGCCATCGAGATCCTCCAAAATCGTACTGTACTCTTGGTGGGCCATTCGCTCGTTGACGAGTTCTTGGAGTCTAGCTTTGCGAGCACCATTCTTGATAGAGGTCTCCTTGAGCTTGCCCTGAAGGTAGCGCAAGCGAGCAGCAATTTCGTCGTCGTAGTGGGCGTCATAGTCAGGTTCAGTATCAGGAGGCAGGAATCCGATGTGGCGAAGTTCTTGCTTGATTCGCTCATCGACTTGAGCATGGTCAAGCTTTGGGTGTGTGGCCTTCTTCCACGATTCGGAATTTGATTCTGGCATGAAAGTCGCAGGTGGGATGGGAGCGGGAGCATCACTGAGAGGTTGGGATGGGTCACCGAGATCAACATTAGCCTCACCGTTTACGTTGGCTTCACCGTTGGTGAGACCATTCGTAGTTGGCCTCTCCTCTGCAGGCGGAGCCCTATGTTCTGGTCTCATCGTTGCCAAAAGCCTGGAGAGAATTGGGCCAGCTGAGACCTGGTCTGTTTCCGCGATGCGATCGTCCATCAACTCAACATCACCACGGGCTTGATTCGCAGGGAGTCTGTCACGAGCTTGCTGCGGGGTGTCGACCGACAAGGCGCCATCCTCCTCAGCCCAAATCTCCGTATAATGCTTCTTGCCACGGCGGGGGATAACGAATGGGGTAACTCGGTCACCTCTCTCCCGAAGGAATGCAAGATCTTCCTCGGAGAAAGCGCGGAAGTAGGGCTCGAGGTAGGTTGCAAAGGTGTTGGCTTGTACTTGATTGGTGGGCTTGGCATTGCTGAAATCTTTGTCAGGAGGCGTGCCGGGAATCAGGTCCTCTAGATCCTCCTTTGGGAAATAAGAAACTGAATAAATCTCCTTCTTCCTCGATCGAGGTAAGTCTTTCGTGGTCTCGGTATCGGGAACCTCGTAGACCGTCGGATCTGGAAAAGTGGAAGGGTCGTCCCCGAATATCTGGAGATGTGGAACTGCGGGTGCCGGAGGGGGTTGGCGCTCATCCATGCTGGAATCAGAATCCTCTGCCGCATCCTTCTCATCGATGTCCATGCCTGTAGCAGCGGGTGTTGCGACTGCGACTGGTGATAGCGATGAGCTAGCAGAATCGTTGTCTCGTGAAGGGGACGTCTTCCGTGCTGATTTATCTCGCGCAGGGGATGAGGGCTCTGAGTGTATACCGTCAGCTTTGGGGACCGAGTGGTGCGCGGAAGCATGATGGGTAGGATCAATTTTCTTTTTACCTATGTTGCTTCCGTCTTGCGGTGCCAGGCCATGTGCTCCATGGGTCAAAGGTCTCTCTTCTCTCGTCGAACTCAGCTCTTTTCTCTTCTTCACTTTATTTGCCTTGTTTCTGCCACGTTCTTCCTCCTCTGCTGCGTCCCTCACTTTCCGCTCCTCGTCTCTCCTCTCGGTTTCAATTTCCTCATTTCTTTCTTTTCGAATCTGCGCTAACATCCGCATGCCCTTGTCGCATACCGCACCACGACCCTCAACCACCTCGACCAGCCGCTTCAGTCGATCCAGAAGGGCCTCCAAATCCTTGGAACTGGGTATCGCACTTCCGTAATGCTCGGTAATGTCATCTGCTGTTCGAAACTGCGTAATAGGTAGCTCGAGGTACGCGGTGTAGCCAGCTTCGCCTTGAGCACCTGCGCTGACCAAACTCGGGGTCGTGTTGCGACTACGAGATTGGCGCACATCGCGGCCCTTCTTGCCTGTGCCTTTCTGGCTCTTCTGACTCGGAAGAGGAGGCATCGCGCGTTGTTGGTGAACAGGGTGTGTTCGTGGGGATTGTGAGTGTTGAATTGCAATGAGTGATGTTTCTTTGGTTCTGTCGCTGACTAAGATTCAACAGCCCCTGGGGTGCCGGACTTTCTTGTGATCCTGTCTCTGATTCCGGAGTTAGTGGTGGCTGCCACTGGTGTCGCTGCTGGTGCGTGCAGAATATTACAGTAGATATGACTTGCGCTTTTCGGTCCTTGCCCAATCGGTATACACCTATGCTTTTCTTCGTCTACCTATTCCTTTCTTCTCACTGTTGTAGCTGCTTCAGCGGCGGCGAACGCCGCGAGCTGTTCCTCGCCTGGCCCTTCTTGCTGCAGCTCTGCTCAGCTCACAGCAAGGAGAAATGACTGGGCTGGTGGAGTAATTTGGGACAGTAATTATGTTCAGCCTTAGCAGATAGAAAAGCTCCATTCAAAATGTGGAACGAACATGCCGCTAGTGCGTATCTCGCAAGTCGGCATCGGCCCTCCCCCCCAAAGCGTTTCAGAATTCACTCTCAACCCGCGAGTCACGGCCATGTCTTATCAGATCCAATTCAAAGTTCGTGACTTTGCTATTTCAAAATCCTGTAAGTATTCAGGCCAGCGCCACCGTCCGAAATCTGCCTGGCCTCCCTCCCCTTCCCTTCCCTTCCCTTCCCCGCAAATTGGACGGGGTATTCTTGGTTTTCCCTTTCGTACAGTACTGTAAGGTATTTTCACTCTTCCACTAAGCTCCCTCGGCCCAAATCCCAGCACAGTCCACTTTGTTCGAGACACGCCTCACACCCCTGCTCCTCTCCCCCCTTTAAAAATTACAGTGGGTCCAAGAATAACACCACCCAAGCACTGGCCATCTCAAGGGTGGTAGCCAATAGCGATTCTGGAAAGCACCTGATATTTCCTAGTTGGGGGTTATAAACGAGGTTTCATGGTGGCGTTACTAAAGGACCCACTGTACTTGTACGGAGTAAGTATTCGGGTTGGATACCACAGAGTACCGTAGTAAATTACTACTATTCTCCCTTGAATAATTACGGGTGGGTCCAATATTCGCCACACTCATGCCACGATTTACACCCAACTAAAGGCACGCAATCAAGGGGATAGCGAATCGTAGCTCTCAAAAGCACCCTGATATTTCCTAATTCGGGGATATTAACGAAGTTTCAGTGTGGCGTTACCAAAGGACCCACTCGTACTGTACCGTAATTATTCAAGGGCGGAAGAGTACAAGTAGTACTGAACGTGAGTCAGCCCTGGGCACAAGCTTTTGCCAAGATCTCGCGGTCCCAGCAGAAGCCGTCCCCCAACCGCCAATCTCTTGGCAAAGGCTTCTCTTCCACCCATCTTCAGCCCTCACAGACCAGCGCTGTTCGAGAGATCACAACTCTCCTCCCCTTCCCACCCTGTCTGTACATATGTTAATCCACGACTCGGTCTGCGCGAGGCGGCTGTTGCCAGGTGCACGACCGTTCGGCGCACCGCCGGTCGCTCCTTAGAATGTGTAGGTCTCACCCCATTCCATTGCCTGCCAATTGAGATGAGTGTCATCGTTCTTGGCGCCCAGCTGTCTGCCTTCTTGGCCCTCATCGTAGCGCTCCTGCCGAGGATATACATATGCTGACTTGGCCCTCCGTGCAGCGGTGACTGACATAAATACTTTCGTGTATGTTCTGTCCCTCCTCTTCCCACCCAACCGTACCGTCGTCGCGGTCACGTCCCACCATCGATCGAATCCGCGACTCGAGAATCTCGCACGCGTGGCCACGACAGTCCATCAAGTGGATACTGATTGTTGCACAGTTTACTCGTCCAGAACGAAGAATGGAGTGACGCCGCCACCGCCGCGACGCAGCACAATGCCAGGGTTGCACGATTGAGCGTAGGTGTCTCCCCGCCTTGCATCAGATCCCGATTCTGATTAGGCCTCCGCAGTCAAACATCTCCTTCTCGCAACACCTCGAAGATAACCTCCAAACACTCTCTACACACAATTCTGACCAAGATGGGCGTATCGACGGCTTTCTCTATGTCCCGGACCTCCTCAAAAACGATGAATGCTACAACATTTCCAAGCAATATATTCCAGCCAATGTTACTCGGCAAGCCAACCTTCCCCCAACAGTATGTACTCTCCTAGGCCCCGAAGCGCCTCGTCCGGGTTTTAATGTCTCGAGAACTGTCTGTTCTATGACTATTTTCAAGAAAACTGACTCCTGAAACGCTGCTTCGACCTACAAATACTAGTCTATCAACTTGCTAACTCTATATTCCAGGACTTCACCCTGATAGGCATTGTGCCTTGGATCAACACCCAATGCACCCTAGAGTACTTAGCTGCTGCGCGTCTGGACCCGTGCCGAGCTCTAATATTTTATCTTCCGGACAATAACACTACCCAACCTCCTTCTGCAGACTCTGACGTATGGGTCCTTAATGATGACGGCGCCTGGAAGTCCAAGTTCCAATACCCGGTCTATGCCGTCCCTGGCGCGATAGGAAAAGGGTTGGTGCACGAGTTAAGTTTATACTCCGGAAATATGACGAGCGTTCCTTGGGGTCATGAAATATCAGAGCTGCCTGAGATAGACCCGAGGGACTACGTTCGATTATACACCAGGATTCTTACGTCTAATTCTTCGACCCTTCCGAGCTTATGGGTATTCTTGGTGGTCGTTCTGGTGATAGCTGTTCTCACGCTTGGAACTATTTCGGCATCAATGCATCTGATTCAACGGTCCCGGCGAAAATCGTTGCAACGACGTGTGGCTAGTGGAGAGGTCAACCTCGAAGCCCTAGGGATCAAACGCCTTACTGTGCCTCAACAGTTCATTGACCAACTACCGTTGTTCATCTATACGTCAGAGGAGCAATCCCCGCCAGCATCTCCAGAGCCAAAGAAGAAGCCCACAGAAACTATCAGCGGACAGCCCGGTTGCCAGGGAGGGTCGTCCGTGTGGACCCGTCATACGGGTGACGGATCATACATGCCTCTGAATAATCCAACAGCACAAATCATCATGGTTGATGACAGCACGTCGAACCCAGATTCTTTCATTGTTCATAAATTCTTGCCATATACCCAGCCAACTTGCGCCATTTGTCTTGATAACTTTGAGCCTGGGACAACCGAAATCCGCGAGATTCCCTGTGGGCATATATTCCATCCCGAATGCATCGATCTCTTTCTAGGCAGCAACAGCTCGCTCTGCCCTCTATGTAAGAAGTCGGCCTTGCCCATCGGATACTGCCCCACCAAGGTCACCAACGCCATGGTTCGCGCGGAGCGGAACCTCAGAGAAATAAGATCGACGGTTATGGTACATGATGAGGAGCTGGACGCAGAAAGTGAGCGTACCAGATCACGGATGCAAAATTGGGTTAAGAGAAATCTCTTCAGCCAAACGCCTCCGCCAGCTGCAATCTCTTATACAGTGCCACTTCAACCACAGCCAGTCTTCATGACGAACGCCATGCCATCTCGTTTTCAGGTACAAGACGACGCAACAGCCGAGGTGATGGAGGCGGCTCGACAAGAATTAGTCGAGCAAAGGATCCGAGAACTGGCAACCACACGGGTTCCAATTCAAGATCCGGACGTGATTCAAGAGCGTGAACGGCCACATTGTAAGCTCCCATTCATGCGGAGACGGCCGTGCTTACACACTTGTTAGGGAAGAAAACGCTACTGGCAGTCTTTCCTGGATTTTTCTAGTAGTTGATATATATTTTTGCATTTAGCGCTGCATTGGGAAGGGATCTAAGTCGGAGTTACATATACCACGGAATCGGAAGGGGCATTTGCGGGGTTGCATTTTGGCATATGGACGGCGTTCACAGCAGGAGCATGCATGCATGAATATGTTGGTGATAGATGGTGGCAGCGTAGCCATCGCCATAGCCATAGCTATGGCAACTTCTTCCGGTTCGAGTGGGAGCACGACCATGGAAGGAGATGGATGAATGCAGACGATTACATTCTTACCTTGACAAAAACATGCGTTGGCTTGAATTACCCAACTTTGACAGCACGGTGACAGGGCGCAGGGCGCAGGACAAACGGTTGGTGGCGGCAGTGGCAGGGGCAGTGGCAGGGGCGTCTTATCTTGCGCCCACTTACTGTATCGCTGGGGAAACGGCCGGTTTTGGCGCTGCGGGGTTGTGCTCCGCGATCCAACCTTCACCCCCAGATCAGATCAGATCAAATCAGTTGCACGCCGGGCTCAAGCTCAGGCTCAAGCTCAGGTTCTCCACCGCAACGAGCAATAGCAATTGCCCATCCACGATGCATCTCGTACCGAAAGAAGTGTGTCCTGAACTCGAAAATTGCGCTGGGCGATGTAACTGACACTGCCGAACAGCTCGATAAGCTGGTCATCTCCCAGGTCGGCCTTCTCGCCCAGAGACGACTTGCTCGTGGGGTGAAGCTCAATCACTCTGAAGCTTGCGTATGCTGGCTCGGTCCGTAGAAGGAAGAATCTGTACTAATCTTTGAGATAGGCTCTGATTGCAAATAACCTTCAAGAAGTCTCAGCTATGCCCATAATATCTCCCAATCCTCACTGACAATCGCAAGCTCATCCGCGATGGAAACCACTCCGTTGCAGACCTCATGTCCATTGGGGCCACTATGCTCGGCCGCCGCCATGTCCTTCCCTCTGTCTCGTCAACTCTCACGGAAATAATGGTGGAAGGTACCTTTCCAACAGGGACCTACCTTGTCACAGTGCATCACCCGATTAGCAGCGATGACGGTGATCTTGCGAAAGCATTATACGGCAGTTTCTTGCCCATCCCCGACAAAGAGATATTCCCGTTGCCACAGAGGGAGGAATATGAGCCAACGAAGCAGCCAGGAGCCGTTGTTACAGTCAAGGGAAAGATAGTGCTCAACGAGGGCAGGAAGCGGATCAAGCTGAAGGTTACGAGCAAGGGAGACAGACCAATCCAGGTACATTCAGTCTTTCGTCGTGATATAAAAGCTCTAACCGTGGCAGATTGGCTCTCACTACCACTTCATCGAGACAAATCCTCAGTTGGAATTCGATCGTATCAAAGCATACGGCTACCGTCTGGATATTGCTGCTGGAACTTCTGTTCGTTTCGAGCCTGGAGACACCAAGGCAGTCACCTTGGTTGCAATTGGTGGGCACAAAGTCATTCGTGGTGGAAACCATCTGGCAACTGGCCGGGTTGACCTGTCTCGCGCAGAAGAGATACTAGCCAAGCTACAACAAGCAGGCTTCGCACATACTCAGGACCCACACGGCGATGCAGCACATATCGATATGTTTGAGATGGATAGGGCAGCCTACGCTACAATGTTTGGTCCGACTGCAGGAGACACTATCAGGTTGGGTTTCACTGATCTCTGGATCAGGGTGGAGAAAGACTTGACTTCGTATGGAGACGAGTGCAAGTTTGGTGGAGGGAAAACTCTCCGAGAAGGCATGGGTCAAGCGACCGGCGTATCTGATGAAATTTCATTGGATTTGGCAATTGTGAATGCCCTGATTGTAGACTGGAGTGGTATCTATAAAGCCGATATTGGTGTTAAGAATGGTGTCATTGTTGGGATTGGAAAAGCTGGTAATCCTGATATGATGGAGGGGGTCTCCCCCAATATGGTCGTCGGATCTTGCACAGATGTGATTGCCGGAGAAGGCAAGATCATCACTGCGGGTGGTTTTGATACCCACATTCATTTCATCTGCCCTCAACAAGTCTACGAGGCTATCTCATCTGGTATCACAACTGTGTTAGGAGGTGGAACTGGTCCAAGGCACGATTTTCCCCCGCAAAGATGCTCCTGCTAATGTTTGACAGTGCTGGAACGAGTGCTACAACTTGCACGCCCGGCAAGAATTACATGCGTGATATGCTTCAGGCTTGCGATACTTTGCCGGTCAACCTCGGAATCACGGGGAAAGGAAACGATAGTTCTCCTTTGGCTCTACGCGAGCAAGTCATCGCTGGCGCCTGTGGTCTGAAGCTCCACGAGGATTGGGGAACTACTCCGTCAGCCATTGATTCCTGCCTTACAGTTTGCGACGAGCTAGACGTTCAGTGTCTCATCCACACTGATACTCTCAACGAATCAGGTTTCGTCGAATCAACAATTGCTGCATTCAAAGACCGAGCAATTCACACATACCATACTGAAGGTGCTGGAGGCGGCCATGCACCTGACATTATCAGCGTGGTTGAGCATGCGAATGTTCTTCCATCTTCGACAAATCCAACAAGACCATATACTAGGAACACCCTTGATGAGCATCTTGATATGCTTATGGTCTGTCACCATCTGTCCAAGAATATTCCCGAGGACGTTGCCTTTGCCGAGTCCCGTATCCGAGCTGAAACAATCGCCGCCGAAGACGTTCTCCACGATCTTGGGGCCATCAGTATGATGTCATCTGATTCGCAGGCCATGGGTCGTTGCGGAGAAGTGATCCTCCGAACCTGGAATACAGCCCACAAGAACAAAACCCAGCGCGGAGCATTGAAGGAAGACGAGGGCACAGGAGCTGACAATTTCCGTGTCAAACGTTATGTGAGCAAGTATACTATTAATCCGGCCATTGCGCAAGGCATGAGCCACGTCATTGGAAGCGTCGAGGTAGGGAAGTTGGCCGACCTCGTAGTCTGGGATCCAGCTTGGTTTGGAACAAAGCCCATGACTGTTATCAAGAGCGGATTTATCGCGTGGGCACAGATGGTAGCCGAGCCCCTCTTCTCCTTTCATTCTCGGCTAACCTTCTCGTTAGGGTGACCCCAATGCCTCCATCCCAACTGTACAGCCCATCATTGCTCGTCCAATGTTCGCACCTCTTGTGCCACCCACCTCCGTACTCTTCGTCTCTGAAGCTTCAATCACTTCGGGCAACATCGCTTCGTACGGGCTGAGGAAGAAGATTGCAGCCGTCAAGAATTGTCGCAAGATTGGGAAGAAGGATATGAAATTCAATGACGTGATGCCAAAGATGAAAGTTGATCCAGAAAACTATCGGGTGGAGGCCGATGGAGTGCATGCTACCTGCGAAGCAGCAACTAGCTTGCCCCTGACACAAGCCGCCTATGTTTATTGATGTGAGAAAGGAAAGATGATCAGAGACGTTTCGGTCAGATCGACGGATTGATTTATCCATATCCCTCAGTATCAGTCCCAGTGGTATATACGCATATACGGGCTTTGCGCAGTCACCCACATTCTGTTTTTGAAGTGATAAATTGATACGCCCAAGATAACAGCGAGATGTCATACTTTAATTCCCGGGGGTTTGCTACAATGCCTTGTCTCCCCATAGAGATTTTAGGACTTGAGAAAAGGCCTGTGCAACCACAAAACTTCTTTGTGTAATTCTATCCAACATTGATAAAATTGCTGATCTCTGCGCCGAAGTTCTTGCTCTTGCACCAGCGACTCTTAACGGGAAGAAGAACAGGATCCCAGCGAGGCGTGTCGTTTTCATCGCGTCCTCGGTATGATGCAAGATTTCGCAGACATGAATTTGGATGTTATCTGATGGTAGAGATGCCGAGAGGATCTGGTTGAACTGGTATCTGTAGTCGTATAGTCCTGATAGGTAGATCGAAATGGCGTGGAAGTATATGTTTGCTAAAGTTGAGCGTGCATCTTCCTTGTGTGTTGAATCAAGATTCCGCCACGCCGCAAAGGTTTCCGACCATCGAAAAAGAGCGTTGCGTAAGTCGATGCCTTCCGAAGCCAGATGAAGAAGAGCTTCCTCCGGTATTTGGTCGCGAGTTGAGCCTGGGTTGAGTAGAGCAGCCATACTACCTGAAGTCAGCAGGCAAAGCACACGAGGATCTCTCAGAGGCCGCACCGATGGCTCAGTGATGAACAAGAAGTCATAAGATCCAGAAGATTCTCCTTTGGGTGCCATTCTTCTGCTAGGTCGCCTTCCCACATTCGATCCATGAGCAAGATCCAATTCGCCTCTCCAAGGAACGTGGGCTCTGGGTAGAAGAAAGAGCGGCAGATCTCAAATAGCCGAACGGTCAAGAAGAATGAACGCCCAGGGCCCGTCAGATGTGCTTTTGGACCACGAATCTGCATGATCCTGGAAGTTCCATAGAAGATATGTTTCACCCAGCCATCCCCTGTGTTGTCAAACATTAACTGGCTCATAATTAGTCAGAGGCTCCAAGAGGAGAAAAGGAAGTTGAAACCTCGAAAAGGCCCAAGAAGAAGGTGGTCCATAAACATGCATTGCTTTCTATGCTTGCTGTGCCTTGGATTTCCTTCTGGAATTCAACTATGGATGCTCGATAGGCATTCAAGGCTTCCAATCTGGATGTCCCCTTCCGTACAATGGAAGACGGATGGGGACTGCCAAGATCAAGAGCACCAACTGCAATCGCAGCATGGTAAAAGCTCGGGGTTGACTGGAATTGGCTTTTAATGGCGTCTAAATCCAAGCTTGCTCCCGCGAAGTCGTTGTGGACTAGGAAGGTTGTGAAGAAATGATTTGCGAACCGGCTTATGGTGTCTTGAGGTACATTTGGCCACAACGTGGACGGAGGTTGCTCAATATCGACAACCGGAGCTTGATTTACGAAAATTAAGCTTGGTTGACTTTCTGTAAACTGAGGCGTACACGTGAACTTCCTTCTCCTGCAGTAAAGACAAGGAGAGCCGCCTTCGCACTGTAAATAGTAAGGCTTGAGCAAATCAAGAGGCTTCATGTTTGAGCTCTGGTACCTTAATTCGTCTCCTAGCACATGCTTTGCATCGGCTTTTGCGAACACGCTTGTCAAGAGGGCCCAGGACCATACCGGTCGAGTCCAAGGACCTACTCACGGATTCGGCTTCATCCGTCAAAATTCAAGCTGATAATGAGGAAGTCTGCATCGCCCGGAATGAATACAGCAACTATCGTGAGTTTGAGACTGTGACCAGATCCAGCACAACTTGCATAAAACTATCATATTTCAAAATGCGTGGAGGATCCAAAGGCTCATTTATTTGTTGATTCTAGGTGGTCGTGGACGGGTAGGGCTCTTAGGCGGCAGCTTTGTTCCACTGCTATTCCCAATGAGGAAGCGATTGAGCGCAGGTGCGCTGATAGAGTCGATGGCTCCAATTTTAGGAAAACTACAGCCATTGCATGCCCAATATCGTGGCCGTATAAAATTGACCAGTCATCGTATAACTTCTGACGTCTTTCCAAATCTCATGAATCAGCAAATTTCTTTTCCATCCATGTTCTCCGGGAGAACTTCATCTCTGGAACGTCGTTCTATGGTCAGAATAAAATAAAGCTGACCCGATAACGCGGTTCCCCGAGCAGGAGACTCCGTCGAGGGACTCTCGAGCAGCATATAAGAGTAACGTGCCTCAACATGCAGCATATGCAGCCTCGTAACTCAATCTGCAGCTCAATATGCTCACCTCTCCAGTTAAAGCCTGCCTCTTTCTGGCACTTGTTGCTCAATTCGTAACTGCAATCCCATTCCCTCCACCCACAGGATCTTATAACACCACGCTTCTCATATCAGAGCTCACCGATGATGCTCGCCTGGACCCCTTCGCTCCGACGAAACAACCAAGAAGGCTCATGATCTCCGTCTTTCACCCTATTTCTCCAGCCGAATGCTCCCCGTACCTCACTCTAGATTTAAACCCCATCACGGCCGCCTTCGAAGACGCCGCACTTGCGCAATTTGGTGTTCAACCAGGCACGTTCGAGTCGCTGGACCTCCAAGTCTGCCATTCCAGAGCAAATCCCCACCATCTTTCAACATCACGGAATTATCCACTGGTTCTGTTCTCTCCTGGGTTGGCTGGAACCCGGCTTTTTTACAACGCCATTGCTCAGCAGCTCGCGAGCAGAGGATACACCGTCGTTACAATCGACCATGCGTACGATGCCTCCATTGTTACCTTCCCGGACAATTCAACCATACTAGCAGCAAACATTACGACAGAAGCACAAATTCTGCTAGATCTCGATGCTCGAGTGAAGGACGTTTCGTTTGTCTTGGACAAGCTTTCCGAGCCTTCCACAACCGCAAGAATCATTCCAAGCCTCGCTTGCAGACTGGATGTGTCCAACACGGGAATCATTGGACATTCGCTGGGCGGAGCTACTGCTGCTACAGCAATGCTCCGCGATTCCCGCTTCATCGCGGGAATAAATCTCGACGGCTCTTTCTGGGGCGACGTAATCCAGAAAGGTTTGGATAAGCCGTTTCTGATGCTAGCACACGAGGGGAAAATTGATCCCACTTGGGAAGCAATATGGCCTAACCTCACAGGTTGGAAGCGGGAGCTGATGCTGGCAGGAAGTGCCCATAATACCTTCACCGATTTGCCTGATGTGGTTGATGTACTTGGCATTAGAAGAAGTTTACCTCCCGAAGCTACGGATTTGCTAGGTACAATTGGTGGAGCACGGGGTTTCGAGGTTATCACCACCTATGTGGAGGCTTTCTTTGATTTCGTGATGAAAGGAGAGAGTAGTGCGTTGTTAGACAAGCCAAGCAAGAGCTTTCCCGAAGTGTCTTTCGAAAGCCCTTGAAGGGAGGGCTGGTTGGGATCGTGACTATTGAACTCAAGAATGGCCGTCAAAAGTACTGCTTTCAACATAATCTTTGGTTTATTTCTGTAATGGCAGCTACGCTCTAAATGCAATGTGCACAAAAGTGGGTATCAAGTCGTGAAGATGCAAGGAGAAATCTTTCAGCTATGCTGCAAAGCTCCCCGCGGTATACTGTGTCTCAACTCCTCTCTCTTCTTCGTGGGTCTATCAGTCAATCCATCTTTGTTGCTCTCTATCATAACCAATGATGTCCAAATCCACATTGAGTGTTCTCAGCATCATAGCCATTGTAAATTCCTGATAACGATCAGTATAAGTCTTTGACAGTGAGGCATGAATGGACATGGAGTACGTCTTCTTGTCCAGGCAACTCTCCGGTATCACCAACTCCCTTGGCACGCTGTGATTTTTCGTTCTCAGTCTCAGGCTCGATATCATACTCCGCATAGAGATCCCTCTTCTCCATATCTTTCCCCTCCCCATCGTCATCTTGGGAGTCATTGTTCGTCTGTTCCTCCTGGTCCCAACTGTTTTGAAATTCCTGCTGTTTATTCTGCATCTCCTTCCAAGCTCTTGGGCCACCCATCCTATTATCAGATTAGCCTTGTGTTCGACCAGATCCATGAAATGACCAACCAATTGACCCTATCCCTGACCTTCCCAAACAACTCCTCTGCGGCCTGTCGACTAGCAGTTTTCCACTTCTCAATCAGCTCTACCAGCTCGCCATCAATCTCTCCACTAGGATCCTTCTTCGCACTATCAGCCTCAATCTTCCCCGCCTGCTCGGCAGTATCTAATTCTTCCTTCAACTCGCGTAATTGCTTTTCCATTTCTCTCTGAGCGCGTAATAGTGGAGCTATATCAGGGTCGGTATTAAGCGCAGCAGCTTGGACAGGCGATGAGAAGATCTTCTTTGCTCGGTTTGAACGATTCGGCGTTGCCAACGAGGTTGACGGAGCTGGGAGGCTGGTAGTTTTTGAGGGGTCGTAGAGGAGGGAGTTCGTATTCTTATGCGTGAGAGGAACGCTGCTCTTGGTTGCTGTCAAGGTACTGTCTTGCGATGCTGAAGTCTTCTCTGGCGACTTTAAGGGCGTCTTAAAGGGCGAGCGAAAGGGCTTGGAGAGTGTTTGGGAAGCGGTATCGATTCTTCGACGTTTGGCAGCTGGAGTAGACATCTTGTGATTGTGTTAGTGCTGTTGAGATATCAGTCATGTATCAATTAGCGTAGGCATCTCATTGTTGATGTTGGATGGAGGAACTTGTAGCCTCACCTCGCGAGATATGACGATGCGGAACAGGGCCGCATTTGGGTGGGGAAGGAAGGCGAAAATGATTTTTATCGTTATTATCATTTCTACGGAGAGAAGTCAATTCATCCCTCTGGTTTCTTTTACATGCTCAATTAAATTTCATTTGTATCTTTTCAATGTCCTACCCCACCAGCAACCCATTGCCCAAATTCGAGGTCTCCAGGCTGGGGAAACACGCCCCTATCTTCGTGCGGGGGCTGTTGTCGTTGCCCGTCTTGCGCAGCCTGGTCTACTTGCTGTCCTCTGGCAGCTTCCTCGCCCCTCCTATGTGCTAATTGATGCTGCTGCCTATAGTATATGAGGACCACCAACACCGCAGCCAATCCAAGAATGATGATGCTTTCCAAGATCCCGTCGTCAATAATGTCTTCATACAGACCGTCGACATCTCCTCCAGGCATTGGATCAGTTTCGGGAAGATAGTTATCGTCATAGCCATTATCTCCATAGTACAGATGATCGTCTCGGAGGAAGTTGCTGATCCATTCTGACATGGACCACTGCTTCTTCGGTGCTACTAAAGTGTCAAGATGGTAATAGGAATGGTATATGGGGGATTTACCTGGCTCATCCTGGATCGAATTGATTCTCCCATGAGTTAGCGTGTTCCAAGCACTTCTAAGCCTCAACTTTAGTAGACTCAAGGTCACTGGTAGATACGCCTCCTCGTTTGTTTCCAGGGCTAGATCATAGTATCTCTTGGCAAGATGAAAGTCCTGAGTAAGACCGACTCCATTCTCGTGCATCCAAGCCAAATTATATAGAGCTTGAGCGCTCTGATGATACTCGCAAGCCGCTGTGTAACAGGAAGCAGCTTTGTCCAAGTCCATCTGCGTACCAATCCCCTCGAGGTAATAGTCGCCCATCTTGACTAACGAATCAATATTTGACTGCTTGGCCGATCTTGTCCAATATATTAGAGCGAGAGCAGAATTTTGCAGCAATAGTGGGCGGGGATTGGAAAATGGAAGCCATGAAGAGAGAGCCAATCTTGATTTTTGTTTGTCGAGCATGTATGCCACATTTGCTTGGCCTTTCTCGTAGCCTTGTTCAGCGGCAAACATGTAATCAACCATGGCAAGCTCGTGGTCGCCCTCCTCATAAGCTTGATTGGCTTCAGCGAAGGATGAAAGAAGAGGCTCGGCCTTTTCAGCGACGTTTTTGTAGTACGCTGCAGCGAGTCCGCAGCTTCTATCGCGTCCAATGCCTTGATCGATGAGCTCTGCCAGGAAGTAGAAGGCTTCGATATGGCTATATCTTGCTGCAAGTTCAAAATAACGGTTCGCAACGCTTATATCACTGGGGGTGCCTTGATCTAAGTAGAGGGCGCCCAAGGCAACCTGAGCTGGCGAATAGTCTTGATCAGCGGCGGCTTTGAAGTACTCCGTCGCCTTTATCGTGTTCTTTGGAATGCCCAGACCTTCCAGGTTCATAAGTCCCAGTCCATACTGAGAGCCAGCATCGCCACTCTTGATCCCTCGCTCAAACCAGGTCCGGGCCTTGTCGAAATTCTGTTCCACGCCCTCGCCTCTCATAAACATCCGGCCAAGATAACCAGCAGCTTTGGTCGCGACCTTCTCCAGTCCTGCTTTGTCGCTCTCAATGATACGTCCCTCTCTCTGCCAGTAGAGTTTTGCAACCTTCATAAAGTACCATTTTGCACTTTTCATGTTTCGTGCGAGCCCTCTTTGCCCATCGTAGTGGATCCTCCCCAAGCTAAATGTGGCCTTGAAATCGCCCTTCCTGGACATCAAGTCCAAGTACTCCAGAACATCATCAAGTGCTGCATGGGCATCGGAGTTTGGGCTGGCTTTGTTCGCATTTTGTCCAGAGCTGGAATAACTCGCACCTTCGCCGTACACACCACCGTCATCATCTGCGAGTCGGTACGAATCGGACACCCAAGCCATTCCTCCTGGAGGACCCGATCGAAACCACTCAATTGCTCTGTCGGCAACTTTCTTGTAATGCTTAACAGCGACATCACAGTTACGGGCGACCCCAATGCCTGTGTGGTATCGAAACGCAACAGTCATCTCGGATCTCGTATTGCCACCTTCGGCTGCGAAAGTATGATATAGCAAAGCTTTTGCTTGATCGCGTTCGACAGCCTCTCCTATTCCCGTCGCGTACAGGAATCCGACCATATGTTGCGCAGAGCTATTCCCATCCAACGAGGCCAGCTGGTGGTACCTCCTGAAAGCTTCAGAATAGCTCTTTGGGTGTGTGTAATTGCCATAGAAATTCATCTCGGCCAGAAGAAATATCGCATCGGGATTGTTGATCTGTGCAGCTTCCTCCAAAAGCCGCACCGCCTCAGCTACTGGTCCTGGCAGCTGCTTGTGTTCCTTTGCCTCACTTCCTGACGCTTCCTCTGGTGGACCTTGAATGTACAGCCGTGGAAGGAGTGCCAAGACATAGTGTCCTGCTGTTCCCAAGATTCCCGATGGTTTTCGAGAAGGGCGTGGATTCAAACGTTCGTATCGGCGAAGGAAGAAGAGAGCCTTGTCGACTTGCTCCGTACCTTTGAAATGTCAGTATATTGGTACAAATACAGCTTCTAGTTCTTACCATCTATCCTTCTCCGACCGTCCTCTTGTTCTCGAATCGGTTGCTGTGGTGTGGGAGACTGTGCTGCTATCGATGGCTTTGGACTCCCTTCCACACTGAAAGTCGCCTCTGTATCATCCTGGATCTTCGCATACGATATGGCAAGCAGAATTTGCAAGGAAACTTTCGTGATGACCATTAGCTATGGCCCATGGAGTCTGGCAACATGGACTTACAGATCAGGAACGAGAGCCGTTTGCCCCAGTACTTCATATTGTGAGCGTTGCGCAGTAGCAATTACTTCGTCCAAGAAGCAGCTGGAAATAACCTAGTCATCGTCTCATGAATACAGGCCCGGTCACATCGAGTTTGAGGCGGTGGTGGAGAGCTTTTGTGAAAGTTGTTCAAATGACTGATTTCCAAGCTGTCCTTTCGGCGGGAAGCAGAGACCCACACGCGACTCAGCCGAGCTTGCTGACGACCTCCGCAGCACCTGCCCTTAACAAATTACTTCCTTGACTTCGATCACATATTCTTAGGTACGAATTAGCATGAAGAGCTCGAACAATGTTTTCAATTATTGGCGTGCTCTGAAAATATCGCATTTCTGTCTTTCAGACCTTCAACCCATGCAACTTTGGTGCAGCCCTCCACGCCTGGCTTACCATCAATTCCCTCTCCAAGCTTTGATCTGCCCATCCTCTCCACAAGTCAACACAGTTTGATGCTGTATTTCGTTAGCTCGTCATCAAACAAGTTGAATCAACAGGTTTACAGAATCTAAAAAGCAAAAAGACCGTACGATCTCAGATCCATGGGCGCCTCTCAGAGAGACCTTTGAGTCCAGCGCAAAAGACCAAGGGGGATTATTCTTGAATTGGATCAAATCGAAATTTTCTCGGCTTTAGCACCATTAGCACCGTCTTTGATATCTCAAGCTGGTGAGAACATACCTGTGGGTTCCGACGCCAATAACTGAGCCACCATCCGGCCTCCTCAGAACATTTGCAACGTATTCCCCTCCCAGTTTCTCTCTCATATCTCCAAAGTGAGTTGGGGCAGGTTCCTCAACCCCTTCTTCAGGATTTCTCACCAATTCATACATGGAAAACTTCTCATCGTGAGACAGAGCAAAGATGTCAACGTCACTGAGGAAATTAGAGTGGTGGATTGATGCACCATGGTTGATGGTCTGGTGCAGTGCTTCTTCCTCGTCCATGATGGTAGTATTGTAAATATTCACCAAGCCATCCGTTGAGCCTGAGAGCAGGATTTGAGGCCGAGAGGGATGGAATTGGAGCTGGGAGACATCAGTAGCTAGCAGATAATGAAGTAGTTGAGTTACCTACTTCAGTGACATCGTCACTATGACTCTCAATATACTGTACAACTGGGTCGCCAAAATTTCGCATGTCCCTTGACAAAGTTAGGATAGTTGCTGAAGAAAGGGGAAGAGGGTGCCAACCATATCAGAATAGAAGCTTGATGATTGGTCAACTCTGTTCCCGCCGCGAGAGCGTACGGATGTGAGAATGCCAAAGATAAAACCGGAGCATTCTGCTCTACAAGTAGGTCAGCATTCCTTTATTCAAGACTCGGTTTCTATAACCAGGGTAATATATGAGAAATTTTGGTCCTCTGCCTCCCTGGATAACGAGACGACAGACTTCTGGGAAGCACGAAAAGACAAGAAAAATGGAGTCAAGGATATTGCAAATATTAAAATAACCTTGCAAGAGCACAATTCAGGCCGACGTAACTCACCGGTTCTAACCTCGCCGATTTTGACCGCAGTCCTAGGATCTAGCAAGCAGACCCTTCCATCCCTCCCTGCAGTACAGACAAGCAACGCACCTCGTTCCGTCGTATTGTTGATAGCTTTCAAACAAGTAACCTCTGTGTTGACTCGCCGGATCGAATTTATAGGTGCGCCGCTCAAAGTCAGCGGATCAAGCAGCCGAAGGCTGTCGTCGGAGGAGATTGCTGCGAGGCCGGCTGCAAGAGGAACAATGTCGTAAACGTAGGTATCTTTCGATTCAGATATGTGGAATGCGTCCACGGCATTCAATGCGTACATTTTTAGCGAAGGTAGAATTCTGGTGTGGTATTGAAAAGAGAAAGATTTTCTTGGTTGCAAATTTGGGTTCCCGGAATATAAGTTCCAGAGTTCAAATTTTGGGCCTTCTTTCTTGCCTTTCCTCAGTCTTTTTTTCGGTTCGTGAGTCATTCTCTAAAGAATAACACGAACTCATATCCCATTTAGCTAGGCACATACCTTAGACTTCCTTAGGTCTGTGATCACGTGACTGAATCTCCACTGCGTCGGCTTCGGACAATTTAAGATGATGAACGCCCTAACTTTGACAGGTTCTTCCAGTGCTTGATGACCGTCTACCGTTCATCATTGATGCTTCGCCCAGTTTCCCAGTTTACCACAACCAGTAACGCCAAATATGCAACGCCATGCTATTCGTGGCTGAGCCCCCACCTCGATTGCTCTCCGCTCAACTATACTTATCATGCTTATTCTTGACCTTTATGAGCAACAGTGCTTCATGATAATCACCTTCTCTCCTAGCTTTCTTTAACCTTCTAACTTCGCCATCGTCTAACCTCCTCCCGACAGCTTCTTCGAGTTCCTTCCTGCTGATCTTTTGACTCGCTTTCTCCTCCTTTGATGCCTTGAGTTTTGGCTTGAATCTTGCTTGCATTCGTATTCGGAATGTAGTATTGAATGTAATGCTTTCCGCGTCACCACGGATCTCGGGCAGAGCGTTGGCTTTTGAAGACGTCGATGGCTTGATGGTCAAGAATGTGTCGCGCAGGGTCTGTATCTGAAAAGTCCCAGGTGCATCGGCTGTGGGTATTGTGAGGAATGATTCGAGGGGAGAAACGGCTTCTGTATTGGCAGATAGCTGGCCGAACTTGTCGCAGCTCAAATACCTATTGGGGTTGTCAGTGGAATCGTCTATTCGAGATGCGTATTGACTGACCTTCCATGATGACCTTTGAAGCTAAACGTCTCTGTCCCTGCCACCTTGTTCGCAACCCAAACTTGCCTTACATCATGTGGTTCCGCAGTCGCGGGATTGCCGTCGACGACGTTCTCCAGCAGGCTTGGAAAGACCTTGCCATTCGTGTCGCATGCTATGCAAGTTGGTGGTTCAGAGGGCATGACGATAACAATAGGTCCTACTACATCTCCTACAGCTTCTGCCGTAACCCAGCTATCATCGTCGACTGAGGGGTCCTCCTTCTCCGTCTTTGCTACCTCCTTCGAAGTCGAACCTTCATCCTCTCCGAATTTCTCGGCGACATCGACTCGCTTCCGCTTCTTCGTCTTCTTGTCGCCTTTGAATGTTAATGCTTTGACCATATTGGGAAGTCGCTAGGCTTCTTGGGAGTGATCTGTTTGGTAACGACTTTGTTTGAAGAAGCTCGGGGTACTTTGATGTAATGGAGCTAAACCCAAAAATCTTCTGCCGGGCGGTGTATAAAGCCGAGGGGTTATTTTACCCCTCCCCTATTCTATTCGGCAGCGTCCGATCCTCAAGGAAACTGCTTCTGAAATTGAAAGTAAAGGCACTCGACATTGCGGTTACTCCTTCACAATCTCGCATAGTTGGGATGTCTTCAACGGCTGTGACTGTCAGTCTTGATGACTTGAAGAATGGTCACTCTCCTATCACATGTTCAAGGGATGATCTGCTGATCAAATCTCTAGGAAGTGTTGCATTTTCGACATTGGAAGAAGCCTTTGGACCCAATTCTTTGGGAATCATAATTGTCAAAAATATCGCTCCTGAGTTCGTGCAACTGAGACACCGACTACTTTCATATTCCTCATACCTTGGAAACCTCCCTGAGTTCCGACTCGGTAATTCCACCTCCTATCCTCAAAAATAAAGCTTACCCAATAGCAAAAATCGAGAATGCTGCCGCAAAATACTTAACCGGCTGGTCCCGCGGCAAGGAGGCACTCAGAAATGGCCAGGTCGACACCAATAAAGGCTCCTTTTACGCAAATTGTGCTTTCTACGTTGACCCCTCGCTCTCTTGTGCCAAACCTACAGCGGAGTTCTCGCCCGAGAACTTCCCTGAGTATCTTAGCCCTAACATCTGGCCTTCTGACACGACTATTCCCGGCTTCAAGGACACTTTCGAGGATCTCTGTCGTCTTATCATCGACACTGCGGTTCTCGTGGCTCGAGCATGTGACAAATATGCTGAAAAGGAGATACCAGAATACAAATCCGGCTACCTCGAGCATGTAGTCAAGACATCGACAACCACAAAAGCTCGGTTGCTCCATTACTTTCCAGTGGAAGTTGAGACTGCGCAAGATGAGAAGACCGATGATGACTGGTGTGCAACGCATCTCGACCACGGGTAAGTCTTATTCTCATACTAATTTACTGTTTTCTCGGAAGGGAGCCGAGAGTCAGGGACTCCCTCAGGAGCCGCTATAACCCCCCTTTGTCATTTTTAGAGGTGATGAAACGGCTCCGAATTTCTTGGATCCTTTAAACATTTTTGTTGCAGTGCTGACTTGACTGGACAGCTGTCTCACTGGGCTGACCTCAGCAATGTTCATTAACGAGCGGCGTCAGATTCCGGCCATACCCATGGGATACGCGTACAGCCCCAAGTATCTCCCCGTTTTGGGTGAACTCGATTCATCACCAGACCCAACAGCAGGCCTGTATATCCAGTCTCGAAGCGGGGAGACTGTTCAAGTCAAGATACCTAGAGACTGTATTGCATTTCAGACAGGAGAGGCACTGGAAAGAATCACAAAGGGAAAGTTCAAGGCTGTTCCTCACTTTGTCAGAGGTGTTAGACCTAGTGTGACGGATGAGGAGAATCAGGGAGGGCTTGTTGCCCGTAACACTCTTGCAGTCTTCACACAGCCAAACTTGGGGGAGATTGTCGATTCGGAGCAGGGCATCAGTTTTGGTGAGTTTGCGATGGGAATTGTGGAGAAGAACACGACAAAGTGATAGCTTCAGATTGTGGCATTTATGGTTTCTCTGGAATACGTAGGCATTCAGGATTAGAGAAGGCAAGAGATTGGTTAGATGGCAAAATAAACTTGATGAATGAATGCATGCAAATTATCCAACTACCAGCGAGTGTTCTCCTGCCCGGTTACCAAACCAACCTCAAATAACCTAATATTACGTGTTTGGTGCCTTCTCTTCAGCATCCTTCTCATAACTGGTGTACGATTCTGCCATTTGTAAATCAGAGATACAACAGAGCCCTTCTTCATTCTAGATACTAATAACATCGGTAGTCTTCATATAAATGAAAACCACACACTGCCGTACGGGGATCCTCTCCAATGGCCAATCTTCTCCCTTCGTGTTATCCATTTCATCCAAAAGTATCAACTGCTTACACACAACCTCAACAAAAGATTATCTTTAAGGTGTGCCGGCGTTTTGACATCTGGTACGACTCTTTTTGCTGCTGCTTTTGGCTTCTCCGTCTTGCTAGTCTGAATGATAGATTCGTGTTCAACCACAATTGCTTGGGTTTCGGCTGACACTTTCCTGTCTCATTTTGTTGCTGATCTTCCTTTTCCTCAATCTAAACACCAGGGGCAATGACTGGCAGCGGGATGGCGGACAACTCTTTCTGTCGAAACGTTCGAGTCAGTAACTGCTCGATCATCTGTGCTCTGTTTCAATTTGAGACTTTAGGAAATTGTCTATAAAGAAAGTCATAGGTGATCTAGAACTGGTAAAAATTCCTCCCTAGGCGCTTACCAAGTACGCAAAGCTGAATCCTTCACAGAGCTTCGCAATAATGGGACAAAGATTCTCGTGAAAATTAACTGCATCATTATTGACCCGTTGACCCACTTGCGTCTCAGAACTGGCAATATGCAGTTCTCTCGTCCTCGTTTGGCAGTTTAGAGTGATACTTGTGATCGAAACGGCTTAGTCGTTTGGACAAGGAGGGGTCAAACTTGCTTAGGTTATTTATTGAGCCAATCATTAGAATGCGATCGTTTGACTCCGAACCATCAACTTCGTTGAGGAAGTAGCTACGGGTCTCTTGCGTGATGAGGCTGTCGAGATACTCGAAGATCAAAGGCAAGGTGCCATAAGACGAGCTGAGTAACGAGAAATTAGCAATTGCTTGATTGAGAATGCTCGGAGAAGCTGAAAAAATACTGCATTGAAAATATCAGGGACCGGATGGCGCAAGTCCTCCAACCTCGACCTCGAAATGGAAAGTGCATCACTTGATGCGACACGGCTTGATGCAGAACATAGATTGCACCGAGGTTGGTAGGCTTTTCTGGTATCGCCTGATGCCTTGATTCTCTTGTGCCGCGCATCCGGGGTGATGAATTGCGCGATCTCGCAGACAGAGTGAAGCCAGATTTGCGGACTCGGTAGCATCTCTCGTTGGATGTTTAGAAAGCATTTCGAATATGTACCCAAGGTCCTTTGGTCCTGTGATACACACTGTCCATAAATCAGGCTGCATTCAGAGTCCCCCTCTTCTGGTATTCGTGCCGACTCGGGGCGTTGCTCTGTTCCGAAGGTCGGAGAGTTCACAACAGGGCCCCAAATCTGCACAGGCCCTGCATCTGGCTTGACTTGGCGTCGAGAGGTGTTTGTCCATGGAAGCAGCAATCCGTCCATCCATACACGTACGTATTTTGTGCTACAAGCTGCGAAGAAAGGGGCGAAATGGGGGCAAGACAAACCCCTGCAGCATCGGTTGGATGCCCCAAAGTGGGCAAGTGTTGTGCTGACTAACATTCCAACGACATCTCAATCGTGTTTTGCCTCACTCTCACTCTGCCTCTCTGTGCTTCTCTCTCTCCTTGGATATCATCCAATAAATCATTACACTGTGAAGTTGCTGATCAGTATGTGAATGCCTTGAGCCGCAAGCCATTTCAAATGTCCAGGTCACAAACAAGGTTGTACTCTTCTTGTCTTGACTGCATCCATCCTTTGAGGTCCAGTTCCATATGCAATTAAAAAAAGACATCTCACTTGCGCTTTGATATTACGTCTTGAGTGCTGTCACATAGAATCAGGACTTCAAAAGAGTAGTTCCTCCAGGTACGCCTTGTGATGCAGGTTGAGATGTCACTGGGGAGGGCTCGTGAAGAGTGTCCGAGATATCCTCCGGCACTCCTGCTTTGTATAGCCAAAAGACAATTGCTTTAGGAAATGTGGAGTTGTACCAAATTTTTGTTGCAACTTTCCAGGAGCATCCGCCACGTTGGGCCTGGAGACTACAGTTTACTTGTCCTGTATCCAGATGACTTCATCCTCGTTTGCTCATTGTTTCCAGCTCTTTGGTCTAGCTAGACTTTCACTGTTAAATCATTTTTCAAGCTTGTGGTTAAAGTAAAGGACACTTTCCCCTTGTTCTCAATTATCTCATACAGTTGTGAATTGCCCGGAACAAGCCCTACCTGGGATCCTTATCGATAGACCTATAAGCTAAGAATATTAATTCCGTTCCGAGTTTTGAACAATATCATGTGAGTCTACAGTAAATTAAAGACGCTAAAATAGGGCCTCCATCTGGTCCAATCTTTATCTTCCGCTCCATCTGTCTTCTGAGCACCATACTACTACTTCATAGCATCGTCTGCTATACTTTCTTGCATAGCCCCGAGAAGCTCGCAGTGACCAGCTGGAGCCAATTTGTCAGAACACCCAGAACACCGTACCTTTCCTGTCCCAATTGCCTGTCTATACTGACTTCACAGCTATTATATTGATCTTGACCGTGTAGCAAAGTGTCGAGTTAGCATCAGACCCCACGATGGCTGGGGACTTCACAATGGCTGGGTTCACTATGATGCGAGTCCATCACACTGGAGGTCTTGGTGACATCAGTGTTAATTCTTCTCGAGTGAAGTCGCATCAGACTCAGCCGTTGGCGGGAAGCCTCGCTCTGTGTGACAAATTGTCCCCGTTCCGCGTGCTGGCCTCTCCTCACCGAACAAAATTACTGGCACTAAAGGGCTACTATATCGACGAAAATCAAGTCATCCGGAAGAATTCAAACCTTGCGCCAATGGCTACGGTACAAGAAGCTCCCTCGTCCCCTCCGATCGAGGCTCCTCGCACTCCAACCCCAATCAATTCCGTTGACGGTGTTGCTTCTACGTGCAACACTCCTACTGTTGCTCGGGAAGAGATATCTATGTTTGAAGTCGGCATAGAGGCTTCGACCACTCCCAACAGCTTTGCTTCTGCTCGCGACACTTCTACCGTTTCTCAGGAGCAGATTTCTGCGACTGATCTCATCAACATGGCTTCTACCACTGCTGACTGCTTTGCTTCTGTAAGTCGCATTCCCAGTGCCTAGTCCCAACGCGCGAAATGTCAAGGAGCACGATATGGCGCGTCTTCTCAGCGATTCCTCATAATCACGCTGCTCAGGTTCAATCAAGACTGATAGTAGAACCCGCAGAATTTTGCCTCGTCCCCTTTGGACAAGGAATTGCCCCCAAAGCCAGTCCTTCGATTTTCCGAGTCTCCGGAGAGACGTGGCATCTATGGTGAGTTCAGGTTCTCATTTCTTCAGCCCCACGTTGCTCAATACTAATAGCTCTTCAGACGCCTTCGATGGAGGCTCCCACAAAGTCAAATATCCTGTCCTCTTGCCAAGTCCTCCTGATACTGTATCTCTCAGCTCGATTGTAAGTGATGAGGTCGGTTTTCAAACGAGCCCTTCTTTACGCCTCGATCTACATACTCGCCCCGCGCTTGGAGTTGGAACCGTTGTCAGAACCCGTAAGGTTTCAACAACCGCTGCAGACCTTAGAACCGCTTCCGATACGTCCGGTCACCTTGCTTTCGATCAAGCCAGTTCTCCTCTGAAGGCTACTGAGCCACGAAACCCTGCTCGCCATCTTCCCACTACCGAACAAATTGCTTCTATGAGAACTGGTAGCCCAGTCTCCAAGCACCTCCCGAAGAGCAAATTCAATGGCAATCGGGGTGCCCTCAAGTCGCCACATGGGTCCCTTAAACGTGTCCAACAGATCAAGTCCAGCGTAAAGCAAGAGGCGAAAGTCGTGGACGATGTCTTCCGTGCAGTCTCGGCCAACTCCTCCGATTTTGGCAGCCCGCAGCGAATTGAGGACATCGCTCGGCGCTACCAAGACTACGGCATTGGCCCAACGGTTAAATATGCCAAGGATGCTCACCAAATCATCATGGGAGATCGGTCGTTGTAAGTTACTTTGTATGTCAAGATGGAATCGTGTCTCTAATGAACCACAAACAGTTCTAACTCGTTGAACAAATCTGCCAGCACTTCCACTAAAGTTGCAATGTAGGTAGATGTAATTGCAGCCAGATCTTGAAGGCTAACTTCTGTTATTCGTAGCACCGATGGCCCCTCAAAGCAGCAGATGTCAGTGTTGCCTTCATGTCTGACAGAATCCATTGCTGACTCTAGGTTTTCAGCTCAAAGAACGAAACTCATATGCGACAAGAAGGTACCTATCCTCCCCGCGGTTCGTCGCTCCAAGTATCGCCCAACGAGGTTGCATCCCGCGTAGCTCGTCCAACCAAAGCCAGTGCTGCGCGCGCCGAAGCAAATTCCAAGACATTGGGCAAATCCGGTACTATGACGTCGGTCAAGAAGTTTGGTAGTCGTCTTTCTGCCATAATCCCCGTTCGTGGCCGTTTTGGTGTCCCGGGCTCCGTTGACAAGTCGAAGAGCACGGACACCGCCTCCGTCGAGGCCAACGCAGACAATGCCAATCATGGATCTTCTGCAAATGATGGCGGCCTGCTCTCCGCTTCCGAGAATATTGGCACGGAGTTGCTGCCTTCCGGCTTCATTGGCGATGTCGACGTAACTCTCAGGGTAGGAAACCCTACGAACCAATTTCAAATGTTGACAACTGACAGTAGCCCAGGGCGGACAATTTGACGAGGTTGCCCTTCAACAAAGGCAGCGGGACAACAAGGAGCATCGGGCTGCAGCTGTCTACGCCTTAGAGAACCGCATCGGAACTAATACTGGTCATGCTCGTGGGGCAGTTAATAAGCAACGAGACTGTGATCAGGGTGGCGACGAGCCACCAACCCCGCATCTTACTCGTGCTGGTCCACAAGGACACTATTCTGATGAGAGCGAGCAACAAGATGGGAGTACTCAACAGGAGTTGCTCCGCGATTTGGAGATGCTACGCCAAACTGCTATGGCCGTCCCTCCCGGATTCCATGTCCAACTCAACGAGCTTCACACCCAAGGACAACGTATCATATCATTGCTCACATTGGTTGCTAGACGAATTGGTGATGCAGAGGCGAGAAGCCGTGTCTCTCTTCTTCTTGAGGCTGTGGGTGAGAGTCTTCTGGTAAGTCTCAGTTTCTCGGAACATTATTTTCTCTCTCGCGTTTCTTGCAAGTTTCTTACTCCCTAGCGAGCCCTGGGCGCAAGTAACTCATGTTATACTGTCTCTACTCCCAAGTCATTCGTTTCTGTGCAATGCTGATCCAATTTTCCGTGTTTTAGGCTGCAGGCACCAACACCGCGGCCATTGTTGCTCTCATCGACGCAAACCAATGTCTGCTTGCGGCAACCAGCTCGCTTGCAGAGTATGCCACCATTATGGCTGGTAGATCTGTTGAGACAGATGCCACTCAGCAATAAATCCCCATCCTCCCTGTAAGATCGGGGTGCTATATGGGTCTGGTTATTGACTTCCCCTTCTTGGGACGAATAGGGCCTTTGTGTACTATAGAATAAGCAGATGACTCTATGATATTACGAAAGAAATGAAAGCAGCTCTGTAAACTCTGTAAACTCTTCCGCTCTGGGGGTGATGGTCGTGCTGAGTCGGCCTTGGCACGTATTTGCCTCTCCAACAACTGAGGTTATGAGAACCAACAAACCCAAAAATTATGCGTGTTCACTTGCTCTTGCCAATAGTGAATGGTTCGCCGTTAGTATAATTTTTTTTTGAGAGAATCTGAGGTATGCAGAGGCTACTCATTCCGTGTCGCTCTGGTTCACGTTCTCCCGTTCATCAACTACACACATTTCTTCTCTGGTATGCCAGCGCCACTGCTGACACACACCAGCGCAGAACAGGTGTTGGTTGTAGCAGTTGTAGCATTTCTGCTCCAAGCCCGGGATCCCGCATACGTGGCACACATACGCCAATCGTTGACAATTTCAGGGGCGTTATTACCTTCCATGATGGGTCCAGATTCGGGAAAATGTAAAACGACCCCCCCCCCCGGGTGTCGATGAGGGGTGTCGATTGGGGCAAGGATATTTAATTGGCTATCTGAGCTCTTCAAAAATCTGAAATTAGATTTTTTAATATAAGTCTAAGCTAGTATATTATAACCCTTGTATTATAATCACGTACCTTCTAACTTATAATAAAAAGATTCCTTAAAATAGTTTTTAATTTTAGGGAGTTTATATACTAATTAATTAAGTTTTAGTTTTTGAGCCCTATAAGGCCTTATAAATTATGGGCTTATAGGGCTCTTAAATCTGGTTTTAGGGACTTTTTCTCTAAATTTCTAGGCTTTCTTAAGCTTATTTATAGGCTATCCGTTCCGCTGCCGCCAGGGACGAATTTCCGGGGCCGGAATAACTATTATTCCGGAGGAACACCAAAACCACGCTTTAATATTTACATGTAAATAAACCACCAAATTGATTAATTATACTATAACCACGATACCGGACGCTACTGTATTTGATTCCACTAATAAAGGGATCCTTTGGCCTAATGAGGATCCACTGCGCAAGCAGGGAAGTACTTTTAAGCCTATGCAATTACCCCCATTTGGCTGGGAAATTACCTTACCTAAAGACGTCTCTCCAGATAATTCTATTACTTTATTTACTATATACTATACTTCCGAAATCATTAATCTAATAGTCGAGAAGACGAATACCTATCTGCGAAAACCTCAAGACGATTCTACTCCTTATATACGAGCAAATAATTAGTATCTAATATATTATAGAAAGATATATATCTATCTTATAATTCGGATATATATAAGCTTATATATAGAGAATAAGATTACAGACTATTAGAATATGAAGAATATAACTCCTGAGTACCTAATTACAAAGTTTCTAAATAGGAATCGGTTTCAGGAGCTCTATATATATGTAATTCTATAGAAATCAGGAATAAGGCCTATATATAAAAGTAGTTCCCAGATCTCTATTTATTTTACCTGAAACTAGCTAATAAACTACCGAGTAAGTAGAAGCTTTTAGTATATATATCCAGGAAATTAATTTAAGTATTTAGAAGCCTGGGAAGAACTTAGTAATAGACGAGATAATTATATAATTTAAAGATTAATTAAAGGAAATAATTACTATTTCAAATAAGCCTATACTTACTAGATATAAGATATGGAAAGCAGCCTAGAGGGGGTTCTTACTTATATGAAACTGGTATATTCCTGGCTAAAGAAATAGCCCTATAGGAATATATATTTCCAGGGAGCTTAGTAGAATAATTAAGGCTAGAAATAGTAGAAATAAGATATAAGTAGTAGTTCTATACTTAATTAAAAAATTACCTAAACCTTATAAAGGTTCTGGATATTACGTTTACCTTAATAATCTCTTTATTTCTATTTGCTTTATCTAATATATTCGTATTTAGGAAGTTATAATTACTAGAACTTATAAAATAACTAGAGGAGTTATTAAAGAGCTTCTTAATCTTTAGAAATCGGATAAAAAGGATATAATACTATAATAGGCACACGTAATAATATATAGACAGGTATTAGATATTATAGATCTAGTTTTCTATTTTAGGTAAAGCTTATAATTAGAATTATATAAGTAATCGGAATTATATAAATTATATGAGATTGTGTTTTCTAGTTAAGTAAAGTACTTTATAGGCTTGGCTAAGTACTAGGAAATATATAAGGAGACGCTTCTAGCTTTAGAAAGGGGTATTAATTAGTTTTTTATTAGAATTAATTCTTGGAATTAGTTATACTTGCAAGCATTACTCTATAGCTTACTTACCTTGACTACTTATATATTACCCTGCTATTAAGTGCCTTACAAGATAGCTAGTCAGTACTTTACTAGCTAAAGGGAGAGACAGTGAGATCTGTCCAAAGAGAAGAATATTACAGATTAGCCAGGGAGCTAAACAGGTGCCTGTGGAATCGCATGAGCGAGTAAAGCTCAGTAAAATTGGGAAGTGTATATGCTGTAAGGGGGACCGGCCACAAAAACGAATTACACTAGCTCAGATTACGGCCAATTAGGGGCGAGAGAGCTATAGGAGAGATAGCTTCTATGGGTGCAAGTAATGCGATGTCCACCTATGTAAAAATCGTGGTTATTTTGATGTATTTCATAGAGAGAGGTAGAATTGAAGCAATTGAGGGGGAAATCCAGCCCTCTGATTGGCCATAATTAAGCGAAAACCAGTGTGCACGGACCAATTCGTCCCTGGCGGCAGCGGAACGGATAAAATATAAAACTTTTAACTTCTTTAATTTAAAGAGCTATTACTAATCCAATTTTTTAAAAAAGTTTATCTTTAAATAGCCTTTAATTAGCGCTATGAGGAAATGAAACAAGTATTGAATTATATTAATTCATTATAAAATTAAATCAAAATAAAGAAAAAGCCGGAGTTTTGGTGTTCCTGTCCGAGCGCCTAGCCTGCTCCCAATCGACACCCCTAATCGACACCGGGGGGGGGGGGTCGTTTTAGTCTTTCCCTTATATACACCCTAAACCACAGAACCACACGTAATGATACACGTGTATGCGCTTCGCCTTGCGTCTTAGCTGCACAGATGAAATGAAAATCCCGCACCTGAGAGATTGTTCTTGATTCAATATAAGATCTGTCTCACACTTTTGTCTATTCTTACAGTATTACAATTGCAATTATCGCTACTGGGTCGCTGTCACCATGGCGAGCTCCTTACCTGTCAAAGCTGTCGTCGAATGTCCTCTCCCAGTCACCATGGCGAGCTCCTTACCTGTCAAAGCTGTCGTCGAATATCCTCTCCCACCTGCTGCCCAAACCCACGAGGTCCTCGCTGTGGGCGATAGGCTTTTATTCATCTCTCAGCAAACTGATGGGAGTCTGGTCAAAGTAACGCTTAACAAAAATGGACAACCTACCGATGCCCACAAATGGACCCCAACAAATCAATGGTCCGGTCTACACGGACTGGCACTATACCGGGGATCCGGAGGAAATTGCCATGTCCCCACCGTCTGGGCAACTGTCCAGTTCGACAATGCTATTCTCCAAATTGACCCGAAAGTCCACGATATCAACTCGGAACCGCAGGTCATAAACACCATCCCCATACCTTCGCCAGCGTTCGGGCCTCACGGCATATTGGGAAACAAGGGAAACCTATGGATATCATGCAAAGACAGCTCTCACGTGGTCAGAATTAACATCGACAACCCGAATGATTACCAAGTCTGGGCTGTCAGTAGACAGCCAATCTTTGTTGCTGTACACCCTACTAGTGGGGACGTCTTCGCTAGTCTGGACCTGAGTAGCAAGATCTGGCATTACAAGAACGATGGAGGGAATGGCGAGGAGATTGCGATCCCTCCAGAGAAAGGGAGCACACCCGTCGGCCTGATTGCCGGAGCAGATGGTAACGTCTGGGTCGTCTTGTTGGGTAACGAGACTACAGGCACGGGTACATTTGGACGCATCAACAAAAACGCCTCTATCGATTGGTTCACCATGTCCTCTGCTATCGGCAGTACTGCACCTCTTATCCACCTGGCATTTGACCAAGATCCAACGCGATTCTGGCTACTGGGGTCATCGATTGCCTCCCCCTCTTCTCTCAATGCCGTATTCACCGTGAAAATTGATGATATATCGACAATTGGCACCGCAATTCCGAGAATTGCGATACAAAACACGATCGTGTTGCCCACCCAGAGGAGCTCGAATCATCGTATAATCTCTCACAGGGGAAGCCTATACATAACCGAGCTGACAACTTCGACACTTGCTCACGTAAGTGGAGCCGCCGTCAATGGATTGAGCGTCAGTGAGACTTGGGACCAGTATTCGGACTATGGTCTAGGTTTGAAACAGCAGGTCATTGTTTATAATAATGATATCTATTGAGGGATTAGAATGCTGCCCTTGCAAGAAATGGGGAAGCGAGGCATGATCGAGCAGATGAGCCAGCCGGCCAACTCATCGAATTACCCAGTAACTTGAGTTACGTGGCCGTGCTCAGATAGCGCGGCCTTTCCTTAATGAAGACACGACTAAAGCGCGTCTCTTTGTACTTTGCTTCTCTTGTGCAAAGAGAAATCTGTCTCCTTACACAACATCTCAATCCATTACTTAATTAGATCCATCGAATCCGCTGATAATGACTAGCGAGAGTCATTGTAGTACGGTTGTAATGCCTGCAGCGAGGAGAACTTTCATCCACACCGAGAATAGTACGACTTACTCCTTGCTTTATTAGCGAAGCAAGAACAACAGTAGCTATTCGAAACAGTACATTCACCCCATCAGGGCATATGTGGGCCTCTGTATGAAAACCCCCACCTGGCGACACCACTTAATCGTCGTCTAATAATGAATCAGGATACAAGCATGCCGCTCGCTGCAACTTTAAATCCCTACTATTGCTCACGAGCTTGGGCTCGATAGCCGCCAATCGAGGCCTCAGAAGAGGAGGAGTTCGAGATTTGCATTTCTGAATATCGACGAACCCCAGGAAGTACACGTGATGAATGAGTCAGCGACGCTGTAATAGGTAGGAATTGGCTCCCTTATGACCTGGTTGTACTTTCCTAGAGAAGTGAGCCAGGATAGGGCAGGATTTTAGGCGGTAAGTGGTTAAAACACTCGAGTACCAGAATACTAAAGTTATGGAATTCAAAGCTACGAATCATATAGTATAATGGGGATTTGATTATTATATGGATTTCGGACCATATATAGGTATTGGATGTATAGGTAGAGGTAAAAAGGATAGGAAGCTAAATAAGTAGAAGTAATAATCTTAAGACTTTTAATACTAGTAATAAAATAATATGAATAATCAAAAATAAGGGACTCCAAAAGTTAATATATTAGAAAAGCTAATTATATATATAAACGGAAGTCTTATATAATTCCTTAAACTAGTACTAGTATATCTGGGAAGCAGGATATATAATAGTAGTTATAGGACAAGAGAGAAAAAACCCTATTATATAGCTTCCTTCTATTATTTATAACTATTTCCTAATTATAATAAAGAAAATATTAAGCCTATATAAATATAAAGCCTATTAGAACCTAGAAACTCAAATAGTTTCTAAAGAAACCTATAGCCTATATTTAAAACCCTTTCTACTTTTCTTATTCCTCTATTTTCTCCTAAAAAAAATAAAAACTATAGTAATAATAATTATAACGGAATTATATATATCTTTTATAACTAGTAGAAGCTTATAATAAAAATAAAAAGCTATATTCTAGTAATTATAAAGAAATAATATTAGCTTTATTTCTTTCTATATCCGAAATATCTAATTTATTACAAGTATAAGATCTAGGGCCTAGAAGGCATAATTAGACTATCTCTATTTTAATAATTCAAAGCTAAAGAGAGAAAAGGATCTCGAAAAAGCCTCGGATCTAAATAATTGCAAGCTATATACGGGCCCACATACTAGCTTAAATACGGGATTACGTATAATTATTAGATAACTATAAATATTATACTCAGATACCAGATACCTAGCTAGCTCTAGTCTAACCCCTACTAGTACTATATTATAATAATTATAATATTACCCTCCTCCTTAAAATAAGCTTATTCCCGAGCTTTAAAAGTCCTTATTAAATTCTCAAATTATAGTTATATATAAAAGGCCAGGGCCTTTTATATATAACTTATAAGGATTTCCGTTCGTATTATATAATTCTGGTAATCTATTATTCTTGGTATAGTCTAACTAATAGGAGAGGTTCTGGAATAGTCCTGGCTATTTAGGATTCTTATTATAAAAGCTCTAAAGAGCCAGAATACTATTATTTAATAAGAATATAGGATATTACTCCGGATCTGAATTCTATTCTTTCTACTAGACTCGGTATTTGAGCTTCCTATAAAGTAGCTTTATTACTAGTACCTCTTAAACTTTATATTCCGTTTCCCCGTCTTATAGTTCTAATAGTAGAGGCTCCGGATTTGCTTATTCGGGAAAAAAGTTATCTGGGTTCTTATATAGCTTCTCTATATAAAATACCGGATATATTCTTATTAATTCCGGAAGCTTAAGTCTAAAGAATATCTTACTTATTCCAGGATTTCATATAGTTCTTCTATTTAGTATACTAACTTATAGCTCAAATAATTATTCTTCTAGTACTTAGTAATAATTCATATCTTATCTCTTATTTCAAAGTCTACCGGTTAGTAGTACTTATTAGTTTAGGTAATATAATACTCTTATACTTGTATTATATTCTCCTATATCTTTTATTATAATTCATAGAGCTATATTACTAGGGCCTTTACTTCTTGCCTATTTAGCTTTTTCTTTAGGGTATCTAATTATACTTGAGTTTCCTAATTAAATAATATCTGCGGTTTATAGCCCTTTTCTATAAGAAACGGGAATTAGCCTATAGTCTTATAGACTAGAGCTACCTACTAGTAGTTAATTATTATTACTTATTTGTTCTAATTATTCTAGTAATAATTCATATAGGAATATAGCTATTAGTTAAAGTACTAGTTAATAATCTCTATTTAGCTATTAGTTTAGGGATAATTAGTAATTAATAACTTAAGCTTTATACTAATATACTTATAAAACTTATTCCAGAAATCTAATATAAACTAGGGGCCTTAATTAGATATTATAATCTCCGGAATACTAATTTAGTAAACTATATAAATAAGAAATAGAAGTACTAACTCTTTAGCTATTATTATATCTCGAATAGGAATTATAATAGAATACTTATCCAGGTAATTAATAAAGATTATTACTATATTATACTTATTTCTACTTTCTAGGCATTTCTTAAAATCTATTAATATATATTACTAGAAGTAGTTAGGAACTAGTAATAAATATAAGAATCCTAGCTTCTTATTTCTAGAAATATGGAATTATTAGTAAGTATAGTAATTATTCCTATATTAATTAATATTTATATCTTGGCCTAGCTAGTAATAGCGGGCCTAAAAAAGCTATTAAAGCTTAGCTTATCCTGAATATCCTATTAGGGGTTATATATATCTCTCCTAAATAAGAATAATATATAAAAGTATTTCGGGTATTATTATACTATTAGGTATAAATAGTTTACTATATTATAAGAGAAAGCTATTTTATAATATTTAGATACCTTTCTTCTTATTTCTTGCCTTATCCTATAGCTCTTCTAGTTCCGGTAACTTTTGGTTCTCGCTTAATAGCTTATCTACTAGCTAGATACTATTATACTAGGTTTTTTCCTGAGCCAGGCTTATTAAGATCTCAATTAGGGCTAACTAGAGATCCCGTATAATATTATTATTAATCTTTTATTATAAGAAAAGAATTTGGGTTTAGTAGGCTACTATTACCTTATTCTAGGCAATTACATTCTTATATTTCTTACTTAGAGCATTCGCTTATTTATTTGACTTACCTATCTAATATATAAGCTTAAAATAATAGTAGGAAAAATACTTTACCTAATAAGCTTATCTTACTAAGAACTTCTTTATAATTATAAAGTACTTGAGAGCTCGGTAATCTAAGTAAATTATAAAGAATACTTCCTATAGGCCTTCTAGCTCTGCTTATTATTTAGTTAAGAAAAAAATAATAATAAGTATTTCTTTATTATAGATATTATAGTTTAGCTCTACTAACTATATAGTTTTAGAGAAAAACGCTACCGGGTACTAGAGTCCTATCTAGAGATCTTATTATAAGAAAATACTAGCTATAACTTTATTTAATATATTTATTTTAACTATAATAAAAAGATTTAAGTTATAGTAATATAGAATTAATACTAAGAGTATAGCTTATTTTAGCTTAGTAAAATCTTCTTAATACTAATCTATTTACTTAAATAAAACTCTCTTATATATTAGGGCTATTAGAGGCTTTACTATATGGCTATATTTTATAATAAAGTATTAATAAAAGTTATAAAAACCCAGAAAGCCTTATATTTCTTTAATTATCTTTAGTAATTACTAGTTCTTAATAATTACTATCTTATCTAAATCTATTTTAATATTTCCTATAAAAATAATAAAGTCTAGGTATTTTATATAAGTAATCTTAAACTCTAATTTCTTAATATTTACTTAAAAGCTAGTATTCTATAGCTACTAAAGAATCTTTTATATATAGTCTTTATATTTTAGGGAATTATTTAAGTAAATTAGAATATTATTTAAGTAAGCTATATAAAAAACATTAAGATAATTAAAGAAAATATTATTTATATATCTCTAATATATAATAGGGCTATTAGTTAGGCTTTCCTAAAGAACTTTATACTTATAGGCCCTATATCTCATACGAAATATAATAAGTTCTTCTAATTCTAGATCTATTTAGATCTAATAAAACACTTACTAAATATCTAGCTTTATATAGACCTTGGCTTAAGCTAGCTATATAAGAGTCTTATAAATAAGAAAAAAAGAATAATAATTCTTTCGTATTAAGTTATTTAGCTTATAGTAATTAATATAGAATTAGAGAGCTCTATTAGCCTTTTTTATAAAAAAGATTAGAGATGCAAAAAGGAACTAGCTTAGTTTAATAAAGCCCTATTAGAGATTTTTTTTTAAAGAAATATTTAATCTCCTATAGCTTATAGATTAACTATTAATAAAGCAGGAAATATTCTAGGCTCTCTGGGCCTTTGGGATTATTAATCTAAATCTTATAGTTATATAATTAATATAGGAATAAAATATTTAATACTTCTTTTAAGAAAATATTTATAAAATCCTTAAACTTCTCTAATAAAACTCTTACTAGCTATTATAGCTTTATCTTTCCTGGCTATTACTTACCCGGAATAAATTCGTTTTCTTACTATAATTCTAGTTCTTTATTAATCTCAAAAAACATTATTATAAAAAAAAGTTTCTCTTTCTTCTATAGGTTTATTTAAAAAGCGGCTAGTAAGATATCTATAATATTAATTATAGGCCTTAACTAGCTCTTATAGCTTTTTTTTAGATAATATGGTTTTAATATCCTTATTTCTGGCTTAAGAGAAACTTCTATATTCCCTAAGGCTACCTATATTTCTCTATAGTATTAAGCTTAATTCTTTTACTATATATGGCTTTCTAAGCCCGGATTAGGAAAAAAATAAGAGGGTTTCCTTTTTATAAGCTAAGGTCTCTAGAACTTATTTATAGCTATAGCTTTATTTCTTCTATTTATATCTTTTTAGTACTAGTTACTTTTTCCAGGTTTCAAGTTCTTATATATAGTAATTAGAACCTTATCCTAACTTTTCTTTCTAGGCTAATTATTTAGCCAGATTAATC